TTGTCCGCAAAGATGGACTATGGACTCTATACAAGGGTCTTATACCGACCATGATTTTCCGCACCAATTTCATATTTTGGTGGGGATCCTATGAGATTTTCACCAACTTCTTCAAAGACAACACCAAGATGTCAAATCCAACGATTAACTTCTGGAGTGGAGGATTGAGCGCAACTGTCTTCTGGATATTTGCCTATCCCGCAGATGTTGTGAAACAGGTGATCATGACAGATGACGTGGATAATCCACGTTTCAAGAAGTATTCGCAGGCCGTGAAGTACGTTTATAATGAGAGAGGAGGGGTCAAGGGGTTCTTCCGCGGGTTCGGTCCCAGCATCATGAGATCGTTCCCAGCAAATGCAGCTGCATTGGCAGCATTTGAATTTGTGATGAGAACGTTGAGTTGAATAATCAGAACTGATCTAGAACGAATCTAAGTTCAGCCGCGCTGGCTGAGACTCTTGAAGAGTCCAGAGAAGTGGGTATATACAGGCAATCGGAAGGGCTACATGATAATCAGAGGACTGCCCATGCATGGAGATAGACATTTGTATACGAAAACAATTTCTCAAACCTATTTCCGAGACCGGCGTGTAAACAGGGTGGGGCGCGCGCCTCTCTGGATACCGCGGCTATGTAATATGCACTTTGGGCGCTTGCGAGATTTGGGTGACTAACGAAGTTTAACAATAGGATCCCAAAAGGGAAAAAATCCGAAAACGTCACACTATTATATAACGAACATTCCAGAAAAACAGCAAAAAAGCCTCTGGAAAATTTATATTGGTGCGTTTGTGGGCGAAACGCCCTCAAGCTAGACGCCGAAAGCGAAAGTGTCGCAACCAAACCAGGCTTCCGACAGTATATAAGGCCGGCGTTTGCCTCTTCCGCTCTCTCTTGGCTCTCTTTTTTCCCGTTAAACGCGTGTATTTGTTCTGACAACTTCGTGTTTTTTTATCAACCCACAACTTCACATCAAAATCAAAATGCCTTGTTCGTGTGGATCAGAATGTTCTTCCTCTTGCGGAAGCAGCTGCTCTTGCAGTGGAAAGCCAGAGACCAAAAGATCTCTAGTCAACTTCCAAGACCCAGAGTCTGACAAGACCTGCGGCTGTGGAAGTGCTTGTTCGTGTGGTGACGCTAAGGGATGCGCTTGTGGAAAATAAGCGACCGCCTTGCTGAGTTGTTTTGTTTCTTTGTGTGTATGATCTTCTATCCAATGCTACGATAATTCCATGTCATAAGGTAAACAACGTAATATAGTAGCAACTGACAGGTAATAACTGCTGCCAGTTGATTTCAAAACTACCGCAGGTTTTTGAAGCCAGCTCTTACTCTTTGGAGCCTCGATATTACTGCCACATCTTTATCTCGCTTTATCTCCCCATATCATCGTTTGCAGCACCACCTGCGTGCACAACCTGCGTGCGCGCTACAATTATCCTGCATACACATCGGTATCACCTGCTCTTTACACCGTCGCCTTCTCTTGCACTTAGCGGTAGTCTGGGCTGGTGCGTGAGGCGCTGGGTATATAAACGCGAGCATATCCGTGTATTTGGGCAAAGTTCTTCACAACATATCTACACTTACCAGTATACACAACAACAAATAAAATTTCATAATGCCTATCAAAGAGTTCACAGACACAGAGACAAGAGGTGAGTTTGACGTACTCCAAGTTGTGCGGCTCAATACTAACTCTAGCAGTAAACTTCAAATTTCACCCAGATAAGAAAACCACACTGGTTCTGGCACCATTTTCTGGTGGCCAAGGAAAATCTGGAGTTGAGGATGGTCCCGAGCACATGCTCAAGGCTGGCCTCCAGAAGGAGCTCGAGCTTCTTGGCTGGGACGTGGCTATTTCAGAGCCTCTGAAGGATCTGGACCTTGATAAAGAAAAGAAGAATGCCAAGGATGTATTCGGAAAGTGCAAGAGACCAGCTCTAGTTTCGGATAGTGCCCAGAAAATCTACAAGGGAGTGCGTGAAGCGATCCAGAACAAGACTTTACCTCTTACCATTGGTGGAGATCATTCCATTGGGATCGGTACTCTGGCCGGTTCTTTAGCTGAGAACCCTGAAACTTGTGTTTTGTGGATAGATGCTCATGCCGATATCAATACTCCATCCACTACGGACTCCGGAAACCTGCACGGCTGTCCAGTGAGCTTCGTGATGGGCCTTGATCGTGCTGCTTGGCCTCCACAGTTCTCATGGTTGGACTCTGTGACGACCCTGCATCCTTCTAAAATCGCCTACATTGGTCTCCGAGATGTGGATGTTGGCGAGCGTAAAATTTTACGCGATCACGGAATCGCTGCCTTTTCCATGTATCACGTGGACAAATATGGAATTGCCAAAGTGGTGGAGATGGCCCTTGCAAAGGTGAACCCATCGGGAACCAATCCTGTTCATGTTTCATATGATGTCGATGCTATTGACCCATTGTACACACCAGCTACGGGAACACCTGTTAGAGGTGGTCTGACTCTCCGCGAAGGTCTTTTCATTGTGGAAGCAGTTGCTGAGACTGGAAACCTGTCTGCACTGGACGTGGTGGAGACCAACCCGGCTTTGGCCCTTCAGGATACACATGCGCTAGACACCGTCAGTGCGGGTTGTGCGATAGCGAGGTGTGCATTAGGAGAGACGTTACTGTGAGAAAACAGTGCGAGAATGGCGATATATATATATACATGCATGACATGATCTATTAGTTGTGAACTACAAGATAAGATACGGCATAGCCGACTGCAGCTGTAAATACTAAGTTTTCTCTTTATGAACTATTTCATTTGTTACCTATTACCGTGAACATAAGATTAGGAACAACATAATTAAAACAAATACGTAGAAACAGTGCGGCTCAAACCAGAATTTTCAAATCCCACTCAGTTCTTTTCTGGAACAGTTTCAGGCTCAACTGAAGCTGAAGCCGAGGCTGAAGCAGAAGGACTCTCCTTCTTAAGATCAGCAAGTCTTTTCGCCTCCTCGTGAACCTGCTTCGTATCTGTAACAATGCCTTGATAGAAGTCATGCACCCTAGATCCGTACTTGTCGTTCTTAAACTTGTCGACATAAGTTTCCAAGGCGGTCTTCCCCTTACTCAATTTGTCATCCAATTTGAGCTTGGAGTCCGCATCGGCATACAACTGAGAGTTTTTTTCTTGAATGTGGTATTTTCCATCCAGACCTGACAGAAAGTTCTTGAAACCAGTGGTGAGTCCGTGCTTCTGGTCAAACTCAACAGCCTTGTTGACGATATTGTCACTGACAACGTAACCAGAAGAGAGGTATTGGGCCAAAATGGCGGCCTTTGGCTTGAGTTCTTGAGGAACATCGCTACCGTCCTCATGTTTGGGGTCAGCCTCAGAGTATCCTGGTGGAGGAGCACGTGGAGGAGGGGCAAACTGCTCCAGATGGGCCTCAGAAGACTTGGCCGGTTCCTCAGATTCAACCTTGATGGCATTGCCACCAAGCTCAGCTCCGTTCAGCAGCAAAGCAGTGCTGAGAGCCGAGGAGGACTCGAACGCAACCTTGACGGAACGGGTCTTGGAGTTCTCGTCTGTAGCCAGTGGAGTGATGGAGCGAAGTTTTCCGCAGAAGGAGAAAAACTCCTGCAATTTGGCATCTTCCACACTAAGTGGGATGTTGGAGGCGGTAATCGTAGTAGACATGTTCAATTGGACTTGTTAACCTTGGAAGAACAAGTGGTAACAAAGGCGGCACGTTCAACCGCAAGGTCATATTTCATCTGGGGGACTGCGCCACACATGTGACAGGGGGGCGTTGTGGCTAAGCCGCGCAACGTAAAGTAGGCAATACACGACTTAGAGACTTTCAACTCGCCTTGGCCTGCTGTTACTCCTATGCTCTACTGTTTTACATTGTGCCATGGCTAATAGCGGCTGAATAGTAATATGCTCTAAATTGTTTATCCTTTAGTGATGTAGATCCATGGAAATGTTTCCAAATGAGTTGGAATTATTGTTTCATTGGTAACACGCGAACTTAACAAGTTCTCAAAAGTCGACTGTCATGATCAAGCATCACCACAATGAAACTTCCATTCCAATTCATCACCTTTGCAATACTCTCTATGCCCCATCACGAAGCTCCTTCCTGACCGCAAGAACACTGTCCACAATAACCGCATCCACTCCAGCCAACATCTCCAGCTTTGCATTTTCAGGATCATTGTTGAGCTGTCCATAGGTAACACACACCAATCCTGTAGCCTTAACCACAGAAGCCAGCCGTGGACACATCACCAGGGTCTCTGCAGCACTCACGATTCCGAGAAGGTTCCATTTCTTGGCGAATCGGATTGCATTCTGCAGAGAGGCAGCTCTTACGTCTGCCATGGGCTGTGTTCCCGCTTCTGTCAAGAAAAGAATCGGAATTGATGGCTGTTTGAGAGAAAGAAGAACACAGATGTCTGGATGGAAAGACGAAAACATGATATCGCGACCGTCAGCATTGTCATATACAACTTTCAGAACCGTATCAACCCAATGGTTCATATCAACAGCAACCTGGCCCATGTCTTCGTGTTCGGCCTCATCTAGCATCGGATACTTGCACTCAATGTTGAACCCCACGCTTCTAGGAAGCTTCTTGAAAAGCTCCACAAGAGTTACAAAAGAGGATGCAATCGAAGAACCTCTGGTGTTTCCTTTGTATTTCTTGAGCTTCCAGGTTTTGGTGAGCTTCATCCTGTCCTGATTTGTGCCAGAGAACTCGGCAATATCGTCGTCTACCAAAGACATGGATCTTGGTCTATTCCTCGTGAGCACTTCGTCATCAACAGATTTGCGCTCATGTGCCAACATGCTATGGTCCTCGTCTTTGTTGAGACCAAGAAATTGCTCTGCTGTTAAAGCGTGCATTGGCACATCCACACCCGACTCGGCAACCAAAAAGTCGTGATATACCACCGGGACATCGTCTTTGGTTAGCTGGACATCAAATTCGACATAAGAAGCTCCTAGAGATGCAGCTGCAATGAATGATTCCACTGTGTTCTCACCAAGCTGTAGAGATTTCCGGTCTCTTGAGTTCATACCGTACCCTCTGTGGCCAATAACTCTGGTACTAACCAATGACTTCCAATAAGTTTCCGTCCTTCCAATAGTCATTTTAGGATGGTCAAAGGGATTTACCAACATCAGTTCAAACCGGATTGATCCGAGGACTTCTAAAGTTTCGGACTCGAGGATGGGAACAGTCACGTTACTGGACAAAGAGCGGCGGTTTAAACCGACAGATGTGTAGGCTGATCTAACAATTGCCACAGCTCGTCCTAGGACTTTCTGCTTTGTGTTGGTGCCATTTCTCTCCATCAACCTCTGTTCTCCATAGGCATATGTAGGCACAATGTCAAAGTAAATGACAGAGTCAAGGGGATCCTCACCGGAACACTTGAAGCTGATAGGATCTGTGGCCGATCCGTGATTGTCATCCAACGGAAGATCTAAGACTGCGGACGGCTGGTCAAGCCCCTTAGCCGAGACAACCACCGAAAGAGCAGTGTCCAGCTCCGTAGAGTGGGCCTTCGACAGAGGAACTCTCTTGAGATCAATAGCCGGGCTTTGGTCACGCAAGTCAGTTGTTCCAAGAGTAATAAGAATCAGCGATTCAGAAGGCTTGAGATATCTATGGCCAAACGACTTCACAGGTCTTGGAGGTGGGGAATTAACCCGTTTCAGCTTAATCGACTTGTAGATCGACTTTTCAGCCAAATGATTGGAGCTCAACGAGAGTTGCTCGATGCTGTTCGCAAGGCCCTGATTGGAATAAACCTTGGGTTTGAAATCGTCTGTGGTAGGCTCTGAAGAGACAACCGACGAAGCGTCACTTCCAACAATTGTGCTGCCGCTCCCGTTGTTCAAAGAGGTTTGGATCACTTTCAAGGGATCATAATCAGGAGGGGTGAGCAGCTTCGCTATTTCCAAATGCCCACGCAAACAGGCATGCTCCATTGGTGACCAACCACTTTGATCTTGGTTGTCATACTTAGCTCCGTGATCCTTCAAAGAGCGAACAATGGCCTCAAGACCTTCAACAGCTGCCACAAAAATAGGCGTCCAGCCAAAAGAGAGCTCGCCAATCTCGGTGTTTGCTCCTTCAGAGAGCAAAAAATCAAGAGCATTTTTTATATTGAGTTTGGCAGCAATGTAAAGAGCTGTTTCGTGAGTATCGGGATCCACAAAGTCAATATCAACATTGCGCGAAAGCAACAATCCAAGGATTTCGGGAGAGTTCAATCTGGCTGAGAGGAGAAGCAGATCTGGACAAGTCAAACCCACGTTTGGAGCCATGGAAGTAAGAAGAACTTCTGTTGTCAACGGATGAGTTCCCAGAACAGCAAGATGAAGAGGAGTCAGAACCTCCGAATCACCCCAGACCTTCGTGTCGTCTATTGAAATGGCATCATTCCAAAGGTTCCATTTCTTCAAATAGGTGAGGATGATACTGGTAACCTCCTTGAGACCATATTGAGCAGCATAATGCAGCGGTGTGCGCTTGTAATTGTCCTTTTGCAGAATCGCAAACTTGAGATGAGGAGGAAGGTTTTCAAATATGTAAAGCAACCCCTTGGAAGAGTCGTTTGAGTTGATTCCATCCGGCCCAAAAGCGCCAACCAGTCTGAGATTAGCATCTGGAGGTGTTGCGGGAGTAATAGTGTACTGACTTTCCTTAGAAAGCTGGTTCATGAGCTCCTGAGTCTTGACGTACTGTTTTCCTAAAGCAACAACATGGTGGTGGAAGAAGTTGCGGCCTGAAATGTCCGACGAATCAGACAAAACAGGCACAATATCCAGCAGTGTATCGATACAACGATAACTAGGGACCAGTGCTGCCTTATTGAGAATGGAAATCAGTAATTTCAAAGGTGCAAGAACCGGAGACATGTATTCCTTGATAAGTTCCGAATTTAAGCCTGCAGCATCATCAACCTGTAAAAATGGCATGTATTTATCGGTCGAACCAGATCCCTTCTGAGTCACGGGAGGTGTCAGACTGTGTGTAGAGCCCTCAACGTTTTTGACACTGGAAGCAGAACTAAGAACCTCCTCTTTCAAATCTTGAAGATCAGCCTTTGGACCCAATTGAGTCAAAAATTCGTTGATTGAAGCCAAACTTTTAAGAATATCCGATTCATTTGCAAATGGCAATGCGGAAATCCGAGCCTCAAAGAATGTCTCCTGACTGTTAGTGCCAGTTTTCTTATCCAGCTTCTTCAAAATCTTGGTAAACCCCCTCTTATTCAACTCCCCAAACCACTTCAGGTTCCGAAAACAGTTTCTCAGTTCCAACAGTGCCCCGACAAGTTCCTCTGCATCCTCATCGTCGATTGCTCCTGTCTTTATTCCCAATATCGACGAGAGTTTCTTCAAACGCCGGTCGTATTCGGCATACTGCTTATTATAGAAGTCATCCACCCGCTCAATATTGCGATCAAGCGCATAGAAGAATGCAGCCAAAGACGATTTCACTTCCTGGTCGTTGATAGTGTCGAGTTCCGGGGTTTCAAGCAGCAATTCCTCTTGTCTCTTGTTGATGGCCTTGATCAGCTTCTTTAACGCCTTGTAGTTCATATAGGAATGACTCCATTCCGGCACCTGGTGGCTCGCAAAAGTCTTTCCAAACTTCATCTCAGGCGCAAAAAAATAGAGCAGTTAAAAAACGTTCAAAAAAACAAACAACAGCAGTCTTGTTGTGGCTTCATAAAGCACACCTGTTCGATAAGATGGGTGAATAACACCTAACAACAATGGCAATAACAGCCTCGATACGGAATTTTTAGCACTGACAAATCACTTTGCAGTCAAGGCAATATTGCCGTTGTCCTTTCTAGAAAGAAGAATCTTCCAAGAAGAGAGTGTATCGTTCACTCGACAAACTACCGCTCGTCATGTTCGGTAAGCACTGCAAATTTCTTATCCGATGGCACGGGGTGATAACCCCTGTTATCGGGATTCCTGGAGCTTCCACGTGGATGACACGGAAGCTCGTGGGTTAGAGATTAGCGCGGTATGGGTGTTGCAGAAAAGGTCTGGAACATCAGATTATAAGTGAATGGTCTTGAGTGAGTGGAATAAATTGCAAGGATGGCAATCACTGGAAAGAGGGCTTGAACCAATGGCTTTATGGAAACTTGTTCTTTCAGGACAATCCACGCGGAAACGCCGTTTGGCACCGCCACTGGAATGCTGCACTGCCGTTACACTGCCACGGCTGAGGACCTTCCCCGCCTCATCGGTTTCCGCATTTGGTATGAATCTCAATTTTTTATTGTCTAACTACGATAATCACCGTTAATCGTCACATACTCGTGCGAAAAATCACAGGTCCAGAACTGAGCTTCCTGGCCACCACCAGTGCCGAGCTGAACAAGGATTTCCAGATCCTCAGCTTCTAAGATCTCAGATGCTCTGGCCTCGTCAACGTTCTCAGGTTCTCCATCAACCAACAGCTTAAGCTCAGCAGAACCGTCAGTGGGGATGAAAGAGACGCTCGTCTTGGTGGGCTCAACTTCAACTCCGGCATAGCCTGTGGCACAGAGAATGCGGCCCCAGTTGGCGTCTTTTCCGTACATGGCGGTTTTGAACAGTGCAGAGTTGGCAATAGAAGCAGCAACGGCCCTGGCATCTGCATAGGAAAGAGCATCTTCCACACGCAAAGTGATAAATTTGGTAGCACCCTCACCATCTCTAACAACCAGCTGCGACAGCTGCTGCGAGAAGGCGGTGATTTCGTGCTTCAGAATTTCATAAGATGGAGAGTCTTCAGTAATCTCGTTTCCACCAGCAGCTCCATTGGCAAGAGCGGAAATGGTGTCATTAGTGGACATATCTCCATCAACAGAGATACAGTTGAAAGAATGATCAACTGCATGTGTGAGGATGGACTTTAGAGCAGCTGGAGCCACAGGAGCATCTGTGACAAAGAATCCAAGCAAAGTGGCCATGTTGGGACAGATCATGCCTGCTCCCTTGGCCAAACCTGCAAGCGAATATTGAACACCATCGATTTCAAAACTCTTAGATACCAACTTTGGAAAGGTATCAGTGGTCATGATACCTTTGGCACAGGTCAGCCAATGGTCGTGGTCGGATCCTAGCAAACCGGGAGTTTGGCCGAGCTTGTCGATTCCAGGCAAGATCTTGTCCATTTGGAGTCTCTGACCAATTACACCAGTGGACATCACAAGAGTGGATGCTGTTGCACTTCCACTAAGCTTGTCGACCTGAGCAACCATGGAACGGGCATCTTTGAGTCCTCCTTCTCCAGTCACAGCATTTGCACATCCACTGTTGATCACCACTCCGTTGATTCCTTCGCCGCCACATTGATCCAAAACTTGTCTGGATACAACCACAGGTGCGGCCTTGTACTTGTTAGTTGTGAAAACAGCAGCAGCGGATGCCGGTTTCTCGGAAAGCAGCAATGCCAAATCAAGCGTGGAGTTCTTCTTGACTCCAGAAGCGAGAGCGCCAACATTGAACCCCTTCGGATATGAACCTGAGGTAGGAACAAACCTAGACTTATCAGCGGCCATTTTGGCAGTGCTGGACGAGAAAAAGCGCTTAAGCATGTTGATTCTACGGTTATTCAGAGAGAGGAAAGTGGTTTTGGCCAGTGAAATATTTCACCGTCGAGTCATTACCGCGCCTGAGAATTACCGGATTAGGAGTGGCTGGTTTCATGCGCCACTCAACGCCGCACGTTTCAATAGGGCTTGAATTAGGTGAAGTATAAACAAGTGAGTTATTTGGGCGATCATGAACTGATTTTGAGGGGGGAAAAGAGTCAAATGCAATCATCCACAATGCCAATTGCAATTATTTTCCAGCTTGAAATAACTATTACCAGTTATTTCCGACCATTCTTAAGTTTATTCGTCCCGATTTCCACATCTCTTGGTTTGGTCGTGCGCCCCCCTCAAAAAAATTCTTCCAAATGCCTTGAGAAAAAGGGCCGCTTTAACATCATGAATTGCTCTCTGTTACTTCCATATTTAAACCAATTTGGATCCAATAAACATGTCCGAAAAGAGTATGTGTGACTATGTCCTTTAACCAAGTATTTGCTAATGCGGTGGTGCTGCAAGTCTGGAAACATGGGCGCTCTTCAAACTCGTGTTCCAAAGCGTCTCCACACAACACGTAACATGATGTTCTGCAAACGCCATCAATACGCCTGGTTCTCTGCCAATTTAGTATACTAACTTAACGCAGTCGATAACTCTATCAACAACTCCGACGTTGTCCAAAAATACAAGACCGCAGGTGAGATCTCGGGAAAGGTCCTTGCCCATGTCAAGACTCTCTGTGTTGCTGGAGCCAAGGTCTACGACATCTGTGTTGCCGGTGATGAACTCCTCGACTCCAAGCTTGGTGAAATCTACAACAACAAGAAGACCAGCAAGATCCCAAAGGGAATTGCGTTCCCAACCACCGTCTCCCCCAACGAGGTTACTGCCCATCTCTCGCCCATCAACGCCGACGAGCCCTCCAACATTGAGTTGAAGGCCGGTGATGTTGTCAAGATCGAGCTCGGTGCTCATGTTGATGGTTTTGCCTCCATCGTTGCTGACACCATTGTTGTGGATGCTGCCGGTCCAATTACTGGCCGTGTGGCTGATGTGCTTGCTGCTGCCCACTACGCCTCTGAGGCCGCTATCAGAACCATGGAGCCAGGCAAGAAGAACTGGGATGTCACCAGAGTGGTGGACCAAGTCGCCAAGGCCTACGGCTGTGTTGCCCTTGAGGGAATGCTCTCGCATAACCAGGAACGTAACAAGTTGAACGGACCAAAGGAGATCATCATCAACCCATCCGAGCAGCAGAAGGCCTCTGTGGCTGCTATGAAGTTTGAGGACGCCGAGGTTTACGGTCTTGACATTCTCATCTCCACTGGAGACGGAAAGGTCAAGCAAGGAGAGACCAGAACCACCATCTACAAGTTGACCGGAAACACCTACCAGCTCAAGCTCAAGGCCTCGAGAGCTGTGCTGAACGAGATCAAGGAGAAGGCCTCTGACTTCCCATTCTCCACCAGAAACCTCAATGACCCAACCAAAGGAAGAATGGGTTTGCAGGAGTGTGTCAACCACAACGTGATGAACGCTTACGACGTGATGTACGAGAAGGAGGGTGCCATCATCGCCCAGTTCTACACCACTGTTGCTGTGACCAAGAACGGAAACGTGAAGCTCTCGTCCCCCGACTTCGACATCTCCTCTGTCCAATCCGACAAGAAGATCGAAGACCAAGACATCCTTGACGTGTTGGAGAAGTCCCTCAAGGTCAACAAGAAGAAGGCCAAGAAGGCTGCTGCCGCTGCCTCTGCCTAAAAATACGTCCCTTAATGTAAAAAAAGACAAGACAATCTACAAATACAACCTTTCTTCACTTCTTCCGGATCATCTTAAAGATAATCCGCGTCAAATGCACCTTAATGCAACTCTCGGAATAAATTTTCAACCTCTTTTGCATGGTAGTGGAAACCACCAAACACGCTTCTTGGACCAGATTTCGCGGGAGCGCTCTTGTTGTAGATTTATACTTTGTTCTTTCTCGTAACTCGGTGAATATTTGCGCTTTCACGCTGATCTTTGTGGTATTTGGGAGCTGAGAACTGGAATTGGCTGCCAGTGCGCGTTTGTGTGAATTTGTACTCCTTGAAAACGTGTCTGGGGCTAGCAGAATGGTTGCAGCCGCTGTCGAGCCGGGAACGCCGATGTCGAAACACGCAGAATCGCTCCAGGGGAGTGAAAATGGCAACAAGTCGCTAGGAAGAATGCTGCTGAAGAAAGCATTGCAAGATGAGGTTGACGTGCCAGTTTCAGATGGCACAGACATGGATATTGACGATTCTATTGAGGAAACAAACGGAAAGTCACTTTTGCGCAAAACACAGGAGCTCGCTACCTCCAGCCAATCATGCGATGTGCCGTCCGAACCGCCTAAGAAACAGCAGCGTCTCGATTTTTTCAGTACTGCTTCAGAGAGCGATTTGAAGGAGAGCGACGTCTCGTCACCTATAACGATCGACCCTCCAACCCCCGAAGAACCACAACTGACCAAGCGTCCGAGTCGAAGAGCAGGCAAAGAAATTGCCAGCTACAATATCAAAGCCATGTTCAAGAAGACGATGCACCCAGAAGAATGGGAACTGGCCTCGCCGGTGCCGTCTGTGACAGGGTATCCGTTGGAGACACCGCCACCTTTGAAAATTAAAAAGAAGGCTCTTTGGCCAAATAAGAAGCTGGTGATTGCGCGCAAACCCAAATCAACCTCTCCAGTGACCCTTAAGTCAGAAGGGGCTTCTGAAGATATTTCTACTCGCGAGAGTTCGATTGAGCCGGACGAATCTGTGATTGCTGACGAAGCAGAAAACTCTCACGAGAACGCCGAGAGAAGGTATCGTTCGAAGCTCAATACTCAAGACTCTGATGCGTTGACTAAGATCAGCGTTTCTAGACTAGGAACTCACAAAAAACTAAAATCTGTTCCCAGAAAAGGTTTCAAAGAGGCTCAGGAAACGATGCCTGTTGTTCACCACAAGGCCCACCCTCAATCTACCCCTGAGTTGGAAGATCGAATGAAGAAGGTGAAACAATCTCCAAAGAAACATTCGAGGGCCAATGCCTTTGGTTTTGGTCCAACTACCGAGCCAGAACTCGAGATTGAACCAAGAACTCAGCAGAATGCGAATGGGGAAGCCACGAAAGATAACGATGATTTCTGCTCAGCGTGTGGTCATTTGGGTATCTTCCTTTGCTGTGAAGGGTGTCCCCGTTCTTTCCATTTTGTTTGTTGCGATCCTCCTTACGACGAGGGCAATCTTCCAGAGGGGAGTTGGTACTGTCGTGAGTGTCTCGCCAAGAGAAGAGCTCCTCCTAAGCACAACGTTGGAATTTTCTCCAAATTGATGAACCAGGCGGAAATCAGAAACCCTGCTTCTTATAGATTGCCCAAGAAGATTAGAGAGCTGTATGAGGGGGTGTCTTCCTCCAAGACAGGAGAGTATCAGGACGAATCCTTCAAGCCGGATAAGGTGGTAAAGCAAGGAAGATTGGAAGAGGCTGATTCAGACGTGTTATACGACAGACAGGGTAATCCGCTAACCTGTTATAGGTGCAAAGAGACTGGAATTCATGGCAAACAGATTGTTCAATGCGAATATTGCTCATTGGCATGGCATCTGGACTGTCTGGATCCTCCTTTGGCTACGGCAAAGACTCTGGGAACCAAGTGGAAATGTCCGAACCACGTTGAAGACCTGGTTGCTCCTAAAAGAAAGATGAAGAAACCAGATGTAGTGGATGTCTCCATGACCAGAGGGTTTCAAAATGATGGCAATGTTGAGATCATCAACACCTCCTTGGAAGAAAGCTCTAGTGAAGATGAGGTGGTCGATTTACCCACTCCTCCTTATTTTGACATCACCACCACCAAGAACGGTGTAAGTGCTCCTCTTAGCGATCAAAATTACAAGATCCTGACCAGTGAGAACGTTGTATATCGCATTCCTGAAAAGGGCATCATTCTTGATTTCCTGGATATCGCAAAAACGAAAAAGCGACATGAGATTGAACAGATCGAGGAACAGAACAGAAGGCTTGTTCCTGATTTACATGGAGACTCGCGTGACTTCATAGATGGAGTTTCGTCATTGAGCAAGAAACCCATGGGATTGAAACTGGATTTTGACGAACTCGTGAGGGTTGCTCTTGGACCAGGCGCGGTTGTTAGCAATAATGACGAAAAGAACATGTTGACCCAGGACGAGATCAACGATTTACTAAAGATCAAGAAATTGATCGAATTCAAAGGTAGAGATAAGATGCTTGAGTTTTTGGGGTAATATCAGACAGCTCTAGTTTTGCAAGGATACATGTTTTTCAACTTGATCTTTTGATTCAACTCTCGTTTAATCTTCATCAGATACCGACATGAACATTATTAAAAAGTGAAAATCACTATATTAGCATTGAGTTTGTAGCATCAGTTTTCGACTTCAGCTTCATCGTCGTCTTCATCAGACACATCTTCCGATTCGTCTCCCGATCCAGCATAGTTCACCTTCTTCGTGGCTCTGGAGCTTCTCCTGGTTGGCTCGGCGACTGACTTCGTCTTCTTTGCCTTGGTCGAAGCCTTGGGCTTAGCCTGTCTCTTCTTCGGCTCCTTGTCTGGTGTCTTTTTGAGAGGAGAGGAAGTCGCCAGAATGGACTCGGCACTTGGCACCGGGGACTCAACTTGCTTGCTAAGCTCTTGCGGCCTGGGATCTGATTTTCTAGTCACTGGAGTCTGGGTTGTTTTGGCTACCTTTGCAGGAGGACCCATAATCCGTTTCTCGGTTCTCTTCTTAGTCGAACTGTGGAGTGAGGTTTTTGCTTTTATGGTTGCAGACAATCTCTTGATGATGGTGTCAGTCAGAAACGAGTATGAAGCAATCGATCTTGCCTCCTCGGTTGACTTCATAGGCAAGAACAAATCAGCAGGCAACTGATATGATCCAGGCCACGTTTGCAACACAATCGATCTGTTGAGTGAATATTCCCTAATGACCAACTGTGAAAGGTCTGAGAGCATATATATCGCCTTAGCATGAACAGTCAACGTTTCAGTCTCGTATGCTTCCTGGTCAACCAGGCCATCTCTGTATTGCTTTATCCGGGTAGCAAGATAGTACAATAGAGAGCAGTTGTTGGGAGAAGCAACTAGATCAAGAAAGTAAACGATGTACTCTAAGGCAAGAGCACATCCTTGGAGTAAATGGTTCGCCTGCTCATCGCCAGGAGTTTCTGCTAACTCGAGAAGATCCAGGAACTCATTGTGATGTGCAACCATATGAAGTAACCGAACAAAGGTCCTTTCGAAGACAGTATCGTTGTGGCTAACTCGTCTATTCATAGTGGCACGAACCCAGGTCATCATTTCCTTCTTTGAGGCTTCATCTGGCTCATATGCAGTGAAGAAAACCAGAGTAAGAAATTTTTCAGGAATGAGGTTACCATTCAAGTACTGTCGTAGCTTCTGTAGGAAAGCCTTCGTGACATGGCTGTTATGATCTTCAATCAGATAAGCCAGCGCGCTCAACGTTTGCGGTTTGATCATATTGCCATAACGATGTGTCTTCGCAAGCTTCAACAATCCCAATCCTGCCGCCAGTCTTAGTCTAACTTGGTATGAAACAGGCGTGGGCCAGGTTGGCGATTTTTGCGACACAATCTCACCCGCATTGTTCACAAACGTGAACAGCATTCTGAAAACAGGTTCAGCAACCACCTTCAGCTTCTCCTCATCGTCCTTCAGCGATCTTAACCTGTTGACAAACACTTTCAGTGCCATGAGCTTTGCTTGAAGGTATGGTTGGTTTCCATTTTCCAGCTCTTCATCGCTCACCCAGCTATTCTCGTCCGATTCGCCTTCCTCACCAACCTTTCCATTCTTCAGAAGAATCTCTTTGATCAACAAATTTGTAAGCTCACTAGCCCTATCCTCTATGCAGTCAGGATATGCCAAGACCACCTCAGATATTGTAGACAAATGAGTAGGGAAGGTCTTCTCATATGTGTCTAAAGGCCAAATTGTATCCAACACATGCTCGAGCTCCCGAATAGGTCTCACTTTCGCCAATATCTTCACTGCGTATTTGGCCTCGTGTGGTGTTCCGTTAGCACAAATCTCCTTCAAAGCAGTAACACTCGAGCCCAGGGAAGAGGTCTTGATATTCTTTGTAGCATTGTACATGATTTTCAAAGTCGGTGCTAGAGACTCTCTGTCTTCCCATTTTGCAATTTCACTAGCTGAGAATTGACTAACGAAATCAGACATTTCGCTGATGTGAGCTTGAATGACCTCAGGCAGAATACTGGACAACTGCTTCAAGAAAGCCTGGGCAGATTGTTTCTGGCTGTTCTGGCTCTCTTTAGCGATCCTGGTCATGACACCAACATTCGACTTATTGGAAAGAAAAAACCCTGCTCTGTAGATGAGAAGCTTCATCGTTTTGACCATGTTCTGAGCAGACACGTTAACAGAGGAGGGACCCACTATCTTAATATTCTTCGGATCGCTTAGTTTGGTGAGAAGTTCCTTGGTGGAGTTTCTAAAAGAATCATAATCATAGTCAGGAGAGGTAATCATGGACAGCAGTCTGAAAAATCGTCTGTTTTTCAATTCAATAAACTGATTCAAACAGTTCGCAGCAACTTGTCGGTCTGGAAATGCGGCTGCGAGCCAGGTGATGGTTTTCTCAATTTTGTCTGAAACACCTTCCTCTTTCATGTCGATAAACATGAGCAGTTGCTGAACAGTATCAGACAACTGTTTCTGTCTTTTTATCACAGCAAAGAATGAGGACTTAGCTCTGTCGCTGAGATGTTCCACCACAGATAGCATCCTTACCACTCTGTTCTCCGGGTTGTTCTCCATTGGAATAATGTCTTCAAATAAGCATATGTCAACTGCAAAATTCACAGCTTTGTCGTTAATGTAAACCAAGTTCAGAATGCTCTCGGGAATCCAACCAATAGTAGCATCCAGCTTGGAGTCACCCTTATAAAGATCATCAAAAGAGTGCGAGTACAACCCTCCAAGTACCTTTATGATCTCGTCTCTGATTTCTGGGTGTTTTTCTCTCACCAATTGACCAAGAGTAGACATCAGAGTCTCATTGGCAACTGACTTCACGAAAACATCTGGGGGAATGGACGATAGTCCTTTGCTCGCTACCAACCGGACTCTTTCATCACTATCAAGAAGAGACTTTGTCAGACCGTTGGTGATCTCTTGTGACGAATCAACTCCGTCCAAAATGATACCCACTGCAGATTTGGCCCATGTTGATCTCACGACGGGCGATACATCCAGAGCCTTTCGCCTCCAGTTTATCAAAGTTTCGTTCTGAACATCCGCATTATTTGGATGCAGAGAGATCATCTTGCCCACTGTCTCTGTCGCTAGTATACGGACACTTTCGTCGTCTGCTTCCAATTCGTTATCAATGAGACCCATCACAGAACTGAGAATGTCTGGAACGTATCTCCAGAGCTCAACGAGCAAAGTGTGAATCTTCTTGAGTTGGTCGTGAGAGTCTGAGGATCCCGAGGAACCAAATTTGTTGGTCCTTTTGCCGTTTTCATCCTCATCCTCGTCATCGCTGTCACCATACTCGTTTTCCTTGCCCTTTATGGACTCGTAGACCACGTCAGACACAAACTTGGTGATGTGTCTTGACAATCTGTCAACGTTTGACTGACAAATAGCCAGCGAAAAGGTGAATCCAGGAATCACTGTGCTCGCAACTATATTCAGCGAGGTCTGGTTCTTCATATGAGTAACTGCGTTGGCCAAAAACTTATTCATTATCAGCTTGAGTACTTTCGTGGGTATGTCTTCAGACTCAGAGATCACCTCCGAAAGCATAGAGCTCACCAGAGGCTCTAATTGGTCGCTGAGTCCATTCGCTGATAAGTCGTAGCACACAACAAATAATGCCTCGATGAGTTTATCGGAAGAAGGCAGGTCTGTAATCAATACAATGGACTTTGATTCCACCAATTTCTCCAGCAATTGGACATAGAGATCTCGGAAAGCTGCATCATTCAAGTGCTTGAGTTGCGAAATGATAAATTTGAATATTTCAGTAAGTTGTGGGGCGTTGTAAGGGGCATCTGGCGCGTAAAGCCTCAAGATATCAGCCAAACAGCATGCCGTGTAAGCTTGAACAGCAAGGTTGGCGTTTTTCAGAAGCTTTCTGTCCAGAATCTTAGTTTTGATAACATCACACGTGTTCACGTCTAACGTATTTGGAGAGGCCGCGGCCAGCTCTGTGTACAGAGACTAAGAGAGTTAGTTGATTCAATCACTGTAAAGTACTTGTTAGTAGATGCTCACCTGTAACCGCGTAACAAGATCCTTCGAACCAATAGGATCTTTTACAGTGGAAACCAGCTCCTGGCTGAATTTCAGCTTTTTCATTCCTTTGGAAACTGCCATTTTGGTTTAAGGCTCGAGTGTGTTGTAGCCCCAGACGCGTCTTGTTCTTTTGACTAACTAAGTTATCTCATCTCTCTTGGTCGTGTATCTCTCATAATGTTTTTGCTGAGGTAATGAACTCCCCGCAAAATCGAACCGTGAAGCACGCCGAGTATTCTTAAGGTCCTATTATCGTTTATATTTCGAACTAACTTGAACTGTTAAGTCTCAGAGTCAGATATTTACCATTAATCAATGTCTCCAGCAAATTACCTCTGAATTTCAACAATCATAGCGTTTGGTGAGCCACTTCGGGTGGGTAGCCTATGGTTTCCGCTTTGGGAAATGACATTGAAAGAATGGCGAAAAGGCAAAGAAATTATCCTCTTCAAACAAGTTTGTTTCTTTCTGTTCTTTCTGTTCTTTCAATGAATAGTGTGCTGCTTTAGAATATCCATGGGATGCAATGGTTTATTAGAATGAGCTGATGCGGTTATATATGAGGTTGTTCAAGACAAAGCCTAAATCTATGATGGCTGAGTCTTGGGCTTGTGACATTTGAGGACCCATGGGGCTCTCTAAGCACTTCAAGAGCTGTCTTTGCGTTCACCGGCTTCTTGAGACACCCCCTCCTCTTCTTCTGCGTCAGATGCAGAGCTATCAATGCTCACTTCACTCGCCTGATCCAACCTTAACTGCTGATTGTGAGCAGACTCCTGGGTAACAGAAACTGATCGCACAGTTTCCGATCTGGAAGCTCTATGTGACTGTTGTTCTTGCTGCTGCTGCTGCTGCTGCTGTTGCTTTTGTTCATCAAACTTGATAACTCTTGGTTGCAGAATCGAATCATTAGCGATGCCAGCCACATCGTCGGACCATTTTGCTGCTCTATGAGTTATGCGAGCATCGGCCAAACGTTTGCTGATGTCGTCAGAATTCCTGCCTCCTCCGAAGCTAAAATGCCGCTTGAAGCTGGGAGCACCTGCGGATTCCAGATCCGAGTTGGTTCTGGCTTGCCGAGTGGTCACCCGTGAGAGCGTCTGGCGAAGAACGCCTCCAAGAGTGTCTTTGTCTGGATTGTAACTGTTCGGTATGTCGGCATTTGCCTCGGTATTAGCCTCAGCAGCTATCTCGTCGTCTATAATGTCGTCAAAATTGGGGTCTACCTCTCCAGTGGCAATGGACTTTTCTCTTTCAAGTGGCTCGCCCATTCCATACACTGGAAATACACCTTTTGGTGATCTGACCTTACGATTAGTTGACTGCGTCGTTGACCGCATCGTCGAACTCGTGTTTGCACGCTCAAGACTATTCCTATTATTTTCAGCGAACATCTGCACAGGATCGTTGTCGTTGCGTCCTTCCTGTGAAAACGAGCTCGTCGAATCAGAATTGGGAGATTCCAATTGGTCCTTCTCTTGCCTTATGGGAACACGAACGACTCTTGAGTCCATGTTGAGTTCAGGCTGTTCATCACGTTGATCCCACTGAGGAAGATTAAGTCTCTTCTGGTCCATCTCGATGACCACCAAATGAAGATACCAAGGTATCGTGATTCCAAAGAAAGCACCACCTACTATGTTGCCAAGGGCAGCGGGAATCATGATCTTCCAGATGTAAGTAGCCACCGAGACAGGAGCATTGTTAAACAGGCCCACAGGACATAGAAACATGTCTGCCACAACGTGGTTGAATCCCATCGAGACGAAGGTGAAGACGGGAAGAATGATCATCAAAAGTTTCACGTGAAGAGGCTTCACCATTAATTGGAGGTATATGGCCAAGGCAACACAAAAGTTGCATGCTATTCCCTTGACAAAAGTTTGTGCAAAGGAAAATTCTGCCTTCTCAACGATAATGTCGATCGAACCTTGAATATAGTTGTCTGTGCTTGCTACACCTGAGGCGTGCATCACCAGCGCAACCACCATGATGGTGGAGGCCAGGTTGAAGAAGAAAGAAACAAACCAGCTGATGAGCAGATCTACTATAGTAACGGCACCTCTCATGAGTCCCACGCTGAAGAAGAGGATATTTGAGTTGAAAAGGTCAACACCCATGATCACCACATTGAAGAGACCTAGTCCATACACCAGTCCTTGCAATAATTGGACTATTCCCAGTTGATCTGATGCTATCAATCCTGGATTTTGGGCCTGGACCATGATGTGAAGCATTCCTCCAACACTGAAAAGTATTCCTCCCATTATCGAGTTGATGATCAGAGTGTCTAATCTCAGCCGCGACTTCTTCATTGCTGTGGCTACCACAGCCAGGGCTGCCTCGTGGGTTGTGATATAGTAGCTATCGTCTACCATGATATGCTTGTTTTGGGAATGGTGATGTCGCCGGTAGTTTGGTTATGATGTGGTTGCAGCTGTGGATCGTCTATGGTAAGTTTGGTGATGTTGCTGTGAGGTCTGCTGCTTGCTAGCTATACTGCTTTTTCCAGTTTGGCTCTTTCAATTCCGCTCTGAAATATCTTCCTGTATTGGCTGCTGATTCCTTTCTTCTCAGGCTGGTAGTCTGGGTGTTTCTGGTGGTCTTCTACCAGTTCTACTACCTCTGCCAGTTTGGCTTGCCCGGGAGTTTGATGATATGCTGCGAATTCGACTAGTACTGAGTGTACTGCAGGGTTCAGTTCCTCTACTTCCAGCCTCAAGTGTTAGTTTCACGCTGGATCTCAATTAGGGTATGCACAGGGTCTTTTCAGGGTGCCTTCCAGGGTGTTTCTAGGGTGCCATGTCTCGGTTCTGTTTTTTTTGGCCCCATTCAGACCGGCCGGCTATTTCAACAATGTGGTGTGCCATCGGCTTAGTTTAGCCATTTCGGGCAAGTCATCTCGTCCCGTTTCTGCCGGCTGATATGATTGGTTTGAAGTTGAAATCGACCGAAGTGTCGCGTTAGGCAATTGAGGTTTGGACTGCGTGCTGACATTGCGCCGAATCGTGAGGAGAGAATGCTGGGGAGATTCTCGTGGTATGGTGTTAATAAACAAGACATTGGCAGACGTGTTGAAAATGACTTACCTCACTGGAGTTTGAAGTGTCAAAATAGTAGTGCTCGGTCCGATTAGTGCCAAAAGAGTCAAGACAGGGTCTTTGGAAATCCAGCCTTACCGGCGCCAGACCAATTGAATGTGAGTAAGTGTTTAGCTCGTTCTTTCCAGTAAATCGGGACTATCAATTACATCATTAAGACGCTTGATCCGTTGATTTTTGCCGTTGTTCGCTGGCCTAAGCCATGGGAATTCTCGAGGTGAGCAACTGTATTGGTTGATACGCGACCCAAGCCTGAGATCACCGGACTAATATCATGAGAATAGTCTCAACGAATATATTAGAGCAGTTACTATAGGATATTACTACATTCAAGGAACTAACAAAGCGGTGTGCTCTTTGTGTGCGATCTTAAATAACCAACCAGGCTGTTCAAACGGTGTTCAGTTCTCATTGCTATATGACCACGCTGTATGACCACGCTCCATTACAAAGAATAATTAAACAGCTTTTGCCCTACAAAAGCATCCACAATCCAAATTAGTCTATCTTTTCCTGTCTATTAGTTTTTGTCCCTATTATCAACCGGTTGTCCTCCCGTCACGTGATCACTGCGAGAACCACTGACCACACCAAGCTCAAAAAACAATTGAAGGGGAAAATGAGATCCTGTCTCATTAACCCAAACGAAACGATGCTCACAAACGGCCAGAACAAAAACGATATCTTGCACGTCGGGATGTACGTCTTCTTTAGGCGTTCAATAAGGTTAGCGCGATCCCACATGGAGTCGAATGTGACGAAAAGTAGCTGAAAACCCGGGTTTCCAATGCCTTGGTCAAGTGAAACGCGTACCACAGTCTTCGCTGATACCTTGAGCAGTAGTTCGATCCAAAACATGGTCAGGACTCCGTTGATCACGCCCCAAACGAAGAACTTGATGTGCTTGTTCAGGTCATATTGTCTTTTGTAGAGCTGATTTATGGACTGGGCCATACACGCAGTTTGTCCTCCCATTAACACGCATCCCAACAGTCTGTGGACATTGCAAATCCGTTCATAGTAGAGGTAGATGAGGTAGACCAGAAAGGCCTGGACTGCTATCGCATACGACCACTTCTCACGCAGAGGGTCGTACGTTTCGTAAATTGAACCCTGAAGCTGATGCTGTTGCTTGAAGACAATCGAATTTTGCCGCGTCCCTAGCAACGCTGGTGCCTGTGATCCTTCATGTTTGTGGTGGAAGGGAAGCTGGAACTCTTTGAGCTCCACGTCTTCAGATCCCATTATGCATCAATTGGTTAGATCAAAGGCTTGTGAGTCTCCAGGCAGCCTTTTGGAGTTGAATTCCCAAAGAAGGGCAATTTTGCACCAGTATCCGATTCTGGTCAGGCGATAACACGTCGGGGAAACAGCTGCGTTTGCCGAGATCTGAAATCTGCTTCTGGATGTTCACACAAAGGACGTGGGAAAACCAACGGCCTATATCAGCAACTTGACACGCTCGCACAGACTTTGCAGATCTTTTATGGTCGCACGAGGGGCACTCGACCAAGAGAGCAGATCCAACTTGGCGAAGAGAGGGACACCTTGAACCCTTCACGTGGGGCCGCTGCGCACGACCTATAGAAAATATGTGCGCTAACCAATTTGGGTTTTGCACGCGTTATCACACGAAGCTTCCAGAAAGACTCAAAGAGGATCTCGTCTACGACTTTTCTGACTGCAAACCTCTCCGCTGGAGCACTAGCAGAAATCGCGCGCAAAGATCATGGTCGTTCATAATCCCAACAACTGGTAAGTTTTGGTACTTGTTTAGGTGGCTGGTGGTGATGTGAGGGTGAATTTTCATAATCCATCATCCCGTAGCCTAGTGACGTTCAGTGTTCTAACTCCTCTTCCGATAGGCACTGGGTAGACAAGAACTGTCTGCCATGGTCCAAGCAGTATCTGGATGAAAAACTGCTGCCTGTTTCCCTGGCCCAGGATGGCTACGACATTCATGTTGTAAGCATCAAGTCTTTGACTGGTGATTGTGATGTCACCCAGAGAAAAGGAAAGATCAGATGTATCTACGATATGAAGCTCGAATTTGAGGTGGAGTACAAAGAAGGTGATGCCACGTCTCTTTTCACTGTCACAATACCGGAACTGTTCCATGACCAGGACGAGGACGAGTATATCTTCAATGTTTCTGGAACGGGTGACTCCGAACATAGGACCAAGGTGACTAAGCTGTTTGTTCCAGTTGTGAGAACCACATTGATGAAATTCCAGCCAGATCTGCTTGCATCTCATGATGAACAACTAAAGCACAGTACGAATCCTAATTAGACCAGACTGAGGAAATTTGTACTTGTACATAATGCACGAGGTCATCTTTTGGTGTAGTATTACATATCGTACATATATGGTGAAAAGTTGGTGCTGCAGGCGAGGAACTTGGTAAAGGTTTGGTAAGACTTTTCGACAAGTTCCTGGATAGCTCTTGAAGTCTTTTGGAACTTTTCACAAGGCATCTTGAAAGGTCTCATGGAGCTTTCTCATCGAAAATCTTTCAACGTCTCAACTACTCCTTCACGAAGTTCATTCTCCCTCTCTTCTGTTCAGAACCAATCAGGAACGCCCTTCGCGTGCTTTCCGTCCCACAACTGCGAAAAAATCCCGATTCCACCTTTGATCTTCTCGTCATCTTTCTCAATCTGAACCCACGCATACTTGTGATCTTGTAGATCTTTCAACGTTCTGAAAGCAGCAACACTGCTGTACGGTATGCCGTTCTTGGGATCGTAGTACTGAGCAGCTTTTCCCGAGATCATACAGCTCTTCTTTTTACCGTTAGGCAAGTAGATTCCCACGGGTGCGGGAGTACGAATCACCACCTCCTGTTCGGTTTCCTCTTCCACATCCTCGACCACCTCTTCGACCTTGATGATTTCACCAAACCGTGGCATTTGGTTCAAAATGAAGTCGAATTCGCGCGCATATAATCGGTCATAAGGCGTAAAAAGTGTCTGAGTGACCTCCTTGGCAGGTTTTATACGAGCAACTGGTTCCACGTGATTGGATCTTCTCGTGGCAGGCAAGATCGCCTGTGGTCCAAAGATGTATTTCTTGATCTCGGTGGTCGAAGGTGGCTCGTCAAAGTCTTCAAAGACGAGGTGACTTACTGCGACAAATTGTGGAGGTCCTTCGTACTGAGGTTTCTCGGCGATCTCTTCTGGTTCTTCGGATTGCTCGCGTGATTGCGAGTCACCTGGTGATTTGGCTGGTTCTGGTTCGACATTGGAAGAGGTAGGCTCAGACTCAGAAGGCTTTTCGAGAGTTTTGTCATTCTCTTCGGAGCTTCCCTCGTCTGCAAACTTCACCTTTTTCGTTTCCCTTTTAGGGCGGCCACTCTTAGTTTCCTGTCTGATTATGGATTGGGGTTCCAGCGGCTTGAGCGGTTCATCAGGCATCTCAACATCATCAGCTGTTTCGTTTGGTACTGACTCAGTGGTCTCTGTAGCTGCAACAGTATCTGCGTCAATCATCTCAACGTCTTCATGGATCTGTTCGGAGGTCTGTTCTGCGTCTTGAGGCTCTGCTTCGGACACTTCCCTAACCTCTGACTCTGGAATTTCCGAAGATCCAGCGTCTTCTATCTTCACATCAATATCACATGGTTTCTCGAGTTGTTGCTCATCTGTTCCGGTTCCCGATTTGGCCAGTTCATCTTCAGGTGTCTGTTGAGCTTCCGAATCAGGCTTAACGTCAGCCGCAGTATCACCTTCTTTCTTTTCTTCCATGAGAGTAGAGGTGTCATCTATTTTGGCTGTGGCATCACTCTCCTTCTTTTCATCACCATCTTTCTTCTCCTCGGCCTTCTCTTCGGTCTTCTCCTCGGCCTTCTCCACCTTCCGTTTCTTATATCTCCGACTCTTCTTCTCCTTGGCTAACTCGATATTTCTCAGTCTCTGTATCTCATTGGCCTCATCCATGGGAGTCACATAAACGCCATGAGATATGAAACTCACGTAGTTCACCATTCTCAGCTTCTTGGCCGCGGCCAGCGCGCGCTGTCGCTCTTTCTTCTCGCCTTCTTGTTCGTAGAATTGGGTTAACGAGAGAATGTTTTTCTTTTCTGTCTCCACTGCCTCAGCTAGCCTTTCTTCCAGAGTCATTTCGACTTCCGTCACCCGTTCAACTGGCTTGAAGTTGGCCCTTCTAGCTTCACTCTCCTTGAGTCTTTGTGCAGTAGCTAGCTTATTCTCAACAGCAGAAGCACGGGTTGAAGATCTTCGAGATTTCGACAAAAGTGACTCAGCACTCTCCTTTTTCCGCTTGAGGGTCTGCTTCTCCTTCTTTTGGGTGACTTGAGGTGTCTTTTTGATGATAGGTGCAACTTCTCTGGCTTTTTTCTGTTGGGCTTTCTTCTTCAGCCGTACTTGTCTTTGGAGCTCTTTTTCGCCTTCATCCTCATCCTCATCAGCATCATCATCCTCTGACTCAGAGGAAAGCATTTCGTCCGGATTGACATCGTTGTCTCCTTCTTCTTGGTCTTGTTCTGCTCCATTCTCACCATCATCATCTCCTTCCTCTTCCTCTTCGTCTCCAGACCCATCTTCATCATCAGTCCTCTCTTCAACAAATTCATTATCATCTGGGTCTTCTTGGAACAACAGGTTTACGTTTTCGTCGTCCTCAGTGGCAAATTTATCGTTTCGCTGCTCCTCATGAAGTTCTTCAAGCTGTAGAAGTTGCCTCAGTCGAGAACCCGCATTTGCACGCCGCTGCCGTGTAGCAATGATACTTTCAAATGGCACATCATCTTCTGACTCGGATGACGACATCTGAAAGCTTTCGTCTTGAAATCAGCGGTTATTGTATCGTTGTAGTGATGCTAATGAAGAACGCGCTGGTTGAGATGACCAGGGACAAGACATCTGTGGGTACTCAACGATCCCTCGGAACAAGCCCGAATTTGTCGGGGCAAACCGAAAGTAGGTCAACCTTATTTCCCTAGCAATCGAGACTTTAAAGAATTGTTTTTCGACGCTTTCAGCTAAGTATATGATATCTTCTCTAAAACCCAAACTTGATTTATATTTGGCATTTATATAAGTGCGGAAACACTTCTAGTCTCATTCCTGTATTGTCGGTTCTCGCGAGTCTCCTTCATGATTCCGAGGGTACACCATTGGAAGCTGAGTGCGCCGCACATTTAACTTTGACTGCGCACGTCAAATCCTAGAGTTTTATCACACGAACGAGGCACGAAGCTCTCGTCTGTGAAGTACCCTCAACCCAAAATGTTCTCCAGACTCTCAGTCAAATCCATTAGACCATTGGTCAGTTTCCGCTCTTTGAGCTCGGGGTTAACATCCATATCTCCGGTGGAACAGTCCCACTTCAACCAGCTGGCTTCGTCGTGGTGGGATGTGAATGGACCACAAAGGATTCTCCACAAGATGAACCTGTTACGAATGGACTTCATTACGAACACGATAAAGTCGCATCTAGTACTGAATGACTATAATAACATGGTCAATGTTGCAGAGGAGGAAATCTACATTCCTGGGTTTGATGTAGGTCTGTTGGATGATGCCATTGCTGATAGTGTCTTACAGGACCAGGAAACAAGAAGGCAGGAATTGCTTAGAGGCATGAGGCTTAAATGTCTCGATATTGGCTGTGGTGGTGGAATTTTTAGTGAGAGTATGGCAAGACTTCCTTACGTGGGAAGCGTGAAAGGAATCGATCTTTCAGAAGAGGTTCTTGCTGTTGCTAAGAACCATGCGGCTTTAGACCCAATCCTAGAAAAAAAGCTCTCGTACGACTTGCAAGCAGTCGAGCAGATTGACGAAAGTCTAGAGCAATACGATGTGGTATCCATGTTTGAAATGCTGGAGCATGTGGACTATCCTGCTGAGGTGCTGAAGTCTGCCATCAGATTAGTCAAGCCAGGTGGATGGGTGTTTCTCTCCACCATTAACAGGGATTTTATTTCGTGGTTTACCACCATTGCTATGGGTGAATACGTGTTGAAAATTGTTCCCAAAGGAACTCACACCCACTCGAAATACATCAACGAGAAGGAGATTGAAGAGTGGTTTGACAAGAACCCGGAGTTCGAAGTCAAAGAGAGCAAAGGGTGTGTCTATTTGCCAGCATATGGATGGAAGTTTACGGAAAATGAGCATGTTGGAAATTACTTTATGGCGATAAAGAGGGTGACGAAGTAGAGATAGACTGTTACACTGTATATAGAGAGCTACCAATTCCAAGACTGGTGATGAATTTGTTCCAGCAAGAAAACACTTATTAAGGCTCAAAAAGGTCATCACTAGGCAGCCACTTCTCTCTCCTGATCCTTGATGTGATCCTCTTCGTCCACGAAGGACGGTAGTTGATCATCTGCGCTCAGATATGATGGTAATCCCGAAGCCTCGCCAGCTTCAGTTTCAAAGTTCATCTCCTCTCCCAAAGCATCCAGCTCTGCATCCAGTTCGCTCTCGGAGATGTCGTCTGGGACATCGTAATTCATTGCCAACGAGTCCTGGAGCTCGTTGGACTTGTCTATCAAGTCCAGCATCTCGTCCTGCAAAGCTTCAATCTTGTCGATATTGATTTTGCCATATGTTCTTTTCAGTTCCTTATTGGCTGACTTCATTGCGTCCACTGTTATCATCGTGTTCTTTAAGTTCTCTGTGGTCATCGAGGCCTGTGTCATATTCCAACTCTGCGAATTGAGCTGATCCATCTGGCCCTCAAGCTGTTTCCGCTGTTTTAGCAATTTCATCGCACGCTGCTTCATCGCCTGCTTTCCAGGACCATCCCTCATCTTCGATAGCTTCTGCTGGTACGTGCTCAGTTCCGTGTTGATCTTGGTGAGCTTGACGTCTATAGTGGAGACCCTTTCGTCAATCTGGAGAAGTTAGTAGTGCAACTTTCGGAACCTGATTCGAAATACTTACGCTGCTGATGGCATCATTAAGCGACGGCTTGGGCGCAGTGCTCCTGGTGCCGAATATCCTGTTCATGTTGGTGAGCGGTTTATTGGATTGGACAGTTACGCCTTATCGTTTTAAATCTGTTGCCTCTCCCCCTTGTGGTTGGCAGGAAGTGCGTTGATTAATTTGGGTCCAGGGCCCCGGGTGGGTAGTGCACGAAAGCTTGGGGAACAAGCTTTAGTTGAAAAATCAATAGCTTTGTTCGGATATTGATTTGATATAATTGAGAGGTGGAGAAATATACAGGCGAGCCATGAAGACTGTACGTGGAAGTGTTTTTTTGGTTGCCAGACTCAGTAGCTGTATGGCTATACGGCTAGTGGTATAGTTAGAAGGAGTGAACATAGGCCTGCTCTTTCTAAAGATTTTTCAAATTTGGGATGAATTCGGAAAAGACGGAAGTTTTCGTTCATTCTTTGCATTGAGTTGTAGGCTAAATTGGCACACCGCATCAGATTGTCCATCAAATGATCAAATGTTCTACCCCAATATAGTTAAAAATTTATCCCAAGCTGAGACTGGAAATGCATTCTGTACTTTCCATAGTACACCTTCAGTGCGGCTCAAGCCAGCCATTCCCATTCCAATGCAAACCCCGAAACACATGACTGATTTTTTCAAAGTGGTCACACACATAATTTGCACGCATTCCATTATCCGCAAACACCATAAATACATCTACAAAAATTTCCGTTCGAGCCGCAGCGGTGGAGTCATCGCCCAAAGTCCGTGCCCCTCCCACGGCGTAGCCTACTTAGAGTGTCCAGCTGGTAGAATCGCAGTTCAAAAAGGGAAGTGGTCTATATAAATATATATATATATATATATGTATGTCTCTATATTGACCAATTAATCTTTCCCTTGAAATCATCTCTCTTTTTTCAATTTAAAAGCATTTAATCATCCAAAATCATTAACTCTGACCGAGACTGATTCACCGGTTGAGTAAACGCTTATTAAGCTGATTAAGTCATATGAATTACTCGAGAAAGCGATGCCCATTTCAACCTCACACTTCTCTACTCTTCCAACAAAGAGAACTCCAGCAATAATGTCGCTTTTTACGCCTATTGATGAAGCTTTGGAAGCCTACAGTGAGTATTATTGCCATATGGTAGTTTTGTGGGTTTTTTGGTAGAAAATCCACGAGGTATATCGAGTCATTGGAAGGGCCCCATCACTAACAGTGTCATTTAGAAAATGGAGAATTTCTCATAGTCATGGACGATGAAGATCGTGAAAATGAGGGCGATCTCATAATTGCTGCGGAAAAAGTAACCAGTGACAAAATGGCCTTCCTGGTGCGCCATTCTTCGGGATATGTGTGTGCTCCCCTTTCCACGGAGCGTGCGGATGCCCTGGAGCTTCCATACATGATCCCCAATCAGACGGACAGACACGGGACTGCGTACACGGTGACGGTGGATTACGAGGACGGTACCACTACCGGAATTTCAGCCCATGACAGGGCCTTGACAGTGACAAAGCTAGCGGATCCCACAAGCAAGCCTCTGGACTTTATGAGACCGGGCCACATTTGTCCTCTTCGTGCAAGAGAAGGACTTCTGAGAACGAGAAGGGGACATACGGAAGCGTCGGTTCAGCTTTGTGAGCTTACAGGACAGCAGCCTGCAGCTGCTATCTGCGAGCTAGTGAAGGACGATGATGGGTTGATGATGAGACTGGACGACTGTTTGAAGTTTGGAAAGAAGCACGGGATTAAGATCATTAACATCGACCAGATTATTGAGGTGATGGACAGGAAAACAAAATAGAGAGAAAAAAACATTTGAAAACAGGTCACAGATTGAAAAACTCCAAAAAAGTACTCTCCATGGTGTCCTTGCATCATCTAGTTGTAGCTTCAGTTTAACTCATCGGTATTAAATATATTACTACCAAAAATTCACATTCTATCAACAGGAGTAATTCCCAACAACAATAGACCGTTGCTGAGGGTTTGACGAACACAGGCGAACAGCGTGAGACGGGCCAACATCACGTCATGCTCCTCTCCAACAACTCTCAACACTTTGTAGGTGGACGAGAACTGGTGGGCCAGTTTGAACAGGTAGGTCACCACAGTGGATGGCTCGCTATTCTTAGAGGCAAATCTAAGACTGTCTGGATATTGCGACAACACCTTGACCAGGTAAGACACCTTTTGCTTTCTGTATTCGTAGGCTTCCAGTTCTTTGGCGTACTCTTCGGCTGGGAAGTCCGACTCCTTGGGCTCGTTTCCAAGGATAACAGCCAAGTCCATCTTCGCATTGAGGTACTCCTCTTCTGGAATACCAGCCAGTCTCTCAATAGACTTGAGACGAGAATGGGCATACTGCAAGTATGGACCAGTATCACCTTCAAACGACAGCATTCTGTCCCAGCTGAATTCGTAGTTATACACACGCTTGGCACTCATGTCCTGAATCATAACGGCAGCAATACCGATGAGATCGGCCACGTTCTCGGCATCCTCCACCTGGGCATACTTGTCCTCGTTTCTCTTCATGATCTCCAGCATTTTCTCCTTGGTGGTGTTGAGGATATCGTTGAGGAAAACAACGGTTCCGGCTCTCGTAGACATTCCAAGCACCATACCGAAGTTCACGTGCAAAAGCTGCTCCTTCTTGGGGTTTGCCCATTCGTATCCCATCAGATCAAGGATCTTGAAGAACTGCTTCACATGCAGGTCTTGCTGAGACGCAATCACGTAGATCATCTTGTCAAAGTTATATTTGGCCTTACGGTCGGTGGCAGCTCCGATATCACGCGTAAGATACAGGGAAGTTCCGTCGGTCTTCTGAACCAACACCTTGCCCAGTTTCTTGTCGAAAGGAGCCAAGTCAACCAGCAAAGCACCACGGTCTTCAGTAATCAAGCCCTTCTCTCTGAGAGTTTTGGTTGCACCCTCCATAAGCTCTTGAGGGACCTGGGACTCACCGGAATAGCTGTCAAACTTGATGTTCAAACGAGCATAGGTATCAATGTAACGCTCAATCGAAAGATCTCTAAATTTGGCCCACAATTTGTATGCATCTTGGTCTCCGTCAGACAATTTCTTGAAAAAGGCTCTGGCCTGTTCATCAATAGAATCGGCCTCGGCAACACCAGCCTCCTTCTCGGCCTTGATGTCGTTGTTGATAGCGACGTATACCTGGAACAGATGGTCAATAGGATCATCAGCAAGCTTCTCCTCGGAACCATACTTGGCAAATCCAACTGCCAAAACACCGAACTGTTTTCCCCAGTCACCGAGATAGTTCAATCTGACCACATCCCATCCCAGCTTCTCGTACAAGTTGGAGAGGAAACCACCGATAATTGTGGAACGCAAGTGACCAGCGTGGAATGGCTTGGCAATGTTTGGCGACGAGAACTCAACGATAATTTTCTTTCCAACTCCAATAGGTGCAGAACCATATTGGGCCCCCTTGTCAAGAATCTCCTTGGTCACGAGCGACAGCAGCATCTGGTCATCAAACCAAAACTGTAAGAATTTCCCCTGAGGAACCACCTTGGAGAGATAGCCCCCCAAAGGAAAATCACTAGCGATCTTCTCGGCAAGGGCATTCAAATCTCCTTTGAGTCTCAGTCTTGGAAGGGCGACCAACAAATCACCCTTGTCAAGCGTAGTAGACCATTCCAACGCTGGAAACACAATTTTGGCATCAACACCGGTGAGCTCCGCTAAGTGCTTGGTGATGTAATTACGGCCAAGATCAACAATGTTTCCGTCAGGATATGAGCCCTCCACAGCGGGTGGGACTTCCAGGTTCAGTTTCTGTAGACTGGCGGTAACTTGGCCAACGGATGTACTCATCGCTCTTTGATATCTTTTTGAAGAGAAAGAATAAATAGAAATGGGTGCTCGATAGAGTGGTAAATGTGTGAAAAAGACTGCTTTTAGTCCTCTTTTTAACATCAACTTACCCTGTCTGGTACGAGTGTCTTGTAATCAAATATCGAGACAAATTGTGATTCATATTCTTGAATTTTTCTTGCTTGCAGATGGGGGACTCTTACTGACACGACTCCAAAAAGGCAGAATTTTTCACCTGTAGTTCCCAGACGGTATTGAATGCGACTTCAAAGGAGTTGTTCTTCTGTTTGCTGAATTATTTTTGCTTTCATTTTGTCATGAAGTTGATACGATACTTTACAACTTCTCACTCTGTGCGAAGAGCCAGACGTTCGAAGGGGCCAATGCCCTCGTTTGAAGAGGTATGATATAGCTAATGGAGATGTGGTGGGGATTGGCTGAATTATGGGACTAACATGTTTTCGGTTCATATTTATGAATTCGGTCAAGTCATTTTACAGAAAGGTCCTGAGGACCGCATATAGTGAGTGTTGAGAGCTTTTTTAGCGTTCAGCCTTCTTGGGCGGCCAGGCCCAATGGGTTTGCCAATTCTTGACTAACCCTCTTGCAGAGGTTGAAGACCCTTCGATGAGATCCAGTCTTCTTGAGTACGCCAAAGGAGAATTCAAATCCCACAAAGCTGTCCAGGATTTAGACCGAAGGAAGTACTTGCTGGCTACTGGCAAAAACCATTTCAGAGACACCTGCAAACAGTTTCAGCTACAATGGGACTTTGTTTCTGAGGATATGTAACGAGCTTAGCCATTTTAATGATGTATATACAATGATCAACGTTTGACCCAGGTTGGCGACTTTCTGGCCTTGACCTTACCAGGCTTCTTTCTTTCAACGTGCCTGCTGTCTCTCGTAAGACAGTCACCGGCTCTTAGTCTTTTTTTCAGCAATGGGTTGTGGACGATGATTCCTCTCGCAATTCCAAGAGCTGTAGCATCAGCCTGGCCGGTGACTCCTCCTCCTCTAACCTTGACGAAAATGTTGTATTTCCCTTCGCTTTCGACAACCTTGAGTGGGTGTAACACTTTGGAGCGGTCGTTCACCTTGGGGAAGTACTCGTTGAGAGGCCTTCCGTTGATAATAATCTTGCCCTCTCCTTCAACGAGGTAACACTTGGCACTGGCGGTCTTCCTTCTGCCCACAGTGACAGACCTTCCAAAGTGGTCCAGTTCTTTTTGGAGTGGAACCACCTTGGAGTCGTCCTTCTTCCTTCTGAACGGCTCGATGGCTTTCAGCAATTCTCCGGACTGTAGCTGTGGATCAATGGCAGCTAACCGGATCAGCTGTCTCACTAATTTGTCATGTTGCAACAAGGACAAGGTACCACTCTGGTCAACAATCGAGAGGTACTGTTCGTATGTGAGCCATTCACTCTTCGAAGAGGAAGCCATGTCAAAAGGAAGCGAAATGTATTTTCTCAGCAACACATTGAGCTTTTCAACAAATTCCTCGTGCATCGGGTTACCGGAATAGTAGTTTGGCGACTGTGGCACTATTCTTGTTCTTTCCAACTCAGGGATCTGAAAGGCTCCCAGCGAGGGCTGGTACTGTGGTAGAGAGTGTAGCACCTTTGGCGTGTTGTAAGCTCTCCTCCTCGAAATGGCACTGACTCTGGCCGTTGTTGAAAACAGCCTAGAGGTAACCCATGCTAGTCTATTCATGGTTGTGGAGCCGGCGGTGTGGTACTGGTGTGTTGGATTTTTCAGTCGAACAAGACAAAGATGTCGAACAAGTTCGTCAGAAAATGACCGGTAGTACACGACCTCGGCTAAAGTTGCCTACCATGATGGAGAGTATAGCATGGGTTTGGATTGTCTACATCCCCAGAAATACCGGAAGACATATATATATATATTAATTTTGAGTACTCACAAACATAACGGATAACATAGACTTTAACCCCTAAGTTGAAGCCCAAAGTCCAGTCAAGGTGCGGACGAGACCAGTCTCAAGTCTCAAGCGATACACCAACTCACCCTACGATCTGGTCAACTCCAACAGTTCTGCCTCGTCAAGATCGGATAATTCGTCATCAGCAGGATCCTGTACTGTTTCACCTCTCTGGAACTTTTGTATCTCCTCCGTCAACACGTTGTTTCTTCGCGTGACCATGTAGAGATCTTGCGGGCTGATGGTTTTCCTCTTGGCATGTCTGAAGGGTTAGTACACTAGTCACTCCAGTAGAAGCGGGCAAACAAGCTCAAATAACACGAATAATTTCAACTCACTTTGCAAACGACTCCAGGTCTTCTCCAAGCGATACTGTTTTCGTTAGCATACAGTCAACACGGTCTATAACCTCTTGATACTTACGTGCCTGGTTGTACACCAATTCCACCATTCCGGCGACAAAAGTGTCGGAGGCTGTAATTTCCTCTTCGTGGTCAGAATTTGTGTTCAACAGCGCAACTTCGTGTTCCACCATCTTGGAAACGTTGTACCATAATGCAGCCTTGAGGTTCTGCGAGTGGGTCAGTAAAACACGAACACCTTGAACGGGAAACAAATTTAAGTTTGATCCTGAAACTTACACCAGCTATTTCCTTTTCCTTCGGGGTCATATTCTTCATTTCAGCGTTTGAGTGGTAATAATGATTGGCATCAAAGTGGTACAAGCATAAGCATAGGCATCGCGTCAGGATGTGGAGCCTCGTTAAGTATGGCACGCTAACTATGGGGAATTAACTATGCCCCATCCCCCCACTTCAAACCTTGTCTTGTATTCTTCCGTCTAATCGCCCAAGCCGGCCTATTTCTTTCCGAAAATGACCTCATTGGTTCCTCCAGAATCAATTAAACCGTTTCTGGACTCGTATTTGCCGCAGCCAAAACCAAACGGTCTGCCTTTTGTTACACTAACTTATGCCCAGTCGCTGGACTCGAGGATCTCCGTAGCCAAAGGGAAACAAACGGTTATCTCCCATCTGGAGACCAAGAGCATGACTCATTATATCAGGCATTTCCACGAGGCTATTTTAGTTGGAATTGGTACTGTTCTTGCAGATGACCCTAAATTGGATTGCAGATACTTTGAAAAGGCATCCAAGAAACATCCCATAAGGCCAATCATCCTTGACCCGGACTTCAAGATGAGATCCCTTTATAACTCATCCACAATGAAAAAGGTGAATGCGCAAAAACCAATTATTTTTATTGGAGATCACGTGGTAATAGACGAGGTTATTGAGCTGGCTGTTGTTCCCCTTCCTTTGGTGAATGGCCAGATGCGTTGGATGGATATCCTCAAGGCTTTACAGGGAATGAGGATCAAGTCCGTGATGGTTGAAGGAGGAGCTAAGGTTATCAATGATCTGTTGGTGTATGAGTATGAGGGCAAACACGTGGTTGATAGTCTGATTGTGACGATTGGGTCTACATTTCTGGGGTCTCAGGGTGTTGAGGTGAGTCCCAGTCGGGGTCTTGAGCTGAAAGACGTAAGCTGGTGGACTGGTGAACGGGATGGGGTAATGGCTGCAAGAATTGGGTAGATTTTCGCCAAATATGGTTAGTCTGGACTGATCAGTTGAACCTACCCTCAAGCTGACAATTGGCCAGCCCTGCAAATAGACTTGACCTACGATCAAAAGCTGCAGATAAAAGAGTATTATTATTTTTGTTGGTTCTTTTTTTCAGCTATAGACATATTCTATAACTTGCGTAACGACCAGATGTCTCGGATCTTCTAATGATTTTCACAACCTGGCCGCGCTTGAGCCCAAGGTATCTAGCAACAGGGTCTTCTCTCTGGATTCTGGGCAACTGAGACTCCTTCAACCTGTATCTTGTGAGCAGCTCCTTCTTCTCCTCGGTGGAGAGCCTTATATGTTTAGGCACCAGTTCGTGGTGGGTGATGTTGACGACGATGTCGGACTCCTGGAACAGCTCCACAGTTGCTGGCTCGGCCGCAATAATTGCCTTGGTTGCAGCTGGGGTCAAATTGTTCTGATAAATAAACAACCCTGTTGAGAAGTTCTTTTCGATCAAATGCGCGCAGAAGTTCTTCATGGTGTTTACTCCCACACCTGGCTCGTCACAAAACTCGACCCACATCGAGCCCAACTCGGGGTATTTTTCCAAAGACTCCGCGGTGGGGTTTGCCTGAAACGACATCAGCTTCCTCTGTGGTCTGCTCATGCTGTCGCAGATTTTGGCTCTAAATTCATCCAGGGTCTGATCTATCTCCTCTTGGGTGATGAAATACCCTCTGTCTCTGACCATCTCCTTGATGGTTCTGTAGGCTCTCCACAAACGAGACACTTCTCTGTCAGTTTCTTCCATGTTGATGCTGGATTTATTTGGTAAAAGTACAGTGGCCTCGAAATTTATTCGTTCCTGGTGATGATGTCTCGTGTGAAGGAGCTTGACCAGGTTCAAAGTGAAAATTTCCAGGTGCCTACTTTTCTGAGTTTTACACGCCCTTGACATTTTACGATTATGTTAGATGGTGATGATAAATGCTATTTCATTTACGACGATTATTACCATTTGAACCGTTTATTTCCTGTATACAGTCAGAGATAAAGGAACCTGTGACTACTCAGAACCTTCCTATTTCGTCTTGTTCCTTCACCCTTCTACCCTTAACCCGTTCATGCCTCTTTTTCCCTTTTGATCCTGTACACCAGCTCCACATCACCACTGTTCTTCCATATTCTCGCCTTGACCGTCGAAAGTGTCATAGTCAGAGGGAGTAACTCACCCTTACATGAGATTTGGAGCCATTCCTCCGGCCGTTTGCCCTCGCTGACAGCCGGGTCGAATCTTTCCACGATAAAGCCCAGTATTTTCTTCACCCGCAGCATGTTATAGGCAGTTAGCCTTGTGGCCGCTCCCTTGGCCTCGGGCAAATCTTTATCGTCTGGATCGGGTAAAAGTACAAATCCCACTTTCACGAGATCACGGGTTGGGTATTTGTTCAGTAAAATGGCATTTCCCACCCAATCAGGCAAGAAGTCTTCTAGCTTGCCATAGAGAGAAGGATCATTTTTCCGGAGTCCCAAAGCCGTCTGAAAAATCTCAACTCTTGAATTCCCTGTGCTTTCGGTGATCAGTAGGGTTAGCTGCTCTGGCAAGTTCAGATATGGAACCTCTGAGTCCGGTGCGGAAACTAGACTAGTGCTCTCGAAACTCTCGTATCTGTTCCGGATAGATGTAATCAGACTCTTTGTGTCGGTTATACTCTCCTCGGAATCACGGCGGGCTCCATTGGTTGACTGAGAAGCCAAAGAAGTGCTCGTCACATTTGCAGGGGTAGGTGTTGAGATGTCATTTGATTTCTGCCTACTGAAGAAGTTCCGCTTTTTCGTCTTCTCCTCGGCATCCGACTTTGGCAGACTGACTTCACTGGCAACAGAGGTGGTTCTTGGTTTTCTGGGCTGAGGTAGGCCTTTTTTGGTTTCACGGAACTTGGCATCTTCAGCAAGCTCGTATTTGACAAAGTCGTGGAGAAGAGACTTGAGAACCACTTTTCCGATGTTGAACCTCAAGGATTCGTCCTCTTCCTCCGTTGGCTTGTAATGGCAATCTGGATAATTTTTTAATACTTCATCTGCGTATATTTCCGTGTTGATGAAAGCGCTTTCCGATAAAGAGATAAACAGCTTTCCAGACATCACCTGGACCTTACACCAAATGGGCAGCGTCTCAAAGGTCTGATGCTGCTGGATGATGATGTCAAACTCGTCATCTGAACTGCATTCATAGGTGGTATCCAAAGCTTTACACTGTATGATATCCCATAATCTGATTTTTCCTGCCGAATCCATGGTCATGACATGTCTTCTATCGTTTAGTAATCTAGCCTTGATCAGACCATTGTACCCTATGATCTCGTTGATTGGGTACTCGTTGAAAGGAACGAGTCTGATCGAATTTGGAGGAAACGTCTCATAGAGAATCTCAAGTTTGTTCTTTCGATTTTTAACGGACAATAGGTTAGTCTCGTCGTCGTCATCACTGATTGAAGGGGACGAAGCAGCATCCAAGATAAACTCGGAGGAAGCACCTCCACTCGAAGACAGAAAATAGGTCAAAAATGACGAATCTTCCACCAGAATTCCATCGATGTTTTTGAGATGATCATAGCCCTTGGTATCGTGGGAAAGTTGGCTCACAAGATCAAACAACTCGTCTCCATTGCCGTCAATACTCTCAATCTCGTTCTCATTCTTCTTAAGTAGTGCCATGTTCTTGCTGAACTTGATACCCTGGTATAACACCAACTTGTTTGTCAATGGAATACTCCAACTGGAGATGAAACAATTGTCTTTTCCCTGGACAGATTTCGACTTTCCAGCAGAAGAAGTCCAAACGCGATTGTCACCAACCGCTATGGACAACACTCCACACTCAGAGTTGGGCATCTGCGACACCAAAGTGGTAATTCCTAAGTTCTCATTCATCTTGTTGTGGAAAAACGTAGCGTTGGAGCCCAACTCGTCGGCCATGTCATAATTGCAATTGAGCAGGTCGGTTTTCAGCAAACATCCACTGGTGTCACCGGAATAGAACGAGTCAAAACGCTCCTCGTTGCCTCCGTCTGCGTATAGCGATATCACAGAGGAATTGTGAGTGTCAAAGTTCCTCAGGATTCTGTTAGTACGAAGACACCACAGCTTGATAGTAGAGTCCGACGAACCCGACAAGAAATAGTTGTTTTTCAGCGCCAGCGACCTCACATTGTCATGATGTCCCACAAAAGACCTCACTGGTCTCTTCATGTCTCTTGCATCAAAAAGCTTCACCAAGTTGTCCGGACCTCCGCTGATGATGATATCGTTCTTTGCATCCAAAGCGTAGACCGAACCACGATCACCAGAATGGTGATACGAAGAGACCACCGAGGATTTCTGAATATCCCAAACGTTTACCTTCTTATCGAGTCCTCCAGATACCAAGTTATGACCCAAAGCCAGACTTTTCACGTAGTCATCGTGATGCCCCAGAGTGTGGACGGTTTGAGCCTTGGCATTGTAGAGCTTGACCATAAGATCGGACGAACACGTTGCCAAAGTTACATTATCCTTCAGGAGCTTGATATCGTTAATCCAGTTGGTATGGATAGCCATTGAAGTCTTCAGTTGATAATTCGACTGAGAATCCGCAGGCAGAGAGTCTAAGCCCTTCCTGATGTTGTACTCCAGGCTCAGTATTTCATTCTCGTTGTTGGAATTCTGCTTCACAAAATTGTCAATATCCTCAAAGGTGTTGTACTGTGTATCGTACTCATCCAACTGCCTATCTTGAGAGTTGAAGTGGTCTTCGGTAGGACCCCACGAAGCCACAACTCCATCTCGTCCCGCTGAAAAGAGAGTCTTCGAGGAACTTGAGTACACCAGCGAATTGACACCCAGAGAATGGCCGGCATTCTCATGGGCACCGGCCAGTGCATATGTTATTTCCCTCTTGCCTTTATTCCTGGACATTGTTCAAAACCAGCTGGAAGACGGGTGGTTTCCAATCTGCTCAACAGAATCAGGCCAGGAGGGGTAGACATAGGGGGGATGAAAGACAAGTAGTCAGTCACGTGACCATAAGGTAGAGCTTATATAATATATTTCTATGTTCGTTTATTCATTATTTTCCCTCTCCAATTCCCTCCGAATGAGCCTGTCATGGTCCAGTCTGAGTCTCTGAAGTTCCCTGAGCCTCCAGGCTTCGTATTCTTCCTTGTCGTCGGGTAGATCCGTATCGTCTATATCTCCCGTATCCTCTTCAGCTTGCCAGCTATCTTCCAGTTGCCGCTTCTTTTCCTGTTCGGCTTGTAATTTTATACCTTTCTCAATCGCATTCAATGCACGTTCATTCTTGTCAGCCTCTACTGATATGACTGAATGCGATTCGCGCTGTTTCCGGCTAACGAAAACTGGTTTTTGCATGATGACCTCCTCAGAGCTGTCGTCTGAACTATCTTCAGAACTATCTTCAGAACTCTCTTCCGAACTCTCCTCAGAACTTTTCAAAGAGCCGGAGGACCTTCCATCGTCAGCTTGTGCTTCCTGCTCTTGGTTCACCGTTGCCGTCACCCTGGATGGTTCCTCTCGTGCTATCGAGGTTATCTCTTTAACCTGTATACCCACATCAGGCCGAACACCTTTCTCCTCTTCTTCACTGCTATCACTATCGCTCTCTTGGGTGGCATTGGCCCTACCAGCAAAATATCTCTTTGCCGACATGAACTACCAGCTTTTTCAGTTATATCTTGTAGAAACCCGCGTAAGTAAACATCGTGCTTCTTGGATTAATACGGTCGTGCGCGGTCTGAAATATTTCAAGTGCCAAAAAAAATTTGTAAAGATTTCACATAGAGCTAAGATTATAGCTCCTCTTCTACAAGACGCTACAAATACTTTTTTCTCGCGCAAAATGTCCGCTATTTTCAAAGCATTGTCAGGCTCATCCAAGCCACAGAGCTCTGAGAAGAAGAGGGTCAACAGACAGAGGGTGCTGTTGATCTCCACTAGAGGTATAACGTACAGGCATCGTCATCTTATCCAGGATCTGGACTCATTGCTGCCGCATTCTAGAAAGGAGCCAAAGCTGGATACCAAGAAGAACCTTTATGAGCTGAATGAGATTGCTGAGTTGTACAACTGTAACAACATCATGTTCTTCGAAGCCAGAAAACACCAGGACCTCTACATGTGGCTCTCGAAGCCTCCAAATGGGCCAACGCTGAAGTTTTTCGTTCAAAATTTGCACACCCTGGACGAGTTAAACTTCACAGGTAACTGTCTTAAAGGTTCGAGACCTATTTTGTCGTTTGACTCTGCGTTTGACGATTCCGACCACTACAAGCTGATGAAGGAGATGTTCATACACACATTTGGAGTTCCTCCACAGGCGAGAAAATCTAAGCCATTCTTCGACCACGTGATGACTTTCAGCATAGTCGACAACAAGGTCTGGGTGAGGAACTACCAGATCAACGAGACCGAGGAGGAGAAGGAAGGAGAGGCCAAGGAGGACAATCTCACTTTGGTGGAGATTGGACCACGTTTCGTTATGACCCTGATTACCATTCTGGAAGGTTCTTTTGGTGGACCCAAGATCTACGAGAACAAGCAGTACGTCTCACCAAACTTTGTGAGAGCGCAGGCTAAGCAGAAGCTGGCGGAACAGGCACAAAGAAGAGCTGAGGACGCTGTCCAGAGGAAGATCAAGAAGAGAGATCAAGTTGTGAAGATCGATCCTCTTGCCAACGGTGTTTTGTTCAAAGAGTGAAAAGCTGTTTAATGGAGCTGATCATGTTGGATAATCTATTGGAGAGGAAGAAACTTCTTCAAGTTTCGGAAGGTCAACTTCGCGAGGTGCACAATCAACTTTTCACCTCAGTCTTCTTACCCTTCAATTCCCATTCTCCTCTTTTTAAATGTACATTTTCTGATCGGAATAAGTTGATTCATATTTTCGTCGTAAACTCTAAACAGTAAAAGGGCTAGTCACAAATCATTTCGCGTGCTTGGCCAAGTATTCCTTGATGAATTTTTCCTCGGCTGGAGAGGAGGCATCAATCTTTGGCTCTGGCTTAGCGCTGGCAGACCATGGCTTTGGGATGACAACCAGAACAACAGAGGCAATAGTCGCAATGGACAACTAGAAGAGTTAGCATGGATGTCGAAAGAAAAGCCGGAGATATTCGGCGAGATCAACCATCAACGAAACTTCGTCGACAACCAGATCAACATACGTAGTGGGCAGGCACGGATTTTCCGAGAATTGTGTAAGCAGACATGACGAAATCCAATTATTATCTATTACAGCCGGACCAGATGATCAATCGCCAATTGTGTAATGTACTTGAAGACTATCTGGAGTTGTCGCTTGTGTTGAAAAGTGTTGAAATTGGCATCTGTGATTGGGCCTCCTCGGGACGCTTGTTGGTTCGGGTACACTACCTGTCATCAGATAACGGGGATCGTGTTGTAGCAGAATAAGTACCACAAACCTCATTTCGCGTGTTGAATCACTATAAAAATGGCCCTTCCATATGATCTGGCCACCATGATCAACAGTCTCCGAGAGACGTGTTCCTCGCTCCCGCATCCCGAAAATGGGTCGTTGAACACTCCGCAGGCCCGTATAATCGAGCCATACATGCTTAATCCGCATCAGAGAATGACCCAGTCGCAACTGAAGAAGCTATACCCTAATTTGAGCAAGGCTGCAAGCAATTCGCCTCCCATCCAGTTTAACGTGTTTGACCTTGTTAAGAATGACGAACCGACACAGATAGAAGAGAAACCGGAAGTTTCCATGGAGTTCACCAAAGGGTCTATCTCCACCATTGAAGAAGGACAATCGCTACAGAGCTCTATACGATCTAAGAAACATGGAATTTTTTCTCGATTGCTCCGGCAGCATACAAAATCTGATTCTTCGGATTTGAGCTTGAGTTCTGGCGACTTGGAAGCAGAGGAAGGTATGGTAGCAGGAAGTGATGACGAAGAGGAAGAGGGCGGTGAGGCTAGGCTTGCGCAATCTGAGAACATAGACGAGGACAACGATTCTGACCAATCTTACGCACAGAATCCGGGGACAATAGAGTCTAATCTGGACTCTGAGTTATCTGATGATTTGGATTCGGACGAGTTTCTGAGTGACTTCGAATATGAGAATGAAGGCATTTCTTCACCTATTTATGATTCGTTCTCATACTCCAAAAAGAAGTCCCTTTCGCTGCGAAAGAAAGGATCTGAAAGTCTCAATATACAATCAAGAAAACACAAATCCAGTTCGACCATCAACGAACCCACACTCATCCGGAATTCGCGATCTTTCACAAATTTCGCAGCTGAGATACCCAGTTTTGGAAAACAGACCGTTTCGAAGCCGGTAGTGAAGTCTAACCTGACTTCCCTAATCACTGCGAAAACAGAGACGCCGTTGGATTACTATTTGCATGTTAGTTCAGACTCTGGACTAGCCATCAGAATCTACCTCAAAGACGACACCTTCAAGGAGTCGGAACTAAACTTGAAGGTAAACCCTAACGCTTCTGTGGTTGAAGTGATAGGATACGCTTTAAGAACGATCCAAACTCTAGATGGCGCCAAATATTCAATACTTTTCAACCCTAATTTCTGGTCGTTATACCTCTGGGATGAAGACGAAGACTCCTACGACGAGTTTGGAATCTTGAGTCGAAAAAGGACAATTTCTTCGTATGGAGCAGATGAGTTCGCACTCGTGAAGTGCGAAAATTATAGAGACAACGAGAAGGAAACGCCTCTTCCGTTTGAGCTCGAAGATGCTGATGATGAACCAAAGTTGGATATCGATGAAGACTATAGGAGACTGTTAGTGTCGATTCCAGACAAATCAGTTCCGTTCTCAGCGATCACTCTCTCGAACAAGCAATCATCCACACTACACAGAAGAGACGCTGAAGACTTGAGGCATGAAGAAATCGAATCGGACGACGGTAGTTTGATTGAGGTCGACGATGACAGTGATGAGGACTTTAACATGCAACCAAAGGCCAAAACTCAGGCTGCCCCCAGACAAAGAAGGCCTCAATTGAGAGTCCATACTGATTTGAAATCCACATTGCATGCAGACGCCAAAACTCCCACCACGGAAGTTTTATCTACTGGTTACCATAGGTGGGATGTGATCAGAAGACACCCGTTTAAGAACAGACAGGAGAGGTCTTTGGCCGTGGACGGAACTCAGATCTACATTTTGCCTTTCTCTGACAACAGGGGCTCTTGGTACGAGAATGCTAAAACCTCCAGTTTTCACGTTTCGCAAATCGTTAAGTGCAAGCGGTCATCGAAGCACCCGTTACTATTCAAGGTGGTGATCTCCAAGAACGGTGGGTTGAAGAGATACGATCTTGAAGCTTCTTCTGCCGCTCAGTGCAAGGATATTGTGAACAAGATCAGCATGACAATGCAGGCATATAAGGCTGGGTTGTCCAATGGGGTTAAGATGTACTGAGAGAGACTGATAATGTTATCATCAGAGAGGTCTGAGGTATCTTGGAGGCATCTTGGAGGCATCGAGATCTCGTCTCTCGCCCTCGAAACTCCATATTTTTGCCCGCAGACTATAGTGTTGTTGTAGTTCTCTCAGTTTTTGTCTCATATATATGTACATTATTATCAAATAAAATATTCCTTCGCAGTGAAATAAATCTCACTATTGACTCGAGGATGGCGTGCGCAGACAGATAGATGCTCAAGCCTAAATTCTAATCCGCTTCAAAAGAGCTTTATCGAAGCTCTGAAACTTTCCCTTGTTCGCGAGACCTGTTCTTCTTCACAGAACAAAAACAATGGAGCTCTCATCCAACTGGAGCAGTTTTCAGCAACAGAACGGGATTTCAAGGCCAAGTAGCGGCCAGAGTAATCCCAATAGCAAGAGAAACAGATATAGAAACAGAAACAAGGTGAAAGAGACTGCTAGTAAGTCTCCACACGTGCCGGTGGTTGACATAGATCACACGAAATTGGGCAAGTATGTTGCCATGGATTGCGAGTTTGTTGGTTGTGGACCGAAGGGCTCCATCTCGATGCTTGGAAGGGTATCTATAGTGAATTATCATGGCCATGTGGTTTTAGATACGTTCGTAAAGCCTCCAGTGAGGGTGACTGACTGGAGGACATGGATCAGCGGGGTTTCTCCGAGAAACATGGCGCATGCCGTGACGTTTAAGGAGGCTCAAGCTATGGTGTTGGAGATACTTGAAGGCAGAGTATTGGTTGGCCATGCCGTGCAGAACGATCTCAAAGTGCTTGAGATACAACTGGATAGAGACCACATCCGTGATACCACCAATTATCCTCCCTTCAAGCACGCTGCCAACACCAAAGTGCCCGGCTTGAGGACTTTGGCAAAGGTTGTGTTAGGAAAGGATATCCAGAAGGGCCAGCATTCTTCTGTGGAGGATGCCCAGATCACGATGGAACTGTTTCGTCTTGAGTTGGCTGGTTGGGAGTGTGAAGTGTCCAGTGAAGAAGAAGATTGATGCTGACTGGAGGGTTTTGACGAATTATTATTTATGTGAAACTTTGAATGAGTGCGACTGGTGTGGGTTGATTGAACAGAAATGATCTGTGGAACTACTAAGAATTATGTAAAACTGGTGTTGATTGCTTGTACGAATCTTTTGATGAATATCCTTTGATGATCCTTATGGTATACTCCCAGATGGCCATCCCTTACATATGCTCATCTTATAAAACAGAATGCTTCTATTGTACATGGCCATGATAATTTATATGTAAAGAAAGAAAACGCGTTCAGCCCACCTCCACATACGAGGACAGAATTCTATCCAGAATTAACTTGATATAATGAGCTCTTGCCAGTTTGTCGCTCACAGATATCATACTTTGGGATTTGGCATCAAACGCGCCGGGGTTGGAGAATTCCATGGACTTGAAACCGGTAAGTTTCAGTTCCTCTAGCTGAGCATCGAATTCGGCTCCGTAGAGGGGCAGCTCTTTGTATTCTGGAGACCTGACCAGAGTGTTCACCACATTCAAACTCGCCTCGACAGCAGACATGGAAGTTGATTGCTCCACTATTCCTCTAACAGTGTACACAGCGGTTGGGTACACCAACCACAGAATCTTGATGTTGTTCGTAGCAACGAATCTCAATAAATGAACGTATCTGCTGGTGAGCAGTTCATCGCTTCTAGGAGAGGTGAAGCAAAGGGTTCCCGTGTATAGTGTTATCAAACCAGCGTCACCTTCGCTTTTCAGGAGATCCAGTAGTACTTTTGGACAGTCGATTCCCTTGGTTAATGTCACCATTTCAGAATGTTCGGGCTCCGTCCCACAAGCTTCAAGAGCCGGCTTGACATCCTCGTTTGAACCTTCCAAAAGGAAATGAAAGATTGTGTAACAGAAGCATGCCAGATCCACAGGCTCATTCTTCGATCGGGCAGCCTTAAGAGCACACTTGTATCTAAGTTTGAAAATGTTTCCTGCAAATTCCACTGAGGCGGTCGATGTAAACGGAATCTTGATCCCCTTGAGAATGACTGACATCATGACGAAGTCGAAAGAACTCTCGGTGACCTCAAATCCGTGGAAGTTTTCGAAGTCTTTAAGATGACGATGGAACATGGTTCTTTGCGACATGAGGTATTCCACAAGCTCCCCATTCTCGGTTGGATCATATTCCAAAAGCTTGCTCAATGCGGCAGACATCAATCTCAATGCAAGTTGATAATACACAACATTATCAATCATCGAGAATGCAAAGCCTAACCAGAAGAACTGAGCCATGAAAGGAGAACATGCTGGAATACCATCAATGACTTTGGCAAAAGAATGCACGCTGCAGATGGATAACGAGTATAACTGATCATTCAGATGATCCTTTCTCTCCAAAATGCTTCGCAACACCTTGGAAATGTACTTCAAGTATTGAATCACAGAGTAGTTATCGATACCTCTCTTTGCGAGATTACCCAGGACCAATAGCGCACGGCCTTGTAGCAGACTGTTATCCAAAAACGCACTTTGAACGGTTTGAGCATTCCAGCGAACCAACCAAAGAGTCTTGTGGGTGCTACTTGTGATCATATCAGGTAGCGAAAAAATCAGGTCGCAAAACGACTCCATAGCAGCGGCCTTCGCAACCATGTCGCTTCCAATGTTCATCAGCATGTCTGCGTGAGAGTCATCACGATTGAGTCCAAATAGCATTTTGAACCGTGCTCCATTCAATACCTCAATAAGGTTCACAATATCAGTGTGATTCTTTGGACTGAGATCTGGTTTAGACAAAAGTGCATGCATGGTCTTAACAGTTAGCCTGTGGAGGGTCTTTCTCAGCTCCAAGGGACCGACATCGAGAAACACGGAAATGATGTAAAAGATATCGCCCAAGTACTTCTCGGCAAAAATCAAAGAATCAAACATCAAGAAGGCCATCAGCTTCACCAGAATTGTGATCTCCATCCAATTGGTGTGCGATTCAACGATGCTGTTGCCTTTGAGAATTTTCATTCTTGATTTCTCGTGAATCCTGGAGACCAGCGACCCAAAAATCTCTAATGTGGAAGCAAGAGGCCATAAAGAAACGATGTCTTCCCAATCGTTGCCCTCGGCTTCGAGATCAATAGCAGCGGTAATGGTTTCATCAATTATCATATCAACCAGATTATCCTCAAGAGAAAGCTGTGCCCATATATACTGAGAAAAAGAGATTTTGATGGCCTCATACTTTCTTGAAGTGGACACAAATTTCTTGATCAGATCAGCAGTTCTCTCTATACCGTACTCCTCATTTGCTCTGAAGACATATTTGTAGATGTTTCTCAACCAAGGAGAGGCATAGTAGACAACGGAAGGCTTGCTCTCAATGGCGCTATGTTCCAGGGCTAAGAAGAAGGAATCTAGAAAGCTGTATGTGAGTTCCGGTTTGTCCAGAGAGAGAGCCTGGGAAATCAAAAACACATAACCATCGTTTCTGGCTGGGAACGAAAGATCAGTAACTGCCTCGACGTGTCTTCCAAAGTCCATGTGGAAAGTCTTCCCGACTGAAAACAGCAGTTTGAAAGAGGATCCACGGATGTCATCATGATGCGAGATTAAGCCAAGGAAGGCAATATTCAGCAAAGCACCGGCGTAAAACTCAACAGATCCTTTGTTTTCAAAATCAACATCAGCCGCTGGAGATCTTTTCGATTTGGAAAAGTAGATCGTCCTCATTATCTCGATTCTTCTTGGAGAACACAAAATAAGTGGCTCCTCATAGCGTTGGTCCACAACAGTGACTTCGTTGGCGACTCCGGTCGTGGTCGTTATATCAACACTCGAGAAATCTTCGATCCGATGAACATCCAACAATTGGAAACTCTTCATACTCTTTCGAGCCTTCACCGTCATTTTAGTGTTGAACAAGACCTGAAGATATTGCGTCCCAATCTTCAAAGTAACAGGGACAAATCTTCCAACAGACTCCTGCCAGTATTTCACATCTGTGAAAGTAACCTTGCAGTCAGATGAGACAGGCGAATGGTACGGAGGCAGACCCAGTTGAGCGTAGACTTTGGGGTCGTCATGAGAGTTAATAAAATAGTACTCTGTTTGGACAAAAAAGCCTGTTTCCTGGGCCGCGGTCATATACTCTTTCAACGAGTGGGAATAGGACTGCGAAACATTGAAGAAGATGTACTTCTCAAGGTTGTTTCTGTACTTCTCAGGGTAGAAAGAAGTCACTAGTTTCATGAGAGTAGCATGAATATTGGAGCTGTGATATCTGGTACAATCCACAAACATGTGGAATTTGGACTCCCAAACTTTGCATAGAAACTGGAAGATACGATAGCATACAACTTGCACATCCATATCTTCTGGAATCTTGTCATAGACCATGATGACCACCGGTGTACCGTCTCTGGTCAGCGTTTCGCTCAGGAAACTTTGATCAGGAGGAAGCTCGGCCTCGTTGGCCGAAAATTTACTCATGAAATCATAAAGATGAGCACCCTGAGGTGAGGTATCATCCCTGATAGAATCTGGAATGCTGAAACCCTTCTGGATCTTAGGCAAACCGATTATGCTTAGCACATGGTCAAGGTTGCTCCAGATATTAATCCTATCGGCGACAGACAACGAGTCTGGTGTTGCAGGATGGAAAAGATTGTATCTGATATCCTCGAAATGATCGTAAAAGAAACGGTGGAAATAGCCGTGCAAATGCAGACTGTATTGGATATCTTCCGATGGCATGACCTGAGTTGTTGTTGCGGTTTCCTGTGAAATTTGGTATAGAAATACTTCCACTTTTTTCTGCAACTGGACCAGCACATCAGTTTGATCCTTTAGCAAAGGCCACTTCAAGGAAGAAAGAGAGTCGTTAGCCATGAGTTGCAAAACACGGGCCAGCTGGATCATCGACCTCTTTACTGCTGGTTCCACAACACGAGCTGCGATATCAGCCCTCTCTGGAGTCACAATTGCCGGACTGAAAAGCCTCAAGAAGACAAATGCACCGACAGCGACAATCTTAGATTCCGGGAATGCTTCGCCTGTGGCAGAGTAGACAGAAGCACAGATCGCTTTTAAACCGGAAGGCATGAATTCCGCAGAATCGCAAATGGCATTAACTAGAGCAGTCAGCAATTCCAAGAAGTTATCTAGATCCTCCTGAGCATTCTCGTCATTCCAGGTCTTCTTTTCAACCTCGAAATGTTTACCGCGTTCGATAATGTTCTGCAATATTGGATACAAAACACGAACAAGGTACTTTCCAGCAGTCGCGTTCGAATAGAGCGCAATCATTCTAGTAGCAACAGTGTTACTTCTCAGAATTTGCACAGAATCAGAAGCCTGCAAGATATCCACTCTCACCAAAAGGCCCATTATGTACTGAGTAAAGCTCTCGTTGTCAGTCATCGAGAGGAAAGCCGCTGCAAGGGTATCGACCTCAGCCATCGGGCAAGACTGAGCTACAGCCACAAACATAGCTGGTGTACTCGAAAATACGTTAAATCCCCTGTTGAGCTCACTCACAACCCTATTGTTCAATTGGCCATATATGTCCAGGTTGTCATGATCCATGATGTTGGCGAGCACGTTGATGAAGGAATAGCGCAGGTAGTGCGACTGTCCATGGTAACACAAAGGGAGTACAAATTTGAGACCAATCCTCACATTTGCCTTGAGCAAATCGATTAACGCCTCAACCACGTGATTTACCAAGATATTGACTCTGTGCTTAGCAGCTGGGCTTTCAGACACATTTTTGGTAGGATCGTTAGCCTTCTCCAGAATTCTCACAAACAAATTTGAGTAATTTCGGAAGGACACTTCAAGAGAGTTGTTGAGATCCTCAGGCTGGAAATTGGCATGAGGAACATCCAGAACCAATCCTCTTAGGCAAAGTGCCAATACTCGAGCAGTTTCGACCGCGAAATCGAAATATAGATGGTCCATATCAGACTGCTTTTTCCTGTCTTCAACCTTTCGAGGCTTTTCTGTTGTTTTCAAATCAAAAACCATAGACCTGGGATTGACTTTTTCCCCTTCATCTTCATTTCTAAAGAAAGAGTCCTCCAGCCAATCAGCCAGTAGTCTTGCTATTTTGTTTCTTCCGGCCAAATCTCCTAAAAACCCAAGTTCGGGTGCCTTAGACATGAACACTCCCGCTAGAAATAAAAACTTGATCCTGGACTTCAAAACGGCGGCCTCCCTTGGCTGGTCATCCAAAGAAATAGACATCGACTTCAAAATCTGGGCGATGTCGTTCTCGTAAGGGTACAAAGCCATCACATCCAGCGACAGAACGTGTTTCATGACCGAGATCAGCAGGTCAAAGAACACAAAGTCCTTCTCGGTCAACAGCTTGGGCATGCCATCAAGATGTGCCTGAATATCCTTTGCCACTAGCGGAACCGCATAGGGGTGAAGACCAACACTCAACACTTCTCTCGCTTTTTCCCTGAGTCTCAAGTCGTCCAGCTTGAGGCTATTAATCTGAAAACTAATGAACCGCTCATACTTGGAAGCTAATTCTTCTCTCTCTGGATGATCCTTGAAACATTGAGAAAGAAACACCCCTCCCCATGAGGCCAAGAACCCAGGATAATCAGCTCCGTAAGTATCGTTGCCCTTCTCGGGCCCAACGGGCGATTTCATCCACCGATCATACATTGTGCGCCAAACATATATGATTGACTGGTTTGGACGTTTCGATTTGGTAAGGTGATCTCTTAGCTTCTTGCGCATTGCAGCTCCACTCGCAGAAATCCGATCCGAAAGAATGGCTCTATACAGATCGATTTCAAATCCCTCGGAGCATTTGCTAGTATGCCAGCTGAACTCGGTTTCGTTGATGAAATACTCAATCCCTTTCCTTGCCATCTTGTAACTGTCGTGACTGTCCACAAAAAGAAGAAGTAGAAAAGACTCCTCCCAAGCCATGAGATATGGGCGGCACTGTCCATTCTTATGAAATCCGTGAGAACTGAGCAATGCCAGTCGAGGGCTCTCAGAGGTGAAAACATCCTTTCTTCTGTCGAAAAACTTCAAAACGAAATCTAGGATTTGATCCCTTTTCAAAACAGAAAGTTCTGTGGTGCTCAATAAATCCATCAGTCCAGATATAATCAGAAAACTTGCGCTGAACTGCTCGCACCCGGCTTTAGGATCGTCTTGAGTACCTGGATCGCCCCAAGTCCGTTTTAGAAATGACATAAGAAACCTGGCTATGTGCGATATTACACGTTCGTCATCGTCCACGAGTAATAGCGAAATCGAACTGAACGCAGACCTCAGCCACAAAACGCTCTGCTCGTTGTGAGTCCCATCTGCATGGAAGAATGGCATGTCAGGGTCGACCAAGAACAGGTGTGGCAGTTTCTCAAAGAAATACAGAAGGTCTACCACAAGATCTTGCATGGTCTGCGATTCGTCGATAGTTCTCTTTGCAAACTTGACAGGGGCATCGTGTTTGTCCATAAGTTGTCCTGACACAGAACTCGTAGAAGCAGTGCCCGAAGTAGCCGAGGCAGAAGATGACGTAGTCGATACATGTTTATGCGCATGAGATGGTGATTTGGGGGAAACTGAAGGAACGTTAGGGCTTAAAGGCGAAGACCCACTGCTGTTTCCTCGGAAAAAGTTCTTTGTCAGCATCTTCGACCTGTATAGGTTTTTGAAGGTAGAAGACTGGTGGTGTGGTTCCGGTGAGGTCGAGTTTGTTACTTGATGACTTCCCGAAGATCCAGAGGCAGAACTGGATGCGTGCGACACTTCCTTTGAGAGTTCATGTTGAGTTTGCTGTGATGAAGACGTCGTCTGTTGGTGAGAAATCTGTTTTGCTGACACGGAAGGTTCTCTGTTTCCGCTGGAAACGGCGGATCTTTTGGATTCTGTGCCGCTGCTAACCACTGAGGGGACACTCTGGTTGGTAGCAGTAAGGACAACATTATTCATTTGCTGTGCCAAAGCCTCCTTCAAGTCCATTACCGAAGATGACGCACCTTGTGAGTCGATAGACTCAGCATCGTTGAGCTCATCTGACCGAATGTGGCGCAAAGCCTCTGCTGTGGAGCATAAAATTTGTCTGTATAATGGCGCTGCCTCTTTCAAATAACTGTAGATATGAGGCAACATGAAGTGGATATCGATGAGAGTACTTACACCTCCACATATAGTTCTTATCAGTCCGATGTGAGTATTTTTGTCTTTGAAAAGTCCCAGCGCCTTCACAGCCGAGTCCTTGGTGTTGAGGCCCGCCAGAGCACAAAAACAGTTGATTCGCAAATTATCAATCAGTTCTGTGTCCACGTCAACAGGATAATAGGCAGGCTGGTCAACCTTAAGATCTTTGTATGCAATTGGTGCGGTATTTCTAGCATAGACTGCGACTGGATGTTCAGGTGCTATAATGGACACAGTACTTCCAACTAGCAAGACCTGAATCAAACCATCACCAGCTTCTGGATACCGCGAGCAAATCAACCGCAATTCACTCACGAATGATGTCTTGTAATCAAATGACTTGGTTTCCACCATTTTCTTGTATTTTTCACCGTAGTTCTCAAAATAGGATGGACATAGGAGCAACATCGTGGCAAAAAACATGGTCACAGACTTGCGGTAAAGGTTTAGATCTGCAGTTTTGAGCACCACATCGAAAAACTCAATGGCAGCCGTAATTGGAGACGAAGATATGGACAGGTATTCCTCTGGGTCAGCCAGCATCCACCTCAGCAGAGTGCGGCACATGAATACCAGTACCAATTGTTGATCAATGGGTCTTTTGGCTGTCTCGTAAACGGTGCGACAATTCCTCAGGTAAACGTGAAGATACGAATCATCAACGAAAGAAACCTCCAAAAGATCCAGATGGGCAACGTAGTCATCAGGCATCGGTATCGCCAGACTCTTTAGCTTAGCCAGCACAAACTCACGATACTGGAGAGGATTTGAACCCGAAAAGTACAGGATTATGTTGTTGCAACAGGCCTCTATGTCTTCAACCAAAGAATCAGTCTCGGACTGAGATGTCCCTCTGTTACGTTTCTGACCCGTGATCCGGGCAATCTCAGCATAAACTATGCCCTTGGATTTGAGATTAGTCACCATAGCCAAAGCCATCTTCACTAGTTCTTCCGATAACTGTGGTGGCCTCACACTGTGGTATCTGTTGGTCTTCATGGCACCGACTCTGCCTCCAAGCGAACCAACGTGATCGCTCAATTGGGAGTCATGGTCCAGCAATAGAGACGCATTGGAGGTCGATAGGTTGTTCCAACGATGGTCTGCTATGTCAGACAAAAGTCTCAATACGATAAAAGTCGACCACAAAGAAGTTTCCGATCGCTTTTTAAGTGGTTCCATCTTGCTTTTCTAAAGAGGGAAGTGTTAGTATTCGGTCTAAACCGAGAAACCGAGAAACGGGAAGTAGGTTCAACTTACCTTGTTGATAGCTTCCAAGACTTGGGTGGTGCAAATAACACAGTCTTCAAACGTGTCTGTGTCTGCCAGAGTCAACAACGCATTGCGTGATTGAATGTAATGTTTATCCATCTGCATTTGCTTGGTATTGAGACCAGAGTTCAATGGCAACAATTGCTCCAGCCGGGTATAAATAGCACCCACAATCGAGTCTCGCGGGCCAACGGTGGGCACCGGTTCTCTCTGAAGTTTTCCCGCCAGCATTTTGGGAGGTTATGATGTTTTGTGCAATACTAGAACAAACGCCTTCTCTATCAACGGAAGGGAAAGGATATATCACACAAACAAAAAGAAAGTCTTCAACTTCACAGATAATAAATTTAAGCGTCCAAGAGGCCAGCGGCTCTAATAGGGCAAGAAATGGCTCGAAAAATCCTTGTTTGGAGAAAATTGGCCACAAGAAGTGGAGAGCACGGATTCAGCCCCCGAGGTTCGTTTGTTGGGGTTTCCAATAAATAGCAGTTACGATATTGGGAGCGCAATAGCCAATATCAAAATGACAGCAAGTGGATTTTTTGGTCGACCTGTCCAACAGAACAAACCTAACGCTGCTGTGTGGAGTATACAATGGAGAGGAAGAAGGGAGGGGGGAATAAGGTCAGTTGGCTTTAGGCGGTAGATTGTGCCAAAACATGGGCCGTTGGGGACGTGTGGGGGCAAATCGGGATTGGAGAGTTGCGCTCTTTCTGGCTGAGTTTTTTATTGAATAAAAATTATTATTGCATGACAGATTGCGGAAAGCATATGGGTTTAATTTAGGAATTTATGGTGTGTTATTTTGTGGTTTGGGCGGCTTTTCGGTCAAGGTTGTGTCATTACTGTGAATGCCAGTCGGTTTGGGAGCGGTAAGAACGGATTTCGAAATGGTTTCTTTTTGTGTTGACGTATCTCCCGTACCGTTTGCGAGAACCCTCGGATTTTGTGAAAAACATATTTAAATATTCTGTAGAAATACTCACATACCAATACAGTATGAATTTCTCTTTATTGCGATCCAATTACATCACATTCTGCTTCTCAAATACCCGTTAATGGCCAACCGTTTCATGAGGGGCACGACTTTGATTTACTCCCACCCAACCCGGCTCGCTTGCTTGTTCTCGGTGTGGGAAACCGTTTTTTCGGGGCTGTGGACTGCGTATGAAGATTACGGCTGAATGTGTGGCGCTGGGCTGGGCGATCTTCGCTTGGTAAATTTTGACTGGTATGGCTTGTGGTTTGTTTGTTGTTTGTTTGCTGTTCCAAAATTGTGTATATTCGGAGCAATTATAATCAGGACGGGCGCTGTTTAGGCGTCTATTGCTTTTTCGGCAATCATGGGGATTCACCGCAATGAGCCGGTGAATAAAGCCGTTTTCGGTCAATTCAGGGGAGCATGTTTCAGAAACTTCGGTATTTCTTTAAATGCTCAAATTTCTACATTTTTATTAGGATTCAAAAATTCGCATTTGATTTGTAGTTTTGATTATAGGTAGATAGAGAAGGGAATCTTTGAACGGTTTCTAGGGTTGCATTTGCATTGGCTGGGGTCGTTATTATTGGCTTTAAGATTACACTCCACCAGAAGCTGGATTTGGAATTAGCTACGGAGGCAACAAGTTTGTGCTCTTGTATAATCTCGGAGGCCATGTGAAACATTCCCTGCCAAAAAACTTAAATTTCATGCAATGGAATTCACTCGCGCCTATATATGTTCTTTCTGCAAGGAAGATCTACTTCTGCCGCACAAGGATTATAATAGGTTGCTACCATTTGCCTCGTGGAAGGGCAAACTACAACTTTTGGTCTCGCTGCAGATAATTTAGGATGCTTCTGCTTTTTATCTGTAACGAGCTACTGATTATTTTTTCGATTCTTCAATAGCCCAGTGGGTGTAGACCTCGGACTCGGTCTATCTGATCTTAACCATCTTGAAACCAAACTGTTTACCCGGTCATAAATGTCGTGTACCGCCTCAGCAGGGTAACCTCTGGGGAATCTTTCACCATCTTGACACTTTAGCACGAGATCACAGGAAGGTGGTACTAGTATTCAGCTAAGCAGTTGAAATGTTCCAATCAAAAGATATTCGTAGTAGCATCAATCACGTATCTACATAAAGATATCCTCTTCTTCGTTTTATCCGAATTTTTCTTTTTTTCCTAATACCTAATTATAACTTTTAATGTAATATTAGAGAGAAACATGGTGGGTTTTATGATTTGGCAGAAGGGGAAAAAGGGCACTTAGAAAGCAAGCTTGGTGAAGAACCACTTGTTCTTACCGCTCTGGTGTCTCTCCTCGAAAGCCTTCTTCAACGCCTTCTTGGCCTCCTCACGCTGGGATGGCTCCTCCAAAGCCTCACCAGAAACGACGCTCTTGAAAGACTCGACGTCAAAGGTGTAACGGGTTGGCATCAAGTGGTTGTAGTTGACAAGCTTGACAAATGGCTTGATCTTGGTTCTCTTGGCAACCTTCTTGGCGCCCATACCCTTGGTCACCTTGAGTGGTTGTCTCTCGACACCGGCAACTATGGCATGTGGGAATGGGTGGGCCTTGGTACCATCGTCGTGTGGTTTCACGATGACAACCTTCTTACCGGCGAAACGGCCACGGACAACAACGGCTATGAAAAGTTAGTAAATTGTGTAAATGAATGGAGGTGGGAGGTTCCAGTTCATGAACAGAGTGACAACACAAAGTCTCAGGCTATTGGTTTTCACAAATGTCGCAAACTTCACCTTGGGTCATGCTGGTTCGCAAACTTCAATCAACAGTGTGAATGCAACGCATAGTTGGTGTTTGAATGATGTTCGTGCAGTGGATTTGACTTGTTTTTCTGCTTGCTTCTGTTTGTTTCTACGTGTTCAGTGTTCTTGCTAGAGCCATTGAATCCGTGGTGAAAAATCTCCTCCGTTCTTCGAAGCACCTCATATCAAACGAAACCTCCCTGATAAACTGTAAAGACGGTACATACCAACTTTGCCTGACTTGATAAACTTAGCCATCTTTGATATATATGTGGTGATAAACTGTTGATCTGTGAAGAGAGTTTTTCAGCTTCTTTTTTTTCTCCAACGGAAGAAAGGGCCCCTCTTCGCACACACCGTAACCCTCTCGCAATGCAAATTTTGTGGGTGGTGCACTTCCTCCGCTTTCAGATTGGGACTGGTTTGTTGGTGCACGATTCAATGTTATTAAGGATGGAGTTTACACTGGGATGGTGAGTAGATATGAGACTGCAAATGTGACTGCGAAATGTTAAACTTGGTGCACTACCTTTGTGATTCGGTTGTACACGTCTGATGGATTAGATAGTGATAAGGAATGAAGAAACTGACGGGACGATCAACCCAGCCGATATTACGCTGAGGGATCAGGTTTTTTGATCATTGTACGGCCCTGGGGATCTATTTATGGAAAATGGCCAATATAAGGACATTACAATTCATTATAGCGCAAAGCTTGGGATCATACAACAGTTGTAGAAAATGCTCTTAACCCTTTTGATGTCTGTAATAACAACTATAATACTTTTGCTCGTTCCTTCAATTTTCACTTCTTCTTCCTGTTTGACCGTGCCAAAAACCGTGAATTCATGCTAGTGACCATGCGTGGAACTCCGCTTCTCTCTACCGGTGATGACGGTCTGCTCGTCTCACTGGCTTTCCAGCTGGATCTCCTGGGCGGCTCCTGAACATGCAAAGAGCCTTGGTTCTGGTTCGAAATAGCCTTGTTGATTGCTGCGGATATAAGAGGAGTATTACTGGAGATCACACGACGCGTGTCCTCTGATTGTTCTGCGTGCCTCGGAGCCGCGCTTTGAGTTTCTGAGGTCTGTCTCATAGTGGACATGAAGTTGTGGCCGTTCTCGGTGCGTTGAGCTTGCTGTGGTGGCCTGCGATGCCTTGTGCGCGTTTTTGGGTCGACCTCAGTCGAGTTGCGAGGTGGTGGTGAGGCTGGTTTGTTGGTCTCCTGAAACAGGTTCTTGAGCGAGTCCTCCCCAAAAATCGGCGAAACTGGAGTCAGCTGAAGTCCAATCAGATCTTCTTCCATACGGGGTGAACCGGGATTCGATGTGATTGCCATGGTGGCAGCCAGAATCGCAGTCTCGTCGCTGCTTAAAATTGTGTCGGAACTAGCCAACTTGCGTTCCAGCTCCGAGATTCGCGACTTTGCCAGGGCATTTGTCCAAACAGAAACCTCCTGTTTCTCGACTTCAAACGCGAATGTCGTCCTGAGCGATTCTATCGCAAAAATTCCTGATATAATTAGGTTTTTCGCCTTTCTGTCGCCTATCACCTCCTTGAAACGGACATGAGTATTGGTAAGATCCACCTCTGCGGTCAGTTGGTACTTCTGCTTACCCTTCTCGTGATTCTGTATGAACATCATCGCACGACCGAGGGTTGTGACTAACATAGTCCGTTGTTTTGCAGTGTTCTCCTGTGGGGTGAGATGATGAACCGAAGCGCCAAAGAACCGCTTCAATTTGTGCGAAGCTTTATCATGAAACTCCTCTTTGGCCGATTCCTCCTTCTCGGTTTCATTGTCGTTTGAATCGTTGAATGTGACGGCATCATCGTCGGCGTCCTCAGCGATTGTGGAAACGTAGTTCGTCAGTGAACTTCCGTTCCCACTGGGTCTGCGAAATCCGGTGTGAGATCCATGAGCAACTTGAGTCAAAAGACTAGTTGACGATGACGAATTCTCACGAGAACGATATCCAAGCGGTGACTCGGCCAATTGACCACGATACTTCTTCTCAAACTGGTCAGTAGTGTACTTGAAGACCTTCACATTTCCTACCTTGAGAACACGCTCGCGTGAATTCTTGAAAAAGCTGGCCCAGGCAAGATCCAAAACACTCATCGGTGCTGGTTCCGCAGTCTGCGCACCTGAGCTTAGGCGTGACTTCGGTTTTGGTGTGCCAGGAGGCTTTTTCTTCGAATTCGAGTTTGAGTTCGAGTTCGAACGGGAACTGGATGAGGACTGAGTAGATATCCGTGTGTTCAATACCGGTCGAGGAATATTTGTTCCGGGGATGTAATCTATCGTTTGTGATGGCTGTGAATAAGGGGTTTTGCGGACTGACAGATCACTCGGAGAAGAAAGCATAATCTCGGCTGGCTTCTTCATGAGCGCTGCAGCTGCTGCTGTAGAGGCGGTTTTGGCTGTAGGCTTTTTCTTGACCGACTGAGCAGTTGTATCAGCTGGCTTTGCAGTAATGGTAGAAGCGGAGGCTGATGATGACGATGAAGCAGTTCCGTTGACTAAAAGAGACGGTGATGAATTGGCTATTGGCTGAAGTGGCAAGCCATAAGAACTCATAACAGACTCCTTGGCGGCAATTGAAGATGAAGAACCGCTCCTGCTGTTTGAACCAAAAGCTTTGGATGCTGGTGGCTTTAAAGATACACTGGACGCGTTTGGAAAGGGCTTGTTGGCCAATTCCGGGATCGGCATCATAGATTTGGCCGAAATCTTGTATGGTGCAATTTCTGGTGGTTTGGAGTTCCATATGGAAGCATGATCATTCCAATCAACCTGGTTATAGAACCAATGCTGTTGAATCCCGCGCAGCGTGATACGGTCTCTCGGTTTCAGTACCAGAATCCGTTTCACCAGATCACGAACGATCATGGGAAATCCGGCAGAAAATGCAAACTGGACCTTACACACCTTTTGAAAAGTCAGGTACTCATTTGTGGCCTTGAAAGGAGGCTTTCCAGCAATCATCTGGTACACGATACATCCGAAAGCCCATATATCGCAGGCCTTCCCACAGTGTTTGTCATTCAGCAGCTCTGGAGAAACGTATTCAGCTGTGCCGACAAAGGAAGTAGCTCTGCAATCCAGAGGATACGATCCGTCCTCTTTTTGGTCGAGCATCTTAGCCGTGCCAAAATCAGTGATTTGGATTCTGCCTTCGGAGTCTATCAAGATGTTCTCTGGTTTCAAATCTCGGTGGATCACGCCGTTGTCGTGCATGTACTTGACGGCATCCACAATTTGTGCTGAATAGTAGCGAACACACTCTTCGTTGAGTGAGCCAAAACGCTTGATAAGCGTCAGAAGCTCGCCATTGGGCGCATAATCAAGCACAAAGTACAGACTGGCTATATCCTGGAACGTATGGAAAAGGTGGATGATTCCATCACGTTTTCCAAGCCGATTGAGAGCGTTCTTTTCGATGTTCACATACTTCACTTTCTTCTCACGAATTATGTGCTTCTTGTCCAGGATTTTCACTGCAAACTGCCGAGCCGTTGTCTTATCGGTGGCTAGAACCACCGTAGAGTATGAGCCCTCGCCCAATTCTTTGCCTAAACGGAAGTCCTTGATTGTCTTGCGCAGGATTCTGGAGGAAACGACTCCGTCATCGTCGATTTCGGCTTTCGACGCCTGTGCGGCGCCTCGGACTTGCCATTCCTCGGCGTTGGGGGGCTGATCCATGTCCATAGCATCACTACCACCATTATAACCCAGCGAAGATGTCGAATCAAGAGGCGAATCCAACGCTGACTCAGATCCGGCCCATTCTAATGACGAGTTGGAGACCACGTTGAGCCGCCTTCCATTCGTTATGGACGTGGGGGCTGTGTACTCCTGCGAATCCAGCGTTGAAGATGATCCCATGGCCTTTTGGTCAAGGCTTCGTCCCAAACTACCATCCTCCTCATCATTGCTGGCATCTGCAACATCGTAGTCTTCGTCGGAAGTGTATTGACTCGAATCATGCTGTGTCTCTGGGTAATCTCCGTAGTCGTCTATGATATCCATTTCGTCTCCCGTGGCCATACTATCGCGCCTTTCGGCATAATTCGGAAGTGACATGTGTGTGTGTCACAGAGATGCAAAAGACCAAAAATCCGATCAAAAATGGGTTAAAACAGCAAAACAGGCCTTGTATCAACGCAAAGCCTACTGTGGGCTGGAGCAACTTCAACGAGACAACCTTGCCAATAAACAGTTCCGGTACCGTGGAAAAAGAATGGTTCTTATGGTAAGACTCTCAGAAAAGTGCTGGCACCTTTCACCCGGACTCTGAAGGCGAGAAAAACCGGAATCACTGGTTGAAACGTGGACTTAGTAGATGCTTCCAAAGGCCCCACGCTGGACTGTGTGGATATCCGTCAAAAGCAGCAAAAAACAATCGACAAGAAAGCGGTCTGTAAGCAACACGGTCCAATTGCAGGTCTGTGGCAAAAGTCAGTCTTTCCTGGCTCGTTTCCAGGATGAATGGTTGGGTTGTTGTAAACTTCAACACCTGGCGTCTGGCCTTGGAACAATAAACGGGGCATACGAATTCCAATTGGGATTTGGTATGGTACACTACCTTTAAGGCTCAGACTTGAAGAAGGCGGTGCATCGGGGTGAGAATGGCTGGTGGCATGTTTGTGATGGAGAAGGATTTTGGGAGAAGTGGCTTATGCCTTGGCCAATGCCCTTTGGTTGCTGGAGTAGTTATTTGGTATGGTATTGACTGGTTTATGCTGATTCTTGTGGGAGGCTCTCGGGGGCGCTGCTGGCACGTGATGTGGTGCAGGACTGAGACGTCATTTTCGGTTACGCACAACCTATGTTGAGCCGCACCATCTGGGGCGGCTGGCCATGAACAGACTACGAAAAGGTAAGTAGATCGTGCTTCTTAGTGATAACATGACAGATACTATGGCTTTCAAAGGAAATTGTTCAAATTCAAAGACCCACTCGTTCGATTTGCATCGCGCTGTCTCAAACTAGCGATGTTTCGATGTAACGTACCCAAGCCACAAGAGCGCCAGGATGCTTGTTTTCTCGAAAATACAAAACCAGCATTCAAAGAATCTGAATAAGCCGTTCTTAATCAGACCAGTTCAGTGTTTTTACAACCAAGTGCTTACAAGAAAGTTGGGATGTCTTCTGCATCCAAGAAGTCCCGCCATTCATACCGTTATTATCCCTTACACGACCTTGAAGGCATTCTGGTTTGATCCACACACTTCCGCCGTATATTCTTAAGCCGCACAATTCTCAACCCGCATGTCGCCGCCAATTCACAACCATGTTGTTCCACACGATTGGCCCATCTCTTCTGGTTTCAAGCGAAACAGACATCTTATGTACTGCACAGTATCACGCCAACCAAAAAACTAGCCCCGAATCGCCCGCGGACTCACCGGTGTCCTCACTGACTCAGCGGCTCGTGGAGCGCGCGAGGTGGAACACCATCGGCACCGGACTTAGAGGCATGTTTGACGGTTGGCATTTCGAAGAGCATGTGGATGATACGAGCACTGGATCGGTGCTGAAGACGCCGTCCCCGTGGCTACACTCGCATAGCAGAATGCGACCGAAAGACAGAGTGGCGCACATGTACCAAAAGTTCAGGAATCTACGACTGAGAGATAGGCCTTGGGCCAGAGACAAGACTTGCGCCAAATCGCCCGAAACCGCCAGTTTGGTGGCTCCCGCTATCGGCATCGGCCCGGTGTGGAGCAGTTCTGGTAGCAGGGCCGACGACCTCGGTTTTGCTGCAAATGCTGACTCGAACACCGAGACATGTCAGACACGAGACAAAAGATAACATCGAAAAAATCTCCAAAGAAGCTGCATTGCCTGGCGCGGCTCCCAAATGATAAAAGCTTCCTCAAGCGCATAAGCCTATAATGGAACCGCGCCGTTGCCTCGGCTCGAATCCCCCCAAAAAGGGAAATGAAGTGACCATTAGGCTGTGCACGACAAATAGAGGAGGTTGACACCGCGGAACAGAGAAACTGAAGACAGGAAGACACCCCGGAATAAACCTCGGAAAGGTTCTTATCGCCGGCGTTTCATTTGATAGTGGTTGGCGTAAAATCGGGGAACAATAGAGATGGTCAGTGATTTAGCACACCAGAGCTACAGATGGAGCAGAAAACATGGCTGGGGAGGATAGGAACGTTTGCTGTATTATCTCCTTGTCTCAAAGCTTGAATTTCACGGAAATATGGGCGATTTGACGTGGCCTTCAGCACACATTCCTCTCCCCAGTTTCGCTATGCTTCAGAATTTCATCCCCGGAATGTGCCCGTAATGCAACCCCCTGCAATATCAGCAATCCACAGGCTTATCGTTCCGACTTTTTTCAAATCCCCCTATCAGCACAGTTTCGCTTGGATCATCGTATTTTTCCCAAGCCATTAAACTTATGGGCGCATGCTGTCAGATCTCCTTTATCCGCGGCAGCAAATGGGAAACTGAGCCGTGCAGAATCAATGGTGTATATATGGGCTACGCTGCCAAACCTGAGTCTAATTATTTAACTATAATAAATTCAACTCAATTTTTTCGCCGAGACCTTTGATCGTCTCAGCAGTACCATCAGATCCTACTTGGGATATTTTTTGGTCTGACCGCCTTAAGTGCTGCCTGAAGTGCTGCTCATTACTGCCTTTCTGTGCTGCCTTCTGCTGAGTGACCCTTGCATATATCTCTCAGCTGAACCTTATTTCAAGGACATTAAGGTTACTAAAACACCACGAAATCTGTTCTGAGAGTTGCTAGCCATTAACCTGGTATCACAAATCCTTTGCACCGCATTATAACCATGGCTGACGTTGAACCGATCAGATCCACGGCGACGGTAATCTCCGTGGACGACTTCAGGGTTCAATCCGTGCTGTCGCACCACTCCAAAAAAATCATAGTCGAACATGACGTTGACTCAGACGAGGCCGTGATCCTTGCTCTCGGTTACAAACAAGAGTTCAAGAGAGAATTTTCGCTATGGACCACTTTCGGAGTCTCTTTCTCGGTGCTGGGTCTGCTGCCCTCCATTGCATCCACCATGTGGTATTCGCTTGGTTATGCGGGTAATGCAGGTTTGACCTGGGCCTGGTTAATTGCCATGATTGGTATTCAATGTGTTGCCAACTCAATGGCTGAATTATCCTCGGCATTCCCTACCAGTGGAGGTCTTTATTACTCCACGGCCCAATTGGCTCCTCCCAAGTGGGCTCCATTCTTCTCGTGGTGTGTGGGTTGGTCCAATTACCTGGTCCAAATTACCGGAGCACCATCTGTAGATTATGGTGGAGCCTGCATGATTCTGGCTTTGAAGACTTTCAATGATCCAGATTTTACTCCAACCAACGGCCAGACGTACCTGCTGACGATGGCTCTGACCACGGTCAATGCCGTGATCTCTTCGATGCCCACCGCGTGGATCGCCAAGTTCAATTCTTTTGGCTCCACTTGTAACTTGATGTTCCTGCTGATCGTCTTTATCATGATCCTGGCCGGAGACAACAGAAGCAGCCAGGGTCTTAGCAAGTTCAACGACAACTCTGCTGCCTGGGGTATCACCAACTTCACTGAGTGGCCCGACGGAATGGCCATTCTCATGTCTTTCATGGCAGTTATCTGGACCATGTCGGGCTATGATTCCCCCTTCCATTTGGCAGAGGAATGCTCCAATGCACAAATTGCAACTCCTCGGGCCATTGTTCTAACGGCCACCACTGGAGGTCTCATTGGCTTCGTCTTCCAACTGGCCATTGCTTATGCCATTGTGGACGTGGATGCTGCTATCAACGACTCTTTGGGACAACCTTTCGTGACCTTTTTGTCTCAATGCTTGGACAAAAAGCTGGTCTACACTGCCACTGCCATGACGATTGTTTCTTCGTTCTGTATGGGTGAGGCCTGTCAGGTAGCAGCCTCTCGTGTGACTTACGCCTATTCTCGTGATGGTTGTTTCCCGCTTTCGCGCTACTGGGCTAAAGTTCACCCAATCACCAAGACTCCGGTAAATGCTGTTTGGTTTAATTGGTTTGTTGGCCAATTGCTGCTCCTGCTTATTTTTGCCGGTGGTTCTGCCATTGATGCCATTTTTTCAGTCGGTGCGCTTGGAGCGTTCATGTCCTTCACATTCCCCATTTTGCTGCGCATTACTTATGCTCGTAACACGTTCAAGCCCGGTCCATGGAACCTGGGACGTTGGTCTATTGTGTCTGGAACCATTGCATGTTCTTTTGTGGTGTTAATGATCCCCATTCTGTGTTTCCCCGAGTACAGAGGTGCTGATAACACACCCGAATGGATGAACTGGACCGTGCTTGTGTACTTTGGACCTATGCTCTTGGCTATTTTGTGGTTTGCTATCGATGCACGCAAGTGGTTTACCGGTCCAAAGACCAATTTGGGTGACCTTCTGGTCGATGGAGAAGAGGCCGAGAACGTCATTGATGGTAAGATCTCGAAGGGTGAGTCTATCAAGTATTCGACTTCTAAGTCTCCTGATCTTGAGAAGAGCTGAGTTGGTGATACTGCGCTATGGGTTTTATATATTCAAGTTTTCTAGTTATATTCATTATTCTTACTGTTGTTGTGAACAGACTTGGAAGTTGTAGAAAGAAATTTTTGGGTGCTCGTTTGAGTTGATCGGATTGGAGATGGAGATAATGAGGCCTTGGAGTGAAATATTATGATTTGGTCGAGATATTTCATTTGCAAATGTTCAATTGTTGTTTTTAATGCTTTGTAGCAGAAATTGCGAAAGATATGGCAATGGTTCTAGTCCTTCGTGGTGGGTAGTGCATGTAGAGTCTCTCCCTCTGAGGTCAAAGCATCCGCAAATATATTATTCTTTTGAAAAGTCTCCAGTTGTATAATCATACCAGCAGATCCGACGATCAGAACAACTCACCTCCACATTTTTTGCCTCATAGGGATATCCCCCTCTGATCAGTCACCTTCTTAAAACATTCAGCTGGGATTCTTCCGTCAACCCCCGGGGTCAAATAAACACCATTCTCACTCCTGTATAGCACAATCCCAGGTAACATTTTCATTTTGTCGATATCCAGAATAATAAGACAATTGCAGCTCTTCCTCAATCCAGAGGCCACCTCTTCGAGCCTCTCCTCACCTTGCCATTTTTCAAGAAGAAACTGCGGGATTCCCGAAGCCAAATGGATGTGATTTCGTTTCATACGGCTGAGACCGGAATCCTGGATCATTTTGAACTTATCGCGATATGTTCCATGGATAAGAATTGAGGGCCAGTCTGCTGGAGCCACAACTTCGAGTCCTACCTCACCAACAGATGCCATGCTATGTCCTTGAAATGCACAAACTGTCACCACGCCATTATCTTCCTTGAGACCGTATCGCTGCTTGGCATCAGCTGCTATCACTCGTCTGACATCCTCCTCCGTTGTTTTGAAGCTGCGTAGAAGGGGATGTGCAAGCAGTTCATTCAACGGCACATAACCTGCTGCATCAATGGTGAGCCCTTCGGCCTCGGCCTGGTGTCTCAATAATCGTGACATCTTCTTGGATATAAGAGTGTTTCTTTTATCTGACATTTTTCAGACTAAAATAGAGCATACATGAGGAAATAAACATAGAGGAAAGGTGTGAACCTAACGCCGCAGTGACTCATGAGTCTGACTCTCATTATTATCAAACTGGTTGTGAGCCCTGTGTATTGGGTTGTGTACTTGTCTGGTAGAGATCTATACCCGAAAGTAGTTGACTTTGAGCATAAATTGGTGAAAATATGGAAATATAGACAAATAATGAAGATTCTGGTGTAGCAGTTTTTGAAAAATACTATGAGTTGAAGTGTAGAGATAGTCGAACTCAAGACTTTAGATAAACCCAAAATGGCATGCAGAAGTGGTGACAATTCTGAAAAATTATGGAATTCTAGTAAATGATGAATAATCTTATTCGAAAGAAGTAAAGGATCAATGAGTAAATCTTCAATAAGTGTAGTCAATGTCTCACAATAAAGGTACTATATAACTCGGCAGCACGTCATTATTCACGCTACACATAGATAACCTCAAACTGAGGACATTTCATGTGCGGCGTTGAACATTATTACCTGATCTGGAACAACCCACTCTAATAAATCACAACTAACGAATAAGATAAAATTGTCCAGAAGTGAAGTTAATCGAATAACATAAAATCCATTATATGCTTGCTTCAGGCTGTGCTTCAATATATTACTCCATTCCATAAAGTACCAGCATATCTGCCAAGGTAGTGCAAAAACCCACATTCTTATCGCGAGATCGTATATCGTTTTGTCTTGTTTTCTTGTCTTGTCTTATCTCGACGACTGGCTGTTCCTTTCTTGTTACAAAACACTTATGAGACACCCGATTTTTCAGTGCTTTCACTGATGTCTTTTATTTCGACTACCAAACAGCGAAGAGCTGTTCGAATTTCGCGTGCTTGCGAGAACTGCAGGGCCCGTAAGGTGAAGGTGAGTAAGGAGTCGAAGTCCGTGATCTGTAATTGTCTCGTTGTCAGTGACCTTAAACATATTATCTTAAAGGCATGCTGACCTCTCAATAAGTTTGCAAATGACCTGGACAATCATAAGATCCATTATCCTATTGTCTCATCCACTAACAAACCATTCTCTCAGTGCTCTGGTGGAGATGTCTGCCGTCATTGTCAGCATTTCGGAGAACGGTGTGTTTTCCGGAAGTTCTACCGTGAAAAACGATCCAGTTCCAGTTCCAGTTCTGTAAATATCAAGACTGAGACGCCACAGACACCACCTCCACAGATTCCGAACTTGAGGCACAGTGGTGATACGCGCATTGAGATCCCGGAATTGATGTCCGTTGGTTTGGCTCCGCATACGTCGAACGTGGAGTATTTTGGCCCCGCGAGCAACTTCAGTTTTGTTAACCAGCTGAACCATTACTTACGACAACTGGCAATTCTGGACCTCAACACTTCTGAGGTAGAGCTTGTTGATGAGCGCCAGGGCCTCGAGCGTTACGGAATGAAGATGATGCAACTCCAGGACCACACCTCCAGCCGGGTCTTTGGAGTTTGCGATATCTCGCTGGCCAAAGCCGTGGATCTTGTAGAAGGCTACTTTGAGACATGGCATGTGCCAATTCCTCTTTTCAAGACTGAAAACGTCATGAAAGAGCTGCGCGAAGTGTGGTTTGCTGCTTATGAGGGAAAAACTGTAGACAAGGCTTTGCTTGCAAAAGTATGTCTCTTACTCTCGATAGGCTCCGGAGCCACGCGGTTTGACTCTGAGTCCCCTGATGACTGTCCAGGACTCGCTCGCGACTTCTACCACCTTGCACGTGAATACATGCCTAAAGGTGTTTCTGAAGTGAGCTACTCAGCTGCAGTTTTGTTGCTGTTGATGTCATTGGCAGAGGCGAACCTTGGCGACACTTCACTTTCATATGTCCATAGCGGCACCGCGGTGCGCACCGCGATCGTCGTTGGACTGCACAAAATTGACATTTCCAAACAGCCAACTGAGGCCAACAAGGAGTGCCATCGAGCTTGGTGCTCGATCTCGCAATGGGACAAATACTGGAGTTTTTGCGTTGGAAAGCCTCCATCAGGACTCGAAGATTATCCTTCCGGACAGATGTATGGCCCCGCATTTGCGTGTGAGAAGGAATGGCCTGAAAACCCGTTTCCTATCCACTATGAACACATGCGCATGCGGGTGTTCTTTGGCGGAATCTGCTCGCGGGTTTACTCCGAGCTTTATGACAAAAACAAGGATTTACTGTCGGTGTTCACATGTGTTGAGATGCTATCCAAAAAAGTTGATAACGAGTATTTCGGCACAGCAGAGCCATACATGTGTGCCTCTGATGTCTCAAAAGCAGCTGACAACCCAATTTACCGGAACCGAGAATGGTTCTGGATTCGCATTTACTATTTGTATTTGAAGCTGGTTATCTTCCGACCATTCCTGGTCTTCTGTGCTTATCTCAAACTGTCCTCTACGGAGACGACCTCGGAGATCCAGCAGCTATTGACGTCAGGATCGGAGAGCAGTGTCAAGGTGGCCATAACGCTCGCGCGTTTTGTTATCGACCTCAACCGTGCTGTGCCGATGCGGCAGCCGATTCTCTTCATTTGCACATACCTCGAGAGTGCATGCACGGTACTGCTTTTTTACGTGGTGAGCCATCTCAAGGAGCTCACTGAGGAGATGTCTCACGAGATCTGGACAATTCTCAACGATACGTGCCAATTTCTTAGAGGCGCAAATGGACCAAACGTTGGTTCTACAAAGCTAATCGCTAATGACGCAATCAAGTCATTGCAGAACATTTTGCTAACAAAACAGTCCACAGGAACTACCTTTTTTGATAGGCTGATGCAACCACTGTTCAACCGCAATGCTGCGGACTCGCCCCTTGGGGCAGTCGTTTCGCCCAATGTAGTTGTTTCGGACACCAAACAACCAAACGATTTCTTTGGACTGAGTACCACCACGCCGCAGGACAGCTGCGATGAGACTGAATCGCCGCGTTCTGTGAAGGCGCCCCCCAGCGATTCGCTTGAAGTGTTTTGGCAACAGACCTTGGACTGGATGTCATATCCCTGAGGGTGTAACGTCTAGTTGAGACAATGCGATGTATTGGAAGGTGAAACGGGTTTCACTGATATGGTCTCTGTATAAACTCTACATTCAATAGAACAATAAGTTACCCTTGAAGGTTCTCTCGTTTCTCCGGAGACCCGGCATCTCTTTCATATATATACAATTTCACCTTCTCAAGCTCTCTTCTCCTTTAAAGTGACATCTCCTCCGCCACAGCACCCACCAGAAGCAGCCGCTTCGTTAGTCAAGGTGTTTTTCGTCTTTTTGATGTCCTCATTATCTCCCAACTCGGTATCCTTGTGGATATGAAGCTGATATTTGTCATCTGCGGTCTTCTCGCCCTGAACGATGTTTCTCCGCAGGAACTCGGACACATCTCTTAAATGTTTGATACGATCCTCTGTCGATCTATCTGGGTTTTCTGGGTCTTTTGCCAACTCAACAGCGCTCCGTATCTGGGCTTTAGCTGCTTTCTGCATCGCCACATCGCCTTTGATAAATAGTTAGTCTTGCACTGAACGCTTTTGGAAACCGCCAAACATACCTTTGAAGGCAAGGGAAACCGCCCTCAACGATTCCCTATAAGCTGATATAGCGGCCTTGGCTGACATTTTTCGCGTGAAATGGAGTGGTTTCGAACATGGTGAGATTAGACTTCCGAAGTTTCTGGCAATTAAAACGGGCCGGGGTTGTTGAACCTGTGAAAAATGGCAGTTGAACACAGAGTGCGCGTGAACATGAGCAGGTATAAAAGAGTGTTTAGCAGTATATATATATATATTCCATGATTGCAAATATCGCCCTTCGTATCCAATCATTTACTAGTATATATCAATGTATAGATGGGCATGCGTGGTTTGTATGTTCCCCTCAACTTCCTTCTTTTTCATTCAAACAGAACAATCTGCTTTCCCTTCTTAGAATTGGTAAGCGCAGTTTGGAATGTCTTTAGAAGCGACTCATCTGAATCTTTCAACTCAAAAAAGTTATCGGAGTTTGGAGTGTCAACGATAGCACCAGTGTCCATCAGCTTGATCACCTCATTGATCGAGTCCTGTCTGGAGTTGGGAATACGCTTGATATTGGCAGTAACCCAGAATCCTTTCACGTTCAAGTTCTTGAAGATCAAAAGACCAGTAGGAATGATCACAGGCTTCATAGACATACCTCCGTAGGTCAGAAGAGTAGCATCGTTTGCAAGCTTGCGGGCCAAGGCTGTACAATTGGAGCCACCTACTGCATTGAGACCCAGTTTGATGGGTGAACCCTTAGTCCACGACTTTATGGTGGCACCAAATTCACGAGACTCGTTCTGTTCCTCAGTGATCACGTGGGTAGCTCCGAGCTCCGTCAACTCGTCAACTAGCTCTTGCAAATTGTCTCTGTTTCTGACAATCGAAATTGAATTCAGCCCCATCTTCTTACCGATCTGAATAGCTGCACGACCAACCTGTGAGTTTCCAGCATTCTGAATGAACCAATCACCTGGTTTCAATGATTCATAATAGTTGAGCATCTGATAGGCCGAACATGGGTTCACGGCTATAGTTGCGGCCTGATTTAAAGACAATTTTTCTTTGGGTAGTTTGAGCATTTTAGAGCTGTCGGCCACAGAGTGAGTTCTCCAAGTTCCATAGTTGACATCGGCAGGTATCACCCAATCACCTTTCGAATAACCCTCGACCCCGGAGCCAACTTCCAGAACCTGGAAAACTCCTTCGTTTCCACCGACTGCAGCGGGTTCGTCTGTTCCAAGATCGGTTGTAAGTGGAGGCTTGGATGGGTATACACCCTGAACCTGGTTAATATCAGAGGGGTTTATGGGCGCGGCAAGATGTTGGAGTAGCAATTGGTTGGTGCCAACCTGAGGCAGTTCGTACGAGTGCACCTTGAGCACATCGATGGGCTCGCCGTACTGTGTGTAAATCAAAGCTCGGGCTCTCAATTGCACCATTGTGGTACTAGAAAAAGCTCTTGTCAAAACCTTTGGAAATAGCATGTTTGATTGAAGTAACAGCAGACTGGACATTTCTCCGCAGGTAAAGGAACTACCGCTAGCAAAGTGGACTACTAATGAGGGGGAGATTGGGCAAGGCACGCCCGGGAGAACGGAGGCTTCGATGAGGCAATATTAGAGCAAATTAGGGTCAATTAGCGATAAGCAAATACTATGGTCCTGAAATAATGTTTTATATTGCTCGACCAGTATAGGAATTATCCTGTTTTTGGCGTGTTTGAACTGGTAAAACTGTGTGCATTACGAGTCGTGTGTAATCCATTTCTGCCACACCCTGTCACCCACCAAACATTGCGGGTGCTTCAACACTGGGCCATTGCACCTCCAAGATGTATAATTGTAATATTTTTTACTTCAAAACAACGTCAACTGCAGTTAATTGATACCATTTTTTTCCGAAACATAACCTCAAAATCACCAAGTTTCTATCCAATTTGACAGCAGCAATGTCACCCGCTTTTTTTCGTGGCTCATCAGTTCTCCCATACACTACCCCAATATTTTCCTCTCTCTAGCGCGTAGATCCACCATTCATCCTTCTTCTCCTCCAGACAAGACCCAAAGTCTCTGTGAGATCCTATAGCCCAGCAAGATGCACTCGGATGAGTCGTCTGTGCCCATCAACATCCGTGGAAAAGGTGGCACTCCGTTAATGGCGGCAACGTCCACACCCCACCATTCACACATACGAACGATAGACTCCAGATCCTCCTCTGTGTCCAGTCTAGGCGTCAGCGAGACTTTCCACGATCTGATCACTAGAAATGCTAAGTTAACTCATCGGACCGATACGGATGCAGGCTTGGAACAGTCAGATTCGGAATCAGACTCCTCTGTTGAGTCTGACACAGGCTACAAACGGTTCTTCGGACTTGGATTCGAACCCCTGTTGCACCAGACTACGCCGATCGAGTCACCAGCACCTTCCTCTAAGCAGAACTCGCCAGCGCTGTTTTGCATGGAGATTGGAGATCCGAACCGGACCCCGAATACACCTTCTGTGAGTCGGTTCTCAGACGCGGATGAATCGTCCTCACCATACCATTCCTTACAATTGACACCTTCTCACGCGGGGAAGCCTCCTTCAGCGACACTGGCATACCCACCAAAATCACCCAGTATCATTTTCAAGAAGCTGATGACGCGAAACTCCGCGATGACCCATTTGAAAAGTCTCAAGAGGATCACTCGTGAGTTACAGAATGAGATATCTCCTTTGGATACTGAGATTCGCCACGAGGCAGTGGTGACGTTTTCCTTCAAGGACGACGACGAGGCTCTTGAACGGGATGATAATCTGAAACGGTATGAAATTGTGAATCGAGCTAACGAAGCCTGGAACCACAGACGAAGCTCTGTAGGAGAGGCACCACCCTCACCAGCAGCGGGAATAACAGGAAGGCTCCAGGAGGTGATTCACGGCGTGAAGAGGAAACAAGCAGAAGATGAGACATTGTCTTCCAAAAGAAGGGCTGTCTCACCGTTGATCACGAGTAGGAGGAACTCCAAACTGATTCAGAATGCGAACGAAGACTTTGAGATGTTGTCGTTGCAATGAAAATTGGAAGATCAGATTGATTGGAATATGAGTCAGCTTGATCAAAACTGTTCATCTCATGCATGCTTTATGACACACGTTTTTACATGCTATTGTGCACCTAGTTTGCTTTTTGTTAGGGTTGGTTGCTTTCAGTTATGGGTATTATATAAGACTACGCGGCTCGCCAGATGGCAGCCATAGTAGACGGAACGGGAAATAGAATTGTATATTTTGATAGTAACGTTTATTATAAAGTACAAGAGCGACAAGTAGCCCTGTTGTGCAGACGTTGAGTTCACCAATCGTCATCATCATCATCATCTTCATCATCACTGTCACGTCTAGCCTTCATCCGAATCGCAGCAGCAAGCCCTCCAGCCAAGGAAGACTCCTCCTGTTTCTTCTGAATTAAAGCCTGGGCCAGTCCATCAGCCAGATGATTGCCGTTTCCATTTGAGTTTCCATTACCATTGGAAGCGGCCTGTGGTGCGGAATAAGCAACTGGAGCTGGGGTTGGAGTTACAGATTCGGAAAATTCAACAACATAAGCTGCCGGGACCCATCCCTCTTTGCCTGTATCCAGAGTCTTTCCGAGCCACCAACCGTTAGTTTCCTTCTTGAGAATATACACAACCTGGTCTTTGGCCACAGGCAACTCAGATGGTGATCCCGAACCAGCAAACTCGTATGCAGCTTTGTACTTTGGATATGCAGGAGCAGCGGCTGGAGGTGGAGGTGGAGGTGGAGGGGGTGTTGGAGTGACACTAGCAGTAGCAGGAGTTGAATGAGACGGCGTAGGTGCTGCTGGCTTTCTCTTTGCTGCTGGAGGGGGAGGAGCCACCTTGGCAGACGAGCTAGCCACGGGCTGTTTAGGAGGAGGCTTCCTGTTAATCTTTCTCTGAGGAGTTGCTTGGGTGTGTGAGTACGCCGCACTTGCTGCAGAAACCGCTTGAGCAGACGCAGAAGGAGCCGCAGAAGAAGCATGTGGCTGTGGTGCAGGCTTTCTGCTAACAGCCGGTGGAGGAGCAGGTCTGGAAGACGTGGCCGCTCTGGAAACAGGTGCCGCTGAAGTATGCGGGGCTGAGTATGTCGCTGTAGAGCTTCTGGCAGCACTGTAAGGTCTGTCAATTCCCTTTGGTCTAGGCTTGGATGTAGACGATGCTGGCAACCCACGTTTCACCTGAACGGTACCAGACTTGTACAAATCAGAGAGCTCGGGAGCAGCCTCATTGATCTGGTACTTGATGGTGTGAGGCTTTCTGGGCTTCTTGTTGTAAACCACAGTGGGGCCGATCTTGATGTTCAAGCTTCTGTTCATGTTTTTGAGATGCGTAATTAGCTCGGTCTTCAAACAAACATTGAAAAATGGATCTGGTTGCGTGTCTCCAGTCAAGTTGAAAGCAATCCAATCATCCTGCAAATTCGACACAGATACTCCAGCAATCTGGTTGACTGGAATCGCAAGTTCCTTCACATACTGGAGCTTTCTCTCCACCACCTGTTCAGCAATCATAAAGAAAGTGGTAGTAGTCAAAATGAAGATCCGTGGAACTCTCGTTGATGATCTACCAAACTTGGCATGCAATGTCTCACCTCGCAGCGAGAAAACAACGAACCCGGTGATATTGGCGGCCCCTAATAAGAACTTGCCGAAACCGGACTTGTCATTACAGTTGAGATAATCACCCATATAAGCTCTATACCCGTTCATGGAAAACCGTCTTCTCTCCTTCTTGTTAATGACAAGTGATGTGCCGTAATCTCTGAGCTTCTCGAACTTGTTTCCGCCTTTGTACTCTCTCCAGGTCTTCTGGATAAGCTTGGCAGACTCCCATCTTTGGAACAGATAGCGACGACAGGCTCTTTGGATTACACGAGCCTTATTGGCCCACCAATTCTCTCTCATCTCCTCCAAACTGAATAGCGTTTCTGGCTTCTTGATGAATACTTTGGTGGTTCCCAGTTGCCATTCACTGGAGGCAATGTTCGCATCCTGCAGAATAACACTAACAGCACTTCTGGCATCACCCTGCCAGACATATTCCCCGGCATAAGATGTCTTGGTAGAAAGAAGGTGGAACCTCTCAGCAAACTTTTCGAACGTTTGACGATACGCAAAACCAGCTCTTCTAATTCTCACGTTTTCCTGCAGACCCAGATACTTAACCTGGTGCAAAACGGCTTTGGTGTCATATTCGCTAGGGGATCTGTTCTGGTTTGGCTTGATGGTTCTGATGTAAGAGGGGGAAGCCTGCGACAAGGTCTCCACCAAGAGATTGGCAGAAGTCTTGATCTTGTCACCTGCAGTTGGAGGTCTTTTCTTCGAGTTGGTGTCCACGGCGTCGGGGAAAAGAGACAACAAAAACTGCTTGGATGAAGTCTTGATCATCTCCAACAGATCCTTGAGCATCTGATCCTTGTTCTTGTCGGTCATATTGTGGAAGTCGTAGGTGACATCACCAGCGTAGTGCTTGATGATGAACTTCTGCTGTCTGAGTTCAAAATGAGGATTGTTGGCAACCATGTTGAGCCTCTGCGCAAATGTCTGGTCAGCAGCATCGGAATCGGCATGGGCAGTAGCACAGGCGTCGTTGAGGGCAGCAAAAATTCCCGGTGGCCTCTTTGCCTCGATCAAATCACACACAATCTTATTGTTGAAGTACTTGATGGGCGTCCATTGGATTTGTTCGCGAACATACTCGTCCTGTTCACTTTTCAAGGTTAGCTCAATGAAAATCTGCTGCAACTTCTCGTTCACGTAGTTGATGCAAAGTTGCTCGAAGGAGTTGTGTTCAAAGATCTCAAACCCGTAGATATCCAAAATACCAATGGACTTGTTGACATGCTGCTGTAGTCCTTTGAGCGAAGCATTTACTCTCTCAACAATCCAGTCGAAGAGGTTGTTGTAGATCCCTTTGGCAAGAGCATCCCTGACAGCAGTGGCCTGAGTCATATTTAAGGGGACGTGGTAGATGGAACCTCTCTTCATACCATGGTTGGTTTCAAGAGTCCTCTCGGTCAAAGACTTACAGAGGATCTGTGAATCCACCTGGAGCAAGTAGGCAACAAAGTCCGTGACACTGGTGTCTCTGATGGTAGAGTTTCCCTCGGCATCTTCGGCAAATGATACATTTCCAATCCACAGAACAGCAGCAAGAAGACTGAAAAGTTCATCCTGCTCTTCCTGAGTCATTCCAATGGTGCGCATAGCCTTGAGAGTGTCCTCGAAGTCTTTGGGGTCGTCGATAGAGCTGACTGAGGTGCATCCAGACGCACTAGTGTAGACATACTGTTCTGGCTGTTGAACACCATAGGTCGTTCTGTAGTTCTCAGAAGCAGCCTTGGTGAATTGGTAGAAAATGTGGAAGTTGCGCTCGTTCTTAATCTGACCCACGACTCTTTGTTTCTCCAGCAGATAATTGGTGATGTGTGCGCTCACCGGCTCGTACAGCTTGTTGAACTGAATCTCGAGGTACTTACCATGCCTGGATGAATTGTCATTTCTCAGTGTCTTTGCACACCCAAAGGACTCTAACAAAGGGTTTGTGGCCAAGACCATATCCTTGATCTGCTGGATAGACGACGATGTTCCACCGGAAACAGCAGCCACATACTGCATGATGCGCTTGGCAGCCTCCGTCTTTCCGGCACCGGACTCACCGGAAATGATTACACACTGGTTCTCGTCATATGCTCTCATGTTGTAATACATTGACTCCGCAATGGCAAAGACATGAGGCGGAACCTCCAGCCTGTTTTTGCCTCTGTAGGACTCTAGAACGGCATCGCTGTAGATCCCGAGGTCCCTGAATGGATTGACTGAAATTAACACATGGCCAATATACGTGTAGATGGTCCCGTTGTGAAAACGCTTTTCCAGATTCTCATTGATCGCCACATCAGAAATGGTGGACAGCAGTGTGAGATCGGAGACTCCCACCTCCTTCTTCTTCGTAGCTTCAAATTGCGCCTTCTTCACGGCGGCCCTTTTGGGGGGCTGCTCATTGGCTGCGTGGGCCTTGTTTCTGCCAGCGCGCTTGGTTATCGCCATCTTTAGGGTGAGATTGATGGGTGGATTGACGGAGCAGCTTAGCCTCGGTAGGGGATCCGAATGAGCCAGCTGGTAAAGCCAGCGGAGTGCAGGGGTAAATTTCAGGGCGTGCCTGAGCGAAAAAGTGGCAGAGGTGGTAGTGCACCAACAACAAAAGCCGGTATATTCACCCGTGTTTAGATGACAGCCCAAACCCGATATGTCCTAAATCACGAACGGTTTCAACTTTACTTCAGCCGTTCTCCACGCACAAGCTGAATATTTACACGCGCGATGTGGGAAGACTACTTTTCCGTTCAGATATTCTTCATTATTCTGCGTGAGACGCTGGAATCTGCCATAATAGTCTCGGTGCTTTTGGCGTTCCTGAAGCAGAATCTCGCGGCCAACAGTGGCGCCACGCAAACGGCTCTTGTGGTTGATTCAAAGAGATACAAGGGTCTCCAACTACAGATCTGGCTAGGGGCGTTTTTGGGACTTTTTGTGTGTCTTGTGATCGGTGGAATTTTTATTGTGACTTTCTACTTATTGGGTTCAGATCTGTGGTCCAAGGCTGAGAGATTATGGGAAGGAATCTTCAGTATATTGTCCTCGGTGGTGATCTCGGTCATGGGATTGGCGCTGCTACGTATCAACCACCTTCAAGCCAAATGGCAGTGGAAATTGGGGCGCGCGCTGCGAAATGGGCCAGAGGCCTTAGAGGCGGAGCCGGATTCAGAGCGTGAAGTACTGCAACTGAGTTCTGGGCAAGTGTCCGGGAGAAAGCACAGACTGAAACAGCTCACTCGGGAATATGCGCTGGCAATTTTGCCATTTATCACAACTTTGAGGGAAGGTCTGGAGGCGGTGGTGTTCATTGGTGGGATTGGAGTCAACCAACCGGCATCGTCATTTCCACTCGCCATTGCAGCTGGAGGCTCCCTGGGGTTCCTCATCGGCTGGACAATGTATCGCGGAGGTAACAAGATGTCGCTGCAGTACTTTTTGATAGCTTCCACGTGCTTTTTGTACATGGTGGCAGCGGGACTGATGTCCAGGGGTGTGTGGTTCTTAGAGCTGGAGCAGTATGTTCGCAGATGCAACGGGCAGGACATGTCTGAAGTTGGTTCTGGGCCTGGTTCGTACGACATTTCAAACTCCGTATGGCATGTGAACTGTTGTAACGGCCTGACTGATGGAGGTTGGATGCTGTTCAACGCGCTAGTGGGCTGGACCAACTCTGCTACATGGGGGTCTGTCATCAGCTATAATCTGTATTGGATTGCCATTATTGTGCTACTGAAAGTCAAGAGATTTGAGGAGAAAAACGGGCATTTGCCTGTGCTTCCCATTCGCTTCCAAACCGCAAGAATCCGCAAGAGACTAATGATCCAAGAGATGTACTTGAAGGATAGGACTGTGGGTGCTGACAACGTACCCGCCAATGATGACGCATATAATGATCTACACAGTACCCTGAGTGAGGAGCAGGAGCATCGGGAAACGGATATGCTGATTGAGTAAAAAAAAAGATACAAATGTGAAAAAAGGGAAACAAACAAAGTCAATTTTTAGGCTTTTTGCAATCTATACTCGAGGAAATGGGAGCAGTGGTTGTGGGAAGTGAGGCTCATGAGAAGGATAGCAAGGAGGGCCGATAGCAATCACTGCTCATAACAAGAAAGTTCTCATAGAACTCGCAGAAGACTCACATAATGGCTCATTACGAATACCTCTGCTATCACTGACTATGGCCGATTTTGCTAGCTGTGCGCTAACTCAAGCATCCAGGTCAAACTTGATCACCCCGTTGGGAGTGAACTCAACACTACCCGTGATGCACGCTATAAGATCATCATCTTTGGTATATGCCCGGGCATATACCACATACTTTCCAGGAGGAACTTGAGCAGGGATCTCGACCTCCTTCGTTATTTCATAGGCACCGGCCTTGACTGGGCATTTCAGATCAACCTCGGAAACCTCCTCGCAGAGATCAAATGTTTGGTGCAATAGCTTGATATACCCGTAACTGACATCGACATCCACGTAGGCACCGTCGTCCACAGTTTCCTTGAGAAATCCAGTACCGGAAATGGTAAGATTGGCGCCTCTTTCTGGGGGGTTGGGAGTCATCACCAACTCCTTCAGTGTAAGCAATTGGGGCTGAGTAGAGTCGCAGATTGAAACGGGGGAACCGCCTGGGACGGGTTTCTCACCTGGTTTTGGCAGGTTGGCGATCTTGAAGGGGTTCTGGAAGGGAAAAGCTAGTGCTGAAGACATCAGCAATGCCGATAGCGCCAGGTCCTTGATGGCAACCATGAGTTAGATGCAAATAGAATAAATCTGGGATATGACAGAAGAAGTTCTTGTGAACAGATGATGATATTGCACAGATATTGGATTGAAATCCTACAACGATTGACCTTTCAAGCTGAAACAGTTTCAAGGACAAACCAGGACTAGCCCCGTTGCTGCCTGTGGCTCAAAATGGTGAGCTGGGGGGAATTGATGTAAACACTACCTATTTCCTATTCCGGCAGAGCCGCATTGATAACGAAAAAAATGAAGGATTGGCAAGCGGTGAGATGTAACAGACATACGGCAGTATATTGCGAATATAGAGGGATATTATAAATTAAAATTATTAAGTAGTGTTGATTATACTCGGCTCAGACAATTTTTTTGTTAAGCTTCATCCTGGCCACCAATAGACAGTAGGCCACTAGTCTGTAGCCCACTATGAGAGCAACCAAAACACCACTGTACACAGCAATGTCACAGTGCATCTTGTACTCATCTAGCACAGCCGAGCCAGTGGTGAGCGAACAAGTTTCTCCGTACTCGCAGGAAAAGTGTTGATCGTCGAAGCCAAGGGTAGCCATCAATTTGACTGCATACATGGTAGGATTGAGCCAATTCCACGCCTGGAAGAAAGAAGGCATGTGAATGGACATAGTTCCGGCCATGAAAATGGCCACGATGGACAGATTTGCCATCACATTGAATGCCAGATCCTCCTGGGTGAAGATGATATTGATAGTAATTCCGAGAGTATCACCTGCGTTTAGCATGGCAAACGAATTGAACACAGTTATGAAGAACATGCCTGCGGTACGGGGAAGTCCAATCACCAAAACGATAAAGATACTGAACAGAATTGATCCCACAATCTCAAAGGGAAGCTCAAGAGCCAGATAGGATACAAAGAAGGAAGTAACACCGTAAATCCCGTCTTCAGACTCCATGTAGAATACATTCCTTGCACCTGGAAAAGCCGTGACGTTGGAGATGAAACCAACGTAGTACAAATTGGCAATTTCTTGAATGAGACCTAGACGATTAGAAATACCATCGTAGGAGCTCTTAAGAGGTGCAAAAAACAAAGAGTGAACCACACAAAGAGCTAGAATTTGGATAAACCTGGTATCGATGATGGTTCTGTTTCTGAAGGTGGTAAGAAAATCTCTTCTGAGAACAGCAGGTAGAGATCTTTTCAGGCCAAACCTCGTTTTTTCTGTATGTTCAAAGTCCTTTAATGTTCCTTCTTTGTATTCTGGGATTTCCTTAGATCTTTGGGATTCCCAGAACGAGATGATACCTTTGACTCTGGCGTCTGCTTCATCAGGAGTTTCATTAGTGCCAATCATTGTGTCTTTTGAGACTATATCCAGAATGTAGTCTGCAAAGTTTGAGTATCTGGGACACTCAAAACCCTGAGACATGAAATACTCGATAATCCCTGTAACTTTACCGTTATAGGCAACTCTTCCACCCTTTGTAAGAAGAACAATCTCTCCAAATTGCTCAAACAACTCATATTTGGGCTGATGAATGGTGAGAATGATGGTCTTATTGAACTCGGTAGCAAGACTGCCCAGCAGCTCCAAAATGGAGGCCGAAGTTGCAGAATCAAGACCACTGGTGGGTTCGTCCAACAGCAACACCTGCGAATCGTCCAAAAGCTGAATAGCGATAGCAAGTCTCTTCTTCTCACCACCACTGATTCCCTTGGTAACGTCATCACCCACAAGAACGTTTTCAGAGGGTTCCAGACCCATTCGATAAATAAGCTTCTGGATGAAGGGCTCAATGTTGGAAGCGTCCTTCATTCTCAAACGCGCTTGCGATCTCAATGTTTCTTTGACCGTCAAAGTAGGCAGCAGATCGTCGTTATGCTGAACCACATACGAACAGATGTCCTCCAGTGTAGATCCTTCTGGCAATCTCACGTTATTAAGAGTGATGTTTCCCGAACTGTAAAACTTGCTCTGAGCGGAAGATCTTCCGGCGATAAAATTAAGAAGAGTGGATTTTCCAGATCCTGATGGTCCCATGATCGCATTAACGGTTCCAGGCTTGAAGGTAACATTGACATCGTCTAGCAGCTGCTTGATGAACCTTCCATTCTCGACAGCCTTCTGACGCTGTTTGCGTACGCCAGATTTTCCCTTGAGCTTGTATATGACCCAATTGTAAATTATCGTAGGGATTCCAAGATCCAGTCCTACTGGGAGAACCCAGAGACTGATGGAGACTCTGATATCAAGACCTTCAGAAGGCAGAGAGACAGGAACTCTACTTAACTCAGTAGCCACTTCCTGGTCAGCTTTGTTAGATTTGGTTTTGCCCAATATCCTTCTGAAGATACTGGGCTTGTCCTTCGGAGTGGACATAGACACTTCGTTGGGACGGAAATAGAGAAGAACAACTCCAATGGTAAGGAAACCCACGTAGAACGCAAGAAGGATACACAAAGGAAGGGGAACCCAATGGCGGCCATAACCCAACGTTTGCAAGACATAATCACCGGTACATTCCTCATCCGAAGATGCACAAGAGCCTTCCCAATTCGTGAATTGACTCGAGCACAAGGCCCCAAACGCGTACCAGAAATATGCCAAATACTTGATCCAGCGAACGTAAACAGGCATAGTCTTTGCATTGATGAAAAAACCACAAGCCGAGTTCTGCACCTGATAGAAGATATTGGAGACCAGACCTGACGTTCCAATGTCTCTTCCCAAAGAAAAACACATGATACCACAACCAGCACCGGCTGAATACACCAGCAGACAGGTTGCGAAGTAAATCATGAAATATGAAGCACTTCCTTCAATCCGCAGACCAAACATGAAGTACGTGATCAGCGAGAAGGCGAGCGAAATTGGAAAGTCCTCAATCCAAAATTGGGCAAGACGTCTACTTACAACCCATCCGGTGACAGAAATGATTCCTTCGCTCCTTTCTCTGAAAAAGATCTTTCCTGCACCAGTCCAAAGACGCGCTATCTCGTACGTCATCGGACTGAAGCCGATAACTTCCAGTACAGCATATAGCTGGGACTGTTTCGTACGGATTGCTCCAAGATCGTTTCCTGGTTTGTAGAAAAGCCATCCACAAACAATCGATAGAAGAATCAGCCCTCCATTTAATGTTATCAAGGAGAACTTGTCACGCATCGCGAGAACAAAGGATCTTTTGGTCAAAACCATGGTTTCTCTCACCAAGCCGACCTTCTTATTCTGAGCAGATTTGAACTTACTCTCCTTGGAGATAGGAGGAACTGGAGCTAAAGTCTCGGCCTCTATCTGCTTCCACACACATGCCAGCTCGTTAATCCTTTTTTGGGAAATTAATTCGTTCTCTGGCGAACTAAAGTCACGGACTGATAGGTCTATAAGAAAATCGGCCACGTTAACGTGCGCAGGTAGCTCAAAGCCCTGCTTCGCGAAATGATCGATAGAATCCTGCAACGAACCATAGGAAATGGTACGACCACCTTTAGCCAGCAAACATAGTTTATCCAGCTTCTCTAAGATCTCTGTTCTTGGTTGGTGGATCGTCAGAACACACGTTATACCGAAATCCTTGGCCAGCGAATGAACCACAGACATCATCTTGTAGGCCTTATTGGCATCTAGACCGGTCGTAGGTTCATCCAGAAACAGCAGACTGGGCTTGTTGAGGAGTTGCAGAGCCAAACTCACAAGCCTACGCTCTCCACCTGAAAGCGACATCCTTCCGAGAGAGTCACAAATGACTTCGTCACGCAAGAAGTTCAAGCCCAGATTGTCCAGAATGGTCTCTATCAGCAGTTCCTTCTCCTGTCTTGTGTAGACCTCTGGCAACTTCAAATCAGCCGCAAACTTGAGCAACTCGTAAAGCGTCAAAGTAGGCAAGAACATATCTGTTTGCAGCAGATAGGCGTACCTCAACTTTTGGATATCCGAAGTATCACCATACTGTATCACACCGTCTATACCAAAAGTCGAACCCGTCTGGACTCTGTGAGCAAGAGTGTTCAGCAAAGTGGTCTTACCACTTCCTGACTCACCAAGAACGGCTATGACCTCACCTGGACTCACATCCAGATTCACATCATCGAGAACCTTCTTTATGCCATTTCCATCGTGCTCGAGATCTTTGGAACGAAACAGTCTTTGGCCAAAATCCGTAAACTTGCTCTGTTTTTTGATGTAAACGTTCAGATTTCGAACAGAAAGAGACACTCGCTCACTCTCGGGAATGAACATGGGGGAGACCCCGGTCTCCGGCTGGTTCTGCATCGCGACTCTTGTCAAGCAGTTAAGCCAATGTCCACCCTAACGCTATGGGGTATACTGGGACCCTAAAAAAATCAAAGATTAACCAGGTCCTTGTAAAAGCAGGAAAAAAGAACGTGGCCGTCCTTGAATTGGTCTTGTGGTCACGAAGAGGGTATGATTAGTAAGACAAAGGACTACAACAGATAGAGAGAAACGGGTCCTTTTTTTCGTTCCCAGGTTCCCTCATTAGTTATAAAGAGGCTGCCCAAATCGGGAAGGTCGATCCTGCGATTGCTAACGGTCTTGGTAGCAATGCACGACCCGTTTGATATTAGGTAATCATTACCCCAGACAGGCCAAGCTCGCGAGCTCACCGACTATAAGATCAAGGGATCTGGGTTTTAAGGATTTGAAGGGCAGATGGCAAAGCGGGGGAAAACAAACTCTGCGTTTGAATTTTATCCTCAAAGAAAGGGGTAGAAACGAAGATGGACTTGGGATTGTTGATGATAGTGGTGATGTACATTGGGTTAATGAGTATACGAGTTCTTAAGATGAAACAGGAGCAAGCAAAAAAAGGAGCTCTTGCAGAGAAAAAAGTTGAAAATTTTATTATCGTATCAGTTACAATGTGTGAAACAAAAATTTGACCACCATATTGATTGGGCTTCACTTGAAACTTTTCTAGAGCTTCGAGTGCGGCCGAGATCAAGCTATTATGTTAGTAACAATAAAAGGAATGTTGCTAAAAATCAGTCTAAAGAACATGAAAACAACACAAAGATAATTGTTCAATTATTTGCTTGAAATCAGCTAACACACCCAAGGTTTCGACTGGCGGCGTTGATCACAGCCTTGCAAACGCCTGTGGCTCATCAATTTCAACTGAAAAATCAGCAATCCACAGTGTTAATTGAAAGCTCCCGGTTCCGATTTATTTCTCAAAAATTATCAGAAGCCCTCATTATGTGTTCAGCATGATTAAAACACTTTCAAAGTACCATTGCCCCAATTGCACCTGCTACAATCGCTACTGCAACATTCTTCAGCCGTGTGCGACCTTGCAAAATAGTCCAAGTTACCAACCGGTGTTGGCATGAAGAAAGCCAACGACACTCCCCTAACGAAATGCTATCTAAAAAAAAACCTTCAGCAGGGCTTGCATACTGGGCGTGGCCTGTTTGGGCCGAGACCTAACCCTTGGCTTTTTGGCTTCAAAGTTTTTGAAATAGACTCGCGATTATTTCACCACTTGGGTGCTTAAACTTCCCAAGAAAGTCACAAAAGTACCCACAATAGAACCCTACCAAGCCTGAAACCATCACATTCACCAGATTTGAGGCAGAAACAGTCAAGATAGATTCGTAGATGGTAATCTTGATTTAAGGAGGGGTCACGACCCAGACCAAATTCCAACCGTCAGGCTAAATTCCATAATCCTACTCTTTGGTCTGGTCACCTGCAAAGCCTCAAACCCGGAATTACCAGATATTATTAGCGGTTTGGTGTCCAGTGATTGATTCCCAAAGCCGAACCTCCCCCTCAACACCAAGATCAAATTCAGCCTTAGGCCGACTAATCAGGATTTCTCTGCCAAAGATGCCACAGTGAGCTTTAACCAGCATCTTGAGGATAACGGTAATGCCGTGATGACAGTTCCGTGATGTCGATGGTCAATTCCATGTTGAGCTGCATTTAACTTGGCAAATAAACTAGTTACACAGACCTACAATGATTTGTCAAAGATGTCAGGAGCCACCAACAACACGTTACGGACCACTTCTAAATCTTTCGAGATTAAAAATCAAATATTCCAGGCTTCATCTCGTTTGATAGCAGATGAGCAGCGGGCGTTTGCCGTGGGGCGAAGTAAAGTTCATGCAACTACCGACGCCGGGAAACAGTAGCAAGAACTAAATCAAAACTGGCTCAGCGGTGCCCACGTGAGCTTTGATTTTCAATATACCTTTGGGTGCTTTTCACTGTTTCAAGTGGCCATGTCTGTGGAGATTTGTAAGTTTCTGTGGATATTTGGTGTAAAATACCGAAGTTATACCGAGAATTATTTCTGTAAACGAGGCAAAAGTCCAAACCGGTGCAGTTTTGGACGGAACCGGTTACCTTTTGGGTCTCCTGTTATGGTGGAGGTACCAAGCTGGTTGTCTGCGAAGTTCAGGTGTTGGCAATCTTGACGCCAAGCCGAAGGTAGATGGAGTTCAACGTGCAAACTTGAGCCTGAAACTTTGCAAAGTACGATCGCCTCTCAGAATTGGAACTGCTGATACACAAAGCTCGAGTTTCTGGCAAGTTCTAGTTTGGGAGAAGGGGAAGTAGTTCGTGTAGTATGTATGTACTAGGAGCTAAGGCGTACCAAAGGTCTGAATGCAGAGCTTAAAGCGAGTCTGCTATATGTGCAAGCAGAAGGAACTAAGTTTTGGTTTCAAAGCGGTCAAGTCACAAGTCTTCTACTCATCGATATTCCAGGCCCAAGTCACTGGAACTAATCGACGGCGCTATACAGAGCGCAACTTCGGGTCAGGACCAATAGTCTAGCCGTGCAAGAGCAGAGCTGGCATCTACAACTGAGGACCGACCCTTTCCCAAGTTTCTCAGGGAGAGCATCACTATCATGAAGAGTATACGCAAAATCTGTAAATCTAGGAGTAGTTTTAAGGCCTCAATACTCCGAAGAATCACCAATATCCAACACCTACAGGAAACAACAGAGCACAACATATTTAACGCTCCACCTGTTGTGCGTGAAGCTATACCGATTTGACTCATTGACCGTGTGCAGCCACATGCGTCATGCAATGCATGTGTGATTACGTTTTATTTGTGTTTGATCCCATGCCTGAATATTTTGGTATAGAAACGCTGGTAACGCAATTGCGGTAAAACTGAATCGGGATTGGTCAAGACACATCGATGCTAAACCAGCAACTAAACAACATGTAGTTTTGGGAAAAAGTTTGCGAGAAAGCAGATTCAGGAAAGGATTTGGAGACAGCTTCAAGACACTACTTGTCCAATACTAATGGTTTTGGCGACACCGGGCTGATCTTCTGTTTGCACAGACAAAGGTCCCGCCAAGCCAAGTTTGGTCCCACCCTTCTCAGCAGGAAAAAGTATTCCGCGATTCGCCTCGAAATCTTCGGGTGTTTCGATCTAGTGGTCTAGCATTTAACCCTTGCTGCTGCTAGAAACTCCAAGCGAAAGGTAAACTAGATCCCAGTCATCGACACCGTCGGGTCCCACAGCAGTGGCAAGTACCGAAGATTTGATAACATCAAATTCTCATCACGTCAATGGGGTAAAAGGGACCATGTTTAGACGCGGGACTCCATGAAAGTCCACGCTGTACGGTTAAAACCATATTTAGGCTGGAACATGAACATGATCTATTTTATGACTTGTTAGCTAGTAATTTTGTTGCGATTTTTGAGTTGTGTCGTGTTTCATGATCATACTCATTCTGTTGAACAACTCGGTTTTTTTTTTCGAATTTAACCCCTGCGACATCTAGCACCATCTACATTACCGACTTCTTCTCTATTATCAGTTTCTTGTTTTGGACTCGGTAAAATGGGTCATCGTCGCTTAAGATGTCCAGAAATTGCTTTTTCTGCCCTTCCCTGTGTGATCCGATACCTTGCACCCCCTTCCTATATAATCCACATATGCTTCCTAACTGGGGATATATTGACGCAGGAAGCAACGTCAAATTAAAAATACGGGATCGAATCTCGGGAGAATGGAGAGAAGAAGTACTGTAGAATCATATGACAGTCGTACTGTGGGGATAGGAGTTGAAAAACTGTTCACGATTTACACAAATTTAGCACGCTTTGTCCTGGAGGGTCTACAAATTTAGCCGCTGAGACGATCCATCCGTCGTGCAGATCGGCTCCACGCATCCTGTTTCCCAGCTGAGGCACAGAGACAGGAACACCGTGTGGAAAACGGGATCCTGGCCAGTGATCTTCAGAATGTGAGCGCACGCGAAAATAAAAATGACATAAAATGTCAACCTGCTATTTGTATTCTTCCGTATTTCCTCAAGGCCTGGGCTGCAGAAATAACAGGGGTAAACTTTTTTTTTGGTATGTCGCACGATTTTATGCCTCAGACCGGATGAAGACTGATGAAGCATTTAATCCCATATGACGCAAATTTACATTCGAGCATGCATATTGTTCATGCAAGATGTCGTCTTTTCCCTCCAACCAATCCGAAAAGCAAGTCCAACAATCCAGCAAGCCTGTTTTATTAAATTCCTCTGAGCTGAGGTGCGCAATAATTTTCCGAGCTGTGGTTTTCAAAAATATGTTTATCTAAGATCTTGCCAGTTGTGACCGGAGAAGAATAATAGAGAAGAGTTCTTAGAAGCAAACACTAAAGCAGGAATCTTCAATACGACCGACGATGTCGAAGCCTTAGTATTTGATAATAGCATTTTGGTGTTAGATCCCTAGTAGTCTTGACAAGTTTGGTATGTAGGACAGTTCTTCAGCTTTATCTACAACAACATAATTGCAAGCTTTCAAAATGTGTACTCTGTTCGAACTAGCCAATCAGTTCTACGTACATCCATGTAGTAAAGATGAATAAGAAAGAGATAACGACACTACCGATGAGCGTTGCAACTTTAGTCGGTAAGGCATGTATGAATATTTTATGATCTAGAGAATGATCTAGTGAATGATCGATCAGTGCACGTGTGTCCGGGCTTCATATGGGGACTCCGAACTCAAGCTTTTACGAGCCATTGGAGCAAGCAACCCTGCGTTAGCAATGTTCATTATAGACTACACCGAGGTACTTCAGCAACATCAAAAGCATGAATCAGTCGCTTGTCCTTCGTCCACTCCACACAAGCTTCAAACCTATCCGGATAAGAAAATCCTCAATTTCCACTTCTAGAATAGCAACTTTTGCATGAGACCTAATATTGCCAATGCAAAGGGATGCATGCTCATGCACATTGGTCCATTTGGTCCCCTTTGTACGTTTTCTGTGCCTTTGCTGAGAACTGTGGCCTAAATAGGGTTTGCTCTTTTATCATGTGGGTGTCATCGCTGCTCAGACAAGAGAACCAGGAAGGAACAAAGTTTGCTGCTGTAGGCGAGGAGACCATTCCCATGGGTTGTCTAATCATCCAACACTCCGAGAATACGCGATCAGGCTTACCCTCCTTAGTGATTTTCTTCCTCTTTCCCCTTTCCCGACTTGTTTATGTGGGTCCTTATACTTTGGTCCAGTACTTCTTCAATTTCGATTTCCCAAACAAATGCCCCACCAACTATAGGGGGGAGGGGTGGACTAGCCGGGCCTCTTAGACGTCTCCCACAACACAGACCGCCAGGACCTTTGTCCTGTGTCCTGGTTTAAATCTGCATTCTTCTCTTACATTCCCCTGTTTTCTGGATATCCCTTCGACCAGTTTCCTTCGCTGTGTGAGGTGGAGTTGCTTTTGACTTGGGCTTTAACGACTCCAATCCCGGTGGTTTCTTTTTGTTCCTCAAACCTGGACGAGCTGGAAACGGGCAATCTATATATCTAGCTCTACATGGAAGTTTATACAGCAGCAAGTTGTTCTATATTATCCAGGAGAAGAGGATTGTGCGAGAAAGCGAGTCAATACACATCATATCATAGTTGGCGCCATACTCAAGTTCTTTGCCAACTGTACTCTCTCTTGATCCAGAATCACTCAAGGTTTCTTAGTTTTTTTCATCAAGTCGGTCTTGAGCGTCAAACCGATCAAAATAGACCGACGTGTTTGGTCCTTGTCCATTTCTAACGCCGACGGAGACCATAAACGTGGTTTAGCCCAGCTGTCCGCATTGTTGTGTTCCAAGCCAGAGGTCAAAAAGGGCTCCACTTTCGTACCCTACACCATAAGGTTTTGGTTCTTTTGTATATCTCGACGTTTCATCGCCGTACCTGGGAACCATCACATCGATCAACATAAACGTTGGAGCTACAGTGTGCTTCCTTTGAGGTTTGCTAAGAACTTACTGCTGATCTTGTGCTGATACGTTTACCTGGAATTTTTGTTTATTATCTCATATACAGGACACACTCAGCGAGACTAGGTACTAGCCACCAGGCACTAGCATCATCCTCATCATCCTCGTCATCATCACCATCATTATCATTATCAGGCATCAACAGGTAATCACCGACACACCGACGTGAGCTATCATTAAGAGATTACCGATTCAGCATTTGATTTTCCATCAATCGAAAGAGAAGTATCATCATCTACGGGTCGATCACTACACGCGCAACTATCACCAATTCAAGGGCTCCACTTGCTCTTTCTGAACAATCGCAGTCACCGAGGCCAACCACGAGTTGAACGCTCATCACTCCGAGAATCTTCCAAAAGCGCTCAATTTCATTCGAATGTCCCAACAGGAGCAGAATCGTGAAGGCCATCCTTCAGATTACCGGCAAGATGAAAATAGTGGGCTGTATGGCTGGGGCTCCAGAATGCAAGTCCCTCCACTATCAAGACAGCAACCCGGCAACGCACCTCCTTTATCCCAACAACCCACGATAGCACAAAAAATGCCCTCGTCTTTTGGTGCTAATCCAAGACAGTCCTCTCAGCACTTGCAGCTCCCGGGCAGCATTGGACTTGGAGGGTCTTCGAACCCGGCTGGCTCTTCACTGCCTCTGCCAACATCGCAACCTTCACAGCACCCTCAGCAGGAGAGGCTTGTGCAATTGGCTCGACGCAAAAGAGGAGCTTCTAAGAAGTTCAAGGAAAACTCCCGGTTGAAGCCCCACGGTCGTCCCATGGCACCAGAGGCCAAGATCAGACTGACTCTGAGTCCTTCGCTAGCGGTTCTGTACCAGAGCTTGGTGACAGACTCCTCAAGAAAGAGCCTGAAGGTTATGAAGACGCAGTTTGGCAACAAGGACGGAGCCATGCTTGAGTTGAGCTCTTATAAGAACAATCTCAACGACTCCTCGCCATTGCCTCCTCTCAAAACAGAGACTGTCACGTTGATTGACCAATTGCCCGAGGGAGTGAGTGAGGATTCGCTCGAGCCCAATGTCCACACCTCCATCTACAAGGTTGTGAAGCAGATTTTCGGCCTCGACGAGTTCTCTCTGTTGCGAGTGACCAGGGCCGCTGCCTCGGAGCCAGAGGGTGCAGTGCTATTGAAGATTGAAACAGTTGAACCAGGCGATCTTCATTTGAATGACGATGAAAATGACAATCAGGTGGGAGGTGCTTCTAGACAGGACGGCATTGGCGAGGTGGGCGATCCCATCACTGCTTCTTTCCTCAAGAAGAAGATCGCACGACCAAGATACAAGTCCAATATGAGGATATACGTGCTTCCGAGAAGAACCAAAGCTGCTCTGTATACCCAGTCGAGGATGCTGAAAAGAGATCTTTTGAATTCCATCTTGGTTCCGGAGACCGATCCCAGACTCATCATATGTGCGTTCGAGTACATGCCGCTTCTGCAGGACTTGAAGATCAATTTTTCCGGTGAAGCCCATCAATTGCAATTGAATTCCCAGCTTCCACGCCAATTGACCCTTTCGAACACGGCAGATCGCGAGCTTTCTTACTCTAACACGGCTTCTAGCCAGTCAACGAGTGCCGGATCAAATGCAAACACAGCAATATCTGCAGCCTCTTCGGCGTCAGGAACGGTCTCCTCGGCCACCCCAACAGGGTACGGGTTTCAATACACATTGCCTCCTGTTTATCCGGACTCAATGACAAATATTCCAGTTGGTTATGGATATCCGAGACAGGCGTACCAACCTCCTCCGTCTTACGGGTCCAACTTCTACCCAATGGCAGCTACCCAGTTCTACTCTCACAACCAGCAGATTCCACAACAGGGCTATCCCAGCAATTATCCGATATTGGACTACCAGGACCGGGACTCGACTTCTGCGCCATTGAATGGAAATGGAAATTTGCAGGCCCCCAACCCACAGGCTCAGTTCTCGCAGGTGCATTACTACCAACATGTGCCCCAGCAATCACAGACACAGACACAGACACAGCAACAGCAACAGCAACAGCAACAGCAACAGCAACAGAGGAACGACTGGACGAGCTTCAAATTGCAGTCTAAACCTTCAGATGGTCATGATCAAGCTCTAGGTCAAAGATATCCTCATTATCCGCCTCAGTGAGAGAACAAAAGACTCCAAAAGTCAAAAACAGTGTATCAGTATCAAAAACTCATAGACTCATTAGATGGCTGAAATTCCAGATTTCGTCATTACTGGATGTTCATGCCAATGCCTTTACCGTTCCTTCAGTTTTATTCGACCCTTTCCAATGCTTTTCCCAATTTCATCATCTGTCAGTTTCCAGCTTGCATTCCGGCCTGCTGAAATTGTTTTTTACCTGGTTTTCCAGTCTGTTTTTTTACCGGACATTATAGATGTACTACTTTTTCAATCATGAGTTTGCCACAAATACTTTGTTGTAGTGCAGTAGAGAGATATAGAGGAGTACTTAGAAAGGACGCAGATATCTCCAGAGTTGTCTCGGCTGCACAGAATCTACCAGCGACTTTTTACGGATAAACTGTTATTCCATCAGCAACTATACAGTCAGTTACGGATAAAATTCCCATTGGGCCGCACGGGACTTCCTCATATTTGCGTGCGCCAGCGAATTTCTGGTCTTCGACACGTCAACACGCTTTTCTCTCTTTGACCACACATTCGTGGTTTCTCCTACTCATTCGTTCAATTCAACCTCTCTTCCAATGTCGTGTATTCGTTTATTGTTGGTTGCGACATTGCTCAGTGTGTGCTCGGCCAGTGCGCTCACGTTTGTTCTGGGAGCGCAGGAAAAATCGTGCTACTACATCTTCAACGAGAAGCCCAAGTCCAACATCGGATACTACTTCGCCGTGCAAGCAGGTGGATCTTTTGACATCGATTATACCGTGAAGTCACCAGATGGAAAGATTATAGTCAAGGAGGACAAACAAAGACAAGGTGATTGGGTGTTTCCAGCAGATCAGGTTGGAGAATACGAATTCTGTTTTGCCAATGGTATGTCTACGTTTGCAGAGAAGGTGGTGGATTTCGAGATCAAGATAGACAACGATTTCAAGGCCTCTTTACCCAAGGCCCCAGAGATGGCGTATGCTGTGGAGGGTTTGCAAAAGTCGATCGAGACTATTGAGACCAAGTTGACGGAGCTTTCGCAGAATCTGCAGTACTACAAGACAAGGAACAACAGAAACCAGTCGACGGTAAAATCTACCGAATCCAGAATCTTTTATTTCTCGATTTTCGACGTGTTGTTGATGTGTGGAATGGCTGGTTTGCAGGTTGCAGTGGTTCAGTTGTTCTTCAAAGGTTCTAGAAAGCAGCTTGTGTAATGCCTAGTTACGCGATCAAATTTGAGTCGGTTGACACGCCAAATGAGATCAATGAAAGTAGACACGGTCTAACATCATTGCTTTGCGGGGCAGCAAGTGTAGAATGAGTTATCAGATTCATGGTGTTATTAAATTAGTAACGAAATGTCGTTCATCAACCGAATCAGGATCACAACTCAACCAGATTGCTAATATTGCTAACTTGCTACTATAGTTGCAAATGAACTTTTCAGCAACTGAAGGACCAGAAATGGGCACCTTTTACCGAGACTTTTTGCCGAAAATTTCCGAATGCAATAACAACTATATTTTGAATGTGCAGAATTTTTGCACATGCGGCGATTTAGTGCGTTTACATGGGAAATCCAGTGATGTACTTCTGTTTAGCGTGAACGAGGCAAAGCGAATGCAAATCACGCGTTTGAGTGCTCCCGCCGTACAGGACGAGACCTGTAGAGCGTTTATTATTTAGCCATGGTCAACTTAGTAATCGCAACGGTTCCCGAGTGAGGGGACTGCAGATACCTCGCTTGGATGAAATTAGTTCAGATCTCGGGTTATTGCATGTCTGGATGGGGTATCTGAGCATAGCCACAAATTTAATTACCCGCTATTGTTTTTGCGGCAAAAACGTTTCCGCTACACGGGTGGACGAACCAAAAGGCAACTGGTCTTAACAAAAGTTGACCAAACTGCGGGTGGTAGACCCGACCACACACGTATTTCTTTGTCTGCTCTCATAGATCATAGTGGTTCGATGGGTGAAGCTGGAAATCCCGGTATTCAGTCCAAGCAAGTACGAATAATCCTTTAAATTCTATATGGCCTACCTGGTGTCGGAAACGGGACAGAGAGGTGCGTCGTATTCACAGGGAGGGTGCAGAGACCCAATAATATTTTATAACCCGAGCACGGTTTTCGAGAGTGCCGTTGCAAAATTGTTTCATGGGCTTGGTTTAGTGGTACTGTTTGCTCCACTTTGCCATCTCTCTTGCTTCAAGACACGCTTACGCACGTTGCAGCGCCACCTCATATGCCTGAGATATTATGTTGCACAACCGTTTAGGCCAAAGAGGCGATTTCCACCTTTAGCGAGAAGAAATAGTGCCCAAGACTAGACGTACCATTGCGTCTGACTAGCCTTAACAAGTCTGTTCAAACAGGATACCAAGAAAGTTTGTTTCTTTTTCGTCAAATTTAGCTTTACTTACAGATCAGCGTCTGCCACTGTGCTTTGAGTTTGACCTAAGCTAGACTCCCATAATGCCAGATCACAGGGATAAAGTCGGCCCGAGAGACCAAAATGACCACTAGTGACTGTTTTCTCCCGGAAGTTTTCTTCTGCTTCCGAGCATCCAGCCGTATACTTTTGGCCCCTGTACCTGTTCGGGCTCGTCGGACTTCCGCAGAGGTCCAAGGTGTCCGAGACTCAAATATCTCTTTCGGATGGGTAGTGTGGAATGCAAAAGATAATTACCGGGCCGAGGACCCGTTTGAGGGAAGAAAATGGGTAATTAAGGCAATCATTGTGGCTACTTTTGGCAAAGACATAAAAATGGTGACTAGGTAAATATTCCCATAATCTGTAGCATACCATCATGTTAATTTATTTCGCTCCACAATGCCGATAACGGCTCCTTATCGGGCAAAACCTCGACCGCGCCTTGAATCGCCCGATTGGGAAAGAGGGACAGGCTTATCAGGGCCGGAGATGGCCGGTTGAAAATGCTGCCTCAACAGCTGTTTTTGGTTCAACTTTTTTTTGAGTCGGTAAAACTCTTGACATTAAACGTTTTTTCCAGTTTTTTCGCGCTGGATTCTTGGTATATCCCAAAAGGTCAACTTATTCCTTCTATTCTTCGGCTAATTACATTCAGACCCACTTGGCCTGACCGTTATTTCTGCCAACTACTTATCTAAGGAATAGTTCACAGATCTCACGGGGCCTATTGAGATTTCTCCACTTTTTTATCATCCGCATTTCGTGAAAAATGTCTCGTGCAATAGCGTCCACCAACGTGGTTCTCGGCGATCAAATTTTACCAGCCACGATCATATTCTCGCTCCAAAGCGGTAAGATCCTGAAGATCGTTGAAAAAGTCCTCACCGTCAAAGACTCCTCTGTTCTTGCACAATATGGCGTTGATTTCTCAGATTTTCGCGACCTTTCGCCGCACGTGATTCTTCCAGGACTGGTAGATGCCCATGTTCACCTCAACGAGCCTGGCAGAACCGAGTGGGAGGGATTTGCAACCGGCACCCAATCGGCTGCCTCTGGCGGAGTCACCACCGTCATCGACATGCCCTTGAATGCAATCCCACCGACCACCACTATCTCCAACTTCAACCTCAAGATAGAGGCAGCTCGGGGCCAGACATGGGTGGATACCGGTTTTTGGGGAGGACTAGTGCCAGACAATCTCGATCACTTGGTTCCTCTGATAGCAGCAGGTGTCCGTGGATTCAAGGGTTTTTTGATCGACTCAGGTGTCGACGAATTTCCAGCAATCGACCCTGCTTATGTGGATAGAGCCCTTCAGGCGGTTAAGGGAAATCCGACAATGCTGATGTTCCATGCAGAGATGCAGCCGCAGACGTCTGGGTCATCCTGCTGCAGCTCCAGTGGTGATAACTCTGGCGAAACCACAGACTCATCGATAACAGAGGTTGCAGACGAAATAGACGACCTTGATTTGGGTATGTCATCTTCTTTTGTATCAAGAGCTCCTCTGCCGGTCAAATCGATGCTGCAGAACGCTTCGAGGAAACATGAAGATCACCAGGATTGTACACTGCCTCACAAGCACGCTGCCAGCATGGACCACAATGTCTTATCGGACAAGCAGGCACAAGCATTGGCATTGTCGCCGTTGCTATCGGCTGTTGAACCCAAAACAGGGCTTTTCGCGCAGTTGGCCAAGTCTCCAGAGCTCAGAGCAGTTGGTGATGAAAACTCCCGGGGAATGGCTTCTCCAATCCTATCAGCTGCTGAATATGACTCTACACTTCAATCTGTTGATCCCACTGCTTATGCTTCTTTCCTGGCTTCCAGACCGGACTCGTTTGAAACCACAGCAATTGCAGAGATTATCAATTGCGCCGCGAAAGAACCTTCTGTTCCAATGCACATCGTGCATCTTGCTACCCATGAAGCAGTTCCTTTGCTGAGAGCTGCTCAGCAGAAGGGACTCAAGATCACCACCGAGACCTGTTTTCATTATCTTTCTCTCCAGGCCGAGACCATTGGAAATTGTCAAACCCAGTTCAAATGCTGTCCACCCATCCGCACAGAGTCTAACAGAAAATTGCTCTGGAAGGCTCTCAAGGAAGGAGTGATCTCTTCAGTGGTGTCGGACCATTCTCCATGTACTCCCGAGCTCAAGGGCTTCGATAGAGGTGACTTCTTTGCTGCCTGGGGTGGAATTTCGTCAGTTGGACTCGGCCTCCCAATTCTGTGGACGGAAGGATCCAAGCTATCACCGCCTGTTTCTCTGACAGATATTGCCAAATGGACTTCTTGGAACACTGCAAAACAGGTTGGTCTCCAGCACAGAAAGGGAAAGATTGCTGTGGGAATGGACGCAGATTTCGCGATTTTCAACCCAGAGGCCGCTTTCACTGTTGCCAATGCCAGGACCTTTTTCAAGAACAAGCTTACTGCCTACGATAGCAAGGACCTAAAGGGCAGAGTTGTTGAGACGATTGTTCGTGGAAACTCGGTCTATGCCCTTGGAAAGGGTCTTAGTGATGTTCCAATGGGTGCTCTTTTGCTCGAGCCCAGATTTCAATGAGAATTTCAAAGGATTTTGCTGTATATATACCCTTCTGAGCTATCTATGAATAATGTGATTGAGAGCTGATGGAAAATTCAAGGTGAATGATCTCTGTGAGTGAAGTGCTTGAAACCTTTTAAATAGCTACCTCTGCAAGTGAAGACCAAATAAATTATTTATGAGAACTTTTTTCCTGAAAAGTAACTAATTTATTTATTTAGCAGCTCTTTTGTGTTTTTATTCTATTATTTTTGTTGGAGTTTGAAGACAAAAAGGGTAGATGTGCCTTGGAATTTTTCATAATTTTTCAGATATTTCTGAAAATCTCAAAAAATCGCCAAAAATCTCCAAACATCTCAAAACCTCAGTTACCATGATTTTCTACGTTATCTCGAGAACCATCGAATTCCATGATCTACTAATGAGATATAGCTATAAAGTTTTACATAATTATACAACCCAAATGTCTGAATGACGGCAGTTTTTTTTGAATACATGCACACATACATGACTATGAGTCAGCTTGCACCATGAGTTGATTGTTTGACTAAAATCAGTTGAGTCAAATGTTAGCCCATTACACGGAACTAATTTCTGCCCCTCTTACACCAGGTAATTTTGCTGTATCATCTGAATCACAAATTGGTCCATCGAGGGCAACACCGCATTCCAGGACTCGGGATACATCTGCTTGAACGCATTTAGCAAGAACTGAAAGATCGACTTGAGACTTTCACTGGGCATCTCGTACATTCCAACACACTCGAGGAACTGTCTCAAGCACTTTTTTCCTGAATTTGTGTTTTCACCCAACGGAGCTGGGTTTGAAGATATGATCTTGCAGAACCCAACAAATGCAGTATCCTTTTCGTCGTTCTCAGCAACATAGAGCATCCTTGCAAACCATGGAAGGGCAATGTCCGTGAGGTACCTGCTCATTTCTGTGGCATTATTGATACCAAATCTACCAATAGTGATGGCTGCGTTTTCGCTAACACTTTCTTGGACATCATTGGCAACCAGGATTTGAACCAGCAGCCCCATAAGATTATCTAGATATGGAGCCATAGATTCCGCTGGCAAGCGCATAGCCATTTCTCCAAGAGCCCACGCAGCATTATTGCAGGCTGCACTCGAGTTGTAGGATTTGTTTGCCATTTCCTTACCAATGCAAAGAAGAACCTCGTGAAGATGAGGAGTGATCGTGAGGTCTAGCAAGCAAGTCGCTAGATCCCCCAGAAGAGCGTATGCGGACTGCCTTACGTCACTCTCTTGATCATCAAAATTGGCGATCAAAAGACTCATCAGAGAAACTCCCTGCGATTCGTGCATCATAATGAGCTCGCCGAAATGAACACCTAGACCCTGCACCAAACCGTCTATCAGATCAAATGCCGTTATGGCAAAACCAGTGTTTGGCTCCTCCAAGGAAGGATCCACCAAGCACAGCTTGTTCAGTTCCAAACATCTAGAAAGGATTCTCAGACATCTCTCATAAACTCCTTGAGCATAAGGTGCAAACTCCTCACCCAAAGTCGCAGCAACCGCAGACATACATTCCAATAAAGGCCACAGATCAAGATCATCGTCTGCCAAAGAACCCCATTTCTCCAAAAGATCTGGCAAGATTGCTTTCACATACGATCTTCCATTCTGCAAATCCGATAACTCACCAAACTTCTCAACAAGAGTCTGGATCGCATCATACAATAACAGCATGTTCTTCCTCTGATACCTTTGCAAACATATCTTGAAACGGTCCATCATTGCATCTACCACAACCGAAAGTGGTCCCTCTTGACTGGCCTCTATAAAATTTGCCAGAGAGGAACACGCAGACTCCTGCACCACCTTTTTGGTATCAACGAGACAGTCCATGATGGAGTTCATGGTTGGAACGTAGTATTGGGCATACTCTCCATTAGTGGCAGCAGCTTCACAAACCCACGTAGAGTATCTTCCCAGAGTCCAACATGTGATCTGTCTCACCCTTGGCTGTTCGTCCTTTAATCTCTCTACTAAGAAAGGGATAATGCTGGGTAGTTCGTTCTTGCTCAGATCCAAACATCCCTCGGCAATAGCACCTAACGCCAGAATGGAAGCCTCACGAACAGGCCATTCCGACGAAACCACCCGATCTCTGATGATCGGAAGACTGATACTGAACACAAGTTCGGGTTGCATAGATGCAAAAACGTCCAAAGTGGCTGCCGAGCATTTCCGGAGGTTCCACTCGGAAACATCATCGTCATCATCGTCCTCATCCTCGGTTTCGTCATCGTCGTCGTCGTCGTCGTAACCCGCATCACCATTTGTAGACTTTTCACGCGTAGAGCCGACCTTGTGGGAACTCTTAGCCTTAGCCATCTGAGGCTTGATATCCTCATCCTTATCAGCTACAAGGTGATCGTCGTCGGCATCCTGGGATTCAAACACAAAGATCTCCACTTCTGAGTACACCATCTTCTCCAGAAGAATTGGAATAATGCTGGGTAACAGAGGCTGCACGATAGACGGCGAAATATCGGATGTAGCAACACCAAACAGCACTTCACAAGCTTCCAGCGCCACATCTTGGTCCTCATCCTTGACAGTATGAAGACAGTAGTTGATAACACCCTCTAAATGAGGCAATAGCTTGTCTGGTCGAGCAGCCAGAATCATAACAAATGCCGTGCAGACGTTTCTTCTCACGCCTGAATCCATGCTCGTGGCTAGACTGAACAGTCTCTGCAAGTAAGTGTCCAAATAAACCAACAAACTCTGCGTTTGAAGCGTAAGAAATTGGTTGATACAGAACACACTCAGGCTCTGGACCTTTGCATTCGGCGAGCTGGTCAGCTCAATGAATTTGGGGATCATGAAGTTCAAGGGACGTTCACCAAAGTACTCTTTGTCCAATTCCTGGGCTGAATCCTCACATATCTTAGACAGAGCACCCAAAGCACCTTCCTGAGCACTCACAGATGTCTTGATCCCTTCTCCTGATGCCATTCCAATCAGTTCGGGTAGTACCTGCGGCCATTTTTCCACTCCGCACTTGGAGAAAAGCGTGGTAATCACGTTACCAACAATGTTTCTAATCACAGGATTCTCATCCAAAAGTCCCTGGGTAATCTGAGTTTGCACGTATTGCCTGACTGTGTCAGATCTGTTCTGGAAATGGTACAAAACGTCGTTTTTCAAGCTTAGACCCGCAGCAGCTCGGGCTGACACGTCAACATCCTTGCCCAAAACCAATATGTTCAACAAATAGTTCTCCAAATCCGGATGTTTCGAGGCATCTTCAAGTGCAGAGGTGGCCTGCCTGCGAATAGTCGAGTCTGGGCTCAAAGTACCAGCCAGAATGTAGTTCAGTTGCGATAACAGCTCTGGGTCTGCCGACCATATAGACGGCGAAAGTTGTAGTGACCCTTGCGACATGATTTGTGTTGTATGCAGACGTATAAGATTTCACGATTTGTATAAAATGATGGGGTTTCCCTTTGTAAAAAGTCTATTCTCTTGTATCGTTGTGCTAAGTCCTTTCTGTACTGCTGTCCGGTTCAATGATGCGTAACTATAAGGCACAAGCTCACAACAAACTCAAAATCCCCAAAACAATGATCTCCAGTGTTGAATTTCCTGACAACGAGCTTACAGACAAACCATAACCGTCTGAATTGTCACTTCGGTTGGCAGATTTGATCGAATAGGGTACAAAATTTTTTTAACAAAAAAAAAACCAGGTGATGAGGCTAGTTGGATTTACGTGCGCAGACAGAAAACAAAATGGGGAGGTGCACGCAAGTTTAAAACCTCTTTTCCTAGACTAAGTTTCATAAAATATACTGTACATTAATGGTATTATTACGAGTGAAAACTTATTTTTCACCTCATTCAAGCAATTCCCGCAACATCTTCTCCAGCTCATCCAGCTGGGAGAAAACCGGGTTGAAGATGCGAGCAGTAGTAGGATGTAGCGAGTCAGGTTGGGACTGCTTGATGCAAGGAAGAGTCGTTTCACTCTCTCCTGAAGAAGAGGTATACTCCTTGGGGATAATATCTCCTTCTCTAATGGGTTCTGGCTTGGCGTAATCGTCCACTGAAGGAGTCACAAACGAGGAACTTGTGGCCGGAGTAGAGCTATTCATGGGCAGTGACGAAGATGACGATGCAGTATTCGAGATGATGGAACATTCCTTCGCATCTGAATCATTAGTGTCATCCTCATCTGAGCAGGGCGTTGTCACAATAGAAGTTTCTCCGAAAGTAGAAGCGATATCAAGCGTTCTTCCAGATAACGGTATCTGAGCTCGTTTCTGGATATCGCGCAGCTTATCTTCCTTGATCCGCATTGACTTCATCTGCCTCGTTTGGAACGTATTCATTGGCGGTGTTGTTTCTGGCGAACATTCACTAGAGTCTGGGGAATAGGAGCCTATTGACTCCTGCGTAGCAGTTTTGAACCTTGCATTTGGGGCCATGAATATCGACGATTTCTCAAACCTAGGAACCAAATCCGAGGCATCGGATTCCAATGAACCGACAGATGGCCTTCTATTCAAATCCCACGCCTTTCTTGCCCTGAAAATACGGGGGGCCTCGTACTGATCGATGTTCCCCTGGTCTTCGTCTTCATCCTCGTCTTCTGTAAAATGCATGTCAGATGGAATGTCATCCCTCTCCTGATCAGAAGTAGCTACAATGGTCTCATCATTGTCCTCATGACTATACTGACTCAGTCGACTCACCTCAGGCTCATAATCATCGTCATCGTCATCTTCTTCGGTGAAATTCTCCATGTTTTTGAATCCCAAACGTTTGCCTCTCTTCTGTATTTGGAGAGGAACACAATCTGAATACGCTTCGCTAAATACTTCGCTCTTTTCATCTTCTGTTTCGAATTTTTCGGCGAAAGACACATTCTTCGGAGTCGAGTTGAGTAAGCTCCGGCGGGATTTGCGCAAAGAACTCTTTCGCTTGATGGACCCACTGGGCGTAATTGGCTCAGGAGCAACATCAGGCTCGCCCTCCTCCTTTTCAATCGGAAAGCTCGGATTCTCTTTCAAATTTCTTTCCAAATTCTCGTTCTTCCAGCAATTCAATCTAGCCAGCCTCTCTTCATAAGTCTCCAGTATCTCTGCTGGGGCAAAGCCAATCACATCGTCCTGGCTCTCGTTTGAATTCAACTTCCGAACTAGCCACCAATAGCTGTCTTCATCATTCAGCAGTTCAACAGGGTCATCCTTTGTCAATTCGATATGGCCTGCATCAGGTCCGCTGAAGTTCAACAGCGCGTAAAGCTTCCCCGGATCCAAATTTCTCGGTGGAGATGAAGGTGGAGATGGTCCCATACTGCTGAGAAATGAGTCCAGGGCAGACTCCTCCTGAAAATCGTCATTCACATCCTCGTCTTCATCAGAACTCCTATTATCATGTCGCAGTGCAGCATCCTCCAACAGCTTGTCCACATCCAATGTCTTCACAGAGCCCTTGAGGAGCACTGGCTCAATGCCCTCTTTCGTTTTGTTCACCACAACTGACGACGTAGTCGAATACCTGTCTGAATCAGACGAAAACTCACGGCGACCTGGAGACAACCACCTTGTTTCGTCCATCGATGCAATAAAAATCAGGCAAAATTAAACAAAAAAGCAAGCTCTTCCCAAAAGAATTGAGATAGGATAAATAAGTGTGCAAAATTGAGGCGATAAGGGCAGAAACGCAATGGATCGAGCCACGATTGATGTTGGAATGTATGATTTAGCACGGTAATGATCCAGCACTAATAAAAGCCCATATAGTGCAACAATATTCAAGAATTTGACAACAAAACCAAATACTAAGCTTTGAAAGCTTTGAAATCACTGAATTCGCTTGACAACTTGTTGATTGATTGAAAACCAAAGAAGTACACCGAAGACGGCTCAAAAAAGGTCGCGATCGCGTTTGTTTTGTGGTCGGATCGTCGCGCCCGGAATGCCGAAATGTGGAGTATTTCAGGTACGCCAAATGCAGGGTGGGAGAAAATAAGCAACGTGAAGAGGTCTTTAGAGAATAATCGCTGATATTGAAGAGGTCTCTAATTAAGGAGATTGAGTAATTTTTGTCCAATATTTCTCAACCGTGTTCCGTTCCCCTGGAGTTGTCTTCAAATGGCTATTCTACAGTGTTATGCAGAGGCTTTCATTCCGGGGTAGAAACCGGGGCGGCCAACCGGACTGTGACAATGATGGGAAATCGGGCATAAATTTTGCGGAATATTATATTCTGAGTTTATATCTAGGTTAAAGGAATATACTTTTTTATGTGTATCAAATATTATGCGCGTTTGCAATATGTATAGGGTATATAGTGCGGGTATAATGCAATGCCTATCTAGACTTGGCCCACCAAGAAGCGAAAATCATGTCGCCAGCCTCTACACCGGCTCCTTGTCAGCAGCTTTTTCCTCTATCTGTTGCTGTTTTCTCGATATCTTCACCAACGTATTGTTATACGTACCCAGCACGAAATAGACGACGTTGAAGAAAACCACCCATATGTTAGGCGAAAGGTAGTTCTGTGCTATGGCCATGGCAATGGGGGTAGTTATCCAAGAACTTTTCATGACAGCAAATAGCGACTTCTGATAAGCAGACCCTACGGCACCTGCTATTCTTCTGTATTCGTCTTTAAGGCCATCCAAACCTTCCTTGGAGAACCGGTGCATTATTCTGGCCACCGAAACGGTGGGCACCATGCTGATGAGAGCTATGTAGCCAACCATGAGTGCATTAAGCAGTGGACTGATGGTAAGAAGACTTGTGATAATCTGCAGCACTTTCTTCTTGGGCGTGAGTGGAGCTGCGAAAATAGAGTTGAGCAATCCGTAGCCGTAGTGGGATATTGGCGCATTGATTGCGAACCCAAATAGTGCCATCAAAGGCACTCTTCTTGTCAGAGTGTGTTTCAACCTGAAGTTTTCTGTGATTTGAGTCTCTTTGACATCGCGTGCAAAAAGCGAGGCCAGCTGCTCGTTCAACGCGGCAAGGACACCAGCAGTGATTGATTTCGTCAGCAGAGGGTATTTTGTCAGACAGTCCAGATACTGCGCATTGAGTGACCTCGACCTGGTCATTGAACTTCTTCTGGAGGTGGACATTCCGAGGTGGTGGAGGAAGAAACAGGCCAACGGCGATTGCTAGGAAAGAAAAAAGGTTCAAGAAGGACCAAAGAAACACCAAAGAAACACCAAGCGGGTCGCCGGATACGGTCCAAAATCGGGAAATCGCGAAAAACGGTGGATTTGCTGCGCTGCATAATCAGATAAGAGACCTCGACGCACATCTCCGCGGGTCGTGTTCGTGTGAAAAATGAACTGGAAATGGAATAGATTACACTCGGCGTGTCCGATTATATAAAATATGGAGATTAACTGGGACAGCATATCAGGGGAGTTATCTCTGATTTGGCGAAGATTGCAAGTCTGAAAAGCTCATGGCTGGTCCTGGTCAGCCCCAGCCAGGATTGACCTTCCATGCATCCAAGGAAGGTTTACCACCCCCTTATCTCGGGATGTCTTGACATCAGCATCTGAGAGACAAGTTCAACCATAGGTGGATCTGGCTTTCACCAAATATTGCCAACTCAAGTTTGAATTCCCATAAATGAGCAAGCTACATCAGGCACCGGCCAACCTCACTTTGCCAGGCTGAATCGAGCATCTGACTCACGTGACCATATTAAACCACACACTACCACGCATTACCCGGCCTGACGAGATTTTTTTTTCGTCTCAAAAAAAATTTCAATGGCTCCTCTCATTAGATGAAAAGTTTCCTTCTTAACAACAGCTTAGAAGTAAGGTTTTAGAGACACTTTCCTCCGATTTTCCCATCCAAGTTTGCATTAAGACTTGAAGTTTGGATTCTCGCATCTGGTTCTTTATCAACTGATATCTTTTAATACACATACAACCTTGAACAAAGATGGCCTTCACTCCAGGTGGTAGAGGTGGCAGCAGAGGTGGCTTTGGCGACCGCGGTGGCAGAGGCGGCTTCGGCGGCAGAGGTGGATCCAGAGGAGGATTCGGAGACCGTGGTGGAAGAGGCGGTTCCAGAGGTGGTTTCGGAGACCGCGGTGGAAGAGGTGGATTTGGTGGCAGAGGTGGCTCCAGAGGTGGCCGTGGAGGTGACCGTGGAGGAAGAGGTGGTGCCCGTGGCGGTCGTGGTGGCCGCGGAGGAGCCCGTGGTGGTGCCCGTGGTGGTGCTAAGGTGGTGATCGAGCCTCACAGACATGCCGGTGTTTTCATCGCCAGAGGCAAGGAGGATCTGCTGGTGACCAGAAACGTTGCCCCAGGTGATTCCGTGTACGGAGAGAAGCGCATCTCCATCGAAGAGCCTTCCTCCGTTGAGGGAGAACCAGCCACCAAGATCGAATACAGAGTGTGGAATCCTTTCAGATCTAAGCTGGCTGCTGGTATCATGGGTGGTCTTGACGAGCTCTTCATTGCCCCAGGCAAGAAGGTGTTATACCTCGGTGCCGCTTCCGGAACCTCTGTTTCGCACGTCGCCGATGTTGTTGGACCAGAGGGTGTCGTGTATGCCGTTGAGTTTGCTCACAGACCAGGTAGAGAGCTGATTGGAATGGCCAAGAAGAGACCTAACGTCATCCCAATCATCGAAGACGCCAGACACCCACAGAAATACCGTATGTTGATCGGTATGGTGGACGTTGTATTCGCAGATGTTGCTCAACCAGACCAGGCCAGAATCATCGCATTGAACTCGCATTTGTTCTTGAAGGACCAAGGTGGAGTCGTCATCTCCATCAAGGCCAACTGTATCGACTCCACGGTTGACGCCGAGACCGTGTTCGCCAGAGAGGTGCAGAAGCTGCGTGAAGAGCGTATCAAGCCATTGGAACAGTTGACTCTTGAGCCTTATGAGCGTGACCATTGTATTGTCGTTGGCCGCTACATGAGAAGCGGAGTGTAAAACAGAAGATAACATAGCAAGGTATGATTCACTTTTTTCTCGGTTTTTGTATTCATTTTAAGTTTTATCGAAAAAAGCTTCCGCTTCGTCGTGCATGTTTCTTTTTGCCTTGCCTTGTCTTGTCTTGTCTTGTCTCGTCTCGTCTTGTCATTTGGCTAATAGGCTTGATTTTGCTTTGCTGGAAAACCGCTAACTGATATCGAGTCGACGTTTCTCATTCACATTCTATAGAGAGTATTTGCCAATTAAGCACATGACGGAACCCTCAGATATTTTTGTGTATACTTCTGTACCAACTTGCGTATGGAAAGCAGGTTGTTCATATGTTTAACCTCTGCATGCATGTAAATTGGTCATGAGCCCTGGTTTCAAGAAGAAAGCACTTCCTTCTAATCACGCGGTGTAAGCCGTCCTTGTATTGCCAATAGGGGAGTTTCACAGAAACAAAACGTTTCCCTCATGAGTGTGTTCGAGAAATAAACGATTATCTTCCGAATTCACGTTCCCTTCATGAGAATTGTGTTACCCCAAATCCCTGCCTCAATGAAGTGCATAAACCAATTTATATCATGTTCACCACACGACTTACAAAGGGTGTGGCGGCAGTTAAAACAAGGAACCGACCTCTAATTCTTGTTTCGTGACTCTTCCCTCAGCTTTCAAAAAGAACTCGCTACTGAGACTTAGGATCAGCTTATCGAGACCTCATCTTTGTCCTCTTGTTGATGGGACTATAGGAAGGGCGCAACTGAGACTTGTTTGTTGTAACATTCTCCACAGAACACAGAACCTCAAGACAATAAATATCCCACAATGGCAGCTGGACCGGACCATTCGGTGGAGATAATAGACTCCGAAGGAGACAGTGAAGATGATGTCATGATAACTGGGATAAGTCGGGCCACCCCGATAGCTCTAAATCCCATCGTGATAGACGATAATGAGGAAGCAACTCTCACAACGAACCAGAACGGATCTGATGACGAACTTCAGATTGTCCGCGAACAGAGAAGGCCTGGAAACCGGCAGCAGAATGATTCGAGTGTAATATTTTCAGGTATACGGATTTTTGCCCCGAATCAAGTGTACAGAATACCGAGCAACAACGAGCCTCGCACGAATAGACCGTTCGCAAGGACCGCCTATCCTGGAAGCGCCACTTTGGACCTTCCCGCCTCCAGCAGATTGCGCAGAAGACCCCCGGCAATCAGGTTTAGCATTCCCGGATTCTCATTTACCGGAGGACCGTACGATTTCAACGTTAGGTTCGGAAGCAACGGCGACTATGAAGCGGAGGACGATGGAGATATCCCACCAGGTGTGATGGAAACGATCAGACAATGGGAAGAGGCCGATGACAATCGCAGAGTGTCGGATCGCCAGTCTATGGCAAACAAGTGGAGACAGACGAATACGGAAAAGAGTACAATTTCTGCACCGGAAAAGAAGTACTTCACGAGCGAGATATCTAACAAGCAGAACCAGGTCTGCGTGTTATGTGGAGTTGTTTTGGGAGAGGGAATACCCGAGGATTTTAACACCTCGAAGGGTGAACCGGACGAAAGCGATGTTCAAGAATACGTATCTCGCCAGCATATACGAGCACCATGGAGATTCACAGATATGCTTACACCAGCCGATCGGGATTTGTCGAAAAAGATCTTTTTCGCCAGATGTGGACATGTTTATTGTGGCAGATGTGTAAATAACATCAACAGATATCTGCCTAGCAAGACTGGTGAGAAGGCTGGCAAGAATAAAAGGCGGAAAACAGTTAAGGTGGACTTCGACAATCCAGGAACAATGGACTTCCGGGATTATAACCTTTTTGCCCCAAATTCCTGTGCTGCAGAGGGATGTGAGAAAAAGACTTCGACGAAGGCATTCTTCCGGGAGCTGTTTGTATGAGAGACGAGTATTGATTACAATTTGATATGAGGATGGCATGGTGTTGAATCCAGTTATGTCAATGGTTTCAAAGCATCACTCCAATTTAAGATCAAATTCTGATGGTTCATGCGGTTTTGTCATTAAAGGTTTGTTTCATTCATATATAGCGGAGAGCGGGGAATACAATGTATATATTCAATTAATTTTTGGGGTATATCCAATCCGAGTTTGAAAAGCAAGCCGTAGTTCATTCAATTCCATAAGTAGCACTTCCCATTGGGATGCCATCATTAGCAGTAGCAACACCCATTTGCTCATTACAATCATGCTCGTCATCCGTGAAAACGTCAATGTAGCGTGGTTTGTCCGACTTGAACACCGGTCTTTGGACGATGCTATGGTGATCACAATTGTTGCATAACTTGGTGTAATAATCAACGTCAAGCGCTGAATGGCCACTGTGGGTCATATTATCAAGCTTAGACTCAGAATCGTTTCCTGATGGATTCAAATTGGCTGGAAAGGCCCGGTTGTGGAAAATCACTTTGATGTTGTCGTAGACGTAGTAGTTCTTATCGTTGACGTTTGCAAACTTAAGCTCCAAGGTGGAAACCAGGGTTTTCTCACTTGCAAAAGCAGAAGGATCTGCTTTGGGATTGACCCTGTCCCTTTTTGGAGGTGCGAGAGCATAACTGTTCTTCCTCACTATCTTCTTGCTGTTCTTGGGAAGATCACTGAGATCATACTTCACCACGTTGAAGTTGCAAATAGTTCTTTCCTTGTTGAAAATGACAATCTGTAAGATCCCAGTCTTTGGGAGCAAATATCCGGGAAACCGCCTCTTGCGCGACTTTTTAATCGCTGATTTCGAGTAGCTTTGCTCTTCTTTTTCTCTTTGGGTCTCCTTCTCGATGTAGCTCTTCTCCAAATCAATAGCGCCCACGTACGGGGTTTCTGTGATATTTGAGGAATCCGCTCCCACAGAGTCTGTTCTCCAATTGTAAAAAACAGCCTTAAATGGAACTGTAAGTGGTTTGTAATACTTCCTGTTGGGCTCCGAAACCGTGGGGAAAACACCCATCTTGGCTGTGAACGGGATCGGATCAGACGCAAAGCCAGCCGTTCTACCTGAAAGCAAAGAGTCTTGAAAAGAGCCCATTAGCGAAAAATTCGAGCTCCGTCTTCTTCTGAAGCTGTTGCTTGCAGAATTGTCTGTTTCATCAGCCTTTGACGATGCACCGGATATAGCAGCAAGCTTATCTTTCCGTTGTCTGTGACATCTAAAACAATATATGGGCTTGAATAACTCATCATCGTCCTCTTCAAGCGATATATCTTCCAGGTTTTTGGCTATTGACAAAGACGAGTGTCTGCGTGCGCGTATTCCGTGAAATCCGTCTTGGGCAGTTGGTGGTGTAAGAGGAGGTATCGGCATTGTGCGATGTTTTGGGTATTTCGCAATACCTTTTAAGGTTTCTTCAAGCCGTCAACTCAGTACGGATAGTTGCGGTATTCTGGGCTATATCCGAGGGCAAGTTTTTCTTTTCAAAATCCTCCAAAAAATGAGTATTCTAGCTCCAGTTAACGTGAGATGTGATTAACATTGCATCAGATGAGCCTATGACTCTTAAGTTCGTTGTATTAAGTGCAACAATTAAAAACACGCCGCAGATAAATATAGGCAATTTCAAGAATGCACAGCTTGCACTGATTACCTCTTTAAGACTAGATAAAGGTTTTGATTTAGACTCGAAAACAAACGTTATTATACACGGGATACTGTAAAATGCCCTACTCACCTCATCACTTACTCCTCTCTCATTGCACTCTTTCGTGGCTTCCCTCCCATTGCTCTTGCTATCCCTCATGCTATCCCCCACCAGCCTCAGATAAATCTCCTGGTTTTGGAACTATTCAAAACTCCATCGTCCTCATCTCTTCCTCTCACAACTCCTCGTCCACTCTCTCTTGCATCCAACATCATCCCGGCTTCGAAACTTGTCTCGTCCGCCATGGAGCCGTCTCCAAGGTCGTCTGCGTCGCCCTGCGAAAACAAAACCGCACCAGAAAGTTCTTCTTCATCAGCATAATCTTCTGGAACATCTCCAAATGCAGACTGCTGGACCTGACCATCCATTTCTGAATCAGAGTCCGAGTCTAAGTGAGTAGAAGAACAGTGGCCGATTGAGTTGAAGATCTGCAGCATCACATGCTCGCGACTGGTAAACTGGGGAAGCAGCCGGTTCGAATGGGTGCTGGTGACATTAGCTGGAGCCTTGAGGAATATCTCAACGGAGCTCTCATCATCTGAAACGAGCGGTATTACTCCTCCCCGTTCCAACTGCATATATATCGAATACTCATCCTCACTTACCCTGTTCAAGGCATGAAGTACAATGGATTGGTACAAAATATCCAACCCAAATCCGGTAGATGGAAACCACATCACCAAGTTGGTGTTCATCACGTAAATATCACAGCTGATGCTGCATCTGGCTCTTGTCGGCGACAATGGTTCCACCGAGAGCCCCAACTGTGCATAATCTTCTGAGGGGACAAACACCCCATTGATGTTCTGACTGACCGGAAAAGGTAGATTGATCAATCCGTTGATCAAGGGAGCGTCAAAGGAAAGTCTCAGATCGGGCACCCCAGTGTATAGTATCCGCTTATCGTCTGCAGCAAACGCAGCTGGGGCGCTTGCCTGATAGGACGAAAACGGCTCAGTATCCTCCACAGATGGAGCACATGCCACCAAGCAGACGCCTCTACTGACAACCATGCGTTTTCTGCGAGATAGGCCTGTTTGATCGAGGTTTTGGACGCGTTAGAGGAATAGATGTTGCTCGGAACTTTTTTTCGCCCCGGAGGGGTTGCGGCGAAATGGGTAGCGCACGCCAAAGTTTCTCTACGTGCGGCTCAGCCAATCTGAAAAGATTTAAAAGTTTCAAAGCAGAGATCTAGAGCTTCACTGAAGTTTTGATTATTTCACAGAGGCTTGCTTATTATTGGAGGGGTTCTCTTCTTGAAATCATTCTAATAACTCTTTATTAACACACGTGTTTGGAATCCCACTCCCATAGAAGTACTCCACCAGATTATTCACACACGTCCTCTCAAATGTCTTGAAACTGTCCTCAGTAGAAACACCAACGTGGGGCAGCAACGTTATTTTATAATTGTCCAGCAGGTCTGGATGTATCTTAGGCTCAAACTCATGAACATCAAAACCAGCTCCAACGAGTTGTCCTCTCTTTAACGCATCCACCACTGCAGCCTCTTGAACGATTGGACCGCGAGCTATATTGACCAATCTCACCTTAGGCTTCATCCATTTAAACGTTTCAAAATTGATCAAATGGTGAGTTTCCGGAGTATGCGGACACAAAACCAGAACACAGTCTGAAACTGCAAGCAATTCCTTGAGAGTTTCAAAGTAGGTGGCCCCATTGAGTTTGGCTTCGATGGCAGGCTTGCGCGATCTGTTATGGTAGGCAATATTCATTCCCAAAGCCTTACAGGCCAAAGCAACTCTGTAGCCAATATCACCAAGTCCAATGATTCCAAGTGTTCTTCCAGAAGGATTTTGAGCTATGTGAGGCAAAATCTGTGTATCATAGTACTTTCCAGGGGTTCGGACACAATGCTCTGCAAACGTCAGATATCTAAAGGAAGACATCACTAAGTAGGTTCCAACATCTGCAGTCGCAATTGAGCAAGAATCTGGAGAGTTGCAAAATAAAATGCCCCGGGAGGTCAAATAGTCCACATCCACAATATCGTAGCCATGACCGGATGATACGATGATCTTGATGGAGTCAGGCAAATGTTTAACAGGCTCACCTCTAAAAAGGAAATGCTTTAGATACGGAGAGCTTTTCAACCACGTAGACCTGCAAATAGCATCAAGATTAGCAAACCTTCCATTAGGATCATCTATCTCTCGGATAAACTCATCTTCTGTCTCACAATCGTACAAAACCAGCTCGAACTTTTGGTTCAAAGTTTTCCAGGCTTCATCGTCATGAATTGGTTTATCCCACGGGATGTATAACACTCTGGGCTTTTTCACCGAGGGATTTGCAATAGTCATATCTTCCAAAGCTGTATAAAAAGTCCCTAGCCGCAATTAAAACAACGAAAACACCTCGCTGCTAAGCGTATAACCGATACTTAAATCTTCTGCAAAATCATTATCCCGATCCCGAATACGCCCAATAGCCGTTGCAGGTAGTATACTGACCAAAGCATTGCCGCAATCCAGGTATGGTAGACTGAAAGGTCCCGAATGGAAGATCGAACTAAACAGTTATAAAACGATAAATGAATCCAGCTGTCTGCTAATTTTAAAAGCGCAAGAGCAGCACTAAAACTTTTGAGCCCGCGAACCTCACCTTATGCCCCAGTTTCGTTCTCCACAAACGAATCCATTAGCAACGGCCACGCAGCCGTTTCATCATAACCCTCAAACTTTGGATTATCGTTGTACTCCTTCAAAAAGGGAAAAGCCATCAGCCATTGGTCCTTGTGAATGTCCGAATCCCACGAGTCCGTTATAAATTTACACCATTTCTCCAAAACTTCTCCTCCAAATCTATCACTGAGTAGCAGTCTCCAATACGAGACGGCCAATTCACGGGGTAATTTCTTTTGCTTTTCTTCCAGAGAGAACGAAAAAGCAAAGTCATAAATTTTGTGAAGATATGATTCGTCTGTGAGTATTCGTTCTTTCAACCCATACACGTATTTGGTCATTTCAGGGAGGGTGGTAATTCTGAACTGGTTAGTACTCGCTTTTTGTAGCCAAACAAAAGAGGCTCAACTTTGCATTGGCTTATAGGGCCCCATAGAAGCGAGTCGCTTCAAAGTATTTCCCTGGAACCTCTATCCTCACAATATTTCAACTTACCCAACTCCTTTCCAGCGACTTATGAACAACGACTTGGGGAATTCCCCCACTTTAGTGGATCCTAGAAACTCAGCTAGTGCCAACATCCCCACATCTTCGACTTCAAACCCTAAGTCTTCGCAATATGCAATTGTTCCGTCTATCAGTATCTGGTCGCAACCGGGATCTGTTATGGGTGTTAGTGGGATGATCTGCGTAGAACAACAACAGGTGACCTACCTTGGTATTTTTGGAACAATGCTTCGAGTCGCTTGGACATCCTCAAGATCTCTAATTCCCTATGTACAAAGCTGATGGCAGAAGTAGGTATAGACAATTAGAAAGTTTATCTGCTCCACCTTAGAGGTTAGGTATCAAACTGAACTGAAAGAACCTTTTGATAAGAGCACGACCACACGTATCTATTGCACGCGGTAAACAACATCTGCATTGTTTTAAAAATCTTTAGCAGCTTATCAGACAAAGCCCGATATGGGATTCAAGTATTTGAATGCTGAATTGGTACATGATGTTCTGAGTACCAATAACTTACATCGAAAAGAGGATGAAGAAGTCTCTACAGAGAGAGGTAGAGTGATAGCATGGCTAAGAGATCAGTTCGAAGAGTCTGTTACAACCCAGAAACGTCCACCCCTCAGTATCTGTACTAGTGTCAAGACAATTCTAAAAGATGATGCCACTGTGTTTGAGCAGTTCAAAGAGAGTACCAGGATCCACCTTTTTAAAGAGGGGTCTTATATTCTAGATAGCATCACTACGTCATCTGCTGGTATAGACGATCTATTCCAATGGTTGGACAAGACAAGAAATGATTTAACGATAATGATGACGACGTTTGTTCTCAGCTACGAGCAACAAGATTCTGTTGTGAGACTCTCAAGATCAATGTTCCAGACGATATTGAATGAGCCAGTCAACAGGAAGAAACTATTCCTGGTCTACCAGCAACAACTCACATCGGAGAGTTCGTTATTCGATCCAGAGCGTCTTCAGTACTACAACAAGCTGCTTCAAATGGCTGGATATCAGGAAGAGGTTGATGATCTAATGGTGCAAGTTACGAGATCCATCATCCAGGCGCGTGTAGAGATGGAATACACTGGACATTGGCAGGCCCCGGCTCTTCCTAGTCTACTGGACTGGGTAGAGCACCAGGTTTACAGAAGACTTTGCCTCATTCAGTGCACGCCAAATCTGACTCTGGAATGTCTAGAGTCTATGTCCAAGAACGAACTAGCACTTGTGAGAACCAAAGAATGCTTTGATATTGTGAACAGCTATCCTGGTTCTACCAGTGCTCTTGAGGAGATCAGAATTTGCTTGAAAACTACACAACAGCGAGAAAAGTTGATATACACCTTCATATCCGCATGCGATAAGAGACTGCTTCACTCGGGAGCTAACACAGTGGACGTGGTTTCTTTCTACATATCCACTATACGATCGTTTTTGATCATAGACCACAGGGCCGTATTGCTCGACAAAGTGTGCAGACCAATACGGAGATACTTAAAGGAGAGAGAAGATACCATTCAAAAAATTGTCTTTGCAATGCTGGACGAGACCGAAGATAACTCATTGATTGATCTGGCAAATGAGCTGAGGAAGGGTGGGGAGCAGAACCTGAGTGTTGACGATTTTGCAAATGATCTTAACTGGGTCCCCGATCCAATAGATGCTCTTCCAGATTTCCGCAAGGGTGTGGTCAGCGATATAATAGAGTCTTTGATCTCGTTGTTTGACTCCAAAGATATATTTATGGGTGAATTTGTGAACGTCTTCGCAGACAAACTTCTAAAACTGACTGACTACGATACCTCTGACATCATGCTGAAGTTGGAGTTGCTGAAATTGAAGTTTGGTGACTCGGAGTTCAGCTCTCTGGATGTCATGCTAAAGGATTTTGCTGACAGTAAAGCGACAGACTCTGCTATCCACAAAGAGACAGATGTGGACCCACAATTTCATTCTTCCATACTATCACACCTTTATTGGCCAGCGCTGGATAAGGAGACGTTCTCGTTACCGTCATACGCAACTGCCGAAGCTGATAAATACGCAGAGGCGTTTACATTATCAAGGAAAGGACGGAAACTCAAGATGGTTCCATCTCTGGGAACGGTGTCTATCGATGTAGAATTTGCAGACAGAACCGAGACATACATTGTTACCCCGGATAAAGTTGCTGTTCTTGATCTCTTTCAATCTCCCAAAGGTTTGCAATTGGAAGACGTTTGTGGATCACTGAACATGTCTGACTCTCTTGCAAGAAGAAACATTGTTTATTGGCTAAAAGCTGGAGTTTTGCAAGAGACACCATCGGGAGTATTCAGGGTGGTGGAGAACCAGGAAGACACCCAGAGGCGAGCTGGTGCCAGCATGGCCGATAATCATCTCATTGATGACACACCAGACGATTCTTCAGTCAATGCAATGGAATCTTATCTCCCTTTCATTCTCGGGATGCTCACCAATCTGGGTGCTACTCCAATTCCAAAAATGCACTCGTTTTTGCAAATGTTGGTACCAAAGGATAATCCTTATACGGCTACGCAGAGCCAGCTAGAAGCTTACTTGAGCACATTAGTGGATGAAGACAAGCTGGAACTTGTCAATGGCGGGTCCTACAAGTTGAAGAAGTGATGGAATGTTGTCCAATAATTATGAAATAGGTCATTGTGAGCTTGGAGTAGCTTTCACCAGACTAAGTTTAGGTTGTTTTGAAAATGTACAAGTATTGGAATTATAATGGATATCTCAGCATCATCTAATCAACTTCAACATTCAGAATTTGTTCAACTGCTTCCAAAACATCATCTCCAACACTGCTGTCCTTGCCATCTTGATAATGAGGATTCGAAAGCTTCTGCCTAATGACTTCATCTAAGAGAGATCTCAAATGCTTGATGAGAACTGCATTTTTGCACCAGGTTCGAACCGGCAGCCAGCCATCAAGAACGATACCTGGAGATGCGTTTCCAGAAATGGCCTGCCTGAGATCATAGGAAATTTCACCACCAAAGAGTAGTACCGACAGAATGGAAGAGGGCGTGATGTCACGAAGATACAGCTTGCTGGTTTCGGAAGCAGATCCAAACGAAAGAAACGAGATCTTTGCTGTTGGTGCCAATTTTGACCCAACTTTGGGCTTTAAGTCGTAATTACCAGACTCGTCAATGCGAATTTCCTGAATGTCCTTCTCGTTCTTGGTGAAAAGAGAAGACGAGGGGTGGATGAATGCCCTGTTGCTGGGATACGGCTTTTCGTCTTTCTCCTTGGAGATCGCTGTGCCTTCCTTCCGCAGATAGTCCATATATTCCTCATTTCTGATCCATAATTTGATTTGTTTGGCGTCTGGATCAGTCGCCACGGCACCAGAGGCACTGGTGGTGAACTTGGGATCTGGAAGCTGGACCCTTGCAATGTCGGGATAAGCTGCTGAAGTGATGATGGCCTTGATGATCCTGTAGTTGGAATTTGCACGGTTCAGATACTTGAAACTCTTTGAGCCTGAACCATAGTCCAAAGGAACAAACCCCAGATCTTTAAGAGTGGAAAGATACTGTGATTTCGTTGAAAGAAGCTCACGGATCTTGATCTGGGAAAGAAAGTTTTCATCCAGCCATTGTGACTTTTTCCTATATGAGGCGTCACCCAACTTTGCGTATTCATCAAGGGCATTCACAACAGCCATGAGATCTCCCTTTCCCATACTGAAGCGGGTCTGGACGTTTTTGACTTCGTCCCGGGTATCAACTCTGGTGATGAACGGGTTTCCACTTACAGAAATGGCAGCTATGGTGAGACAGGTCTCCAGAGCACCAAATAAAGTGCCAAAAATCAACAGTTTCCCCGATTTCAGGTCTGTGGGAAGAATGGACAAATATCTTCCGAGATTTGTCAATTCAGAGTTGTGAAGAGCACCAATCTCGGAGAGATACTCGGCTGCTTTAGCAACTGTAGTCTCAGCTGGTGGGTCTAAACCTTCAGCCAGGAATCTCGAAACATTTTTTATTCCAATGGCCTTCACAACAAGATAAACGTTCTCCAGTCTCGTCCTTTTGATCTCCGGAATGGGCTGGGCAAGCATCTGCTCGCTCATGGTCTTCTTAGTGAACAACCTATAGCACATACCACTGGTCACACGGCCGGCTCTTCCTCTTCTCTGGTTGACCTCAGCTCTAGAACACCAACTCTCCAGGAGCTTTGTAGAGTTCATCTTGGGGTCGTACATCATAGACTTGGCTCTTCCGCTGTCAATCACGACTACGACATCCGGGATCGTGATGGAGGTCTCGGCAACGTTGGTGGAAACCACAATCTTCCTGACACCTTTTGGAGGAGTTACAAAAATTCGTTTCTGGTCTTTGGAACTAAGTGCCGAATGAAGAGGAAGCACTTTGCAGTTCCCGGTGAATGACTGCTCGATCGTGCGAATGCATCTGGTGATCTCCATGACACCAGGAAGGAAGATAAGAATCGAGCCATTATTACCCTTGGTTTTCAGTTGTTGATCCACAAAACCCACCAATTGCCCGATCAGATCGTAGTTGATATTTCCCAGCTGGAAAAACTTGGATTCTGGGCCCGGGGTAATGATCTCACCGTCGTCTTTGAACGACTTGATGGTGAACCCGATTTGAGGAATGATGTCCTCCAGATACATGTCCTCGATTGGGAATGTGCGGCCCTTGATATGTGAATGTGGCACTTTTCCACCGAAGTAGTTATCAAAGGTGGACGATTCAATAGTGGCAGACATCAACACCACTTTGAGTTTGGGGTACTTAGGAAGCATCGTCTTGAGAATGATCAACAACAGGTCACTATCCACAGAGCGCTCGTGGACCTCGTCTATGAAGATATACGAGAGGTCCGAAAATACGCTGGCATCTGTATCCTCGTCAACAACACCCTGGACCATTCTCAACAGAACACCAGTGGTGACGAATGTCAGACGAGTTGTGGGACCAGTCTTATTCTCACCTCTGATGATATAGCCTGTTTCTTGGCCACATTCCTCGCACCTTTCCTCAGAAACACGGTCGGCCAGACCCAGGGCTGATATACGTCTGGGCTGTGTGCAGACGATTTTGGACTTGAAGTCTCCTTCTGAACTGAGATGATCAAGCAGAAATTGGACGATCTGGGTGGATTTACCAGAGCCGGTCTCACCAGTAACCAAGGATACCCTGTTGGTGGTGATCATGGATACCAGATCTTCTTGCTTGCTCCAAGCAGGCAACGACGCCCTTCCTTTGAGAGATACTTTCAGTTTTTCTGAGCACTGTCTTTCCAAATACCTCTTCTTGATTTCAGGTTCGTTCAACCTGCGAGATCTGGATCTTTTCTTGCTGCTGGCATTGGATGTTTTTTCGTCTTGAGAGGAGCCCGGTTCACTCTTGGGGTTCAAACGGGGATTGAAAAGGGGACCTGGATTTTCAATTAGTCCATGAAGATTTTCCTCTATCCACTCAACCAACGGCCAGATCATGCAATCACCAACTAGCCGGTTTTCTAGGGCATATGCCTGAAGATGCTTGATAGCCGAGAGCTTGATGTAACTAGCCAGGCTGTATGACTGGTTCTTGACCACCAATGCCATTCCTGGAAGCGAAAGCGGATAGTCAGTTGACTTGAAGACTTTCAGAGCCAACAGGTTTGGGGCCAAACCCTGAGGCTCTATGTTGATTTCCACGATAGAATCGCTCAAAACATTGAACTTCTGCTCATAGATTACATGGAGTCCTTCTATCTCGTCTTTGAACAACTGAGCAGACTCTTCCGCATCTATTTCTCCCAAACTCATTTCATCAAGACTCAATAGAGACTTGGACAAATATACTGCGGCCTTGGCTTCATCGTCTTCAAATCTATCCAATGCAAATTCAACTTCGGACTTGCTGAAACCTCCGTCAGCAAGTCGTCTTGCCATATTGCTTCTTTTTATATCTTTGGAAAGAGTAACCGCGACGGCAGAGTCTTTATCGCCTTTTGCAAACACCCCGGGAAGATCGTCATCTGGAATATGGAAAATCAACCACTCCAACGAATCAACAAACGTGTGGGTATACTTGATACTTTCCTCGACATGCGGCTTACGGAACCCAAGCTGAAGTAGAAATTCTGTATACGACGTGTCCCTCTTCGAGGAAACATCCTGTGTCCAATTGATGTGGTGTTTGATGGAAAATTCAATTAGCTCCCTCGTCTGGGGCTTCAGATCAATAAACGGAGCAGAAGCCCAAGCCTTTCTCGGAAACGAAATCTTGTCATTGATGAACTTGTTATTCCTCTTAACCGATGTTTGTTTCACATCCAATGTAGCTTTGACGATGGAGATAGTTGGCTTTCGAGCCTTCTCTGCATTGGCCAATGAGGCGGCTTCTTCCTTGCGTTTCCTTTCCTCTTCCTTGCGTTGCTCCAGAATAGCTCCAAACGGATCGGGCGTATACATCAGCCTGGCCCTGTCTGGGCTATCTCTCAACAGCTTCTTGCGTTCCTTTTCGAGATCAGACCACAAATGTTTATGGTTGGTGGGTAAGACCATCGAGAGGTTCTTTTCAAAGGCAATTCTGTGAAGAGCGTACGTAGCTGCAAAATGCCTTGCTTCCAAGCTTGTCTCTTGTGGTTTGACCATTTGGCGCGGCGGAACCATCTGGACTGTGATTACTTCTTGGGTTTTCGGGTTCTTCCAAGCAAGGTTCACAATCCCGAGATATCCACTTTTGTCATGACGCATATCATAAGTCACTTTTTCCCATCTTTGTTTTTGACAATGCTCATGAAGAAGCGAACCCGGAAGTTTTCCAGTCCACGTCTGGCCTGAGGCCACCACGTCTCTACCGGTCTTAGGCTTCGCTGGCTCCGGCTCCGGTGGAGATGTCTTCTTAACCTTTTTCGAATCCTTCACCGCAGGTTCGGTTTTTGGTGGTGTTTTTCCTTTCTTCGCCATCGGTGGAAAGAGAACACAGAATGCTGAAGGTGAAGCATAATCTCTATGGTAAGAAATTTATGATGAATATTTTGCGTGCAAAGACTATAAAGACGCCGCAGATGAACCTTGCATGAAAGTCGTACATCACCAGTTGTAACGCCGCACATACCTTGGCTCAAATTGATTATGATCGCTCGTTAAATGCCAGCTATTATACACATATTATACATTATCTTCTCACGATTTCCTGAATTGGATTCCGCTGAAGGGTCTCGCCGTATCTGGTGAGCTTTGTGCCCCGGGATTAGCATATCCTTGAGGCTTTCGGAAAGCGCCAGGCTTCCGCAGGCCCATGCCAACACCAATTGCAGAAGGTGGTGTACCCAATAAAGAAGCCCCAAGCATAGGCCGAATCTGCGGCGAAGGCGTTGACGTTGGTAGTGGTTTGGGAGCCGGAGAAGATATGGAACCACCGTCAGGGACACCGGCCGGAGCGGCCGTTGTCGGCATGCCCCCACCAGGCTTCTTGTATTGAGGCGGTTTGAAGGCTGTAGCCCACGGGACAGCCTTAACACGATCCTCGAGCTCTGTTCTTTGCCTTTTGAGGATTGACTCGATACTTTCGTCAGGTTTACGCTTCTCAACACGTGGCTGGTGCGGCTGTGACGGGGTATTAGCAGCTGAAAAGGCGTTATTTGAGTCGAAGCCTCTGTTTCGCTTCACCAAAGCAGTCAGACCCATATCTAACTGGCGCGAAGGTGGTGCGTTTGGTTCCGAAACTGGTTTTGGACTCGTGCTTGGATTGTCTCGGCGCACTTTGAAGGAAATTACACCGGTGGGAACACCTGGTATGGAACCCTCAGTATGCTCAATTCCTTGCCTTTCCGATTGTGGGGGAACCAGGTCTAGCAATGAAGTCAGCATGGTTTTCAAAATCTCCGTCAAATGCACTCGTTCGTCAGACTTGTCATCCTTGTTAGCAGCGGTATAAGCGGATGCCACTGCTGTGGCAGTGGTAGCAACAGCAGAATCCTTATCTGAACCAGGAACATTTCCAAACGTGCTGTATACAGTCGCCAAGTTCCGAAGAAGATTTGGGTCAGTCAAACCCGGAATAGAGTCAACCTTCACCCCGGAAAGAGCCAGACTCTCTGAAATAGTACTGGGTCTAGGCGGCGGTGGCGCTCGGGTATCTTCTGTTGAGCCCTCTTGGTTGGCCCCAGAATGAGAAGGCGAGCTGCTGGAATCCGCAACTATGTCTCCAACCACTGAACTACCCATATCATGGGCTATGTCGTTTTCGCGCGCCAACCGTTTTTCCTTGCGGCGCCCAAACTCTTTGTCAAACCACGACTTCCTATCACTTTCCTGGCTATCCTGGGGAAATAACTGAATAGCCCTTTTCATCAACCTTGCCCGCAAGTCGTTATCCTTATTTTTTTCGCTATTTCTTTCACGCCACTTCTTCTTGCGTATGCGGTTCTCGATCTTGATCCTGAGCTTGATGTCCTCGGGCGAATCTCCCAAAGGCATATCCGCTGGTCTGAGATCATCACCGGATGATAGAGGTCTTTTGTCAATATAGTTTCCAGCTCCACCATCCAGACGTGAAATTGTTGTCAGAAGCGCACCCGTCATCGCACGCAGGGAAGTAAAAGAAAGATTGGTCCAATTACCGAATCGGGCACGATGTTGCGATTTTGATGCCGGTGGAGCCAGTCTTTGGGCTATTAAAGTGCGTGGATCCGGACCAGTGCTGGATCTTGACAATTCGGAAGAACCACCAGGCCCAGAAGTCCTGGCATAGTTCATTCGGGCACGAGTAAGCGCTAGAGTCTCCGCGATCGACAAAGTCACCTTCTTAGGAGGCTCCGGCTTCGGAGGAGAAGCTTTGGACTCAACAGCTGTAGATCCAGTCTCGGTATGGTTTTCTACTTTCCCTGCTCGAGTCTTCTTCTTTGGACGCTTGCGGGTCTCGTCACGTAACGCTTCCTCCATGTTGGTGAGAAGATCAGTGGGATTCTCCATAGCAAGTTCCATAGCATTCTGCAGAATCTCGTTCAAGTCTAGATCATCATCATGGGGCTCTTTCACGGTCTCGTTATTCTCAACCACGTCCTTTACCATCTGAGCCAAGGCTGCCTGCAGGGCTTCCGAGTCCTCGTGGTCCTTGTCTTCGAGCTGTTCGAATGTTTGCATGGCTAACTGTCTCAATAACTCCGCGGGAATCTCTGCATCTGAAGCAGCGTCATTTCCGGATCCAGTCTCGTGTTCAGGCTCAGAGGCAGGTGTTGAAGGGGCCTTCTGGTGCTCTTCTAACGCTTCGCGAATGGCATCGCCAAGTTCCAGGGCAGATTCATCAGTGGCACCTTCAGCACCTTCAGCTGGCTGAGGAGCTTGTTCTTGCACCTCCTCAGAAGGTTCAGACTGCCGCTGGGTTTGATCCGTGTCCTCGGGGTCTTGTGCTGCTTTCTCTAGCAGTCCAACGGTATCCTCTACAAGCCGGTCAAGAATAGCATTCTCCAGCTCGGGCTTCTCCGTTTGATGAGGATCCAGCAGCCTCACATCGTCAACCAGCCCGTTGAGAGCATCAACACTCATATGCTGGAGATCTATGAGCTCTTGGTTGGTGCGCTTGGTCTCATCATCATCGTTGTCATCAGCATGATGGGCCTCGGCAACCTGGTTCACCAGATTTTTGAGGATGTCGTCGTCCAGGTCAAATTGGAACGCCTCTGCCTGGCTGGCAGCCTCGCCGGACGTCAGGTGTGAATCACCACGGTCGGTATCCATCGCGTTGGGCCTCTTATCTTATCTTATCTGGAAAGTGACTGTATATTTCACAAAGGGTAATCGGGGTGACTGCTGTTTTTCGCTGAGGCTGTCGTGGTCCGAATATTACTCAATCCAGTTCTGAAAGTTACTCATGGCGATGAGGTCGTGCATCCACTAAGGGAAACTTCCTAAATGACTTGTCTGTACATGACTGGAGCAACATGTAATTTATTGAGGCATGAATCAATTTTTGGGAGATTCACGACGAGAGCAACAACTTGAAAGGAGGCACCGGGTCTATCTTGGGACGACAATAGGGGATCTGTAGGTAGCTGTCACAATGTGATAGTATTTGCTCCAAGTAGGATAGTCATTGGAGGTAAATGTTGATTACTTGGTTTGTCTTTGTAAAACCAATGCCAATTTAGGAGATTGGACCTTGGGCCCCCCTACAAGCTATTACACCGAGTCACAGAGATAAATTGGCAGACATCCGTTCCAGGTTCGGTTAGATCACCAGAATAAAGTTTTTGGCCCAGCCCAAGCAACTATTAATCGCGGCACTGAAGCAAACATTGGGAATTAAGATAGGTAGTGACGACTTCTAGTGCCAAGGTAAAATTACTATGGTATGCAATCAGCATTAATATAAAGCAATTGTGCTTTAGTTCTCGACTTTCGAAAATAGTGAGGCAGCATCCAAGAGATGTCGGCAGAAGTGACTCTACTTACGCATAATTTCATTAATTTTGATATTATTCATTACGCTTTTACCCCTTCCAATCGGCAGCCACAGTCTCCAGGCCCTCAATCCGTCAGCCGTGCCGATGATGGGAAACAGTGCATGGGTGACCATCTATTTGCCATATCTTGTACCGTTAATATTCCCCGTTGATAGGTTCCCAACGCAAGGAACCAGAAACCATTAAAAAAGAAATTAAAAACGAACATGATGTAAGACTGCATTGTGCATCTGACCAATCACAGGGGTCAAACTTCTTGCGTTGGCACCCCCTACCGTCTATTAACGGAGACGGCTCCGCGTCATTAAGTCTGAGCGACGGAGAACGTCAGTTGATGTCAGAATGGATAGGGAGGTATATAATCAGGTTCAAATCGCAATCTGTTGCTCTGCAATTAATTCTATGAAATTATCAACTACCAGTTTTTACTAGGTACCACTACACCAGCCAGAATCTTGGACATCTTCTCTCTCACTTTACGGCTCGGTCTCGGTATTCTCTGACACACTTACGTTGTTCACGGCTGTGCCTACCGTTGCCTCACACACGACCACATAGAAATCCCGCGATCGGTCCATCGCTTCAGCCGAGGCCTTTTCCTAAAAGTGATTAATCCCCTCGATATATATTCCTCCGCTTCTGGAAATTGTTTTTGAGGGTTTTTGATTCCTACTCGTTTCACCACATCTCCATTTCACGTCTTTTTTCTTCCACAATGGCTCTACGTCAGGACGACCGCAAAAGACGAGTCGGCAAAGCGTGCGACTGCTGTCGCATCAAGAAGACAAAATGTGACGGGAAGAAGCCTTGTTCAAAGTGCACATTTGACAACAAAGTTTGTGTCTACAGCGAGCGTAAACGGCACAGAGACAAGGTTTACCAGCCCGGATACGTTGAGCTGCTGGAAACCAGGTTGGAACTTCTCTCCAAGAGTTTGGAGACTTTGTGCCGTATGGTGGGAACCAAGCAAGACCTTGCCTTCCTGGATTTGGAAAACACTGCAGACTTTTCTGTTAACAAAGTCATCGCACAGTTGATTGACCATGGTCTTGAGACACCCTTGGAAGGGTGGGATGGTGCAGCTCTGGTCGCGGCGAACTTCTCGGAGGATGCCGAGTCGCTTGCAGATGCCTCCAGACAGTTTGCCACTCATGACCAAGACGAAGCCGAGGAGGATTCGCCGCTTCGACTAAGCCAGACATATACTGTGGAGAACTCTTCTGTCTCATCGCCCGGTTCTCTCGACCAAGTGTTTTCGGATTTCGACACCTTTCCTCTGGACTTGGGTCCCTTTTCGTCTGGTGCGGCGCTTGCCGCTGCTGCCGTGGACGGATCATTGCCTATGTCTGCTTTTGAGTCAGCATCCCCGGTATCTGCTCACACAGAACACTCTTTCATGGATGATCCACCCAGCTCCATAAATTATCCGTTTTCTGCAAACGCTTCTCCGCTGAATTCTCCTGTACTTGCAGGTCACATTACGAAGCCGCGCCGCCAGAGCGATTCCCAGTCGCGCATCGAGAAGGCGTGGCCCCACTTAGATCTTTCGGAAGTTCTTTGGACTTCTTGAGCACCTCCTGCATGTTACACCCTTTTAACTTGATGATGAAGACTGCCAGTGTTTGATTTTTTTTCTTGTTCGCGATGATGAAGATGATTTTTTGGATTACCCCTCGCTTGAGGTTACGAAATCGATATATCTATTTCACCTTGCTTGCCGAGGTGATATTATTTATTATGCCATGTACTTTTGATATTTATGAGCCATGTTTTACGCCCTTATCTTTGTCATTGTAGATTGCTTGTCAATTGTTCTCGGTAGCTTCTTTGGTTACTTAAAGAAACGAATAAGCCTTAATTGTTCGGCACTCTGCGCAAGATTTCGCTATAGCAAAATCTGACTAGTTTAGTTCAAAGAGCTGTGCTAGACGAAATGCTTGTTTTAGCGTTTAATGCTAGCATCCGGTCTAAGTTTGCAGGTATACGAGCTGCATCAATTGTTATGCATGTGCATCACCTGCAGAAGAAATAGATAGACTCTGCTTCAATTCCCTCGTTAACTACAAAAAACTCATGAATAATTTCCACTATAATAGTCTTGACTAGCTTATTATTTGTCTGCGACTCGTTTGTTGTTGCTATCATTTGGGCTTGGCGCATCTTGCTTACAGATTTCCAGTTACATACGTCGCGTCAATCTTCTTTATACCAGGCCCCAAGTTCAACCTAACTTTGCGGCGATAAGCAGGTGGATTCTGCAATTGGATAGGATTGCCTTCGAAATAAACCGTTTCCAACTCTGGTAATTTCGCCAACGATTCTAGGCGCCCGAAATCCGCAATCTGGTTGTACGAACACCACAGATCTGTCAGCTTTGTCAGATGTGAAAGTCCATCTAGATCAGAAATCCTATTGGATGTGATATCGATAGTTTTCAGTTTCGTATTCTTCTCGAGATTTTCAATCTTGGAGATTCCATTGTGGGAAAGATATAATTCTTCCAGGTTCTCCAACTCCTCCAATCCTTCAATCTTGGTCAACCTATTGGACTGAATCGACAAAATTCGCAGGTTCTTCAAAGCTCCCAAGTTCTCCAACTTCTTAATCCGGTTCTTGCCCAGCCATAGCTCTTCCAGAGCTGGCAATTGGAGTAAAGTATCGCTGATCACCTCAATCCGGTTTCCCCCAAGCTCTAACATCCGCAATCTTTTCAATGTTGCCAATCCGGTAATCTCTGATATCCGATTTTGCACAAAATAAAGTGACTCTAGATTAACCAGCTTGTCGATATTCTTGATGTTTTTGATCTTATTGAAGGAAAAGTCCAAACTGGTCAGTTTGGTGAGCGCGTTGATGTGCTTGGATATGTGGTTGATCCGATTATCGTACACGTCAAGATCTTCAAGTAATTCTTCATTGAGTACTTTGACTCCGGCTATTGAGTCCAGCAGATTAGAACGCAAGCAGAGTCCTTTTAGTTGCTGGAAACGGCCTAGTCCAAGTGCCTCGAATGACTTCACCTTCAAGTGGATCAGGTCAATGTACTCTACATCATCTGCATAAGCAGACGTAAGATCGTCGTCAGCATCAAATTGCTCGGGAGATTCGTCAGGTAAAACCACGACTCCCTCTGGGAACCCACGCGTTACGGCGTCGTTCTCTTGTGCTTCGTTCTCCGCAGCAAGATCTTCCGCATCCTCTTCGGAATGGGACGCATCAGGCTCGGAAAGATGCAGATTTTGAATTGCAGGAGTCTCTTCTTCAACTGTCATTATAAAGGATGTAAATATTCAATTGATATATTGATGAAAAGAAAGAAATACAAATCTAAGAATGACTCATTGGTGGTGTTGAACAAGTTTGTTGCCTTCAGAATCAGGGGGTTCTTTCCCGGTGGTGCACTACCTTGAGGTTTTCTGGATGGGCCAATCACGACTCGTACACATAATAAAGCTTACTTATGATTGTTTCTGGAACGGAAATCTATTTTGTTATGTTCAAGATATACTGGGGATTGGAACCTATCGATAATGGCCATACTGGCCGTATAAACCATTCCGCGGAGCATTCCGAGATAGTTTCCCCTCTTCTTCTCTGTCGCCTTCTCTGTCGCCTTACTTTCTCCATATCTTAACGGATCTCGGCATCCAAACCAATCTCTTCTGGGATGTAGTTGGCAATAACGTAGTTAACACACTCTCCGACAGACTGGATCTTGTTGGCGGCTTCGTCGTCGAAGATGATGTCAAATTCCTCTTCCAGAGCAACGAGAGCATCGTTGTAATCCAGAGAATCCATTCCCAAATCTTGCGAAAACTTGGTCTCAAGGCCAATCTCAGGAGTCTTCACGTTAAATCCACGCAAAACCTGGACAGAACGAGCCAAGACGTCTTCTTTGGTCAACATCGAGGAGTGCTGCGTGATGTTGAAACGCACCATTGCGGGAGCCGATCTCAGGGCACCAGTTCTGGCCATGGCGGCGTTGGCCATCAATGAACGGGAAACAGATCTAAACATTGTGTGGATGTGGATGGATGAGTTGTATGAAAGATGTTTCTGGGGCGGTGTAAAGCGTTGTATTGAGCGACTTGGGTTCAAAGCTTGCCGTCGAAAAATCTGGACTTTGATAGCGCACGACTAAGGTAAACGCGAATCAGTATCTGTCCCTTTGGCGATTAATGATCAGTTACCGATTGAAAATATGGAAACTGTTTGAAAGTAATCCAAGCAAAAGAATATTACAGAGGATACTTGAAGCGGCTATGCGAGCGATCAAAAGGTTGAGTCGATCGTGGGGGAATAAGGTAGAGTTGAATTGCTGAATGTGTGCGGCTGAGTAAGGTGTGTGCTGAAGATTTGGGGTCTATAAAGCCTTCATTTTGTAATTATTTTAAACACATTTAAGATTAAAGGTGTATGTAGCTGAATCATGGATGCAGGGTGATATCAAAAAGCATCGTGATACCAGCTGGTGCATCCAGACTGGCATTTCCTCTACAACTCTATACAGAAACGAACCACTAAACTATGTGCGGTGCGGAGCAGAAATATACGCCTTGAAATGATTAGTGTTTTTATCAGGGATATTTGCACCAGAATCCATCGTGAATTTGTATATATTGCTGGTTCAGATCGAACGTGCGAGCAGAATCGGAATCATGTATATCTCTGTTTCTCTGTCCAGCATTAGAAACAAACCCTTCGGTAAAAATGATTCTTGATTGCCGCCCAAGTTAATTCTATCTGGTCAAGTATTAGATCCAAACTTGTTTTTACAATGGGATTTAATTCCCGTTCAAAATTCCATATACAAGAGGGTGTGACATCTGTCATTATCCCATCTGGTGGCTCAAAAATAATTTTTGTCGTTGTTATCTGCCTCTTTAGCTTAGTGGTAGAGCGTTGCACTTGTAATGCAAAGGTCGCTAGTTCAATTCTGGCAAGAGGCATTTATTTTTTTTGGACCGGATTTAGTCATTGACTCTTGCCAAAAATGGTCCAATCGCAGGTTCAGGAATCGGCATGGCTCTGGTCTCCTATCCCGGTTGATGTAGAGGCCGTGGCGGAACCCGGATCCAACTCCTTTTTCGGAACTCTAGAGGGCATAGGAATAACGCGAGGTGGGTGCAACAAACGGACGGATCCTATCTGATAAGAGACCATTAATTTCTTTTTGCTTCCGTTCGGACATGGCTCTGCCCCTTCGGATATGTTGAATTGTTTGAGTTATTATTTACGAATTATTAACAAATGATTGTTGAAGATGGTTTCCTGATGGTCATAAACTATTAGATGAAACGTTTCTTGACAGCGGCTTCGTTGTCAGAGAGCTTGAAATCTTTGGTGTGTATAAATTTGATTTGGCCAAATTTTCACCCTTATCTCTACGTTTTTTGTCGGGGATGATCTGCTCCATCTTTCCGTAAGAACAGCAGCCTCGCAGATCGTGGAAGCATTCCGTCTGCAAGTGCGAGTCCAACGGTTTTCTGCAGCCGCGTCTAAGACCGGCTGACAAACCCGGGCCTTCCGTCAGAAAACATACGGTAGGAACAGTTGACTAATGACGTGATGACATATGAGATATATGATATTATATAGAAATTGAGTATATATATATTGCTCGTATACCCCAGTAAAGGCCGAGTTCATGTTCTGGATTCCAGAATTTGTCAATTGATCTCTTACCCCATCCATACCCTGTCCTAGACTCCAACAATAGCAAACATACCCTATCAGATAGCCTACAATGTCCGCACAAATATTCAGACAGTCTTTTTTGGCTACTGAGAAATTTGCCAGTCCATTTCTCATGTCGGCAACTCCTAGAAAATACTCGTTTTCAATTCCAGATGAACTGCAAACGCCATGTGATCCTAGAAGATACTCGTTTTCGATTCCAGAAGAACTACAAATGCCATGTGATCCACCATCCTACTCTGCTGTCATTAAGATGCCAACTACTCCAGCTACGCCAGCGAGGAAGCCTGCGCCGAGCACAGCCATCCCTTCTCCAGCTAAAGTCGAACGCTTCAAGAGCAGTGGAGGAGCACGTGTTTTGAAACTATTGCAATTGCGTGACACTGCGCTTACTGCCCAGGATATGGAGCTGGTAGACAGACTCATGAGACTGGGAGTGCGTCTTGGTAGGCCGGCTGTTGATCTGTGTTTGTCCTATTTTCGTACAAAGGGAGTGAGAATCCCCAGTGCAAGAGCCAGAGCTGTGAATAGGTTATCCGCCCGAGACGTTGCATATCTCGATGCTGCATACGCTGGTTGAGCAGGATCGTTGATTTTTTTTTATTTATCTACATATTATATATATAACAATTGGAGTTGATTTCTTTCAGATTATACAGTGTTTCAAATGAAATAGCACATCATTGGCCCGATCTTTGAGTAATATTTGAGAGTACCCCAGTTCATGATCGCCAGCTAATCCCATGTCAATTCTATTCATCTATCTATGCAAAAAAACGAAACCTATTGCAGTTGCTTTCAATTGACAATAAATTGACAATACGATAACAAGAGGTTATACAATGTCAGGCCCAGGCTTCCGCTCACTCCTTAGGAGTTTCAGCCTCGTGATTGGCCCAATCCTCCCATGAGCCCACATAATTCAGTCTCTTTCCATATCCAAACGTTCCAGCCAGTTCTTCCGCTGCTGTAGACCTCACTCCGGCAAGGCAGTAGAACACTAGTTCCGTATCTGTCGTTGGCTTAGGGAAGCCAAAAGTCATCTCAAAATCATCGTCCGGTAATCCGAGGGCTCCTGGTGACGTCTTGTAGGGAATATTGACTGCATTAGGAATATGTCCTTGGGCATACTCACTTGGCTCGCGAACATCCACTATCAGGGCGTCGCCGGGTTTTTCAGATAGGGCCTTCACTTCCTCGTATCCAACGACTTTGGCATTAGGCTCTTCTTCAATGACGCTGTAGTATCTAAATTGGTTCCGAATATTGCTCTGGGTCTTCAACCCAGATCTCAAACCAGAAATCGCCACCTGTTTTGCTGGTTGAAATGCAAACCTCAACGCTGGGGATGAGTATAGGTTTCTGACCAAAGCCCGAGTGGCCAACCTGACCGCGGGAGAACTGCGATTTAACATCATTTCTTGCAGTCTTGATTCAATATCGGGTTTTAGATAGAAAACTCGATGCAGCAAAGTGATAAATACGTGGAGTCCTTGAATCAGAAAGCGCTGTGTCACCTGAATGCTCGCTTAAGGCTCCCTAGTTTTCTCCCGATCTGATCACTTGGACGTGCACTACTTCTTTTTTGTGTGACACACTTCGTTTATTACTTTTTTCTGCCTTCCACTATTGCCTCCTGACCGGTTGTTTCAACCTTTTCACCTGAAGAATTTTGTCTTTTCCAGTATCGAGAAAATTCTCTATCTCAAAAATGTCTGCTAAAGTTATCAAAGGAACAGTATTATGTCTGCATGGGTTTGCCCAGACCGGCCCCAATTTCTCTGTCAAGGCCTCGGGGATCAGAAAGGCCCTCAAGAAAATCGGCTATCATACCGTCTTCATGAATGCGCCAATCGAGCTGAAACCGGCTGACCTTCCCTTCGAAGTGTCCGATGTTAGCAAGTTTGGAGGTGATACAGCTGAAGATGCTCAGTTCCGTGGTTGGTGGTACACCAATGACGACTTTGACATTGAGCCAGCCTTCCAGTCCCTCAGAGACGTTTATGCTGAAAGTGGTCCATTCGTGGGTATCCTCGGTTTCTCTCAGGGTGCCGGACTTGCCACTATCTGCTTGAACGAATGGCAAAAGATTATTCCAGGTGCTGAGCCTCTCAAGTTTGGTATACTTTATTCAGGGTTCAGAGTCAAGCCAGAGAAGTACCAGCATTTCTACGCATCTCCAATCGAAATTCCCTCATTGCACCTTTACGGCGAGTTGGACACTTTGGTCTCAAATGATCGCTCCGAAGAAATCGTTAAGCTTTGCAAGGAGGGTACTGCCACCGTTATCAAGCACCCTGGTGGACATTTTGTCCCCAATACTAAGGACTTGTTGAAAAAGGAGGTCGCATGGGTAGAAAGCGTCCTCAACCCTGAAGAACCAGTTGATGAGTCAGCAAAGACTTCCAAGGACGAGGCTGCTGAGCTAAATGAGCTCGCCAAGGAAATCGACCAACTCGGAGTTGCTTAAGTCTGAGGTTTGGATTGTATATAGTCCCATAGAGCTGTTTTTCACAGGTATATTTTTTTTTTTGGCTAGTCCGACTGGTAATCAATTTGGTGACGGCTGACTCCGGTCTTCCATCAAATTCAATACAAAGTTGTTCTCCAACTATCCTACATATCACACAAATCAAATATAATCAACACGCCAGAAACTTTTCACTCGTTCTTTGTTTTTTCTGGGGAAAGGGTGCGACTGATAAGAATCTTCACCCCATAGGTGCGAAACCCAAATCTGCTGCTGGTTGCTTTTAAGACCGGAGGGCCCGTGGTGATGTTTTGTCCTGTTTGATTTTACAATTGATTTTCAGGGAAGTGCGGCCAATTTTTGAGATGCCAGATCCAGACCAGTTCTACGGGCAAGAAACACAGGAGACATCCCCATTGCTGCCTGTGGTTTCCCGCCAATCATCGTACCGTTCTGTTGTAATTGAGCAACACTCCGTCTCCAAGAGCAGGAAGCTAGTCCAGATAGCGTGCTCAATCGCATGGTGCCTTGTTGCTGCTGGGCCTGTTTTTGGCTTTGCAGCATTGAAGCCGGTCTTAATTGCTCAGGGTGTGTATCACGAGCGATGTGCACCTGACTCTGGCAATGGTGTCTGTGTGGAGCAAGATTTGAAGCTGAACTTTCTGTTCACACTTGCAGCTGTTGTTACGAATGCTGCCGCCTTGCTCGTGGGCAATATTTTAGACCGCTATGGACCTCGTGTATGTGGAACCATTGGGTCGATCCTTATATTTGGAGCCTCGCTTCTTCTGAGAGCGGGAAGCGATATTTCGCTGTTTGATGGTTATCTCGTGGGCTACTCTGGATTAGCTCTTGGAGGTCCTTTTGTGTTTATTTCGTGCTTCCATCTTGCCAATTCTTTTCCTAATAACTCTGGATCAGTGTTGGCCCTTCTTACAGGTGCTTTTGACTCTTCCTCTGCTCTTTTTCTGGGTTACAGAATGGCCTTTCAAAAGTTTCCAGAATTGACTCTGAAACGGTTCTTCACATACTACCTTGTGGTTCCAGTGTTCATTTTTGTTTGTCAGATGACAGTGATGCCCAGATACACATACAAGACTGCGGCGGCTGAGGTGGTCAAGCCAGGCGAGAGCCTTGACCCTGACAATGCTTATCTCCAGGCACGTTCGGACGCGCAATTGAGACGCAACTCCATGAAGTCTGTAACTAGCGAGGTTGAGCAGATTAGAAATATGGATAAAAGTGGTGGGGTATACGGAGTTTTGCACGGAGCCTCGGTTAAAAACCAGATGTTGTCTTCGTGGTTTTTCTTGATGGCTCTTTTTACAACAATTCAGATGATCCGGATTAATTACTTTGTGGCTACTGTAAGGTCGCAGGAAGAGTTTTTGTTTGATGCAGAAACTGCTGTCACCATCAATCGGTTCTTTGATCTGGCATTGCCTGTTGGAGGTATCTTATCCATTCCATTCATTGGTCTTTTGCTGGATAACTTCTCCACTCTGACAGTAGTCGAGATTCTTCTATCGATATCAATGACCATTGGAGTCTCAGGAATCGTCCCTTTCAAACCTGTGGCATATCTGGGTATCGCATTACTGGTATTATACAGACCATTCTACTATACAGCCGTCTCTGACATTTGTGCAAAGGTCTTCGGTTTTGAGACATTTGGAACAGTATATGGAGCAATTATCTGCTTCTCAGGTCTTTGCAACTTGCTCCAGACTCTGTTGGACGGCTTAACCCATACTGTCTTCCACATGAACCCTATCCCAGTCAATGTATTGCTAGTCTCACTAACGGGCATATTTGGAGGCTTAATGGTGTGGTTTGTGAAGTCCGAAGGAACAAAGTCTTCAGTTTCGACTGCTGAATAAGCAAGTGTTAAATAAAAATGAGTACTAATTGATGCCCATCCGCATAATTTGGTATGCAGTGTAGGAGTCCTGCTGCATTTAGCACGTGATTTCCGTGCTTCCTCTCCTGGGCTCGCAACCAGATAAGCTCTGCTCTAAGGCTTTTCTATCAAGGGTGTAATCCAGAATCCGTCTACTGCCGCTGTTTGCGCGGTTCCCGCTCAGAGAACCTCGTTTTTCCTGGAGTACATGCATCGCCTGAAGGCTGAGTCTCAGGGTCTGGAGCATCGCGTCTCCTCCGTCTTGGATGTTTACGGCACCTTGTTGGACTTTTCCATACCCAAAGACGAAACATACTGGCGCGTGTTCTTTCAGTTTCAGTGTAGCAGCGCGGCTTTTTTGGCTTTTTTGGACAACTGCGTCGTACGGTCTACGCGTATTGCTGACTCCCCTGAAAAGCTTGCCATTCTCGGAACCCACACTTTTCATCCCCAATATGTTCCGATCATACAACAATTTCTACTGAATACAGTGACTACTCTTGAGGCATATCGCGAGGTGGATGCTGATTTGGATTCCGGCTTCGAATCTGAATCAGTTTTGGTATCTGAGGACTTGGAAATGGTTTTGAACGCATTTGTCACGGTCGGCATGTTTGTTCAATGGCTTGGTGACCCTGCGAGGCCATGGGCTAGTGCTTCCTCCCTTAAAGAGAACGTTTTCAGTGAACTGCTTGAGCCACAGACTCTTATAAGACTCACTCATGTTGTTCTATGGGGCATTAAGGTGTGTTCCAGAGATGATTATCGGGAATGGCTTTCCGTTGAACACGACTCGCGGGGTTTTGAGGCTAGACTGGCTGTGAAACTGGCAGCTACCAAGTTGTATCTGAAGCTCCATTGGTGCGTTCAAAACACGTCTATTGCGATTCAGAAGAACGCAGGTACGCTACAAAGTCTTCTGGACGTGCTGGTACTGAAAGACCTGATGGACGAGGAGAAGAAACACATGATTGGATACGAAGGATTAGGAGACACGCTTCGGTTGATTGTGCTCGTCGGGCTCGGAGATTTCCACTCGGAGCTAGACATCGACAATTCCAGTGCGATCAACTATACCATTTCACAGTTCCTATTGGTGGGCTTAAGGTTACTGTACAACCACAGTCCAGATTTGCTCGTACAACACGAGGAGCAATCAGGGTTTCTTTCTTGGATCAGCTCTAAGATCATGACTTCTGAAAGCTACGATGCATATCTACGCAACTATCTGGAAGATGATATGGATGCCTATTATACGCGAATTAAGCCTGATGCTGACGATGATGACTGGAATGACGACATTCCTGGTCTGGAATACGCGGAGCTTGTTCCCATTTTGATCATTTTGAATGACCTGATTCTGCACTGTGAGCCCTACGAGCAATCTCTCGTGATAAGCGAGACGGGAATTGGGACTTTTGAGCTTATAGTTAGTCTTGGGTCGTTTCTGGTCCAGAATCAGCGAGGAAGTGAAAATAACACCCGATGTGTTAGACTGATTTTCCAGATTTTCGACGCATTTATAACCAGGCGTCCGGAGTTGCTCGTTTCTAACGAATTCAGAAAGGAGTCTGTGAAGCTATGCTATCAGAAATTTCCTTTCATCAAGCCTCATGGAGCCAGTGAACACAGCCTGGCTGAGCCAGCCAGCCATGCCACCACTGTCAAGGTGGCTTTTGCAGTTCTGGACGTATTCCAGGGTGAAATGAGGTTTGGATTGACCCGGAGAACGTTCGATATTTCGTTTGTGCGCAGGCTAAATGCCAATGTTTTCACGCTCGTGACCTCTCTGATCGACCTTGGTATTGTGGGTTTCCCCAAGCGCGGGTCCGAATACTGCTACTATAATTGGACAGATTTTTGGAACTCGAAATTTATGATGCTCAGGTTTTTGGTGCGATTAAATGCGCGGGATCAGATTAGTGGCATTAAAAAGCCGATAACGCAGGAATTATGCGCTATGGAGTACTTGCTGACACTTGGATCGCGGTCGAGTGATTCAAAATGGAACGATCCAAGTTCGATATTGCCGCAACTTGTTTATAAGTTGTTTGAAAACTCTAGTTGTGTGAGGCAGGCGTGGGAGGCCGTGCGAGAGACAAGCGACGGCCTTGAAGATTTTCCGCTGATAGGCGGGTTGCTCAAGCAACTCGACAAGATGTTGATATTCTCGAAACAGCTGGGCTATGAGTCCATCATGGATCAAATTTTGGAATATTTGAATGAAACTGAGCGTGATTTAGAGAAGGGCCAGCAGTCCTTAGACACTCTGTATCTTCAGATCGCCAGTCAATCGGGTGTCGTTAGTGATGAGGCTCTTCATCGGGAATGTGTTGAGATGATTCGGTCGAGCGATACATTATTTTTATGAAGAAAAGGTCAGATATGCTTTCATATAGAACTATGCATAAGGTGCACAGAAGGGAAGGGTTAAGTCATATCTGTGGGGAATTACCATAAAATGAGCGAATATATAATATCAATTCACGTCAACATATACGCAATTATACGATTAGTTACACAAGTATGACTTCGACTGAAATGTAAGAATATCTTAGTTTTTCAGGAATTTGAGTATCTCCATGAAAAATATGTCAAATAGTGTCTGCAAACCAGATACAGCGACACACGTGACGCCACAACACATGGTACCATTCAACCATTGAAGTCCACAAAGCAGAACCAAGCCACTTTCGTTTCTCTTTTTGGCAGAATCTTTTCAAGTATACCGATTTATTTCTGTCTTCGCAAAATTTGGACACTTATGCGACGCTTTCGTTCCCCTAAGACGTTCACCAACCAATACTTCCAAAATGAAGTTTCACCACAAGTTCGGTGTACCTGCATTCAACTACCATTTGAGAGAATTTCCACTAGTCAGAACTCATATGATTCGAACTCATAGGCCAACCGCTATACATGAACGCCCTTGATTCAACCACCGTAGAATCATTCGCTTCCAAGTTTTCATTACCCCACGTTTCATGCTGGATTTGGACCGGCCGTTTTCGGCAACAATGGTTGACGCACGCCAAGGGGACGGGTCCGCCAAAGAAGTGATCTGTCTTTTCTTCCATCAACACGGCTCAATGGATTCTGTTTCCACACAAAACCTGTTCTCTTCGTGAATTTTGCTGCCAATTGTGAGCCCCAGCACCATGAGCCAATACTCGCCAAAAAAACATGCAAAGTCGCAGTCGTCGTATGCGTTTGAAAACACAACAACGACTGTTGCTGCCAGTCAGATGCGCAACGCGCTCAACAAGATGATTGACGATGTGGCCGAGCCAGAAGTCCGTGCCAAGTTTGAAACCGAGATGGACACCTTTTTTGCGCTGTTCAGACGGTACTTGACCGATAAGGCCTCCGGAACCACTCTTGATTGGGATCACATCCGCTCACCGGACCACGACGAAGTGGTGGATTATCAAACCTTGCAGGATGCCAATGCAGCCAACCTATCGAAACTGGCTGTTTTGAAGTTGAACGGTGGTCTCGGAACATCCATGGGATGTGTAGGCCCCAAGAGTGTTATCGAAGTCAGGGACGGCCAATCGTTTCTGGATCTTTCGGTTCGCCAGATCGAGTATCTCAACAGGACCTTTGATACAGATGTTCCTCTTTTACTTATGAACTCATTCAACACCGATGACGATACTCAGCACTTGGTTAAGAAGTACCAGGGTCACCGTATTCGCATCAGAACTTTCAACCAGTCCAGATACCCACGTATCTACAAGGATTCGTTGTTGCCAGTTCCTCAATCTCTAGAGGACGACCACGATGCCTGGTATCCTCCAGGCCATGGTGACATATTTGAGAGTCTTGTTTCTTCTGGTGAGCTGGATGTGTTGCTGGAGCAAGGAAAAGAGATTCTTTTTGTTTCCAACGGAGACAACCTCGGAGCCACAGTTGACCCTAAGATCCTGAATCACATGATTGAGACTGGTGCCGAGTATATCATGGAGTTGACCGACAAGACCAGAGCTGACGTCAAGGGTGGAACCCTCATCAACTATGACGGGACCATCCGTCTTCTGGAAATTGCTCAGGTCCCCAAAGAGCATGTGGAGGAGTTCAAGTCTATCAAGAAGTTCAAGAACTTTAACACTAACAATTTGTGGATCAACCTCAAGGCCATCAAGAGACTCGTGGAGGCCAATGCCATCCAGGTGGAAATCATCCCCAACCAGAAATCCATCACCGTTGGTAACATGGACATCAATGTGTTGCAGTTGGAGACTGCCGTTGGCGCCGCCATTAGACACTTCAATGGAGCCCATGGTGTTGTCGTTCCCAGATCCAGGTTCTTGCCTGTGAAGACCTGTTCTGACTTGATGCTGGTCAAGTCAGATCTGTTCTACTTGCAACACGGTGCCCTGAAAATGGACCCTTCAAGATTCGGCGCTGCTCCTTTGATCAAGCTGGGTTCTGACTTCAAGAAGGTTAGCGGTTTCCAAAGCAGGATACCTCACATGCCAAAGATCCTGGAGCTTGACCATCTTACCGTTACTGGAAATGTTAACTTCGGAAAGGGCGTCCAGCTGAGGGGAACTGTCATCATTGTTTGCAACGACGGCCAGAAGATTGATATTCCAAATGGCTCCATTTTGGAAAATGTGGTTGTTACTGGTAACTTGTCGATCCTGGAGCATTAAGAGGGAATGGCTAGCAATTCAGGGCCAATTCATGCTAAACTTACCCAAGTTTGATCTAAGCAGTTAACTTATCAAGTTACCCTAACTTAGCTCCACTGCCCAAGCGGTTTTCTCTAAGCTATCACACCATTTTCAACTACATCATTTCCATCTTCATCCTTTTAAAACTTCATAACAGTCCCATTAACCGACGAAAGCTCTATTCTTGCTAGTATACACTTCAATCTCCCAAACTCATTTATCAAATCCAAACCGCTTCATCTCCTTTCCAAGCTTGCGCTTGCGCTTCCTCTCGATCACCTTCTCACGCTGCTTTCCAGAAAGAGTTTCATACTTCTTCATATTCACGAGCTTCTGTTTGTCACGATGATTCAAGAATCGTCCGTGATGCTGTTTTCCGTAATCTTTCACTACCTTGGCCTCTATTTCGCGATTTTTTATCACATCCAACCGGGACCGTAGTCGGGAGATTTTGAGGTTCAGCTCGTCCAGCTGCTCCTCGTCCATTTTTGATGTTAGCTTTTTGTCGCGCGACATCTTTATCAGATCGGCCAGCTCATTCTGTCTATATTTGTTCAGAAACGAATAGTTCTGCAAAACTTTGTCCTCGTCCACCTTGCCGAATGCAGAGTCGAACCTGATGTCGTTCTGCTGCTTCTTGGTCTCCAGACCGGGTATCTCCCTGACCTTGGAAACCGGTTTCTTTGAAGACTCCTCTCTTGGTGCGTGTTTGTGCTTTTTCTCTGCCATGGCTTTTGAAGGAAAAATAAAAGTCAGAACCAGCTGGAATGTGGCTGAATCGCTATCCTGTCTGTTTTTGAGAAGACTCCTCTACATATTTTTTTTTGGGTCTTACGTAATTTAAGCCGCGGACGACATTCTTTGTCGAGAGTTTCATTCGTCTCAGAACTATGTATATATGTACAGATTTGTTGAGGGATATTCCAATATCAGAGAATAATCAAGACTCTATCTGCTCCTTGAATCTGATTTTTTTGGCGTGACGGTCGAAGGTGTCCGCTATGTCGGCAAAATTCATCTCGGAAGGGTTCACCTCCAGCACTTCCTTATCCTTGAATGTCACGGAGATGATCGGTTTCTCCTTGGACTGCTCGCTCAGAATCTTGAAGTCTATAATACATGACTGTCTCATGGAGGGCGGTATCGAGGACAAGAACAACCTCGCGGGTTTGGCTGTAACTGTGTTAGTCTCCTAGTTTGAGCTTCGGCTCCCGATCCAACTCTTCACATACCTTCTTTCAAGAATGGGTTGAACCTCACAGTCACCTTTGTGAAGTATTTAGTCAACATTGTCGAAAAATACCGATGAGTGAAATGTAGTCGATACTAGCCCATGTTAATAGGCCTTGAATTTTAACGTCGGAAAGAGCAGAGAGATGGAAAATCAAAAGCGCACGACCAAAGGCTGAGGGGCACACGTCCCCCGATATTACCAATCTTTTCCATCTCCAGGACTAGAGGCACAAGATACCAGAACACTGGCATCAACATGAAACTGACCGCAGTTATTGTATTGCTTCAAGCCTGTTTGGTACTGGCCGGGTTCTATGATTCGAATCCAAATGTTCTGGAATTGAATCACAAGAATTTCGATAAAGTGGTGTATGGAACGAACTACACAACCGTGGTTGAGTTCTACGCACCTTGGTGTGGCCACTGCAAGAATTTGAAGCGGACGTATAGTCAAGTCGGAAAGTACTTCAAGGACCTTGTTCAAGTGGCAGCAATTAACTGCGATTTGGCTGAAAACAAGCCTGTGTGTTCCAAGTACCGCGTTGAAGGGTTCCCAACTGTAATGGTTTTCCGCCCTCCAAAGGACTATGGAAAGGGCAAGCGTCATGCCACCGAGGTATACAAGGGTGAAAGAGAATTTGACAAGATTGTGGCATTTGTGAAGACGCGGATTAAGTCGTTTGTGTCTCGGATTAAACCAGACGGATACGAAACATTTAGGAAAGCCGATTTCAACGAAGATCACCGTGCCCTGTTGATAACAGACAAGAAAAAGGTGCCAGTTACTCTCAAGTCCCTTGCTATTGATTTTCTCGGATCAGTGAAGGTGGGATACATGCCTGTGAAGGAAGGAGAGCTGTCAAAGGTGAACGAACTACTGGGCACAAAGTTCGAAACTTTGCCTCAACTAGTGATTATCCATGAAGATGGGCCTCAGGTGTATTCTGGTGAGTTCAACAAGCTCGAGATGAGCAAATTTGTTCAGAAATTCGTGAAACCTAAGGAGGGCCCACTCAGTGATAGAGGTAAATGGCTGAGCAAGTTGGGCTTGGGTATGGTGAAGGACGAGTTGTAGGTGCTGAGATTACAATTAACACAAGGCATCATCAAACACCACTTCAAATGTGCTATACCACCGAAAAGAAGAAAAGCATCAGTCACATTCCCATCAGCAACCCAAAACTAACCGCATTGGTTTTCCAAAGACGTAAAACGGGTGGGGTAGTGCGCTGTGCCAAAATGCCCTAATACGGAGGCCTAACGCCCAGAACGTGAAGAGATCACCCCATCAGAACGGTGGTGACGTGCGAAATCCTTAGCGACCACCGGCAAAACAAATTAATAGAATCTTTCTTTCAAGTTGTTCCGTAGTCCATGCCATGAAAATACTACAATAAACAACATAAAAAGGTACGAAATACCCAAACGTTTCTGCTCTTGACAAGAGCCGAATCTCAGCTTTTAGTAGTGTACCTGCTCAATTATCCGTGGTGCTATTTTAGCTTCAGAGAAATTTGCCCGTCTCTCCATTTTCTCCTCGTTGAGGTACCGTTTGTCCTATATTTCCCTTTCCACAAAAGGCTGTGATTGTCAAGTTTGAACTATCGAATTTGCAAGGTATCAGCTTGAACCCTCTGTGCTGTCTTTGGTTTTTGCAGCTGCCGTTTCTCATTTTCAGCTAGCCGTACCTCGCTCCAGCGGAGAGCCCATTTCAACACAAACTTGAGGCTAGTTGTTTCGGCCTAAAAACAAGCATCAGCCGTTGCAACTCACGAATAAGTATCATCCTTGCTTACGTGCAATCGCCCAGCAATAAAGATGGATACCGCATCCATATGGGATATCTATGCCAACGCCAAGAAGCTACTCCAGCTGTACCCTCGGCTGGAGAACCGCTTCGAGCGGCAGAACTCCAGGAAGGCACAAGCCTTGCAGAGAAGTACGCACGAAAGTGCTATTGAAGACGACTTTTTGATGCTTTCGCCGAAATCGATAGAGTCGGTCTCGCCGCTACAATCGGCGAAGAAGCCAGACTTTGTTCCGTCTTCAAGTCAGAGTCATAAGAATAGCCAGAGCAGTATGATCACACCCTTGTCTCTGATTGACTCGCCTACATCAAACTCTTTACCTGGATCAGCTCCAGCGGAAGCCTCGGGAGTATATCCAAAGTTCATCACCAACCTGGACATGGACCTCAACCAGTTGTGGGATGTGAAATTTGATAATTATGACCAACGAAAACCGAAGAAACCCGATATTTCGACTCATTCAAGCTCCACGTCGCTTCAGATACCTACTGCGCCGATTTCATCGCGCCCAAATGAGTGCTCCAACTGCCATACTTTGAAGACCCCTCTATGGAGGCGCGACGCTACGGGTAACACGCTTTGCAATGCGTGTGGGTTATTCCACAAGCTGCACGGAACTATGCGTCCGTTGTCGCTGAAGACTGATGTTATAAAAAAACGGGTTTCCAAGAGGCAGCAGAGTACGACCGTGATCTCAGCATCGGTGCCGAACTCATTGGTCTCCTCTTCCCTGCAAAGAATACCGCCTGCACAACTCCAAATACAGCCCCAGCCGCTTCCAAATTTCCAGCAGCAACACCAGAGAGAACCTTCAAGCGGTCAGACCATCAACCACAACAGCAGTGTGCCGAACTTCCAGTCCTTTCAATTCCGGCAGCCGTCAGACCTGCGTTACAAAAACATCCCCATTTTGCCAAAACCGAACACGAGTCCGGGAAGCGAATCAAATACACCGAGGGACCGCCGTTCTTCCAACCTTTCGCTCCAGTTTCAGCGCGAAAAGTCGCAACAACCTGTTGATGCTCCGAGCTTCAAGCGCCGTAAGTCTCGCATCTTCAACGAGTCGCAACCCTCTTCGCCCATGGATGACTCAGGCTACGGCCTGGCTCCTCGAAGCTCATCTTTTCACTCTCGATTTGCTGCCAGACCATCGGTTTCACGCTATGGCTCCATTGTGAGCATCGACGCCAATCCGCCCACCACGGCCTCTGTCGTTTCTTCGGCCACTTCTTCGTTCAAAAGCTCCACTGTTATCAGCGGATTTGACGTGGAAGATGAGAAACGCAATCTGAACCTGGACGACCTGGAATGGTTACGGTTTGATGTGTAACTGCGAGCGCAATGTCCAGAGACCCATCACCAGCGCAATACCCTCTCTCAAGAGCAATTCCCTCACTACCCTCACGACCCACCCGCTCTTCGGACATATGACAATTATTTAGAAAAAATGTACCACTAATGTTAAGCCCAAATCTTTGTATAGCCGAGGATTAATATCGCCGCAAAAGGCTACTTGAAAAATTGGGTTACCCGGACGCAACCAGCTCTCAGCCGTTTCTGAATTAGATACAGAAGCAACGGCTACTACAACACTTACATTTGATCCAAAGTAGCTACTTTCTGAGGTAAAAAGGGAGCGAATACGGAAACAACCATTGTGTTTTGTGAACATCACGAGCACAGTGGTGAATGAACAAGGCTGGTTCAGACTAGAGCTTTACTGCATTATATAGCCTCTGGGTTTACCCCAACAGCAGAACTGCAACATACATAGGACTTTCCACAGCGAAGAGCCCCCACATTATCGATGGAATTTCATGCCCTTGACAAACTATGGACCATATGGTATCATTCGAAGCTGCCCACGTCCAAATTTCCAAAAGGGGAAACGGTCGTTGATGACGAGCTCACCAGGAAACGCGATCTCTATCTCTCAACAGCCCACGAAGTACAGTTTCCCCAGATCCACACCAACGGCGTGGAAAAGTCAAGCGAATGCGACTCAGTTGAGCAAATGTGGCAAGTTCTATCTAACTTGAAACCCCCTAGTGAGCTCGGATTCAACTCGGAGATAATGGTCTTTCAAAAAGGCGTCCAGCCCATATGGGAAGATCCAGCCAATGCCCATGGAGGAAAGCTGGTGATCAAGTTTTTGCGCAAACAAAGTGAGATGGACGTCGAGGCGGTGAAATTCCAGCGGCAGCGGTGCTCGTTGGTCTGGGAGCGACTAGTTCTGAGATGTCTGGGCAACTCGCTGTTCAGGCATCCAATAGTGAATTTTGAGGAAGTCAGTGAGGAAATAGTCGGGATCGTTCTGAGTGTGCGGCACGATGAAGATATCATAAGCATATGGAACCGAAATTTGGTGGAAGATCAGGTGGTGGAGATAGACGAAACCGAAGATTTCGGGCCTCCCAGACTCAGAAGCGGACCCTTTGCCAGTGTCTTCAAGCATTTGGTGCTTTGGGAGATAGCCCAGTGTACAGGTACATTATTGGAGCAAACTCAGATCAAGTTGCAGTCAAAATGGGTCCTGGTAAGATACAGACTTCATTCTGATTGGGATGATCCTCACCATTCGCACCAACGGCACTATCACAATAATCATCACCAGAATGGATTCCACAAACGCGGTCGTGGTGGACGGACTGTGAACCGTACTCACCACGAAGAATCCACAGATACGGTATCTTTCGCGAACCTTGGACGGAGCCGGCGCGGGATTGACGAACTCAAGGGTGGTGAGCCGAGCGGGTTGTTGGCATCGAGGAGGAGGAAAGAGAGATCAGGTGAGGACAATGTAGACTAGGAAGACCAAGACTTTGAAGAGGGTCTGTGCGGAAGGCGTCCTCCCCTTTTTCAGCATAAAAACCGTTGTGTCTGATACCTAAAACTATGGCATATTTACTTGCTTCTTGTTGATTCCATGCTTTCGTCCCAAGCTATGTGTGAGTATTTATAAGTAAACAAAATAGGTCTGAATCGTAAGTGAATGTGGTTTCGTCGGTTTGAGGTTGCTGCTCAGTTGTCAATGTCCGTTGGAACTTCGCTCTCGTTGTAGCTGGCTGCATAACTGGGTGTGTCTTCGTCTTCATCATCGTCGCCAGCCAGAGAGAGATCTTTGAACTTGTTGGTGGCCTTGGATGCTTGTTCTTCTTCTTCTTCTTCGTCTTCGTCGTCATCGTCATATCTCTGCTCACTCCAGCCAGATTTGGTTCCGGAAAATCCGTCCTTATGGTTATCCACAGACTCTTCTTCACCCTCCCGGCCCTCTTCGAATTCCAGCTTCATTTCGTGGCAAATATCGAAGCACTCAGCTAATAACGCAGTCAAAGTGCCCTGACCCTCTGGGATCTGACCGTCAACCATGAACTTCCCGTCTTGCCGTAGGTTATCCAGACTGGCTAGCTTCAACTGATACGGGTAAAGTTCTCTGATAGAGGATATTCCACCCATTCTCTTCACGTCGAAAAGACATCTTCGAACTGTCGACAACTGGTTGTGGATTGGCTGAAGGGCCTCAGAAACTGGCTCCGAACTTTCCAGTAGTTTATAGATGATAGCATAGCACCGTCTCAACAGATAAAGTAATATGGATTGCCCCTTTGTTGGAGTAGAACCGTCCTTCTCGCTCACAAACTTTCCGTTAACCCGCTGGTTATCAATTCCTTGCAACGTCCTCTCATAGTTGAACAAGTCAGTAGACCTCAATGTCCAACGTCTCGTCACCAGCAAGTTCTCCAGCTGATTCTTAATCGAAATCAGATTGTTATACAATGGAGCCAATCCGGAATCCACACGCTCGGAACCAAACTGAAGATCATTTATCATATCGTGACAATCGTCTATCAAACCCTTCAAAACTCCCTGGCCATTTTTTAGTACCCCAACATCCAAATCAAGTAGCGAAATGCCATCTTTGTCCTTCGAATTCTCCAGACTGTGCAGGTCAGTTTTTAGAAGCTCCAGATCCTTCATGGAAAACTGGTCCGGTCTTGTAATGAGGTTTATGAGTGTTCTTCTTATCGTAAGCAGGCGATTGATAACGGCTTCCAGATCAGAGGGAAGGTTTTCTAGCTCTTTCTTCAAATTTTCATACTCCTCAACACAAGTCTTCAGCTTAGCCTCCAGAACAGTTGTTTCTTGGCTCGAATTTTCGGCTTGGTCTATAATGGCACGGATCTCGCTGAGCCTTTCGTCGATTGGTTGCAGATCGTGATGCGTGTAGACTCCCCCTTCATGTAGATGTTCCAAAAGCCGCTGAACCGTTGAGAGTGAAGCATAAGTGGCAGGTGCGGTCTTTGCCAGACCCACCGTCACGAAACACAGAGAAATCAACTGGAAACACTCATCTACCAAGATGTCCACCTTATTGGGGAATGCTTCTGCAGGCTCATTCGCACGTATTTCGCGAATTTGCTTAAGTTCAACAAACACCTGGTCATAGAGAAGCTGGATATCCTTGGAATTGAGGAATTTAGAATGGTCACGCTTGATTTTGGACAAATGTTGCCTGACTTCGACCAGCTCAGCATATACTGCTTCCTCCTGTTTGGGAACAACATCTGAGTGCGTCATTTTGTGTCAGAGAATTAAAATTCAGTTATCTGAAGGATCCCCAAAGATCTAGTGAAAAGGTACAAAAAACAAAGCAAAACAGTTGAGTTTAAGTTAATTGAGTCTTTCCGGAAGGACCCTTGTTCTTGTTGAAGGAAGCGATGGTGCCACCAGGAGAGGAAAGGGGATGTGAGGCGGTACACGACCCCTACAGAAATGAAGCGTTGTGGGAGAAGACGTCTTACAAATGATTAAAGTTGTTCAAGATTTCGGATTAGTGTTTTGGCAGATGACAAGCTTGTAGAAATTCATTATTTCAAATGATCCTTTGCCCATAAACAGAGGTTTTACACTAACTGCTCAAACAGTTGAGTCTGAAGTTTGGAAGTGTTAAAACCAATCTCGTATTCCCTCCCATACACGACCCACCCTCCAACATTTTTTCATCAAAAACCTGAACTTTAATTACTCAAGCTCGAACTAAAGTCGTTGTATTATTCAAATGTTGAAACTGGTTTTCAGAGCAGGCATATCTAAACGAGCCTACTCCGCTAAGGCGGTCAAACTTACTGTGGAGACGTACCCCAACCTCCAGCGTGGAGACTATGGTACGCTCGAGGAGTCAGACCTCACACGCTTCAGATCGATCCTGGGTGATTCCTCGGTTTTTGTCGACGATATTGAGGGGTACAATGAAGATCAGATGCGCAAATACCGTGGTCAATCGCAAGTTGTCCTAAAACCCAAGACAACTTCCCAGGTCAGCGAGATTGTGAAGCACTGTAATGACCGCAAACTGGCCATCTGCCCACAAGGTGGTAATACAGGTCTTGTTGGAGGATCTGTGCCTGTTTTTGATGAGGTCGTAGTTTCACTTAGTGGTATGTCACAAATTAGATCGTTCGACGAGACGTCGGGTATTCTGAAGGTGGATGCTGGGTGTATTCTCGAATCGACAGATCAATTTCTGGCTGAAAAAGGCTATATCTTTCCACTTGATCTGGGTGCTAAGGGCTCTTGCCAAATTGGAGGTAATGTTGCCACTAATGCTGGAGGTTTGAGATTGTTGAGGTACGGATCGTTGCACGGCTCCGTTCTCGGAATCGAGGCAGTCCTTCCAGATGGAACAGTTTTTGATTCCATGCACTCTCTCCGCAAGGATAACACCGGTTACGACCTCAAACAACTATTTATTGGATCCGAGGGTACCTTGGGAATTATCACGGGTGTTTCGGTGTTGTGTCCAGCCAGACCAAAGGCAGTCAATGTTGCATTCCTCGGTGTTGAATCGTACGAAGCTGTTCAGGATACTTTTTCAAAGGCCAAGCGCGAGCTTTCAGAGATTTTGAGTGCTTTTGAGTTTATGGATCGCGAGTCTCAAGTCGTTAACAAGAAATTCCTTAAGGCCCCGCATCCGCTGGCAGAGGGCTCGGATGAAATCCCCGAGTATCCCTTCTACATTCTCATCGAGACCTCAGGATCTAATAAGGAGCATGATGACGCAAAATTGGAACAATTTTTGGAGACCAGTATGGAGGATGGTACTATTTTGGATGGTACAGTGTCCCAGGATGAGGCACAAACCCGCACTCTTTGGGCGTGGCGTGAGGGAATTTCTGAGGCATCTCAAATCGAAGGTGGTGTCTACAAGTATGATGTGTCTTTACCACTGAGCAAACTGTATGATCTCGTGATCGCTGCCCGCGAGCGCCTACGTGAGGCCAATTTGATAGGAGAAACAGACGAGTACCCCGTCGTGGATCCTGTCGGATACGGCCATGTCGGTGATGGAAACTTGCACTTGAATGTTTGTGTTAGAAGATACACCAAGGAGGTTGAGAAAGTGCTTGAACCATTCATTTATGAATGGATCAGCCAACACCATGGCTCCATCTCCGCGGAACACGGTTTGGGTTTCCAAAAGAAGAACTATGTCCACTACTCCAAGAGCGATGTCGAGATTGCTATGATGAAGGATCTGAAACGTCATTATGATCCCAATGGGATCCTAAACCCATATAAGTATATTTAGGCACATAAGGCTTAGCTGGTGACTCTGATAGAAATCCTAATTGCAAATTGAAGGTGTTATCCCTTTTGGGACGTCTGAGATTTACACTACTTACAAACCAAATTCTCATATCTGAGGGAAGTAGAGTTAAATTCTTCAATATATACTACTATTTTGAGGATAATCCTAGACCTATAGAGCTTGAAGAGATAGAGCGCCATCTAAGGCTATAACATATAGAGGGGGAGGGGGGGCGTGTCGGTCCAGGCGCGGGCCGTTTTGTGGTTGGTATAAGGTGATAAGTACGTCAACCAGCACTTCGTGCTGCTGGAAGCGATCAATCTTCATCATCGGGGTTGGCTACTCGCAGTATCTTGCGAGAATAGTCAGCGGCGTCCGCCAGAGAACCTTCACTCATCCGTCTTCGGTCTAGCATCACAGGGTTCAGTCGCTGGTCAGTCATGCGGAATTCGTCTGCAAAGGGGTTGTCAACCTTGAGGGCTTCCTCGTAGGCCAGGTCGTCTACCACCGAGGAATCGTTGGAGTTGAACCCGCTTTGCGCAGTCTTCCGGTGCCGCCTGAAGCAACATAAGAAAACAACCAGGCCCAAAATTGCAAGACCTCCCACAGCTCCGCCCACTGCACCGCCTATCACGGCTGCATTGCTGGACTTTTTGTTTGCTTTGGAACTCGATGAATTTGTGGAAGCTGACGGCGAACTCGACGCAGTGTGGGTGATATATATCACCGAGGTACGGTACCCACCGGTAGACTGAGAGACCGTCGAAGTAATTTTTGAAACATTCTGTGAAGAGCTTGTAGACTCTGAAGTGGTCGTCACTGGCGTCCCTGAACTTGTGTCAGTCGAAGAAGAGGATGTAGGCGTACTCGAAGTCGAACTCGAAGTCGAGGAAGAGGACGTCTGACTGGCTGTGGAAGTCTTCGTAGAGGTTTCAGAAGAACTTGACTCAGTAGAGCTGACTGAGCTTGACGAATTGTCGTCGTTGTCATCCATGGAGTAAAAAGAATAAGCCGAGGAACCTCCGCACATTTCCCCTGGGTATCCGTAACAACTTACTGTACAGTCATCCGAGGTATTGCCAGAAGGAGCAGTATCTCCACAATAACACTCGTCTCCATCAGAAGTTGCAAAGTAAGAGTATCCGGAACACGAGCCGTAACACTTCAGGGACGATTGGGCAATCGCGGTTCCTTTATTATCATATGATGAGGGTAAAGAGTCGTAACATCCAAGTAGAGTATAAGCACCATTTACCCTAGCAGCAAGTAACACCACCAGGACACCTATTGAGAACCTTGTGACCATGTTGAGTTGTATTCAATGAATAAAGCTTTGTTGGAAGGTCCAAAGCACGTGAAACCACCAAATAAAAGTCTGCCCAAACACAGATAATCAAATGAATATAATCGGTTATCAGCCAGCACGCAACGAAAAGTCAACGAAGGGTTGGTAACACCAATAACGAAAGGCAATAAATCGGTGTGTCGCAAATGTTTGCCAGTTTTGGACTAAAGACACAAAGGGGTTCCAAACAATAAGAGATTTTGATTGAAAGCCAAACAACAATAAGGACAGCAAGAGCGAAAAAAAAGAGCCAAATACGCGCAGATAGCAGTTCCAATAAAATCGAGCAAAAGAGAAGGCACTTCCGATAGGACACTGGCGATAATCACAGAATTCTAATGGTCCAGACGGTGGAGCGAAGCCCTTGTTGGATCAAATTTGCGATCGAGAACGTGAGGGCGTGTACTGGACTTCCACGACCTGGGGTCTCGTGGTAGCGGTGAGTCTCGCCCTTTGAGGCCGGGTAAGTGATCCCCCAAATGACCAGGCTTTTACTGCTACAATGATGGTTGCAAAAATGAAACTTATTTTCTGGAATAAAATGCTGAGGTGATCTCGATACAGTAAATCGGCCTTCCAGAATTTGAGAAACTAAAGAAAATAAGCTGTGTTGCTAATTGTTCGTGAAGAGAGTGGAGTTGTAGCGAGATCTACTAGTAGATTTACACTAACAGCACGCGGCTATAGAATTTTCCGAGGAAGAATATACTAATTCTGAAAGGAACCTTAAAACAATTTCTAGTCCCGGTGCAGATTCCGAGAGTCTTCCACAACTGTCCACCAGCTGACCTCCTGTGAACCTCTCCACACTTCCCATAATGAAGTGGACCCTAGCACCGCCCCGCTTCAGCCCCCTGTAGTTGAGGCTGTGCCAGTCATAGATCTGTCAGAACACGACCCTCCTGGTTGGGTCTTCGTTTTACATGTGAAGATTGTTTTTGTGGACGTCTTATAAGGTTGCTCTTCTGCACGAATAGTTACATTCTCTGTTTTCCTTGTACATTCCAGGTTTTTCACCAATTGCTCAGGTACTTCACAATATCTGCTCGAAATGGCCAAAGACGCGAAGACTACAGACCGCCTTGGTTCTGCCATAAGCTCAGACTCTGAGTATGAGGAGGGCAACTCACCAAAGGTGTTGAAACGCCGTTCTTCTTCAATCTTCTCCCTGTCTTCGCAGGAACCATTGCCACCACCTGATGAGAAAGATTATATTGCTTACACCGAGGACGAACGCCATTTCTCCTATATTCGCAACTTGCACATGGCGGACTGTATAACGTTACTCAACGGGTTCAGCGGTTTCTACTCGATTGTGTCATGTTTGCGTTTCACGCTAACAGGAAGTCCTCATTATGTTCAGCGTGCTCACTTCTTCATTGCACTGGGACTGTTCTTTGACTTCTTTGACGGAAAGGTTGCCCGTTTGCGCAACAAGTCATCTATCCTGGGTCAGGAGTTGGACTCTTTGGCCGACCTGGTATCTTTTGGAGTGGCTCCAGCTGCGATCGCTTTTGCAATAGGTCTTCGTACTACATGTGATGTTCTCGTTCTGAGTTTCTGTGTGCTGTGTGGGCTTTCGCGTCTGGCTCGTTTCAATGTGACTGTTGCTAACATCCCCAAGGATCAAAAGGGCAAGTCCAAATACTTCGAAGGTTTCCCAATCCCTACGACATTGTGGCTTGTTGCTCTGATGGCTTTCCTGGTAAACAAGGGATTGTATGTTTCTGAAAAGGGGTTGCCCTTTGGAACCGTGCTAGAAAGCACCTTCTTCGAGTTCCATCCATTGAGTGCTGCGTTCTTTCTCCAGGGATGTGCCATGATCTCGAAGTCGCTTCACATTCCAAAGCTGTAAGACTGCGACATGGAATGACTCAAATAATAGCAAAAGGATGCACACGTGCAATAATCAATTATCATTGTTTTCTAAGTAAGTTTTGCATGGTTTATGTTTATGATCATAGAGATTTCACACACACCATCTGATGCCTTATTGATAACTCGTTCAATATTTGTTAATCCGTGAAAGCAGAAACAACCTATGATAGTTTCAACAATAAAGTAAACAGTACACACCAAAAAACGACCATTCCAGCTAAGTCAGGGCATCCTCCATACATTCGGTATGGTGAGGAGATATAGAAGCCCTGATTCGCAATCCTGTGGAAGCTGCATCAATAATGAAATCATACAGATTCTCAAACCTTTCTAACACCATATTGTCTCGCTGGAATCCTCGACCTCTGCGCATATCGTGGCTGAACAGTCTCCTGTCTTAACGCGTTCACCTCCGCCTTCAACGCGTCGATCTCACGTCTGAGATTTGTATTGATCTTTGCAGTTTCATCAAAGAGATCAGGTGACTCCTGAAAGGTTACACTGTAAGCGTTAAGTCGTAATCCGTATAGTAAAGCAGACATAGACTCGTTGAAACGCTCCAGAGAACCATTGACCGTAGCAAGATCTCCCATAGAAGCGGCCAGAGATGACATCGCCGTTGTTAACCGCGTTTGTGTCTCCAGAGGAGCCATCTGCTCAATTATGTCGGGTATATCTTGAACCATTTGCGCGTAAAGAGTATATAGAGTGTGGATTGCTGTAAGTGTTATTTTTGGTGTTTTAGTATTTTCAAAATAAGCATTTGATTTAAGTGTACCGACTAATAATCAGCCGCACACACACTATGTACAAGTAAGATTCAATTGAATCGACTGGCATGCTTTAATTTCTCCTTGGTTGGGTCAACGAACTTTCCCTTTCTCAAAGTGAGGAAAAGGAGAATTGCTGATGCAAACGAAAGACCCAGCCATGTGACCACGTACTGGAAATGGTTATTCTTGTAGTCGATCTTGGGTTCCTTTCCGAGAGGCACTCCTGCTCTTCTAAACTGGTTAGGGTCAAAAACTTCGCTTGAATCGTCCGACAATTTGACAGGCTTTGCAGCTGAAGTTTCTTTGGTGTCTTTATTGCCCCATAATTTCCATCCTGATGGCTTCTCCCCTTTCGGTTGCTCAGTTGCCTCATGCTGCCATTCTGGATGATCTCTGAAATCTTCAATGGCTTGAACATAAACCTTTCCACTACCGCTGAAATCAGCCATGGCATTTACATCAACGTAGTGGAACAAACGGGCACCTACATCGTGGTCGATGTGAAACATTCCTTTAACTGGTGGTACCTTGAGCAGTCCCACAATTTCAATCTCGCCCTCAGGACAGGATAAATGTTGAAGATTACGATCTTCTTTAACAACTTTGTCATCCGAAATCCAACCGCGTTCCACAAGGACTTTTTCTCCCCCACTGGAGCGTATAAAAGGTGTCACCAATAGGTAACCCTTCTGTCCGTCGTTCAAACGAGGACCAACAAACATTTCGTGATCGTAGTCAAATCTGCCTTTAAGAGATACCTTACGATATTCAAAATTAGGCACATCCGCTGCCGTGATACTCTTCGGCAGAGGAAGAGGACTGTAAGTCAGCCTGTCCTCACATTCAGCAACCAACTTGTTCTTCCACTTCAGTCTCTGAACCTGCCAGATACCAAGCCCCAGAGTCACCACTGGCGTAAGGCACAATAATCCCAATACGACATTCCTGGACTTCGACCCCCGTTTCGTAGAGGAGTGAGAGGTGAGCTGCTTCTCTGACTTAAAAGGCTTCCAATCGATGTTATCCGTCTTCACGGAACCCCAACGCCTCTGCCGCAAAGCTGAGGTGCCAAATATACTTTTTCCTGTGTTTAAAGTAAAAACTTTCAACATTGTATGGTATTTGCAGGATGGTGGTCTTGGTGAGAGTTATGTAATAAGAGCTTTTAGGTATGGCAAGGGCGAAAAATCGGATATGAGCCTTGGTCTCGTCACGTGCTGATCTCGAAATAATAGCTTCAACTAGATAAGATATCTGATAACATATGTTGAGTAAATACGAGCTGTGTATTCCGTGAAAAAAACATTTGATTTGTTCCACCAATATCTCATATATTCGTCAGGTGACCATTCTTAGCAGAACCTATCGAATCAGCCCAGTCCTCAGCCCAGTCCTCAGCTATATATATCACTCTCATCTACTTCCTTTCAAAAACCAACAATCTATTAAAATAAAACACCCAAAAGCACCCTTTTCTGTAACCAATCTTGCCAGACTTTCAGATTCGTATCCTCCGTTTCAATCTCTCATTTGCGCCCTATTTGGGCAATATATCTAGCTTCGCGTCTGGTCTATGGCCTCTAAATTTCATATATCTATGTTGTGGATTGTTTCTGATCAACAAGCAACGCCTTCAACTTCTGCACAAACTCCTCATCTCTCTGATCTAGTTCAGTCACTGGAGTAGCCAATTCGCTCTCCAGACGGGAAACTAATCCGTCGACATACAAAGAGTGCGAGAGCGATGGAATTCTACCAGGCACTTGCGCAGTAACAGGGGAAGAAGTTCCTGATGTCTCAACCGAAGATGATTCTTCCTCTTCATCTTCATCTGTATCAGACTCAATGGCTCCGTCGTCATCACTGTTGATAGTGAAGTGTGGTCTCGACCCAGTAGAGCTCTGTGATTTGCGGGGGTCCTGCTTGATAACGACATCACCGCGTTGTGAGATGGAAATACTCGCTGTTCTATTCCGTTTGCGTTTCATGAACTCGATCTCGTCAACCTCGAAGAAATCATCGGAAACGTCATCGTAATGCCAGATTTTTAGATCCAGTCCGTAAGGCTTGGGCTCCACACAATAGACGTAGCCCTGTTGGACATCCAGTTCTGTGAGCATCTCCTTAGACAGGTTCATGAAGTACCCCAGAAGGACACGAGTGATGACTCTGTGCGAGATGATGAGGACGTGGTCCTTCAATCTCTCCAGCTCGATGATTATGGGCCTCAATCGGCTGATTACGTCGAGATAAGATTCACCTCCAAGACCAGGAAAACGGTAGCTTAGTCTGTTTTGCATCTGATTCTCGTACTCACGAGGATAATTGTGTTTGAACTCGCGCTCTGTGGTACCCTCGAAATTTCCGCATCCCAGATCATTCAGCATCCTAAAGGACTTCACCAAATATTGCGTAGCTGGGAAATGGGAGGCAGTCTGTAGCGCACGATGTGTCATGGAGCTCCAGAGGTTGAATTCGGGATCTGTCTGAGCCGCAGAGGGCAAATGGTTCGGAAAATTCGAGTCCGAATTCTGGATGAATTCCTTATTCAACTGTTTTAGTTTGAACTCTTGACGTTTCTTTGAAACAAACTTGGCCAGTGCCCGCGAGAATTTTTCACCCTTCTTCGTAAGAGGAGAATCACCACCTTTGCGATTCTCCACGTTGTACTCACACTCACCACTAGGAGTCAGCCAGATTTGCCTCTCTGCAAGATTGAAATTTAGCAAGAAGAACACCGTATGCGAGGAAAGGTATCCACTGATGTTATAGGAGGATATCTTCTTTCCAGCATTGATAATCTTCACGTATTGGATGTCGAATCGTTCGTTCTCCTGCTCCTCTTCGTCGTCAATGGTCTCATAAACCTGCTCGTAGTTAGCCAACCTGTTTCTGAAATCCTGAAGCGCAACCTGCGGATCTGTATCTTTGTAATCAGGACCTGAAAGCTTTAACCTAATGTTCTTCTCCAGTATATCGGGATCTGTGCAAATACTCTCGAGGAACAGCACTTTCACCTGGCCCTGGGCCTTAGCATTGATGGTCTCTATAATCCAGGACCTTCTAGACCTTGTGGTGTTAGTAGCATCGAAGATGCCCACATTTCCAGTGCCGTACATGACATAATCAATGAGATGGTTTAGAGTCTCGCGCGCCCACTGTTCACGCCGCTGGAAGTTTGAGACGTTTGAATGATCAAAGAAGCTGGAATCATGAGATTCCTCGTATTGGTGTCTCTCTTTAGCACTTAGAATAGGAACATCACTTGGCTTTCCCTTTGACTGTCTCCTCGTATTTCCCACATTGAAAATCTTAGTCTCATACTGCATCCAATTCAGATACTTTTGGAGCTTCTTGGTGATGTAGGACTTACCCCTAGCCGGCAGACCAACACACACGATGATCAGCTTCATTCGCCGCGTGAAGTCTTCGCCATCATCCGTGCGCACGATGGTTCCATTATGGATGCTCAGTGAGGAGGTTTGACCTGGAATAGACATTGCTGACGTCAGCGCAGTGACACTTGGTGTTCTCGCTGGGCTGTGTTCAGATGGAGAGTTTAAACATGAAGAGTCCAGCGAGAAACTGTATGGAGGTGTTTCTGGTAGCTTTGTCGATGCTTCCCCTCTTCGTTGTGACAACTCAGTCATTGTGTGAAATGTGTCGTATATATGCTTTCCCCTTGGTATTTGGTATGGTTTCTGCAAAATTCTAGTATCGTCTTCAGTGAATGTGGTCCTTAGTCAAAATGAGAGTAATAAATAAGATGTTTCTTGGAAACATGTATTTCTGCCCAATGAACAGCTCAACAACAATAACCCTGTTGTATAATTTCGACTCCTCAACTCTAGAATGACGGTTGGTGTGGCGAAGATTCTTGAGTCACGATAACAGCCGAGGCTAAAAATCCCGAATTAGGCAAGAAAGGCCAGCAGATAACACAAAGGGGCGAGAACACGACAAACTTTGTCAGATCACTTCTATGATAGAAATAGCTGATATGCCTGAATAATCAAGAAGAACAACCAGTACCAATACGAAGAAAAACAGAAACTGGAACTGTACAGTAGACTATGACCTAAACAATCTTTATCTGGTATGTTGCAAACGAATCAGTTTGAAGGACGAATTTTTTTTTGGTCATGCACTTCTAGTTGTCGTGTGCATGCAAATCAGATGCGGATACGATTATCTTAAATCAGTGTCTATTGTGTACATTATGAGAGCGTTTGGACTTGCAATCCTACTCATCATTCAAAATATATGAAGGACAGTTTAAACATATTGGTGGACTCGCCGATATCCGAAACCAAGTTGCGACACTACGATGGTAGTTTTGAGAATAGTGATCTACTGGTGAGAACCGGGACGCGACGCGATTACGATGTGGAGCAGGTTCAGGATTCTGATGACGAACTCGAGGTATTGACTATGGAGAGTGTTTTGAGGATGTCCTCGTCCCGAACAAGTACTCAGTGTACTGAGTCGGAAGATACTGCCCAGCAACAACAAGCGGTTGATGGTGTACAGAATGACATCCATAGGGATGATGGGTCACCAAAAGACAACAAAACCATGAATAACGGTGATCAAATGCTTGTGAGAATCCCTTTGAAGAAATCAAGCATTAATGCTGTGCCATTAAATCAGCGAAAAGCAGCACCATTGTCCGATGGTGCTAGCATCACAAAACCACACCACCTTGTGCGACCAACTTACAAAGTGGCCTACAGAGTGGGACTTTCACGGAGGGTCAATGTTGAGAGCCTTCACTCGTATTTGAAGAAAAAAGGGTGATATACTTGATTATTATCTTGCCTTCTTGCGCTGTACTATACAAGACGTGATCCCCGCGCAAACCGAAACGAACTAATGAACACTATATAGAAATTTGATACAACTCTGAAACAGTCGTAGACTCCGCTAACATAACTTGCATTCTGTATTTCCTTTCAACTATTTTGCTGGATCCTTATTGGAGCCTCCTCCAACGGCTCCGGCTTTCCTTCCTCACCAATGATCATAGTATCATACAGACTTTTCCATAATTCGCCAATCTTTTCAAACTCCGATGTCATCATTGTGGATCCTTCTAGGTTTGATGCTAATTTCTCCAGTTCGGTTGCGATTCTGCTCACGTTCTGTTGAACCTGTAGAGCTAAGACGGCTCTCTCTTTATCAAACGATGACTGGGCAGGGCCATCAGAATCCGGTTGATCCGACTGCTTAGGTGGGGGTGAGGACTCAGGCAGACTCAAATGCTGAAGTTTATTATCGCTCGTAAACATTATTTGGTTAATAAGAGGGACATATAATGGGATATCAAAGATGCATCTGATTTTTGATCTTTATCTTGAGACGCGTAACTGGTCGTGTTGACAGTAATCCCTATTAAACCGGTCCGTAGTCCCGATTTCTCGACCCATCTCCACCTCAAATTTTCATCCCACTGCCAGGCTCTTTCCCATTTACTCCTCCTTCTTTGCAACTCCCCAGTATACGTTGACCACTAACGTCTTCAATTTGTTACGCTAGAACGCAAAAGCAGGTCTCATTTATACTGGCAGATCAAATTCCTCGAGGGATGGTCTAAGTTCAGCCGAAACGCCTTTTCTCTATGGCGTCTTGACTCTACAATCGCCCTCACAGATGTTAATGAGAAGCTAGCTACACAGCGCTCGTTTTCAGACGTAAACTCATTACATGTTATTAAACTAGGACTTACTCTGAAACAACAGAGTTATCATCGCAATCCACAAAAGGATCCTCCAGAAACCGCATCGGGACGTTTGCAGATTTGTACGCTGAACTTTCATCATTGCTGGTGTCTTGCTCAAAAGTATCCAGCCATTCACTCGGAGATGCTAATTTGTCACCGAGCTGAGCTACCAACTCAGTTGAAGTCTCGTAATCTTTGTAATGCTCTCCTGTTAGTGCTAGAAAGATCTGCTTAAAGTAGAACAGAAGCGATTTTAATCCGCGCAAATATCCGGCATCTGGCTTACCTGGGTTCCGTGGTGGGAACGTAGCAGTCTCGGGAATGGGCTCTTCTGCTATCACGCATTGTGCAAAATCAATGATCTTCACGAAGAGCTTAGAACCGCTTTTCCCTGCATCATACATAAGCAATAGGGAAGAGCCGTACATTCTGTAATCATCAAGCTTGGAGAACTCCTGGTGAAGACTTTCTACCTCCCTAATAAGTGCAGGCAAGTGTCTAACCACGGACATCTTTGATTTTCCATCGTAGAGAAAACGAGCAATGCACCGCGCAAACTCCTCCCCGACCTTCACCTTTCTCCCAAAGTACTTGTCACGCGAAATGAAGCGCGCCTCACGATGTTGCCAGATTTGCATTCCACAAATGCGTACTCCGAGCTGACGCGAAGTAGTCCTGGAGCACTTGAGTCTTTGGGAATACTTTTTAGAGCTTTTGGCTTCAATTCCATACTGTCTTGTTCCCATTTTCAAGTCCAAAACGCAAGGTTTGGACATATCACTGGTTAAGTCCTCTAGTAGAATAAATCTTTCAAATCGCGTATGTTTTCGAAGATGCTTTTTCATAGATGTCTCTGTTTTGGGTGTCTCTTCATAGTCCTCCAAAATGGCATGTTCAGATGCTTTCCGCATTTTCATAGAAGCATCTTCGTTATCGTTATCCATCTCAAATATGGCATCACTATCGGACCGGCTGAGCGCAGGAGTTCCTCTATCCAATTCGGACTTGAGCAAAGCCCTGGGACCTTCTTGATCTGGAGTAGGGTCTTCCACATATCTGCCAGCATCCTTGAGATCAAGCATCGAATGTGGATGAGGGATTCGTTTTGAGAGAGAGTTGGATCTTAGAGAGCCCTTCTCGTAATCTGACGTCATTGAGTATCTGTGTCTTGGCTGGGAATCGTCATTTGAAGAGTTAGGGCTATCGTAATGCTGGAATCTGGTTGTAAACTTTTGCTCTCCGTATTTATTGAGTTTCAATGGGAAAACCTCCTCAAATACTTGTTTTTGCAACTTCTTGTTGATCATTGTAGAACCAAGAGAGTTGTCGAGAGAGTTCCGGTGAAAATCTGAGGCCGGAGATCCGACTGCAGTTTGGGTTCCACTTCTAGGTCCAACTAGAGGCGAAGTAAGACTCTTTCCACTAACAAAAGAGCCAACAGGCGAAGGAGCTGATGATGAAAACCTGTCGCGTAAAGATTGCGGTATCATGTGGATATTGTCATTAAGCACAACTTCTGGCGCAATACCGTTATCACTACGCAATGCATGCGATATAGGAGTTCTCTGGTCTATCCGCTGGCCCTCCTGGGCAGGACTGAGATCACCAACAGTCAAGTTTTCCTCGTCTTCATCGACTAATGAGCTGTACCTAACGTTGAGCACTCCTATGTAGCGTGGCATGAATCCAAGCAGCTCGGGATGATGGCGCTCTACAGACTCGTACCACGTATTCTCTCTGTTAACCAATGCCTTACAAACGGCTTTCTTGGAGAACTTGAAAATGGCAGTGTGGCCTCCAACTTTATTCTTGAATGGCAAAAGTTCCACGGCAAGTGGATATTTCTCGTCGTCTTCTTCTTCGAGATTAACGCTTTCGTCCTTCTCATCACTCAGAGCAATTTCATCCTGATAAGACTGCCCAATTAACCTATCTGAACTTGCGGTGACTGATGTGATCGTACTGTACAATGAACCACTTATAGCTGATTCTATTCCTTCGTCGGTTTCGTGATCGAACTCAGCTGTTGCAGTCAAGTGCTTAGGCTTTAGGCCAGACTGTGATGTTGTGGAGTGTGGAACGTAAGTAGCTGAAGATACGGGCTCCAGCTTTGGAAAACTGTTGGGGATAACGCTTTCATCCAAAAAAGCCTCGCCATCATCCTCGTCGAGCTTTATCTGTAGACCAGATGAAATCATCTCTGAGAGATCGCCAGTCACAGAGTATCGCTTCAAAGCCGGGTCAAAACTCCGAGATTTGGTGGGCGAAATTTGAGCAGAATCATCGTCTGAATTGTATCGTGTTTGGTTTCGCGAACCCTTCTCGCTTGGTGTTTCTGCACCTCTAAAAAGTCTTAGCGATTTTGCGGCTTTTCGACCTGCCATGTTGGTAGAACCAACCTTGGGATCTGAGGGAGTTGATGAGACGGAAACGCCATGTCGTTGAGAATCTGACATTATCGTTTATGCAGGTGTGGATGAAGCTGATGGCAATGACGTTGCGGTTGTGCTTATGGGGTATCGAGGATTAGGTGAACTTCGCTTATTTGTTCGCTTCAGTGGTTTGTCTCTCCGTCTTGCCTTGGCTGATTGAAATTTGCCGAAAGATTACCTGAATTATATCCAACAATCAATTTTTAAGTCCCATCAAACAAAAAAAAGTGCCTCTTGTCCTCACTTAAGATCTTCGCTTTTTCCGAAGGCTCTTGGCTGCTTGTCGAGCCACTGGTTAGACAAGTAACGGTGCTCAGATGCCGCTCCAATATTCTCAATGTAAATAAACAAACAAACAAAACAAATCGCCTAATACCTGTGGCCAGGCTCAAAATCAAGGGCAAATCAGCTTGGTTTGTAGTGAATTAAATGATGTCAAGAAAAGAATCCTTGTGTTGTTGTAGTGGCAGAGACGAGTTGTACACCGTAACACCGGCACCAGAGCGTTGTAAAGTTTTCGTACGGCACGACCATGCGGCGTTGACAGCGTACCTTGGGGTTGGCTACGATTGCATATTGGTGATCAAAGGATTGATATTTCTTTCTTTTTTTCTTTGTTAAATTTATGCTTGTGACTTTCACTATATTTAGCAAGTTTGGCAATAAAGTGCAAAGGAGCTTCCGGGCTTGAGCCTTCAGGTCTGCAAGCTCCCTTTTGAATGCTCGGCTAATTGGCCTAGAAAGTGGACTTTATCAGTTGTTGCAACTATCTAGCACCTCCTACAAAAACAAATATCATTCAAAGGAAACGATCTCTTCTCTTGAAATCGTTCTACCTAACAGACCATCCTCTAATGCGCAGTTGGTTTTACTGTGGAGAAGGTCAGCCGGTGCGAAAGCATAATTGACTGGGCTACTTCGCTTTTAAATTGGCTTTCGAACTGAATTTCGGCCTCGATTTGAAACTGATTTATTGAGTTGCTTTTTTGGAGATTTTTTGGAGATTTTTTCCAGATCTGTCTGAATTTTGCATGCTGCTTGTTTTATACTCTGCAGTGTTATCGAAACATATCACAGTATCCTACACTCTACACACCGAATAATAACGAAACATTTTGAGACAATTTGAATGCACAGTAAAAGGTGCACGCAGACAAGAATATAAAAATAAATAAAAATTGAGAATGAGTCTCATAGACGACTCGAGACAAGACAGGGGTAACGCATGGGGGTATGCATGGAGTATGCATGCAGCACGCATAAGACGCCCACGATATGTCCCGGTTTAATGAAAATCAGACATCACAGTTTGAACTTACAAAGTAGATCCCTTAGAGGTCACACTTGGAGCATCCATTCCGGTCTCCTTGTGGAAACTTGTTGGCAAAACGGAAGAACTGCCCTTCTTGCTTCTGTAAAGCAGGTAGGCAAATCCACCAACCAACAAGAACACACCAATTGTCACACCAGCGCCAATTCCTCCAGCAGCTGCATTGGAAAGGCTTGGAGTGTTGATGTCAAGCGAAGAGTAATCGCCGCTGGCAAGCTCAGAGAGCGAAACGTTCTTGTTCTCCAAGGATTCAGCACTCTCGTACAAGGTGGAGTAGACGGTACATCTCTCAGAGGTGGAGCCGCAAGCAGCGCACCAGTCCTCAACGTTGCGGATAGACACTTTGTCGATATTAGAGGTGAAGTTGCTCCAAGACATGAGGTCTTCGTCAGATCCAAATAATGGATATACCTCCAACTTGGAGCCATCGTTGGTGCCGTTTCTGAAGGAGAACTGGACGTAGTAGTCACTAGTGCTGTTGCTGTGGAGCAGGTCAAACACATACACGGATCCGTAGTCTGGCATTCCAGTGAAATTATCTGAGACTTCATTCAACTGCAACAACCCACCAATTTGGTACATTGTGTTGAACGAACCGACAAAGTAGTTGATGTAAGGGGAACCAGCGGTCTTGGTAGCATTCAAGTAGTTGGCAACTCCGCCCAACAACGATTGTCCTCCAAGGGTGAGAGGATCAGTGGCATTGGAAGCGTTATAGGAAATTCCCCATTGTGCAGCATCGGCCAGATAAGACACCTTGTGCATTATAGTTTCATTCCAGTTCTTAGCCAGATCCTCGTCGTGGATGTAGTTCACATGCATGAAGTCATAGACGTTCATTGCGTTCTTGAAATTAAGCTTGGAGTGGGCATAAGAGGAGTTGGGGATAATGGATCCGAGGGACTTGTAAAAATCGTAGGTGGAAGCATTCATCTCCTTGAAAAACTCGGTTTTGTTGAAGCCGGCAATAGCGTTGTCAGAGTTGGGGCAGCTGTCATCACCATTGATCCAGATGTAGTCCTCGGAGTCGTCTTGCTGGATATCCATGAACACGTACTGGTATCCATTGAATGGTGATTCCACAACAGTGCCGTTGGACATTTCCTCGTCCATTTTATCGGCAAGGGCGGCATCTGTTTGCCAGGCTTGCGTGGGGGGGTAAAGACCCTGCATGAAAGAGATCATGGAGTACATGATTACAGTCGAGGCAGGGGCCTGGGCATAAGTGTCACCGTAAACGAAAACACCTTCACTGTTCAAACCGTCAATCTTGTAGTCAGATTTGACTGTGGTGTTTGCTCCCTTGAGACCAAAGTAACGCTCTCTGAACAGGCTTCCCGAAGCAACCTGTCTGGTGGCTCCGTAGTTGGTAAGAACGGTGGATGGCTTGGCTGTTCTGTCATTGTGTCTTCCGAAAACGAAGGTTCCAACACAGGAGAGGTCAGAGTTACCAAGGGTGTTGTTGAAATCACCAGCCTGAACAGTTGAGGCTGCAAGGGCCAAGAGGGTAGCGGTCGAAAGTCTCATTGTAGCAGCAATGGAGTGGCTATTATCTCAAATCGTCTTCAATTGGTGTCTTAAAGATTTGCAGTCTCTAGTAACAATTTTGCACGTTTCAACCCAAAGATTTGATGTAAAGAAATAAATCAAAAAATTGGCAAATTGGAATTATTTAACTAGGGAGTCAGCAACGAGTGTGTATCTAGTGAAAAATTAATTATTAATGGCCCGCATTGGGAAAATGTGCGATAAGCGGAGAATTGATAGAATCCCTGTAAGGAGTTGGGATTGGAGGTAAAGGGACCGCATACTGTGCAAATATGCTAGGCCAAGACAGCTATATACGCACAAGGAGCGATTAAACAAACACCCCCTTCAAAATATCCTATTCTGATTCGCTAAACTAAAAGGGTTGGCAAAAAGTCAGCCTGTGAACCTATGTACAGATCTGCGTGTAAAGAACCAATAGGGAAAGTTAGCAGCCACCGGAAGTCCCGCCGGATGCAAATGATTTATACCCGATCTGGACACTCTATAGGGCTGAGCTTATCTATGACTATTGTAAGTTATTGTTGACGAATTGTTGGTAATGTGCACTTCTTGGGATGATTCCATTGCGTTTGTGTCATGGTGTGAGTATTTGCTTGCAATTGGTTGGGGACTTCGGGTAAGAAGAGGCGGACTCACTGCCTGTCATCCGGCATCTGAAATTACCCGTGAGTCAGCCGGTTATTTGGCAATTTGTTCGGTTCGGCTACTTCTGGATATGTGAGTTTTTTCTGATAGTCTTTTTAGTCAAACTCAAATTTCTTTGGGTTGCCGCATAGTCACCCCAATTTTTTACTATATACAGTTATCACCACTTACTCAGTTGGGAAACCCTTTCTTCTGGCTTGCTTCATCCTCCGCCATCACCTTCAGAGAGCATTCCCTGACAGCATTCATCTCATCGATGCACTTGCTTTTGACTCCTCCGTTTTTGGTGATGCAGCTCTTGAAAAGATTGGTCTGTTCCTCGCATGTCTTGGATACCTTGGCGTATAACGGCACCTTTGCCTGTATACATGTCTGAAGGCTTTCTTGTTTTGCACGGCAATGCGAAATGTCCGAATCAGGCGTCACATTCATGCATTTGTAGTAATCCAAGAACGTTTCTGGACAAAATTTCGCAATCTGGTGCTTAGTTAGTAGGGATCTCATCACAGACCAAGAAGCTACTTACCTCGTTGATCATCAACATATCTGGGCTCCGAACCCCTCCAGTAGGCAATGACATGGTTTTCTTCCTGAGTTTGAGCCGAACTGGTGTACTGACTGTGAGACAAACTTTCAGAATCGTCTTTGGATATTATCATTGGCCGTTGGAACGTTTTCGCGTCGGGCTCATAACCTTTTTCCGAGGCGGATCTTAGGATTGACCCCGGATCCTTTTTAAGCGGCGCTTTTCACCACATCTCTGACCGTAATAGAATAGTCCGCCGGGAAATCGATGGATAATGTCCTATCATTGGACATAATTGAACTTGCGGCAGCCGATGTGTGGCTTTCAAAGTTTTTGAGTGCGGGTTCTTGTGATGAAAAACCGCGGCTGGATCTTTCCACGCATGAGGCACAAAGAGCTCTTACTGCAGCTGTTTTAAAGGCAAAATACAATATCATCGTTTCTTTGGACTCGAGACGATTGTGTCCGGCGATCCCCAATCGTTTGGCGTATGTCAGGTATATATATGACCTGGTGCTCTCTACCCATGGAGAAGAACCTGGAGAGCGTATGTGCGGAGTGGACATCGGAACAGGTCATGTCGCGATATATCCACTGCTGGCTTGTTCGGAGTATGCCGATATTAACTTTGTGGGAACTGATATTGACTTGGACTCTTTGAATCACGCCTCGCAGATAATCCTAGATAATGGATTCGGTAATCGGATCCAGCTCTTATCAAGTCCCGATGCGGAAACCATATTCTTCAATAGTATGTTTCCTGATGGTAGTACCTATTTCACCATGTGTAATCCACCCTTTTACAGCTCCCGCCAGGAAATTCTCGAGAAGCGCTCTTCCAAAAAGACAGCCGCTTCGGCATCAGAAACGATGGCACTGGATAGCGAGCTGATTGCAGATGGCGGAGAGGTTGGATTTGTTTCTCGGATGATTGAACAAAGCTTCATTTTTCGAGATAAAGTTGTTTGGTTCTCTTCATTATTGGGAAAGATGGAGTCTGTGGGTGCCGTCGTTGATATTCTTCGGCGAATGACTATAAGCAATTATGCCATTCACGAACTGGTTCCAAGTGCTCACCAGGCTTCCACAAGAAGATGGGTTGCTTGCTGGTCATTCAAGTCAATACGACCACCAAACGAACTATGTCTTGCAAAATCTCACAAGCTGAAGACTTTCAACCCGAGCCATACGCAGTTTTTCTTTGATGCTAAAATCACGGATATTTCGTTGATATTACACCTAGTCAAAAAACTTGACCAATGTGTGGTTGAGGAGGATCTCAGGTGCCTGCATTTGGTATTTCCAGGGGATATTTGGTCAAGATCGTATAGACGAAAAGCCAAGAAAGACGTAGTGACGTTTGCTGAAGACGATCGTTGTACTATCATTATAAGGTTATGTGATGGTACTGTGGAGGTTTACTGGCGATCTGGTATTCATTATAATATATTTGAGAGCTTTTGTGGCTGGATCAAGCGAAGTGTTGGTGAGCTGCAATGAGATGCAGTGGATATGCAAGACATATGCATGTTTTTTTTCGGTACCTTCAGCGTTGTGTTTGGTGTTTCTGGTTTATGTATCTGCCAAGTTTACTATGGATATTTCATTATTGTTATAATTTTCATGATATTGTGTTCGTCTTTATTCGTATTCCACGTCCTCGATTGGTGGTTTCTAGTTAGCTTGTCCTTTCCGGTCGCTCTCTGACTCATTCTCACCCGTGTAATTCTTGAATAACGAATTTCAAATTCATTCCTGACATTATATTTTGATACCTTTAACTATGCAGTCTGTAATTTCGGTCCTATATCTATGAGAGAACTCACCGAGTCTCCTGAACTCCAACCTCTTCAAATCTTCTCCTGGCTTCCCCCCTTCTTCACAGCTTCTTCACGTAACCCTGCTGAATCAGCCTCTCAACATCAGCTTGTCTCACAAAGAATTGTGAGCCTTTCGTGAGATTGAAAACACCATACTCTGTCTGGACTTCTCCAGCATCCTTCAAAACTCTCACATCCACGAACACATCCTCTGGAGGTTCCAACGGTCCACCAAGATCAAGGTCAGTAAATAGACCCTTATACTCAGATGCAAGCTCGTTGTATTTGCGGAAATACTCTTGCTCCTGGTGGGACAGGTTATCGAGCATGGCCTTGGTGGCTTCAGATCCGTCCCAGGCAACTAGGTCCATCTTGTCAGCCCGTAGTTTCGCATGAGCCATTAAACATCTCTTATTGCGTCTCATGCAGAGCTGAATTACAAACAACTGGCATTGAGTTACTCGATTGCCATCTTCTTCTGTCATCAAAAGGTAATCTGCTTCCTTGTTCAGCTCGCGCGTCTCTCTAACGATACCTTGAATGTAATCCTCAGGGTAGGTCGGCAGAAAGTCCAATGATTGGGCTCTTTTCGCCTCCAGTATTAGTTTATGTGCTAGGTCCCCATACATGGCGAAGAATGCTCGAAATCAGCGAGGATCAAGTAAATTTTTCGTGCTTGTTGATAAGCAGATAAAATCATATTTCAAGAAAAAAACGCGTGGGACGCGACCAATGGCCCTCCCCCGCGATAGCGGGCGATGGGTGGGCCGAAATTTCACGCGAATCTGGTGTGATTGGGATTGCAGGAAGTTAAAGGTAATATCTTGACAAGTCTAGACACATTTTTGGCGTTGTTCTTGCGAGCTGGTAATTTCTCAAACATTGCTATACGCCATATTGGATATCCAGCACATCCCGAATGGGGCAGAAAGGATCCTCAGACTCCACCCTATCGCCTGCTGATAGATCTAAGGAGTTTTCAGACTTTTCAGCTAGGCCAAGAACTCCCTCATCCTCGACGAAAAGTTCCCCGATATGCATTTCTCCAGTCAAAGACTTCCTGGAGGATGCAGGCTCTCCCACCCCTAGAAAGAGGGTTTATGGTCAGGGTCGAAGAAGTAAGTACTCTAGGGCAGGCAGGACCGTGTCAAGAGAGTTACTAGTGCCGTTTAGGGATGGTGATTTGCGGAAAGAGGCCAGCTTTAGTACCAGTTCACAGAATTGCTTGCCTGATGATATTGTGTTTTCGCCAGAACGTTTCGTGACATCGAAGCTTGCACCGAAACACTCGCCTCAGCTTTCTCCGGATCCCTTTGTGAGGGCCTCTCCAAAGAGCCCAGAAAATAGCAAAATCCAGCCAGAACATTATCTTCAGCAGACTCCATCACCTAGAAGTCCAACAGTGTCTTTGCGAGTCATGCCTACAACGGTTGCAGATGAAAAGGGAATTTGGGACTTCTTCGATTCTGAGACAGCTCTGACCCAGATATCACCGCGAAAAAGGCTAGTCGATCGATCTCATTTGTCTGTAAACGATAGTCCCACTTTAATGACCCCTTCTGAACCTACTGAGCCGGATTTTTGGACAAAGATAAGCTCTAAGCTGCAAGATTCACTTTCCCAGTTGGAGGAGGTGGTGATGCCTTCTAAAAAAGAGGCGCGTGTATCTACGATTCCAGCTTTTTCAAATTCTTCACATCGATTTGCGAGGACTTATGGAATGACTAGGAGTTTTAGAATGGACGATGAAACTGATCGTTCAGCCACAGGCTCGATGACTGGCTCGGATGATGAATTTGAGCAACATCCCATCGAAGCCCAATCTGAACCAGCTTCTAACGTTCACAGCTTGTGGTATTTGAAAAGTCTTTCACAGGCAACTAATCACACTGACGAGATTGAGTATTTGCTCGAGTGTTTCTCGAAACGGAGCTGGGGTTCTGTATCTTTGCGAAGGTCCTCGCTGGTCGAGTATCTTGGCAAGATGTTGCGCGATACAGGATTTTCCAACCACGTTTATGCCAATGAATTTCCAAAAAATTTGGTGGAAAACGTGATACTTCAGGAAGAAACTGACGCAGTCATAAATGGAACTCTGTCGTTAATTTTAACGGATGTTCTTTCCAGAGAAAGCGGCTCTCGCAATGCGGCGAAAGAGAGTGTTTCGCAATTGTTGATGCAGTCTAAATATCAACGGAAACTGGCCAAATTCATTAAGTCTCAACTTGAATCCCAAAATGATATTCATGGATCCTATTATGGTGTTTCTGAATGGGATTCGTGCTTGGAGATTGTGGCTCAAGAGATCTCTTCCAGCGCTGGTGTTGAGATCAAGCCAAATGAGATCACGCCTGTTTATCTGGGAACAATTCTTCTCAAAGCATGTTTGTACGCTTTGGAGAACTTTGGCCAACAAATTGTTGGTGATCTAGCCAATCTAATACTAGAATTGACGACAACCCACATTCAAACCGGATCCTATATGGAGACCATTCTGACCACAGAACTGTGCTCTATCCTGGAACAGATGTGGTCAACTGGAGCATTGATGCCTTATTATGTGGATCATTTGGATCATTTTTCGGTTTCGATCAACAAGCTTCTGCTGCCTCTGCAAAGTAGATGCAACTCCAACGATCCCTATCTTCTCAGGTTCAGGTCCCAGTTGTGCAAACTTTCAATTGTCATTTGCACTGGAGAGGGAAATGATGGTCTGAAGTGTTTGGGCTGCAATTATGGCTTTGTCGACGAGCTGGTAAGATGCATATCGGATTCTGGTATTCTTATGGACAACCCCCAGTTGATCAAAGCAGAATATGATTATGCAATGTACAGTATTGGTCTTTTGTTTCGAATAGCCGATGATAATGAATGTCAAAGACTGTTTGGGGAAGATGAGGCAGTTCTGAGTGCTTTGAAATTGCTTCAAGATTCTGCCGTGATTCCCCAAGAACCGCAGAAGTATGATGCTCGGTACTACTTCTCGCTCATCATAGGGATCTTGAGTACAAGCAGCCACGTTGAATACGATTTTGATATTGGCAAAGCGACAGGATTAGTTGATGTAAAGAGTGTTGATGATGATGGCGAAATTGCATCTGGTCCTAGCAATCCTGCTTTTATTGCTTGAATGAGAAATCTTTGTGATTTATAATGACTCTAATTAATACTTATGTTTGCTAATATACAAGTTTTCTAGTTGATCTAGTTATGGTGGGTGACTGAGTCGTTCGCCGAGAGATGCACCTGTTGCCCACCTCCTGCACCTGCTGCATCCTCTGCCTACCTAACGATAATTCTCATGCAGATGAAATAGATTCTCTGTCCTTATCACATAAAATTAAACTCACTGCTCTGATGTTTTACGGCCATTCCTGCTGCTCTCAGTAGCTGCTTCTTCATGTTCACCTTCTGCTTCTTAGGGGCACCGTTACCAGAACCTCCAGTACGTCCCAATTGCTTTGGAGTCTCACGAAGACCGAAACTCTTTGCCAAATGTCCTAGATGAAGTGTCTTCACATTGAAAATGTCCCTCTCTGAGGACAAATGAGTGGCATATGCTCTAATATGGCTCACGAAGGCCTGGGTCGCCAACTCATGTGCGGCTTGGTCTTCAAGCTGATGTCTTTCAACATCCAGATGGTAGGTAGTAGCCTCAACATCCCATGCTCCCTTCTTACCAAAAGCCTGTTTCAGAGCACTTTCATACGGTTTGTACTGCAAACCTCCGCTGATATGCAAGCTGGCAATGTTCTTAGAGTAGTTCTCCTCTGACCCAGGAAGCAAAAACAGCACTGATGTTCCTGCTTCACCGGCTCTTGCAGTACGACCAACACGATGAAGATGGTCCTCGATAGAAAATGGAGGATCATACTCAACAACTGTAGAAATGTGTGGAAGATCCAGACCTCTGGAAGCCACATCCGTACATATCAGAATGCTGTGTTCGGTTTGCGGAGTCTTGGAAAATGCACTCAGAGTCGAAGTACGTACTTGCTGGGTCAAGCTACCATGGAGTTTAAAGATGGAAGTTTTTGGGCCCAGAGTTGGTGCAGTCATCATCGTGTTGAGATTTTCGAACTCATCATCGTCTTCCTGATATGTGCTGCCCATTCCGTAGGTGTTTGGATCATCTTCTGCGTCATCATCATGGTCTTTTTCGGCTTCATTTTCATCAATCTCTCCCTCTTCGTTCTCATCCTTTTTGGGTTTGGCCTTCTTGCTCACAATCTTCTTTCCCTTTCTCGTCAAAGTTGTGAAATGATAGTTGACTGAGTCAGAGCACGAGAAAAACACCACCGTACGTGATCCAGCCGCAGAGGAAGAAACGATATTCTTCAAAGTCGCATAAAGAGTTACCAAGCGCAATTTCGCAGGAACGACCAGTACCTGTTGAACCAGCTGGTCTGGAGCACTGTACTCTTCGTCCTCCATGGGGACGTCAGAAACCGATTGGACATTAACCAGCTCCGCATCGTCCAGAGAGATGTCACCAAGCTTTTTGGCGTTTCCCTTTATTGTAGCAGAGCAAAGAACATTGATACGCTTGCGAGGCAGCTGAGGGTATAATCTGGTGGTTGTTTCAATTCTGGACGTCTTGGAGATACGGTCCAGAATTTTGGCAATGGTCTCTTCAAATCCCAAGTCCATCAGCCTGTCTCCTTCGTCCAGAACAAGGTATCTGATGTTAGACAAATCCAGGATCTCGGTGTTCTCAATGTGATCAGCCAATCTGCCGGGAGTGGCTACTAGGATATTCACTCCCTTTCTGAGTCTGGCCTTTTCTCCCTTCTTCTTCTCTCCTCCTATGACGATACCAGGGACAATCCTATGGCAACATCTGGTGAGACTTTCCAGCACAGAGTAGATCTGATTGGCCAATTCACGGGTGGGGGTGAGAATTAAAGCAAAAACTCCCGTAGATCTATTCAGATCCTTAATCTCCTGAAGCTTTTGAAAGATAGGCAGTGCAAATGCCAACGTTTTACCAGAACCAGTTTGGGCTTGAACGAAAAGATCTCTGTCTCTTGTCAAAAGTCTTGGAATCACCGATCTCTGGATCTTGGTAGGATGTTGGAACTTCAGATGCTCTGTCAAATGCTGTGCCAAATGCTCCTCCACTCCCAAACCAGGGAAGTCTGTGGAGTCCGCCAATGGCGCATTGGATGGTGCCTGAGTCTCGGTTTTCTCTTTGTACTCTCTCTTTTCAATCTCGGGTGCAGATGTGAACAACGATGAGACATACGAATTGTTTTTTCCACCAAATTCACCGGCTTTCTCCTGGAATCGCACCTTGCGTGATGCTTGGCTCTCCACGTCTTCCTCGGATCTTCTTTTGCGCGGTCTTTGCTCCCGGTCGGTTTCACGATGCAATCTGGCCTTCTGCTCTCTTTCCTGACGTTTTTCAGGGTCGACTTCAATCGAGTTGGCGCCATAAGCGGCTCTCTTCTTCTGGCGACCTTCCAAAGTGAGCTGGGCTCTTCGACGGTCTTTCCAACGTCCTCCAGTCACTTTGGAAGCCCTTTTGGGGGTGCTGGAGGCAGGCGACTCCGTCGCAAAATTCAGCATCAGCCCATCGTCATCCATTTTTGCGTTTGTGTAGATACGATTGGTATGCAGTTTGTGTCTTGTTCTTTCTTTAGAAAGTCTCTGCAGAAAAAAAAGATTTGGGCCGCATATGAGTAGAGCACGACCAGTCGGATTGGCTCATGAGAGAAATGGGCAAGGCATGAAGAATCACGAGCCAAATAAAGAAATCGATAGGTTAAATTTTGCAATTCAATAATAATCCTCTAAAATTCAAGTCTTGGGAACTTTGAGACTCATTTGCTTCAGATTACGGTGGGGTATAATACTAGGTAAAATTCACACACGTGACTTACCCTCGGGAAGCTCAGCTCATCTACTTTTTTTTCACCTTCTCTCAAAGCTCCTGAGGCTTTATGACGACACAACCAAGACTCCAATTATGAGTCTGTTTGTCAGCGATGATGAAATAGACGAGCCCATGGAAGGGGTCACTGGTTCCATGGATGGTGGTTACATAGATGATCTGGACGACCCTGTGGTCGAAGAGATCCCAATCAGCTTCAAACCCATTTCAGAAGCGGAACTTTACTTGCTGCAATTTCCCAATAAAGCCGCCAATAGTGCTTATGCGAAGCATGAAATAGCAAATATTTCCGATGCAAAGGTCAAATCACAGTCTGGGATAATAGAGGTGGAGATTCCGGTTGACAAATCGCGATTTTTCGACCAGGAGAAGTCTGAGAAATGGTTTAATGTGGAAGCTCAGACCCTGAGTGGTGTATCGAGCGATGCCCAGGGTTATTGTGCTGGTCAGTTGGTTAACGGCGAACTCTGTCTGTTTCCACTTGCGAAAACAATGCAGTTACGGCCTTCCTTCAAGTACGTTGACGCTTTAAGGGCCTTCCGAAACGAATCAGCCAGGGCTACTGATCTACACCATGGGCCTGATGCCAGAGACAAGAAAAAGGATGTCCAGGTGGTGCAGATGTCAATGAAGACCGTGGGCGACAACGCCCCACGGCTGGGCGGCGCGCTGCAGTCCAAGAAGAGGGAAGAGGAAGAGCGATATGAGTCGTATGAGTTCAGGGCTCAGCATGATGAAGCCTCGGTATCTGTTTTAAAGTCCCTGAGGCAGATGTCCGACTCCGAGCTCCGACTCGAAACTCGCGCAGACAACCTCGGAGGATTGTTGGAATGAAACCGGCAGAACCAGATTCCGCCTCCGCACCGGGGAGGAGTGATTTCCGTGAGGTGCATTTTCCCTATCGGAAATGCCCAAATATCAACTGCATTGACGGCATGTACATTAGAAAAAAAACGATCCAATTGCCAGAAATTCACCCAAACTGGGCATGAGTCGCTCGTAAAATCGGGACCTTGCCCATGCATAAGTAGTGCAAGGGTTAATTTGTGCATTGTCCGTCGCACGCCCAGCCGCGCGGTCTAGGCACGCCAAAAATAGAACTCTTCGGGTCGTGCGCATAGCTAATTTACTAAACAAGCCTAATTTGGGTTTTTCTTTCAGTCATAATGGGAAAGGAGGAGCGGTACGATCTCTTGAGATTGACATTTGCCTCCAACTATTATATTTTTGCAGGATCCGTTTTGAGGGGCTATCCATTCGTTTAACGCCCCAAGTTTGTTATTACGGCGTTCTGCACGCCGAGACCTGAGCAAGGAACTCGTGCTACTGAGCCCCTAAGGTTGACCGTGTTTTAAAGAACAAGAGCAACAACTGTGCAACTTTCACTACCATCACCACTAAGGCTCGCCGTTAGGACCTAAGCTTGTGAGATTGAGATTTGGGTGAAGCTTTTTGTGTTCAATTATCAGCGAGAGGTTCATTCCTGAGTGCTTTCAGTCACATCCAAGCTTGCTTCTCTAGCCAGGGCGATCTCTCTGAACAAGAGAAAATTTACAATGTCAAACAACACTACAGGATCGACCAGTTTGTCGGGAGGAACTTCTACATTTGAATACGGACCCAGTTCGAGCTACGAAAGTTCGTCGATATTTGATAGCACAAGCGCCTGGTCGGAGTACCCCAGTATTGGTATCTCTTCAGGCTGGAATGGATATTCTTCTGTCTTGTCACATCAGACATCTTTGAAATCTTCACCTTACTACCCAACTGAACATCGAACGACAGATGGTTATATTCGCTCTTCAAGTGAGCGTTCCACAAAGCATGCCACCAAGCATGCCACTGAGCTGTCTCCATTGAGCACGAGTTCAAAGAGGTCGAAGAAGCACTCAAGCTCCACACGCACAAAGTCAAGCTCAGAAAGCTTAGAAAGCTCACAAATTCCAGAGCAAAGCTCTGCGTTTGCCTCTTCGATATCCACATCATCAGCTGCATTGACCAGCTCTTCGAATCCACAGAATTCGGTCTCGCAGACTGCCTCTATTGCACAACAGACTGCATCTCCAGCTACCACGTATACGCGACTCCAACCGTATATTATCACTGCAGCCTCCACTACTTTCTCTACTACGCTGACATCGGTTGCTACCGGAACGCAGGAGTCGACCAGTGTGATTACAACAGACTTGGCGTACTTCAACCAACACATACTGACTCATACGCAAACTCAATCATCTGGCTTGAGTCGAGGAGCGATCGCCGGAATTGCCATTGGTTCGATTCTGGGTTCTGCACTCGCACTTTTCGTTGTATTTTTATTTTGCAGAAGAAAAAGAAGGCGAGGTGGTGATGCTGAGACCCGGTTCTTTTCCGGTTTTGGAAAGTCCAAGCCGGAACGACCACGTTCTGGACCCCCGGTGTTCAAAGCAAGTGAGAAATACGCATTTTATCCTCGAACTCCTGTGACAGAAACTCAACCGATCTCAGGAACTACAGTACCTGCATACAGCTCTACGAGAGTTCAGGAGGACCCATTGGGGCTTTTCGATCTGAGAGATGGCCTTTTGCACAACCAGGAGGTTGCTCTGGCTGACTCGACCACCGAGGGCTCTTCTTCGGTTCCAATCTACGAATCCCCGGCTCCGCCAACAGAAAGGCTCATGGATGTGCTGTACGAGCAAGATGAAACACCCGAACCACATCCGGTTTTTTCGCCGACATACAAATCGAAACGCTTTGACCGGTATAACGTCGGAATCCCTATACCCTTTGTTTCAGGAGCAGATACATTTGCAAAGAAGAAGCCTCCTCCACCACCGCCGCGTGCGAGACGGGCTGGTGTAGCAACTGAGTCTCCCTCAGAATTTGTGGTCCAAGATACATTATCTTCTATGCAATATAGGCCACCACGGTCTTCTGAGTCTTCTTCTCTGTCTGGATATTCATTTTCAGACGAAGAGGATGACGAGAGCTGGAACTAGAATCAATGCTACGGTCGATAATTGAAAGGGCCATATATGAAATTTCTCATCGTTGCCAAATCGACTTCAAACCAGTACCCTATACCAAACACTGTTCGCTTCTTCAGCCTGGTCTGTCTGGTCTTGACAACCAACTTTTTGCTGATACCCTCTACTGCGCTTTTGTTCGCATGGCCTGTTTTTTATCGTTTTATTTAGAAGGAGTTAGTTACTGTATTATTTGAAGAAGAGTGTGGTCCAACGTTACGTAGTTAGTGATTAACGGTTCATACAATATGACATCGCAGTAGCTATGTCGTTCGGTCGTTGATAATTTCATTTGAATTATTTTTTGTCTTGCTTGATTCATGAGCATATTCGTTTAGTCCCATTAACTTTATTTTCGTAATTGGAGACCATAAAATCACACAATACCTACAGGTTCATCACCCAATTTTCCAAAAACGGGACTATTCCTGAAATTCCTTAAACTCCTCAGAAGCACTGTTTGAGTAACCACCCGATCACCATATAAAAACCTAAAAAAATGCCCATATATCCAATTGAACCACACCCCTCCAATGAGTAAAATGCCAAGAAGTTTAATCAAAACTAATCTGCGATCCTTCTGTCACATGATATGTCACTGCAACCCAAATCCCTTCCTTCTTTCATTCAAACCTCAAACACTCCTTTTTTGTCGCCGTAACTTTCAATACCAGAGTCTCAGCCCTCAGCTTGCTCCAAAAATCCAAGCTCGATTACATAGTTACCTTCTTTGTACTTCTCCTTGAAGTTATCGCTATGGATGTATTTCCAGCCCATATCCACTCCGCACTGCTTGCACGTCAGCGAACGAATGGTGTACTTTCCAGTCCGCATAGTCTTGACCTCTGGCTTTAGCAAATCACAATTAATGACTCGCGAGACATAGTATGCTGGTCCTGTGGACCCGTAGAAGTTCTGTAAGGGTGGGTCAGTAAGAGATTGAAGAACCACACGAACGTCAGAAAACAACTCACCTCTGACATCAGAAATTGCAATTTGCAAATGTGGTTATGACATCTTTTGCATCTCAACAAATCTCCAGAAGAATGCGTAGAAGAAGAACTAGAGTTGGACGAGGTGTCATCCCAGTGCTTATCCGGGGATGATTTGAAGCAATCTGTGTAAACTAGGCCCATGGCTAGAACCAAATAAACGGTATGCCAGATCCGCAAATTCTGAAGGCCACAATAACCTAAGCTGATATTTGCGAATTTGTGCCGGGAAAAAAGATTAAACTTAGTTAAAACAGTTGTAACCTTTGCTCCATTTGAGACCCCTCTTAGCCTCTAATAGGAAGGGACAGAGACTGTTGCCGACCCGTTAGAGAAATGACAGAAGACCTTGGCCGGTTATTTTTCAGTTCGACAAAAACTGCATCTGCAAAGACACCAAGAAACCACCACGACCACACAATATAATCGCGGATTTTAATCATGAGACTGTTTTCGCGCAATCTGATGGTGGCTAGACCGGCACAGAGGTTTTTTGCCACGTCGCCGTTGAGGTTGAACGATTCGTTGTTCGGGTCACTGGGAGGATCCAACAAGGCTGTTGTTGCCGAACCCACTCAGGCCGCTTCAGTCCCCCAAGAATCAGCGGCTCCAGCTAGTGATGTTCCAGCGGAGACGAGCGATCCCTCGGTAGTGAAGTATCTTGATCCCGCGAAGGATGCGGCATTGCAAGAGTACCTTAACCCAGCACCAATGAAGACTGTGGAAACACTTCTGTCACCCTTGAAGAGAGAGATCTACGAGGCAAATGTGAAAAGAAACGGATTTTTCAAGAATGGCGAAGTCGAAGTTGTTAACGGTGAAACCTACAAGCTACAGCTTTCGAAACCCGAAATAGAGGCTCTGGAGCCCAGTATCTACCTGAAGTCATGGAGAATCAAGTACACTCCCAAGAAGACTAATATCGTCCTACGGGCCTTGAAGGATTTGCCTCTCAAGAAGGCGATAACACAAGTCCATTTCATAAATAAGAAGGTGACCAAGGATCTAGACGAGATGCTGACCCGTGGTGTTGAGCACGCCAAGCGCATGAACTACGACCCCAACGATATGTATGTTGCTGAGTCGTGGGTCGGATCAGATGGAGAATGGGTCAACAGACCGGAGTTTAAGGGCCGCGGAAGGGTCGGAATTTTGACTCATAGATATGTGAACATCAGAATACTGCTGAAGTCAAAGCAGACGCAGGCCAGGCTGAATTGGGAGAGACTGGAGAGACTCAAGAAGAAGGCCGTCAAGACTCCATTGCCCAATTTAACTGTTAGAGGTCCCGCTCCTGGGTTCTATAAGTGGTGAGATATTACGAACGTGTACATAGCGTAAAGAAGAAGTCATGTTTATCAGAACCAGATGTAGTATCGACTTTGCCTCTGGAAACAAAAAGCACTACTAACTCATGATGAAAATGTGTTGACATTGATATAGCAGTACACTGGAAAATGATGGTTTTGATCCCTAACCTAATGTAGCCTTACCAATTTCTTTGAAGAATTTATCTCTGTCCTTCTTCGCCCTAATGTCTCCATGACACTATCCTTCTCTCTGTTGTCTTTTCGAGAAATCTAATCATCGTAACCAGTCAGTGTTGTGTCTCTAGCACGGTTTGGCAGAGGGTAACCGTGAATAGGCAAGGCAGGACTGTCCCCATACAGAAATGTTTTCCTCAAAGGTGTCACCACAAATATGAACACTGGCGCGAGACCGGCAACGGCACATGCAAAAAAGACGTGAGGTCTGGTGTGGGCATGGTAGCGGAACCACTGTAGAGTTGATGTTAGTTGGATGCTCTGAAGTTGGTAGTGAGGCCTGAAATATCCGGGATTTGCAGCTCCCATTTCACCAAAGTTCTCAGAAATGACGTACTCTAATTGGCTGCTTGTAGTACACTGGATATTCTCCAACCATTGCGTTTATTATATGAATTCGTTTGGCAGTTTAACCTATGTTCGTCTATGTCTAGCCAACTTACCAAGAGACTTTAGCTCATTGGTTGAAAGTAATTGGGTCGGAGCACGACCTTTTCACCCAGGCGGTGCCAGCCTTACCTCATTGGCGAAGTTACTCTTCATTACAATATATTAGTCCAAACTAGCACTTAATGTTCTCCTAAATGTTCAAACCTTCTTCTTAGACTTCGATCTCGTCTCGACCCCGGTGCTTGTTGCAGTTGGCTTAGTCTTTGCAGCCTTTGCGGCGGCCTTCTCCTCTGCCTCACCCTTCAGATACTCCTCTTTGATCTTACGGTCAGCGTAGGTAGCATAGTACATCCCGGCCTGCAGCACTAAAACTCCAACCAAAAGTACGAGCACCATAAGCTCGCTTGCCACGATGACGCCTAGACCAGTGTTCTGGTCAATGTCACCCCAGATACCCGAAACGGCAGACTCAACGCCGACACGGATGTTGGTAAGGTAAACACATGTGGCCAAAAGTAAGGCAAAGAGAGAGCCGTATTCAAATAGCTTGATGTCAGTAACCGGCTTGTATATTTTGATAAAGCAGCCAGTAAATCCCAGGAAGACAACAAAGTGCAAAATGTGGATTATCCAAGCAGGTCCAGAGCCCCAGAGTTGGTAGTGCTTCAAAGCAGCGTCAAAGTGCGCCTCTGTAGCTTCCGAGGAAAACAACACGAAGAAGTCGTATGGGAGGTTACCATATATGGTGCCAATTACGAAAGAGACGGCTGAAGAAAGAGGTTAGTATAGAACGATGCCACGACAGAACCACCATGTTATGGATACTCACATGCGACTATGAGCACAGTTCCAATCGGAACAATATCTTCGTAAGCCATGCTTTGATTCAAATATATCAGCAAATGACCACAATGGCAATGGTTCAAGACAAAAGTGGTTAATCAAGAAAAAAAGAAGAACAACAATGAGCAAGATTCATTCTCGTTCGCCTATCTGGCCCCTGCCAAATCCCAAAACGGACGTTCGATGCACTGGCGCAATTTTCATAAGGCATCAACGAGATAAGCTAAGAAAACGATGGCCTCAAAAATATGGCAAATGGCAATTAAAACGGAATTATATTTGAGTGGGAAATGGTTTACAATGATTGTGGGAATTATGAGCATTGCCGTCGAATGAAATTAACAAAATTGAGGCCATCTTTGTGAAGTTGATTGGGTCATTGTAGCGTGGTTATCGGTTGATTGGTGATCTAAGGTGACTAATTTGACCACATATTGGAATTTTGTAAAATCACGGAAAAAAGTTGATTTTCTGAAATTTTGACTTCTCAAGGGAGCTAACACGGCTAGGAGAAAAATTGAGGAATTTTATGGTTTTTTGTCTTAAATCTGTGATGTTATCCATTATGGTAGAAAGTTTCACGAGCAATAGGTAGAGATTTAGGGTAGAGGCTAGCCACGCATGGCAGCAGAGGCCTTCCATAAATGCTGCTCCTGAAACTTTACTGATCTCACCTACATCTCAATTTAAATCCTCAACCTTATATTAAAGTTACAAAATTGTGCCAAAAACCTCCCCAAGACGCTTAAGCAGCAACTGGCTCGGCAGCAGCAGGCTTTTCAGCGGCTGGCTTGTAGTCCTTAACGTATGGAACTGGAACAAACTCATCCTCCTTTGGGTCGATGATCTGGACAGCGTCTGGCAAGGCCTTTGGACCGAACTTGGCGGCAGCTGGGTCCTTCATGATCTTGACCTTAACACCCAAAACACCCTGTCTCAACAAGACGTGTCTGGTGGCAGTGTCGATGAAGTCGTTGACTGGCTGACCGGAGTGGATCATGAAACCGTCGGCAAACTTCATAGACTTGGCTCTGGCAGCTCTGAGCTTACCGGAAACGACAACCTCAACACCCTTAGCACCGGACTCCATCACATTTCTGACGACACCGTAAGCGGCTCTTCTGATGGCAAGACCGTTAAGCAACTTGTACTTGATGGACTCACACTGAGCAACGGCAGAGAGACCACGCTCCTGGACACGCTCGGCGTAAAGAACAAGCGAGCCTGGGGCAAGCTTGAATCTCTTCTGGACAAGGAAGGTCAACTCGTTGATTCTTCTTCCCTTCTCACCCAAGACTTCTCTGGTCTGGGTGGCACGGATGATGACCTCGGTCTTGGTTGGGGTGATTCTGACCTCAACACCGGCGTATCCCTGCTCGGCCAATTCTCTGGTGAAGAATTCGTTCAATTCGGCGTAGAAGACACCGTCAGCCACAAGCTTTCTCTTCTTGGAAATAAAGGAAACCATCTTTGTATATATTAAAGTTGTTGTTTTTGGAAAAGAATCAATGTTACAGATTGAAGGTTGAAAAGTTTTAAAGGCATTGAAGAGGGTGTGTGGTCACCAATAAGGACTTCGTGCGATGCCCAATGTTGTCGATAAAAGCCCATTTTGGAGAGCAGACTCAGAAATACCCTTATTGTACCAGAATATGCACAATTAGGATGTGACTGCTTTATATAACCGGGAGACATCCCGTTACAGCGGGCCTGCGTATGCATGAACAACAGTGCGTCACTAGCGATTAAGGATAAGGATATAGGGGTTGCGGTAACAGACTAACTATTATTCTCGAAAGCGCCGATCGCATACGTTATTGCTCCGACTTCTGGTAATATTTAGAAATGCAGTCTTGTTTAGACCTGTGATCAATTTTTAATTATTACATCTACTTCGGAAGTTACCACATGGCGCTCAATTTACAAAGGTAATTCATAATAAGGTATAGAAAGGCTTAAATAAAGTCCAACAATGAGTAATCTCGAAGTGGCAAATAAAAAGGCTGCTAATTATGATAAACGCATAAAGAAGACGTGCGGAACGCTTCAGTAAAAAACAAATCACTAGTGAGCGAGTGGACAAACCCATGGATGGCAATGAACAGCGATTGTGCCTACAACCCAAGAACAACACCGGCAGCGACAGCAGCGGCTCCCATTGCGGCAAAGGAGCCACCCATGGTGGCACCAATACCCTCATAGGCTGAGACTGTGTTGTTGGAATAAGGACAGTCGGTGACGGTGGCCGCACATTCAGAAATCGTCACCTCAACGGTAGAGGTGGCTGCCAATGCGGTGGAGGCAACGAAAAGGCTAAGAGCGATTGACTTGAATTGCATATTGAGATAGAAAATAACGAGGGGAGGTATGAGTACTTTCGGAGAAATTCTCAATTTTTTGTTCAATAGAAGAAGACCACTTGGTTCAGCCGAGTTCGGGGGATAGCGCTTTTATAAACTCAAAAACACCTCTTTTTTCTTTAAGCAATCTAGATTGGACATAACTCAAATTAGGTTATGAAATTCGACAATTATAGACGTCTGCGGAGTTCTGCAAACAATAATTGCTGCATTGGGCAAATGCTTAGCTCAAAATTGACGTGGGACTGATTATGCAGTTATCGAGCCGGCTGCCTGTATAAGTCTATGTGCTCACTAAATAAAGTGCCTATTAAGTGTTTTTGCTGAAGTGTTTATTTTATTCGTTGGTTATATCCGTGCTCAAACTATTTAGACCTCAGATATTTGATATTACCGATGGTGGCTTCAGTTTCTCAACCTGTCTTCTTCTAGTGGTCACACCAACTTTGCGGCTTATCGTCTAAAACGACCCCACTGGGATCGGCATGCTGCAACTGGAGTTGCCGTTATATGGTGACTAGTGTTTTTAAGCAATGTGCTTCAATGTCCCGAGTAGAAACCCGGCCTTCAACCAATGCTTAATTTATTCTGCATCTCTAAGCCTTATGCCAGTGAATCGGTTTAGCCGCTGTCAACTGGTGAGCTGCTCGTTATCAAGCTCGATTTGGCGAGCCTCATCTGACCGCTTGTGCCCGTTAGCCTGAGCAAACATGTCGTCACCTGGTCATCACGTAGCCGTAAAACCTCGCTGGCCTTAGCAATGTTCAGTTCTCATTATAATAATGTTCTATTTGCTTATATTCAGCATATTTTCTCGGAACAATCCAGAACATGAAAAATGTCCTATAGGAAAGCCCAGCCAGTAAGAACAGGGGTTGTTGCTGTAAACCGAAGCTTTGAAACCGAAGCTTTAGCGGCTATTTTAACCACTTGACGGCAATCTTTAGTCGGAACTGACAGTATTATTCTACTCTCCTGACACCGAAGGTCTAAGCGTTTGGACAAAAGCATAAAGCACCTGCTAAGCCCTGCAGAGATAAAGGGGAAGAGATAGACTCGCACAAAAGCTGTTCCAGAATGCCAACTATAGCTAAATCGATGTGAAACATCTTGTGAACTCATGAATCTGATGTCAGTGTACCAATTGTTAAAACCACAGACCTAGTGAACTCGTGACAATATTGTGAAGTCTTCTCAATGAACTTCAAAGAGCACACCCAGAGGAGAGACTCACAATGGCCATTGTTTCTCCAAAAACAATAAAACTGGTTTTTTTTCCACCTAGTGTTAGTGATTGTAGCTCCTGTCTATCCTCTATATGTCTGTTGTCTCCAGAGCCCCGCCTTTCATACAACCCGAACCGTCATTGTCGGTCTGAATGGTGACAATGCCAAACGCATATCAGCAGCGAGTTTGACACGATGCTCGACATAAATTGCCCATAAAGGCATAGGGACAAAACTTCGGATATACTGGGTTGAGATGATGTTGGTCGTCTGGGTTCCTATCACAATTGTGGTATATGCTCCAGATCCTTCTTACTGAAGTCGTTTAATGAAATACCCATCACCATCACCACGCCCACCATCTAGGTCGGTTTCGCAAAAAATTGACCCGCCTAAGCTGTTCTGTGATTAAGCTTTCTCCGGTATTTCCTTACGCGAAATACGCGGAAACCTTCTGGCTGATTTCCTTTTTGAGGCAACTGTCGCCTGTTTGAGTTCTGGAACCGTGCATCAATGACTCTCAACGACTCGTTACCGGTCCCGAGCTAGGAAGCGCTAAAGCTAAAAAAATACACACAAACAATACTCATCAAGATAATATAGGATGCAAAGTACCATTTTCCGGTTCGGCCGATAGCAACTGGAAAAAATGCGGGTCTCCGACAAGTTCTACGTCTTTACAGCACCAGGTACATATTCCGTGGCCGGATTGGGGACACCGCCTTGAGTAGCACCGCCCGATTTACGAGATAACTGATACACCGCTCCGAAAGGTGATTGTGAGCCGGTAACCATCCTTTGATTCAGAGACACGAGTTGTGGAAAACGGTGAACTCATTGTCTGAAACAAATGGAGGACTTAAAGAATGGGGAGAATGTTTGAGAATGTACCAAGTAGCGTGCGCTCCCCGGGTTTCTCCCAAAACGGCAATTGGGCAATCGGCCCATCCAGACGGGTCTCTGGGGCCCAATCGAGACCAACGGGCCTCTAGAGCTGGTGAAAAGTCGGTTTGGATAAAGATAACATCTGAATTTCGGAGTGAAATTTTAACTAGCAAATATCAATTGATAACCAAGTCAGGTTTTGAGTTTGTTTAACTGCCTACTTTGGTTCTGTCATGCGAAGCATCAAATGTGTGGTCGTAGGGGATGGGTAAGTTGACTTTCAAAGTTGTTCGCGTAGCAGAACACTGACAGATGTCAAACAGTGCTGTTGGAAAAACGTGTTTGCTCATTAGTTACACGACCAACCATTTTCCCCATGATTACATTCCAACTGTGTAAGTGAAATTTTCGTCTGATAGCCAAGACCTCTCTAACATATGTTCCACAAGGTTTGACAACTACTCCACAAATGTGATGATCGACGGAGAACCCATCAAGCTGGGATTGTGGGATACCGCTGGTCAGGAGGAATATGATAGGCTGAGACCGTTGTCATATCCTCAAACAGAGGTATTTCTGATATGCTTCTCGGTGGTGGAACCCTCGTCGTTTGCGAACGTAAAGAACAAGTGGATCCCCGAGATCCGTCACCACACTCCACGCGATGTCAAAATCCTATTGGTGGGAACCAAGTCAGATCTCCGTGACGACCCTCACGTACAAGACTCGTTGCTTGAGATGAGCCAGGAGCCCGTTTCGACCCGTGCTGCCAAACAAGTTGCTCTAGAGACTGGATGTATCGAGTATCTCGAATGTTCGGCCGCATCCCAGGTGGGTGTCAAGGAGCTGTTCGATACTGCAATTCGCTGTGTTTTGTATCCTAAGGAGGAATCTCCTGCTCCTCGAGCTGCTGCTCCACAGACTAAGGTTGGTGCTGGCCGTGCAACTGGTGAGGCTGGTGGCTTTACTAGACCGAAGCCCAAGAAGGCCAAGAAGTGTATTATTTTGTGAACTCAATGAAGTAGAGGAATTAAATGGTGTTACTGACATTGTTTTAGAAACTTCAAGAGTTTTTCAAGAGCATTTCCAGAACATTTCCAGAACATTTCAAAGACATATCCAGGAGCTGGAGCTGACCTTGTGCGGCTCAAACAAGGACCGAACGAGATTCGGTAAAACGTGCTTAGACTACATCATTTAAACTTCCAAATATCCGATAACATTGAAACCAATCATCTATGTAATTTCACTTAAATCTCAACTCTCAATTGCCAATTATTACTTCATCAGCTTCGCTCTGTCCGGATGCATACCACCAGATGTAACACTTGACTTTGCATCATCACCTGGAACCACCCTCTTTTCACGAGTCTTGTGCTCTCCCTCCAAAATACGACTCCTTCTCTCTTCAAAAAGTTTCTCGTTCTTTCCTTTGATTTTCTCCAGTCTGTCCTTGGAATTTCCACCACCACCAGCTGTCAGCTCCACGTTGATTTTGCGGCCTTTCAGTAACGTATGATGCTGTTTCAACGCCACGTTGATCTTGGTCTGTATATCTGTGTTTTCATTAGAAAATTCCAGAAACGCTATACCCTTCTCAGGTCTCATCCTTATATTGTCCGGACTGGATGTTTTGAAGTGTGACACCAGCTCTGTCTGTGTAACCCCATACGGCAAGTTTCCCACAAAGAGAATGAACCTGGGGCCTTCTTTCGACACAGAGCCTCTACCCTTCTTACCACGCCTCGTCTTTCTCTTTTTGGGCTTATTCGCCTCTTCTTGCGCCTTTAGTTCTTCCTCGTGCTTCTGGATCTTCTCCAGCTCCTTCTGCGACTTTTCAGACGTCTTTGCCTTGAACTCCAGTGCCTTCCGCTGTTTCTTGGTCAGTTTCTGGACCTCCTGAGATTCTTGGCCACCCTCTAGAATTTCGATTGGATCACTCATGTTTTAATATTTTACAACTGCTGTTCTGGACGGAGACCGGTGAGCTTTGATAAATTTCTTATCCCACAACACCAAAATTTTTCATCTAGAGATGAGCTCTGCGGCTGGTGCACTTCGGTGTGGCTGGAAATTCCGCCCGTCGGCTCTTGCTTTAGGTATCTAGTTGAATATAGCGAGCTAATTGGTTTGATATATACTGACATTTACATTTGATTACGCATATATACATCCGCACAATGAGACCCGCTACCGTGGCTCCGAAAATAAAAATCAACTTGAAGGACAGGACCAGGGAGAAGAGTGCTGAGAGAAGCACCGGTGAGGTCAACTATAGAGACAGGGATATTGCTACGAAGAGGGAGGAGACTAGAGGCAGATCGCCAATACGACGTGGAGAGGGTTTAGCTGGTGGTGACAAATACGATAAGAAAAACAACACGATTGATAACGAGGTGGTGAAGAACACAGAGAAGAGCACAAAAAAGCAGGAGGTCAATGGGAAGGCCAATACCGAAGCCAAAGACGAAGCAGATGAAATTTACGTCTCCGCCGAGCCAAACGACGAAATGATGAAACTGATGGGATTTGGCAGTTTTGACACCACTAAAAACAAAAAAGTCAAAGGAAGCAACGTTTATGCAGCACACAGGTCGAAGCCCACTGAGTACCGTCAGTATATGAACCGTGAAAAGGGCTTCAATAGGCCATTATCGCCTCCTCCTGCCGAGAAGAAGAAGAGAAGACTCGAGAATCGTGAAGAGAGAGCCCGGGAGAATGAGAACTCCGTGAAGAAATGAAGTTGAAAGAATTGTCTCACAAGGCTGCAGAACAGGGTATGCGTCTATGCATATATGCGTCTACTCGCTCACTACAAGACTGTGATATGGCTAACTGACTAAACCTGAGGTTAAAAATCACGGAGACTGAGGAGTCATCAAAAGGCTCAAACTAAGCACTCAGGGTTATACCACAAACCCAGAATGCATATTTGAGTTTTCAATATTAATTTTTCACATCGCAGCATGTCTACGCTCCACTCCAGAAATCGTCTCGCTACCTGAATATTTTACAATTTTGATGCTATTTAAGCGTCTGCTTATGCTGTTCCAATAGACTCTGATGCATGTCTCTGAGATCATTGTAGTTCTCTGTAACTGTCCTTAGCTGGGCCTCTAGTTCTTGAACCCTCTTAGAGTCGTTCTCGACTGTCACTAATTCTGGTTGACTCTGGACAACGGTGGAATTAACCATGCCCCAATTAACAAACCTCTGTTGCTGTTGACGAGTTTTCTCCAGAAAAGTCTCGAGATCAAAAGTCTGCTGTTTTGATGAGGGCCCTTCGATCTTGACCCAGATATCGTGTTTCTCCGTAACGTCACGTTCTTCCACTAAAGACCGTTTCAGAGCAGGAAGAGCCTTCAGCTGTTTGACATCAGCATTGAGACGCGAATCCTTGTCCAATTTTTCATAGTTGACAACCGAAAGTTTTACTCCAGTTATGGCCGAATTCAATGGCTTGAGTCTTCTCACCACTTGCTTCGTTACTATATCTGAGACGAATGCCTTGCCGGTAACATCACCTGACACTAAACTCATCCCATCTATACTGAGATCTAGACATGTGACCTCTGCGCCTGCATGGTGGGTGAACGTCTCACGCAATTCGTGATCAGGAGTGAGAGTCACGATTCTACCAGCTCCTCCGACAGCAGCCAGTATCCCCTCGGCATTGGCCTGGTAAAGTCTGATTTGCCTGATTGAACCCTCAGCAGAACCGGCATAAAAGCACCTTTGAGCTGGATCAATAGTTATAGAGGTCACAGGCCAAGGCGCCACAAATGTAGTGAGCAATGTCTTGGATTGAAGATTGTAGCATCTCACCGTAGCATCAGTAGAGGCACTGAACAGTTTGATGTCATCCACCAGACCTTGGGTCAAAAACACGTCCGATATAGGCAAGCTGTGATCTGAAAATACACAATGGGGCTTAACAGAAAAATCGTCAGCTCCACCAATGCATCCTGACAAAAGATCTAAAGTCTTCCAAACGAGAATCCGCGAATCTGCTCCTCCAGAAACCAAGAACGTTCCATCTGAGGAAAATTTCAGATTCGTTGCCGACTGGTAGTGTGCATCTTTAGCCAATAGCAAAAGCCCCGAATTGATCTCCCATAGGTATATCCTGCCGGATTTTCCTCCTCCAGCTAATAACCATGGCTTACCATCTTTGAGACACACGTCTAGTGCTTTGAGCTCCTCCGGCACCGGCATTTTTTGCTCTGGACTTTCTTTTCCCCAAACATAGACGTGAACCAAAGCCTTGTCTTTGCATGATGTGAAAAGCCTATGACCAAATCCTGTCCCAGTCAAGGCAAAACCGGCCTTGTTAGAGTAGCACTGGCGAAACTGGGCATGTTGCTTGGAGGACTTGCTGGAAGCGACGATTCCAAACGATGCAGCATTCTGCTTGTCAGAAGGAACTCCCTCTGCAATGTAGAAAACGCTCTCTTCCATAATAGTGAAGAATATATGAGTATATACAGTGAATATACACAGTTCTATCAAGACTTGTACTACTAAGATAATGGCCTGAAAAGTTTCGGTGGTATCCGCACGAAAAAAATATTTAGTGTGCCCTGGTGAAAAATGGCAGCGCTCTTCCCTTCGCGCTTTCGCGTGGCGTTTTTGGACAAGACTTATCTTGAGAAAGTTGCTGAAATTTCGTCTATTCTGCAGGCATAAACGTTGATTTCAACATGCCCATTGATATAATTAGAACTGTCATTGCCAGTGGCACCGAGTCGTTGTCTTGGTGGCCACAACTGGTGAGATACGGACCAGTAGTACTGGCCGTGGGTGGACTCAAGTACTACTTCACAGGAACCCACAATACCTGGGAACGTGACATGAATGGCAGAGTGTTTATTGTTACTGGTGGAACTTCTGGGGTGGGTGCCGCTATTGTGAAGGAATTGGCCAAAAAAGGAGCTCAACTGATTCTTCTGAGCTCGCAGGTAGACCGCACTCAATGGTTCGTGGATTATATTAACGATTTGCGGGAAGAAACCAACAATATATTGATCTACGGCGAGCAATGTGACTTATCCTCACTCTATAGTGTTCGGAAATTTGCGACTACGTGGCTGGATAATGTTCCCCCAAGAAGGCTGGATGGAGTCATTTGCTGTGCAGGTGAGAGTATACCACCTGGTACCGCTCGCTCTGTCAGCAAAGACGGGATAGAATCTCAGATAGCTGTCAACTATTTATCGCACTTCCATTTGCTTACGCTACTGTCTCCAGCATTAAGGGCGCAACCTGCAGACCGTGATGTGCGTGTTATAGTCACTTCGTGTGTCACGCAATCACTGGGGGAAATAGATTTAGAGGATCCTTTGTGGCAGACCAAGAAGTATCCACAAAATCGGCCATGGAACGTGTTTGGAACTTCGAAACTGATGCTGTCAATGTTCGCGAAAGAGTATCAAAGACGTCTGGAGGCGGTGCCGCGTAAGGACAACGCTCCCTGTAATATCAGAGTAAATGTGGTGAACCCGGGAATCATGAGATCACCTTCCACGAGAAGAGTACTCTCTCTAGGTTCGATTTGGGGACTCTTTATCTATCTGTTGACGTATCCGATCTGGTTTGTTCTGCTCAAACCTACGGAGGCTGGAGCCCAATCTTTCCTTTACGCTCTGTCCGCTCCCGTGCTAGCAGAACTGAAAGGCGGAAACTACATTCAGGAGTGTCATATAACACAGCCTGCCAGGAAGGAACTGGATGATCAACAGCTTCAGGTTAAGCTTTACGAGAAAACCGAGGCGTGCATTGCTCAAATCGAGCGTAAGTCGGCCTCGGCGAAAAAACGCGTTTGATTGGCCCAGACCTTATCAGGGTCGATGGCTGGTGAGACAAAGGACTGCGATTTCTCCTCAGCTTCTTGCTCCAAAACCAGGAAAATATACTCTTCAGTACTCACATCAATTTGCATTATCACAGATACTTTAAATGTAAATATGCCACGCGCATGTCTCGGTGATCACAACCTTCACCTATTCTTTCCCCAGCCAATGGCTTCCGTATCGGGCCAAGATAGCGCGAGAGGGTCAGATATCGGCTGCACACGCCCCTTCTTGTGTTGCCCATCTGCTGCCAACCTTCTTAAATAGCTGGCCATGCATTTGGATGGGTATTTTGACAAATCTTCAGAGGAAAATCAAGCTTTTTAGAGGTTAGGATCCACAGTTTTATCCCTGCTATTTGCTATAAACACATTTTGCTTTTATTTCGGGCCTTTCAGCACTCCAAAATATCAAGCCATACTTCCGTGAGTTTGACCCCCGTCAAGTAAAGGCTTGCTGAAGACTGAAGACTGAAGCCAGAGCACACAAGAGAATTTTTTCAATTTACCCGAAAGAAAGCCTCTTAAGTCATCATCCATGGAACCCACAACCAGATCACAGCCGGTTTCGTCGCTGACCAGACTGATCAACCAGCAGAAGAAAGAGAGTCATGCTCCTGGCCTTGTGATCGATACAGGAACAGCGCCGGCAGCACCAGCGGAATATCCCCCAAATGGTACGATCACCACCACAATTTCAATCGAAGGTGCTTCACCCGATGATGAGCAGTCCGCATTTGGATCATCGACCAGTTTGTCGCAAACAGTGGAGAGTTACCGCCCCATACATTATCAGCCAGTGTTGAACAGGCAATCATCTTCGCCTTTGTCTCCTTTTGCAAAGACAAGTTCCAGATCCAATTCTGTGGTCTCATTGTCTTCTAGTATACCTTACTCTGCTCCTGGAGGTCGTTCGCTTGTTCAGGGTACAAGCGGTATCAACAGCGCTGGTTCAAATGGGCTTAACCAGGCCTCCATTCCAGTCTCGCAGCACATGCCCAATCTGCCTAATGGAAATGTCATTTCCAGCATCAACATCTCATCACCAACCGTGGCGAACGCAGGTACGATAGAGCCTCGTTTCATCATATCCAAGCAGAAAGTTGCTGCTACTCAGGCATCGCAGTCTTCGTTCTCCGCTCTTCACCAGGGAGGCCAAGCCAATATCTCAAGATCAAACTCGCATTCGTCTTTGGGAGGTATTTTCTCCAAATCAAGAAGAGGAACAGTCACAGGATTTGATGGGGTTCCTATTCCATCAACATCAGTGATTTCCCAACCGATCTCGGCAAGTCCAAACAGTCCTTCATCTCACAGCTCTACCGAGAGTGCTTCGCAATTCCAATCACGCCCTTCGGTAACACCCAATGCGCGCCATTCGTCAATGGCAGATCTCCGCCGTTTTTTTCGTCGTTCTGTGAGTGGAGCATCCCCAAGGACTGTTACTCAAAGCAATTTATCTGCGGGGATAGTCAACAGTGCAAGGAACTCGCCGGCGATGTCCCCCATGCAAAGCAACTCGTCCATACATGCCTCGAGTGTTGTGAGTACACCAGGTGAATCAGCAAGTGTTGTTGGTCATGCAAACGGGTCTTTTAACAGCCGAACTGCTTCTGGACGTGGTGTTCCTCTGCCTTCACCCAGTCTTCCCAAGACAGGAACAAGCTTCTCTAATGTGAAGGGCTATGCTCCATCCCCGGTAGCTACCTCCGGATCCTTATCGGCTTCGCAAAGCTCATTGCCATTCTCCAAGAGATACGGTAAATATGGCGAGAACTTGGGTGCTGGTGCTGGTGGTACTGTGAGGCTGGTGAAGCGTGTGAGCGATTTACAGATCTTTGCCGTCAAAGAGTTTCGTCCAAAATACACTCACGAGACCAAGCGTGATTACACCAAGAAGATCACCAGCGAATATTGTATTGGTTCTACCTTGAGACACCCCAATATCATCGAGACCGTGGAGATCTGCTACGAGAATGATCGTATTGTGCAGGTGATGGAATATTGTGATTTTGACCTGTTTGCAATCGTCATGAGTGGAAAGATGTCGATTTCAGAAACTAATTGTTGTTTCAAGCAGATTCTCAACGGAGTGTTATATCTTCACTCACTTGGTTTGGCCCATCGTGATCTCAAGTTGGATAATTGTGTGGTTTCCAAGGATGGTATAGTCAAGATTATCGACTTTGGATCAGCAGTTGTGTTTTCATATCCATTTTCTAGTACATTGGTTGAAGCTCACGGAATTGTTGGTTCAGACCCTTATTTGGCTCCAGAAGTGTGTGTTTTCAGCAAATACGACCCGCGTCCTGTTGACATTTGGTCCGCGGCCATTATCTATTGCTGTATGATGTTGAAAAAGTTCCCCTGGAAGGTACCAAAACTCACCGACCCCAGCTTCAAGATGTTTGCAACCAGAGACGAGACTCTTGGTGAGATATTGAAAAGAACACCTTCCCCTCCTGCTTATTCGGACTTCACTACTAATGAACAGTCTGTTTCTCCGAGCACGAAATCCCATGCACTAAGAGAATACGAGGACCTGAAGAAGGCTCTCCCAGAGGAAACTCCTGCAACTACTCCAGCCACCACCGGCACTACAGGCACGAAGGACTCCGGTGAAGAAGGAAAAGCTCACACTTCAGGGCTCAAGGGCGAGGAGCGACTTTTGAATGCTCTGCCACAGGAATGTCGCCCTCTGATTGGGCGCATGGTGGAGTTGGCACCAGCATGCAGAATTACCATCGACGACTGTTTCAAGGATTCCTGGCTCGAAAGTGTCCAAATGTGTCACATGATTGACGACGGAGAGTTTGGTGACAAGTTGATTCCATCTACCGACCACGAACATACCATTGTTGATCAAAGTGTTGCGCACATTGCGTCTCTGGAAAAGAATAAAAATAAGAAGAAGCGCTGAAAGACTTTATCGCGAATAGCGAATCCGAACTGTCCAATGGCTGGGTAAGCTCACTGAAGTTTTCCACAGCATTTGAGTGTCAATCAAAGTCTTCAAGACCAAAATCCATTTGAAGTGATCGCTTCGAGTCCTCGGAGGAAATTCTGTGGCTTGGGCGATTACACGGTTTTGAACGAAAATTTCATCTCTCCCTCACCATTTTTCACCTTTTCCATATGCATCGCATCAAACGGCCAAGACCGACTAGACACACTGTATCTACATTTCTATAACCACCAAGCAAAACCGAACTGGACTTTATACCAAAAGCTTTAATGATGGTCATATCACCGTTTAACTTTAACAACTTCTCTAATTAAATTAATCAAAGAGTGATCCTGATCTATGTACAGTGTTCGTCCCTTTCTCCGCGTCGGCCTATTGAACCCTTCTTAAGCAACCACGTCTATTCCAATCGTTTTAGCCGTTCCTAAAACATTTCTGGCAATCACTTCGAGATCCATGTGCTGATGCCTGAAGTCTCCCTTTTTGATTTTCGCAATCTCATACACATGTTTCAGACTGAGGGTGGCTACTGGCTTCTTGTTTTCCGCCGAGCCCTTGGAAATTCCGGCTGCTTGCATCAACAGCCATACAGTCGACGGCGATTTAATGTCGAATGTAAAGGTTCTGTCTGGATTCACCTTCACCAATGCAGGAATCGGCGTTCCTGGCTTATAGATCTGTGTTCTGGCGTTGAACTCCTTGCAAAAATCAATGGCTTTTACACCCTTGGATCCCAACGCAGGACCCACAGGAGGAGTAGCGGCAGCCTTTCCGGCAGGCACTATCAGCTTGACTAGCGCAGTTTTTCCGGACATGCTGGCAGTATATACGTTACTGGAGTCTGCTAATGACGTTAAACACGAGGACGGTTGGCTGAAAAACCGAGAAGATGGACTTGGGTTACCCGGCCTGATATTGATACCTCCAAGTGTGTGCGGACCAATATGGGCAAGTTTAAGCGGCTCGGATCGAACATACAATCAGCTTAGTCAGTTTTCTTCATTATCTATTGTTTATCAGTGAGTTAGCGGCGGTTTTTCCTCTTCTTGGACTTGTTGAGCCGATAATTTGAGTCACTGCCGGCCTTCCTCTTCTTGTCGGCCGGCTTGAGGGGTTCCAAAGAGCCAGAGCCCTGGCCTAGCGGAATGGACTTGTGAGTCAAACGGGTATACACCAGGACATACGCAGAGGAATTCTTCAGCGCCTGTTTCTCGGGGATCTTGTTGATATACTCATCATCATAAGTGGCCCATGAACCATCCGGCTGTCTGCAATGTGCGATGTAGTGGCCTGAGCTGACAGATCTGCCTTCATGGACTATAACTGAGCTAAGCACATATTTCACCGGCAACTTCATAGAAGTGGTATATTCAGTCAGATCCAATACTGCCGGATATGAAACATTCGTTTTCACCTTCGAAGAGGCAATTCCATTAAACCTAAATCTCTTGAGATGAATTGCCAGCGTCTCCGGTGCCCTGTCTATTCTGGAAATCTTGACAGCAACAGTTCTTTTCTTACAGTTCTCACACTCATAGCCTCCTTGAGTCTTATCTTTCTTGTCTGTCTTGATGATTTCTGGCGAGAAAAAGTCGCGGATAGACGACTCTATGGAATATTTGGGGGAAAGATCGGCGACTTGCGGCTGTGCTGGAGCCGGAGATGCTCTGTCTGTATTTGATTGAGATTGGGGCTTCTGTTCGAATTCTGGGTTGGCCCTTGCCTCGACCCGGCTCTCCAAAAACTCAGACATGCTCTTCTGATCATCTTTATCCTCGTCGGCGTTGTGTGAGTTGGAAGACTCGATTTTTTCCTTGAGTTGTTTCAGCTGGTTGGTGTCTAGAATTGAGCTATTTCTCTTTTTCCTATTATCCAGCGAAAGCGAAAGATCGTAAAACTCTTGTTGTGTATTGGATATGTGGCCACATGACTTGCAAGTGACAGACTGGTGCAGTAAACCGCCAAATATGTCATAAATGATGCTCTGGTTGAGTTTTACGCCTTTGGGGGTGGAATCTTCCTGAAGCCTCGACATCAACGACATGAAATACTCGTGAGAGTCCTCCTGTTGCCATTCAGACATCATACAGTTGATATCACCAAGTCTCTTAATCAGCTTTCTGGGAAGGAAATGACCGCTCTTCTTGCCGGTGTTTGAGATCTCAAACTGCCATAGCCTAGCGGAGGTGTCTGCCAATGTCTTTGTCACAGACCTGGGGTTTAATTGCTTGTCATACTTGCCTTGATAAACATCTTTCAGATAATGCTGTAGAGCGGGAACGTGAATTAAAGATTGCACAGCAGAGTTCATGTAGCAAGTGACTCCCTGGTTGAGCAATCCAATAGGCTCTGAGTTGACCAGTTCTCTCCAATTCTTGAAAATGCGTTTAGACCCGTTGGATCCACGATCTTCAGAAAATTCGTTGAATCCGTAGAACTCAGACAGTGGCAGAATTCCAGAGCTGATGGCAGTCTCTTCTTCTGGTGAGGTGGGAGGTGTATTCTCCAACTTGGGAAACTGCTTATTGTTGACTCCCTTCGCGGTCTCATCAGCATCGCCTTCATCATGATCATCCTCTGCTTCGCTGTTGTTGGATGAGGGGGATGACATATCATCCTTGAGCTGTTTCTTAAGTTCCACCAGGCGGGTGCGGCTCTGACTAGAAGTGCTTTCGGCCTCAGAGTCGGAGTCGGAGTCGGAGTCAGATTCGGATTCAGATTCAGAAGACGCAGAGCCAGATTCAGCATCGCGGGACCCTGGTCCCAACTCGGAGTTACTGTCAACTTCATCGGCAGTGTGATAGTCATCATCTTCGTCTGAATCCGAGTCAGAGTCGAAATGCTTTTGATCGCTTTCAACGACAACATCCAATCGATCAGTCTCCACTGGCACATTTTGCGCACCGAAAGCTCTCTTCTTTGAAAGGGGCTGGAAATCATCATCCGAAAGTTCAGTAGACTTGTCTTCAAGATCAGACATGCCTAGATCTTCGTCTTCTACGGCTGGAACAGCCGAGGGTTTCGGACCGCGCTTCTTGTCAGCTTTCGCAAATAGTTTTTTGCCAGCATAGATGGCCACAGCCTCAGCCATGGTCACCTTTTGTCTCATGGCCTTGCTGGGAGACACCGGTAACACCGGTTCGGGCGTGGCAACGTCGATTCTGGCTGCTGGGTCCTTCTTGGACGAGAACGACACGTAACTGGACGGCTGCACGGAAACTTTGTCTGGAAAACGCGCTGGGAGAAACTTCAACGGCTCGGCATATAGTCTATCGATCGTTGAGTTGTCAGCCATGTGGTGTGATAAATACGGTGACTGGCTTTGGCGTTATCTATCCTCTGATGGGATAGGATGTGGTGTGGTGACTTTGCGTGTACTGCTCAACGTTCGCGATCCCGTTCTTGTATTTTGGCAGGAAACAGCGAACAGGCGGCTGCGAAGGGAAATGACAGGGCCACCTAGATGGATATAAAAGGGCGATGCGGTGGGATGCGGGAAACACAAAAAACGCTGTTGAATCGATCTGGAACAAAGAGCAGGCGCGATCAGAATAAAAAATCACCCGAAACGAGTTCGAATCGGAGCTGAGGCTTGGTGCGATACAAACGCCACGGGAAGAAACCTGGGAGAAGAAAAAAATTGACTACAGAGAAATCATCATTGGGTGGGGCACGTCTCATATAGAAGAACTGGGCTCAGGAGAGATGTGGGACAAAGGTGATGTGGTAAACCAGGGAACAGGAATTTCATGGGGCTTGGCTAACTAGTGGGATATTGGCATCACTGAGCTGAAGACTTATACTAGATCTTTATCATAAAATTTTATTTTGGGGTGTGAATGTGGTAGGGAGGCTCACATAATCGTGGTAGGGCTGGACCCTTGCAGATAGGTGTTTGAGGAAGGTCAGAGAGTCCAGCAAAGACAGCATGCAGCTCTATCTCTGAACTGGGAAATAACTACCGCTCTATGAATGAGAATCATTTTGCAATCACAGAGATGCCAGGCAAAATCTAACCGTAACCTGCAATTTTTCCAGGAATTTACGGTTTTGTGAGCAATAAACGACCAGCTTAGATTTACGATGATGCCTTATCTTAGTGTAGTGTAAGTGCGCATAATTAATAAATTAATGCAGTTGATTGAATATTTCACCAATATATCTTCCTCGAATTTTCTATGTTTCTTCGTAAATATTTCATTAAAACTGCCCAAAAATTTCCCGAAGTTTGGCAATTTTTCTATGCTTGTTTGTTCCCTATTGCGACTCCTTTTGAAAGAGGGCCTCCTCTACATCCCTCACAATCACTCCTCGCAGATTCCCCTGAACCAAGCTGTGAAAATCTCGAGCCAGTATCTTCAAATTGTCACTTTGTAAACGTGATCTCAGAGTAGGAGATCCAATTGATACATCTTTTTGAAAGTCATCGGAATCGTCAAAACGATCAGGCCTTTTTCTCTTGGTTGGCGCCATAGGGTATCCTCCCAAGAACCCTTCCCCAATATCGGCTAATGACTGAGCAGACACTGAAGCTTGCGGTATACACTTTGCCAATCTACCAGTAAGAACGTCTAGACGGTCAAATAACTCTCCGCGCTCGCGATCCGTAAGATGTTCTGTCTCCTTGAGGATGTCTGAAAACTGATAATTCGATTTCAGCGCTTTCAACACCCTCCTGTCTTCACTGGACTTGAACACTTTGACTTCCAACGAGTAATATCGTTTGGCATGAACTCCGAAATCTTCCTGTTTTCCTTTGGGAACTCGGGTCGAATACTTTGGTGGCTTGTTTCCGGATTTTGTCGTTTTTCCGGGCGTTGATGGTATCTTGTCTGGAAGAGTCCTGAAAGCGCCTATCTCCACCTTGGACTGTTTAAACGTTCTTTCTGGATCAATAACCAGAGCAACATACGGATCCTGAAATCCCTGATTCAAAGCTTGAGTAGCAACATCAATTCCGCTGAGCCAGCAACCGTAGCCAGGATGAGAGTGATACCATCCAATAAGGTTCTCTTCCTTCCCCATAGCTTTGAGTCTCTCCAGGTGCTGCACCATGAACTCGTAGCCCTCGTTCTGAGCATTGACACGAGTTTCCGTTCCTTCAACTGGAAGAGGATATGTGTCCATAATAACCATCTCGTAAGGTCTCACAACTTTACCTGTCAGCATCCCCATGATTTCGATAGACCCACCTGATCTCGCGTGCATTACCATCTTGAGCAGGGCGATAGCTGAGATATGGACTGTATGGAAATAGTGAGGATTCGACGCCCATGGTTTCCGCGCAAGCAAACTCTTGTCAGACGGAGTATTGAAAATGATCTCATCGATTTCTGAGTTGCTCTGGAGTGGATTTGGGTTGGTATGCGATGATTGTGTTGCTGTATGTGATTCAGAGGTGTAGCGGTTTAGCTGCTCCAGCATCTCGGAAACAACAAATGTTTTGTGTTTCTGAGGTGGCTCATCAGATAATCCGGACATTGCGAGGGTCTAGACAATCTCAGTCAAATCTCCAGGCTTTGGTTGCGATAATTGCTTAAAGATACACTTCGTTTCTGTCCATAAATTGGTTACTTCAGGCCATTGAGGACAAGAACAGAGATTACATAATCTGCAATCGAATCATTACGTAACAACGAGCTATAGCCTTTTAAGGCTCAGCTATTATCATTTGAAGCTACGCGTTCTCCAAGCAATAAATTTTATGACACTGTATTAATCTCCGAAGGATTACAAAAATGCAAGACTAACAGCAAGAGCAAGTATGAGGCTTGAATGTGGGTAACACAAAGATGTTGCGCCCTATCATGGAAGATGAAGATATTCGATGGGGAAGCTGAGGATTAAGCCATAGCAAGTGGTTGAATGATTTGGGTTAAATGAAGCATTTTCGGTAATCTTTACCCGTATTCAACTGTTATCAACATTGAGGAGACTTGGGATGCTCACCGGGTGCCGATCCCTTGGTGTAATCACCCGACCCCGCTCCTTGTGGAGGAACCATGCCCATATTAACTGCGCCCATCATATCGGCGCCGGGGTTCGGAATAGGCATGTTCGGCATGCTTGGTATCCCACCCATGTTGGGCATGTACATGTAGTATGGCATTGGTTGTTGCGGATATTCCATTGACATGTTCGGATCGGCATCAAATGTGGGGAAGTACATTGGATGGTAATACATTGGCGCTCCGGCAACAGGATCAAATGTATTCATTGGAAACTCACCGCTGTGTGGCGAAGGGTACATTGGATAGTAGTAAGAACTAGCGCCATTGGAACGAGGAGTGTACTTTTTCATTCCGGAATGGTGGTCGTTCACCTTTGGGGAAGTATTTGCAGAAGAGTAAGTGTAGTTGCTCTTAGAAACGTTGCTGCGCATAGTTGGACTCGCAGAGTCAACACTGCCAGCCTCTGATTCCTTGGTACCAGCCAATGGAACAGCATCACTTTCGTGTACGTTTTCCACGTTCTCAAATCTCTGGATCTCTTTTTTTGGAATTGAATCCGGCCAGCCATTGATCGCATTGGAATCCTTTCTGGCAATAGCTCTTCTTTCTCCCAAGGACTCGAAGTTGGGCTGGTTGTCCTGAAAGGAGTACAGGGACTTGAACTGAGAAACGACGCGTTTGTTGAAGTTTCTTGGACGAGAGGGTAAAGACGAAGACCATCCATTCTTGCCGTTGGAGTTATTGTTGACAATATTAACGACACTGCCATTGCTACTGTACAGGCCGTTCGACCTTCTGGTGGGAAAGTTGACAGGAGGTGGCGCTAATGATAGCCTTGGTTCAACCGATCTCCGTGAGTTCACCTTGTACATTTCACGATATTGAACATGCATCGTCTTGTTCAGCAACATGGCGTGGTTCTCCTTTTCAACTGCCAGGGCTGCGGAGGCCTCGTTTGCGTACTTGATGAATGCAAAGTTACGATTTGGACGGTTAACCAGAGTTGTTTCAACAATCTCTCCATGACGACCAAACCGTTCCTCAATGACCATCTTGGTTGCCATTGAGTTGAGTTGACCCACGAAGATAGAGCACCTGTCGATTACAATCTCTGGTCCTTCATCATCAGAATCAGGAAGTTCCAGGTTTTGTGCCCACTCAACAGTCCAAGAATCTCTTGATCTGAGATCAGCATAGGCTCTGATGGCATCATCGCGGTAGGCAAACTTGCAAAACCACTGTTTCTCATTATAAGCAGAAGCTTTGTAGTGTCTGATAAAGCCAGGACCACGTTCTTTGCATACCAAATGCTCTATTTCGCCAAAGTTCTGGAGCATTTTCTCGATGCGCTTCTCGTCAAAGGAATCCTTCACAGAAGTTTCAATGAAAAGAGTGCGATTGACTCTGGCTGGCTCGCATCTGATAGCTCTTCCACCAACCAGGGAGTGTTGTGCCTCGCGAAGAGCCAATTTGGCGTCCTGGTCATTGGTGTACTGGACAAAGGCGTATGGTCGATTTGAAGGGTCTCTCAAGACCTTAACCATATCCAATTTCCCCCATTTTTTGAAATGCTTGGTGACTGCAACACACAGGGCATCATCAGAGATAGCAGAGGACAGACTGGCAACGAAGACACAAGAGGAAGGACGCCCTTTGGTGGGAACACCGGTTTCTCTATCTGGCAATTTGGGCTCCTTGAGAAACTCTTCGCAATCCATTTCGGAGTCACTTTCGTGTTCAGAATCATCTTGTTCATTTCTTTCATCTTCCTCTTCGGGATCAAGCTCTTCAGAAGAATTGTTGAGAACATCTGATCCATCAGATTCTTCTGAGGATGATGGAGCAGTTGTAGCCTTCAAAAGACCAGCGTTGACAGCAACAGAATATCTTGGACTCTTCAATTTGGTGTCCTCATAAGGGACACAATCCAGTTCGAACTTTGGTTCATTCATATCGAATAACTTTTGGATGGTGTAGTTGGTCTTGTTTCAACGTGCCAAAAGGGTGGACCAAACAAGGGAAGAAGATCAAGTACAAAAGGAAACAAGGGGAAAACAGGAAGAATCACTAAAAGTATCTGTAGATGTTCCGATCTCCTTGTGAATGCAGGTTTTGCTAAGAATTTTTGTTGCTGGTCTTGGTGTGAGAGGAAGAAAGAGTTGCGTGAAGAGTTGTGGTGAAAGTAGATGTTGTGGTCGGGGTTTTCGTATTTCTGCACTTAGAGGGTGCAAGACACAAGCCTAGAAGAAGAACAAGGAAAAGTCTGTTCTTTTTTGGAAAAAAACAGATATAATGATCCTGATCGCTCGAGGATTTGTAATATTGATTGAAATGTTGATATCTATCTGAGGTTTGCTGAGTTCTTCTTGTTTGAACTCTTCTAGGCTCTATTCGTAAGTACATTTCGTAGCTTAACCAAGTCTTACGTTCATCAAACTTTCTACCGTAAGATTCTTTCTCAAACATGGGGTGCAACCCGAAGGATTGGAAGAACGGGAACCAAAGGTATTTGGTATTTACATGTACAAAGATACAGCGCTGCGGCATAAACATGCAGATGGCACCGCCGATGTAACCAGTCTGCCTCCGGTTAGTACAATAATACGTGGCTTGTGCGTCCTCCACCTCCCCCACCTGCAAGGATGACACCCTTCCTGCACGGTATACTTGCAGTTTTGACTTTCAGCAAGGCTATTTTAGTAAAGTCTTGGTTGTTTTAAAGTCCATATAGATTGGGCCTTCTTAAATCAGGATTCGAATTCAATTAAAGCATAGTGGGCGCGGGTTAAATCAGCTCGGGATTTATCCTGAAACCTTTTCTGGAGTGCCATAGTGACACGATAAACCATCCCCTAATTTAAGAAGTCATGCTTTGTTTGACAGCCTGGTGGCTCATCCTGTCTCGCTAGTGATACGCAATGCAGATCGCCAGTAGCAGATGAACATGTTTTTATGTAGGCCCATTTGTCGCCTGGGTTGAATGATGGCACAAGTGTAACGAGTTTCATTATTTCAACCCCATAGAATGGACCAATTCTGTGTATTATACCAATGGGCAATAAGAGTGAGGCCGCGTCCCTTCTAACAGGGGTTGTGATCGCACGGACTGCCGTGTATTATTTGTTGGTTTCTTTTAAAAATTTCGGCTATCCTGATTATTTGCAGACTCTCGTTTTGCTTGGCGAAGTATTCCCTCTCAAGACTATATCCTGTGCATCCTGCATGAAGACTAACTGTCAGCCAGACTATCTGCTCGGGAGCGCATAATGCCTGGGGCGAAGTGAGAAAGGAGCACAGAGCTAGAAATCTTATTCGTCATCTTCTTTGGATTTCGGCAGCACTGGCCAATCTCATCGTCGAATTTTACTCATCTCCGTGCAACTATATAACACCTCAACACTAGGGGTGCAGGTGTCGACATACTGCATATCAGATCCCTTATCAATTCGGGCTCAAATGATCTAATCCGATCACGTTTTCTTGTGATTTGGTCAGCACACTTATTCCCAAAGAGGCAATGACCGCTCGTAGTGCGCCATCCGATTAGGACGGATCTCGGAACCCGCAGGGATAACGATCCAGCATGTCGGGAGTGAACTTTTCAGTAATTGGACGTAACCTCTTTCAAAGTTTTCATAAACTTCTTGTTCAGACCCGTTCTTACCATATTAACACATACAACAGCAAACATGTCGTACGGTGCTGCTGCTGCTTCTCGATTGGCCGGAAAGGTCGTCCTAATAACTGGTGCCTCCGCAGGCATTGGCCTGGCCACGGCCAAAGAGTTTGCCTCTGCTGCCAACGGTTCCATCAAATTGGTCTTGAACGCCAGAAGGCTGGACAATCTTAACAAGCTCAAGTCAGAGCTGTTGGCCGCTTATCCATCCTTGAAGATTCATGCTGGTGTTTTGGACGTCTCCAAGGTAGACACTATCAAGCCCTATCTGGATTCTCTTCCAGACGAGTTCAAAGAGATTGACATCTTGGTCAACAACGCCGGAAAAGCGCTTGGATTAGATAAGGTGGGTTCTATTGATCCTGCTGACGTAACCACGATGTTTGAGACGAACGTGATCGGAATGGTGGCTATTACCCAGCTGGTCTTGCAGGGAATGAAAGAAAGAAACCGGGGTGATATCGTCCAATTGGGCTCAATTGCAGGTAGAGAGCCTTATCCAGGTGGAAGCATTTACTGTGCAACTAAAGCATCTCTCAGATTCTTCACTCATGCTCTGAGAAAGGAGCTGGTCGACACCAAGATCAGGGTGATGGAGATCGATCCTGGTAATGTCGAGACTGAATTTTCATTGGTTAGATTTAAGGGCGACGCTGAAAGAGCTAAAAGCGTGTATGCCGATACCGAGCCTTTGGTTGCTGAGGATATCGCCGAATTGATCGTTTTTGGATGTTCCAGAAGAGAAAACACGGTGGTTGCCGAGACCCTGGTGTTTTCCACGAACCAAGCCAGTCCCTTCCACCTGTACCGTGGTGGTAATTAGATGGTAACTAGATAGTGGGCTTGATACAATATTGAAGATGATTGAAACTGGCTGTTTGAATGCGTGTTAGCCGCAAATACTGGTCTGTTTGTTCTGAGTATAAAGATGTAGATAAAGTAGATGTGTCTGGTTATTTTCAATGACTATTAGTTTGACTAGAATCCTAAAATATCCACCAATTACACTGTTTCGAGATATTGTGATACTCTTCACACCCTCTCCACTTGGCTACCTCCACTCGCTACCTCCACCCTAAAAACTTTTTCACCTCTCCATTGAACCCCCTCCAATTATCAAAATAGACATTATGGCCAGCATTCGGAATAACGCAAAAAACTGCTTCCGAGCCTTTCTCAACACCTTTCCTCCCGTTCAATTGATCCACACATATTTGACCTGTAATATTGAACATCCAATCATACTGGCCATAGAGCCAGAGCGTCTTGCACTGGAGCTGGTCAATGCGGTCCAGCATGGGCCATTTTGCCATAACTGGTGGAGCAAAAATCTTCATGATGGATGTCTCACTAAAGCTGGGAGTTGTAAATGAGTTGTATATGTATGAGGTGAATAGTGAGAGTTCATCCAGCGAGCTGATATTCCCGCTCCGAGTAAATCGTTTGAAAGTGTAGGCTGATATGGCACGAGGACCATAAGGACCCGACAACCGCAGCAGAGTGAAGAAAGAATGCTGGTTTTGCCAGAACTTCACAAATCGTCTTTTGAGGGTCGGCAATCTCCCCAAGAACCCGTATTCACCAGGAGAATTGCTCGGTTTGAGTTTTATTTTCCCGGACTCTCCCACATTCTCGATCAGCTGTTTCATTTTCGGGTTCGAAATTGCATATGGCGACCTTTCAACACCCCCTGGTGATGCTAGAATGAGTCTATTCACCCTATTGGGATATTTCAAGGCGTATGCTATTGACATGTACCCTCCCAACGAATGCCCCAACAGATCAAACGATTCAATTCCCCGTTCGCTTCTCCAATTCTCAATTGAATCAACATATGTACTCTCCACACTTGTAACCAGCTTTTTCTGCCCTTTCACGTATCTGGTCCAATTGGAAGCGTCTATAGTGTAACTTTCTGGCAAGTGCAAAGCTTTGTGAACATGCTTGTGATGATCGAGCTTTTCTCGGTCAAATTCTATTTCAAGAGGTACACCATTCGTTTCATCATCAAAGTTCAACTTTGGTTTGCTAGAAAGTCCAAATCCGAGCATGTCCAGGCAGTGAACTTTGGTGTTGGTGTTGTCTCGTATTAGGTCATCAAAGTTCTTGTAGAACCACCCCAACGACGAAGCATAGCCATGCAATATCACCAGATTCTGCGTTTTGCCATCTTCAGCCGACTCATTTTCAATGCAAAGCTCGTTGAGGTAGTTCCCATTTGAATCAACCGGTACTAGCGAGGTCTTTGCTAGAAGCCCGTTTACTCTCTTGTTGTAATATGGTAGAGCACGCGAGAGAAGCTGGTCCTGCGAGTTTTTTAACTGCGAGAAGTTGAAAGATTTGATCCATTGCACCGTAGATTCGCGGAATGACCAGCTCTTTGGGAACGAGTGTGAGTTCTTGGTGGAAGCGTAGGAACATGTAGTGGTGGTGAAGAGTCTAAGTGGAGTTGTGGTGTATTCCAATCTGATGCCGAGCCGACTTGGGCCCAATATCTGGGATACGCACACTCTGGCAGGTATCAGCATTGGCAAAAAGGATCAAAACTTGGTGAGAATCCTTAAGCTATTCAGGTACTCATCCAACTAGAGAGAACATTGTCAAATATATATACAACAAAATCTCCAGAGAACCGAAGGTCCATCTGGGAAGTGTACTGCTTAAAGAGGGGTAGGCATGGGGAAGAGTGCGGGGGTCATGACGAAAAGATATCTGATTGGCCTATGAAAAACTATTTACGAGTACAGTTCCGCGGTATTTAGGGTTCTGGCATCTAGAAATGGGCAATGAAAAGATGTTTGATTGTTATTATAGAGATTTCACATATACACTTTAGTTTGGCAGTTTGGGTTGAACCAGAGTCCATTCCACTCATTCTCTGAAGGGCAAAAACTTCTTGGGTTTTCGAATACTGGAAAATGTCTCATGCACTTTGGAAGTCAGCGGTGCCTCGGTATTGTAGAATCTATTAAGGTCATCATCGGTCTTCGACCCCAGCACTTTTGACATGGTCGAGTAGCTCCTATTAGTGGAAAGTGTCCCCAAGGCGATTCTGGCATCTTCGCCTAATTCACGGTCTCTGGGCGAATTGTTGATGTCGCTTCGGGGAGACGATCCCGTCAGGTTGACAAAATCTTTAAACTCCTCGAAATTGGAGGCAGCACTGGGGTTTGCCCGGGTCTTGAAATATCCTATTGGAGGCAATCTTTCGAATCTCAAAACGTTGGAAGCGTCCTGGAAAAAGCTTTCATCAGAGCTTGTTGTTAGGCTGGGTTCAATGGGAATCTTTCTTAAAACCCGTCTTGGAGAACGGAAAGGCAAACTTTCAGCCTCACCGACTCTCCTCCTCTTAGGCTTTAACATATCAAGGCTCAACACTTCGATGTTGGACGGTCCAATTCCCTGATCTTTGAATCTTGCTTCCGCCTCAATTACCCGGAATAACTCATCCATGACCTGCCATTTGTACCGACTCATCTTTATACCTCTTTGGGAAGCGGCCTTGAGCTGTGGTAGCTGACTAACATGAGTGCGACACAGGGCTATCATTACGTCTGTTCTTTCTTCCTTGAGAAGGTGATCCGGCTCCTTGTGTCTTACATGATGGGGCCACCAAGGTGGTTTTGATTGGTCGCCGCTTTTGTAGGGATACCGAGCCTGTTTCTTGGGCTCAGCTGCTCTGATCCACGACTTTGCGATCACCTTGCACTGGGATTGCTGGATAGCTTTGAAACATAGTTGCAAATACAAAGTCACCGATTCCGGCTTTCCCAGATCAACCATACACCTCAAAAGAGAATCTGAAGTCTGATGAGTGCTCTCAAACGAGTCTGAACCAGAGCACTTCTCAAGCTCTTGGTCAGTACAATGAACAGGGTTCTCTTGTATATATGTTTGCAATACCTCGGAAGCTTCTTGGAGCTCATCCGAGCTGATGACTTCCGCTTGTCCGTCAGAGGAATTTACCAGAAGAAGAACGTAACTCAACCCTTTATCCTCGTTGAGGTGGTCCAGAGTCGATCTGAGCGTCTCGATGCACTGCATTGTGAAAGCCCAAGCGCAAAGTTATGATAATGGCGGACTAGCTCTTACGGAAGTGACAAGTTTGAAAGTGGATAAATTGGCCAACCAGTTAGTTTTTATGTTGAAAATTGATGTCCTGGATGATTAATCCTTCAACATGGCGGCAATCCTGTTTAGCAGATGTATCACAATTGATACACAGGTCATAACGTCCACCTCTTCCAAAATTCAATCATAAAAATTAGTCTCTAACTCGCTGTAAACGGCTTTACCACATGTCTCATTTTTTGTGCCCGAAAACTACCCGGAAACCTCAGATCTGTCTCGTCCACTTCTCCTCTAATGTCGTAACAGGTCAGTGTCATATGAGCCGCACGTTCAGCTTCATGCATCTGCCATCTTGCATCGGGCGATGATTACGTCATCCGCTTATCAAATGAGTGCGACCTTGAATATTCGTGTTTGAATATCCACCCTCGATCACTCACCACAGCCAGAGTTAAAAGCCATGTCCGATGCAGAAATTCTGCGATTGCTGAGCCAGACGACTCTCACCGAGAAGGATGAGAGACAGAGGGTGGAGCTTGCTGTAGAGTTGTTTGAGAAGGGATCTCAAAGGGAGCATGAAGGACTGTTGAGTGAAGCTGTTGAGTTCTATAGAAGGGCGTACAAAGTGCGTGGTGAGCATTTTCAACAGATCAGCCATGAATTGATATACTAACAATCCGATTTCCAGCTAGACGAGGGAGTGGATAAAAAGGTCAGGGCCAAGATAATCGCAGATCAACCTCCTCCAGAGAAAAGAAGGGTAGACTCTGATCAAATCAAACTGGATATCTCCAAAGTGAATGTCAAGGATGTTTTAAATAGTTATTCGGATTCAGGGATTTTTCCGGCAGAAGAGGAAGAGCCGTTTTTTTTCAACGTGTTGCCGGATGAAATTCTTATGCTAATCATGCAGAAGCTGGTTCGCCAAGATACTCCTGCGTGGTTCAGCTTCGCAATGACTTGTCGGAGAACAGCTTATCTTGGCTTCCATCATCATGATATCTGGAAGAGTCTTTGCGAACTAATTTACCCAGCCCAGGTTTATGATACTGCGTCTGCCGAGTTGAATGGCGTTGTGGCTGACCAGGAAGACATGGTCAAGGCCTGGAACTACAACTGGGAGAAAATGCTTTGCGAGCGACCATTCGTGAAATTCAACGGGCTGTATATTAGTGTGGTAAATTACCAGAGAGAGGGAGGAAGAAGCGAGAGCTCGCGCTCCTGGAGCAACCCTCTGATGATCATCACCTACTATCGCTATGTACGATTCTTTCCAGACGGCACCTGCTTACGATTTCTAACAGATCTTGGGCCTCGGAAGGTTGTTCCGTTGTTCAGTAAAAACTGGCGAGAAAACGGTTTGCAAAAGGTGTTTTCAGGAGTGTGGAGTCTCACTCCCGAGGGAGTTATACGCATAGAATACGAGGGCTTTGTGCCCAAGTATTACTTTGTGGATGAGTTACAGATTGTAAATGGAAGCAAGCATGCAAAGCATCACAAGTTGCAATGGGTGAGCTGTTACTCGGTGGATAAGGAGACGACGGAGAGGGGAGTGTTTTCCATGCGGAACGAGAGACCGTTTGCATTTTCAAGGGTCAAGTCGTATGGGGAGAACAATGGAGAATAAATGAGAATGGGACTGATCAGACATGTTCTTTCCGGGTTTGGTGAATGAACCGTCATGTACAAAGAGAGCCAACGAGTGACTAAGCTGTACACCATGGACTTTCAGGCAACAGGTGTATAATTAAGAGAGCCGAAATATACATTATAACATATTGAGAGAGCAAGGTGCGAGAAACCAAATTTTGGCGAGCGGATCCAGTGGATCCAAAATTTTGGCAAAATTTCAATGTGTATCGTGAAGTCCAATCAGCCCGGACGTACACTGCATAATGATACTCCACACACAGAGAGGCGGATCTACGAAACTCACCGCGCCTTGCAGGTATCAAATATCGCCAATATACTCTCGTAGCATATCACCCAATCAAATACACCACTGCTAACCTTCATTACTCTACCCGATATCCCGACCCGCAACTCCTCAATAGCCAAATTTTAACTCCAGCTGCAGGTCACGTGATGCCCCCTCCCCACAGAGAAGGAAAAATGGTCATCTTCACATGGAAATCGGCCTAGACAGAAGGGTACCACATCTGCTTGTCGCAAGGGTTGAGACTTTACGTGAAAGTTGTTGTTTATTGTTGAAACTTTTACTGGAATTTGGCCATATTCTTGGTCGCTACGAGATAGTTTACTTTGACCCTTTATTTTTCCCGAAATTTACCTTATGTCAATGACGAGCCCTCAGCCAGTTTCGCTCTCTCCATTCGAGTACAGTACTCCTGCCGGGGCCCACACGGGAGATGATTATTTTTCTACTGATATGGATTTTGACACTGCATATCAGCTTATGACAGGCGATGGTAAAGCCGGATTCGATGGAGCCATCGGTTCGCCCGTCAGCTTGAGAACGGCGGAGGAAGCTGCTAACAGTGGCCTCAGGACGCCTACAGACAAGCCGCATGTCGTTCATCCCCAACCATCGACCCCTGCAAATACCTTCGGGGAGGCCACTGAAGGTGCTGATGACCCGTACCGGTCTTTTGAATACCATCGGAACCAGATCTTGAAAGGCAGTGGGGTCTCCATGCCGTTTGCTTCACCAAGGCTGAACCAGCTCAGTACCCAGAGCGCCATCGTGTCGCCAAACACGAGAAATATCCTTCACAGCATCAACAGTCTCAACTCGCAAAACACTCAGTTTCAGCTGAGCGACTCGGGATATGAGCTTCTGTCGATTACAGAGACTTCAGCACTGGAGCAATTCCTGGATAGCATAGTTGACGATACCAAGTTGAGTCTTTTGTCTAAACATTGGTCCTCGATAGACCCACTTGCGAACGGCAGGAAGCACGCGCTTCCTCCACATTTACAGCAGCAACTTCACGGCCATCAAAACTTTTACCCGCAGCCAGAGCTTGACCTTCCGCTCAAACTGCAATCACAAAACATGAATCGAAATGCCGTATCCCTCCCAAAGCATCACATGATCAGTCTCACGCCTTCGAATCCGGCTACTGCAGTGAACTCGGTCTTACCATCTGGGGCGAATAGCCCGAGGAAAGATCTCCCCAGCTATAGTGACGACCAGTTGCGAAACCATCTCAGCCATGTGTTTGCACCAGATCGGAAGCCAGAAACATCGCAGACATTCCAGCGACGCCTTCCAGATGAATCAGCGAGGGAAGATTCGGAAGAGCCAAGGCGAGACAAACTTAAGAAGAGTCTGCTGACCAGCGATGAAAAACGGCGTCATCACACTTCCAGCGAGCAGAAACGGAGAAGCGTGATTCGTGAGGCTTACGATGTTCTTGTGGACATGGTCTCCGGAGCCGACGCCATAGTCACGATGGATGAGGTGAAGAACCCGAAAAAACGCAAGACAAACGAGGCAAAGAGGGCCATGAGCAAGTCATTGGTTATGAATAAGGCTGTGAACGAGATTCGCGCCTTGATCTCGTTGAACAGCCAACTACGGTATTTGATTGAGAATACTAAATAGCAATCTAATATGATTCACGGAACCACACAAAGCTCCCATTTTTCAGCATGGCATCCCAGACGAATAAACGTTAAATAAATTTGACGCTAAATAAACCATAAGAAAAGTTCACCAAGTTACCATTTAAATATTTCAGTTACATACTAGATTGCCCTTTTTTCAGTTACGCTCTCTAATGTTGCCTTAGCAGATCGGCAGGGCTTATACCACATGGTCCAATTGGGTAGGCACGAAACTTTATCGCTGGCTATGCAGAATGGTACAGTGTAAGAAGATCACCTACGCCAATCATTATCTGTACTTTACCATTTCTTGATTTTTATCATGGTTTCCGGCGAATTTATCGTCAAGACGATTGCTGATCCCCCACCTCTGGGAAAATCGAAAAGGAGAAACCCAAAGTACAAGCAGTCTAACGTGCTGTTTGTGGGGCCTCAGAAGGCTGGCAAGACCACGTTGTTGTCCGTGATACTACATAAAGAAGTGCGACATGTGATCCCCACCATAGGATTCAACACTGAGGCCTTGTGCTATGATAAATATAATTACATCACCGTCTACGACGTCCAGGGAACAACGCCATCGATCCGGAACTGCGGCTCCTTGCATGACACGGTGGATTTGCGGTGTGTGGTTTTTTTCGTGGATGCAATGTCAAAAAAGGAGCTTTATGATGTTAATCCACAGAGTGCTTACTACTGCTCGGAGAAAATCGTATGGGGATTCCAATTGAGTAACGTGGATCCTGCTGAAGGTGCTGCGGATGACGCGTTCGTGAGCCTTCCGATACTGTTCGTGTTGACGAAATGCGATTTAAAGGCAAAACTGGTGTCAGATATAGCGGTGAATGAGGATGTGGACTCCGAGAGGACTTTGGTGTCCGAGGCACCAGAAATCAGCCTCGAAGGCTCAATGGATGAAGACGTCATTAGAAAGCTCCAGGATCACGAGATCTCGAGCAGACTGGCTGATGGGAGTCTGAGCGGTGTGAAGGACTTGGTGACGATGGCTGACATTATTGATAGATACAAGTTGCTAGAATTGGGAATACGAAGGAAGTGGGCGATCGTGGAAAGCAGTGCGTTTACTGGACAAGGCATAGATAACATTCTCAAGTGGATAGCTGATGTGTGTTGAAAGAAAGGGCCTTAGCCATTACTGATACATATAGCAAGGAAGCAATGCAATATTATGTAGACTAAGTGATTAAGCGTGATTTTATCCGCAGGTGAACGAATAGGCGATGACAACAGCAAGCAACTACGCAGTAGCACCAAAGGTCTTTTCATTGATGGAGAACCAATTGAGTGAAATTTCACCACTTTCGTTCGATAAATGTGACTCTGCGTAACTGACTGCGTTTCGCACTCCGACAATTTTTTTCATCTCTTCTTCATTCAACAATTTTCTCTCTTTCTCTCTCAAAGATTGAGCTCACTCAATATCTGACCGGCAAGGGCCTTGTACATCCAGGTATTTCCAGTCAATTTCTTGAACTGAACACCGTACAAACCAACCAGCGGCACCTTCACTATGTGAATCTCAAACCTGAGAGGCGTTCTTTCCTTAATGGTGTTTGATCTCGATACCTTGTCAGTGCCCTCAGTAACAGCACTGATGGCCTGGGGGTTCTGCGATAGACTTGGAGATCTAGCGACACGAGTCTGTTGCTCGACTCTGCTGGAAACGAGCATGTCACTTCCTCCTCTACCCTCATGCAACGAGTCCATGGACTCTTCACCACTCTCGTAAGAGTAGGACGTAGAGCTGCGCCTGACATTTGCACCAGCGGGTGTCATTGGCATGGAGCTGTCAGCCTTTCCCACGGAAGAGGCAATTTTGTCAGACTTCTTTCTGTGGCTTCCAAACAGACTGCTGTCTACAGAAAACTTTCTTCTGTGAGTCTTGGTGTTTGGAGTAGAAACTGGTGTAACTGTTGGTGAGAACGAAGTTTCCCAAGCACTTAGAGAGTCGTCCTTCTTCTTTTCAGAAGATCCAGACGACGTGTTAGACGTCTGGTTGATATTCAACGATTTCAGACCCTCGCCGTTGGAGTCTGTCTTGGTGGGACTTACACCTTCAATGGATCCCACCGTGGCAGAGGGAAGGCTGGGAGAGGTCCTGTCAGGCTCAATTGATGGTGTGTGGATACAAACGAATCCCCCAGGAACCTCATTGAATCTTACACCAAGCTTGGTGAGAACGCTAATGATATCGTATCTGATAATAGGCAACGGTTTGGTCGAAGTGGTCTGCACAGAGAAAAAGCCCTTGAGGAACAGGGTCTTTGGATACTCAATGGAAGGCATGGAGCCCGGCAATGCCCTTTCAAACTGTGCGATAATCTGGTCTTCAGTGAGCTCTTTCTGTGCGTTGGTATCCTTACTCTTGAAGTCATTCTCGTCAATAGTGACATCATCAAAGAAGTCTTCATCGTTGTATGAGTTTGGAAGAGCAGGAACTTGAGGCTCAGCATTCGAATTGTATGCAAACTTGGGGAATGTCAAAGAATTCTTTCTTGCATGACCAACGGACTTTGCACGAGCTGACGGATGCATTTTGTGTGTATTTGGAGTAGTTGTATGGGCAGTTGAAGTGGTCTCTTGGTCAAGAGAAGAAACCTGGGCTGAAACGGCTCGTTGATGTTGCTGGATCTGGAGTCTGGATGTCACAGGCAAAGGAGGAAGTTCAGCCTGTTGCTGCAATTGTTGTTTCTCTTTATTAGTGACCTTGACACTACCAACTCTGCGAACGCTGCTTGTATGTGAATGCACCGATGCAGCATCCTCGTCCTCGACGGAGGTATTGAGCTCTGGAAGAATCGGATGGACCACTGGTGGCACTGGCTCGCGTGCCTCAGCGGTTGGTGATTCCAAGGTTGGAGCAGGCGCAGTTGCACGCGATGGTCTGCGAGCACTCAGCTTCCTGAACAGTGCATTGAAACCAGCCTTCCCTGAAGGAGAGTCGGTTGTTGAACTTGGTGATCCCGAAAGATGCTGTTCAATCCCAGTATATGTTTTTGCACGCTGTCTAGATGGAGATTGCGACTTCGAGCTCTGCTGAACTGGCATGGCTTCCAAAAGCGAGTGGTCGTTGGCAATGGGTGAAGAAGGAGGCCTTTGCTGTGTCTGCTGTTGGTGAGGAGAAGCATAGGCTGCCTTTGGATATGGAATAACAGGAGTGTTGTGCTGCTGCAATTGGCTGGACGATCTCTGGTGCGTTGACTTGGAGGGAGTCCCGCCTGGATACAGTTTCTCCTGTTCTGATTGTCTCTGCCTATAATCCTGCAAGGATTGGATCTGCTGGACTTGACTGCGGCTGGCCTCCAACTTGGCGCGTTTCCGCTGCTTCATCTCGTCAACCAGGTAGTATATCGATATCAACGGATGGTAACCACTCGTTGGGTCAATATAGTTGGTTATAGGATTCAGTCCTGGCTCTGGTTGGACATTCAGCTCCGGATGTTGCTGGAACCAGATCGCTACCGAAGCCCGATAATGCGAACTCGACAATATCTCCGTCATATCATGGATCACCTGCTCCTGAGGTCCAAATTCCAGATTGGACATCTCTCCAATGATCTCTGGATCGAGAGGAAGTTGAAGTGGAACTCTCCGGGGAAGATAGCTGCTCGGAGGCCCTTCGAATCCCTTAACCATCCAAGGATGGGCCATTATGCTCCGCAACGTGGCTCTTTTCTCGGGATCCACCACCAGCATCTTGGACAATATGGAGATGCACTCCTTGGAAAGATGGTCAGGATACTCAACATGGCCTCTTTTGATCTTTTCGTGCAGCGCACTTACACTCTGGTCATCAAACGGCACTCTTCCGCAAACCAGCACATAAAGAACAACCCCGAATGACCAAACATCAACCTCAGGACCCAGATATGGATGGGCAGATAGCAGTTCGGGAGCAGCAAAGTACAACGAACCACAATAAGTCTTCAACAACTTCAGTCGGTCAAACATATTGGAAAGACCAAAGTCGATCAGCTTGATTTCTCCGTTTTTGTTGATCATGATATTCTCAATCTTCAGATCTCTATGCACAATGTTGTTGGAGTGACAGTAATCCAAGGCCGAGGCTATTCCACGAGAAAACTTTCTGGCATGACGTTCTTTCAGAGAACCATGGGACACGATGTAATCCAGCATCTGGCCTCCTGAAACGTACTCAAACAACATGTAGTAATGGTTGGTCATGGGGATCATCTCATATAGCCTGCAGATGTAAGGGTGGTACATTAGTCTCCCTAGAGCTCCTTCGCGGATGGTGCGCTTATCTCTGGCAATCTCCTTCTCCAACTCCTTTCTGCGTTTATTCATCTCAAGTGGATCGGACGTTGGAGGGGCGTCTTTTTGCTGTCTTTGCCATAACTTGGATGCCCTTGGCACCACTTTCACAGCACACAGCTCGTTGGTCACTCTGTGGCGCGCCAACTTGACTTTTCCCATAGACCCGGCACCTATGGTTTTAGTGAACTCCCAGTCGCCAATTGACCTTCTGTGGAACTGTTGCTGCGGTTGAGACGGTGGCTGTAATTGTGGAGACTGAGACTGTGTAGGCTGCTGCTGCTGGGTTTGGGGCGTCGTTTGACCATGATACCCATCCTTGGATGCTGATGCAGACCCAGTTGGCCTATACCCACTGGGCCTCCTGCCCAAAGATGCCTGTCTATTGGGCGTTCTAATGTCAGGTCGTTGATTCAACTGTCCTTGATGTTTGGAGGAATTTTCAAACGAAACTCCCGGCAACAGCTTCTTCACAGCGTCATCTTGCGGTACTGGTATCTCAGTGTGCCCACTATTGGAGGAAGGTTGCCTTCTGTGAGTCCACTCAGCAGCTGAAGTCTCATCAACCGCAGTATCTGCTAGGCTCAAACTATCTTGATTTGTAATGGATGCCGATTTGCTAGCATTTCTTAGCATTCTGGGGGTTGCCGGAACGGCGTTTGGGGTAATTTTTCTACCCTCGCCCCTGTTGATTGATCCAGTTCTGGATCCAGCATCACGTCTCACTTTCGGGAGATTCAGCGTTTGTGGGTCACTTTCCACAAACTGCGACTGGTGACGCGTAGAATCAAAATCAGAGGCGTAGTCAGGCGGGATGTTGCCATCCCTGTTCTGACTCGACATCTGAGAAGCTACGCGAGAACGTCAAAATCGAATGCAGCAACGTGTGAAAAAGGTGAAATTGGAATGGTGAAAACGTCAGTGAATTGCAGTCAAGCTGACTCAAAAATTCCCAATAATGCTCAAGAAATTACTGGTTTTGGACCACTATCAGCCCAAGTACCACGTCTCTGTTTGACGTCTAAGCAAAACCTGCTTCGCTTGTAAATCCAATTCGATATCAAAAAAAAACAAAACGCCCAATTTGCAAATCTCAATGAGGGTTCTGAATATCAACAAATCTGATTCAAAGTCTGATTCAACTAGGCTTAGATGCGATTGTGTACAGCAATGCAGCTTTAAGGAATCTTTATAAGGAGCGTTTGGACAAAAAGTGTAGTTCGGGTATGCACTTTGCTGGTGCACGACCACAGATAGATTTCATTAATGTATGGGAGTGTGCAGACGAAGTGTGTGCTTAGAAGATTAACAATATTTTTCAGGCGATTGATATGAAGTGGGCACTCTAAGCCCCGATATTCGGGCGCGTTTCGGATACTGGCTCTGAAACGGGGGTAGGAACAGTAACAGAAGGGGCTGGTGCTTGCTGCGCCGCATTGGAGGAAGTCTGGATCACTGGGGTTTGTGGAACGGTGAAGCTGCCCGAGTTGTTCGTCTCAGGAATGGTCTCGGGAACGGTCTCAACTGGGACTTCCTCAACAGGTGACGATTCTATGACTTCGAGCTCAGCTCTTGCTGCTCCATTCGCTTCTGGGACTACGTCGCTTTGATCGCAGTCACCACAGAAGAAGTGATATCCCTCTTCCCTATCTAACTTGAACTTCACCTCCTGCGATTGGCACGCATAATGTTGCCATTTGTTGCAGTTTTCGCAGCTAATCATTGCTGTCCCGTCGTCAAAGTTCTGACTCTTAATTCCACATTTGCAATCAAACTGCCAGTTTGAATCCTCTTCTCCCTTCGCTGGAGCCAAGACCGTAGTATCTGCCGAATGTTCGGCCGAATTTTCGACTGAATTTTCAACTGGCTCAGTTTCTCCTTCTATCTTGGATCTCCTTAGTTTCATTCTCTCTTCCCTTGATAGTCCAATATCCGCGGAGCCCTCTCTGTCGGAATTACCATACATCTCTTCCTTCAGTTTTTGCCTCTTTGAGGCCCTTATGGCAGCACCTTCTCTTTTCAGCCGCTCGTACTCTTCATTCCTGGCTTCTTCCTCCTCCAGGCGACGCTTCTCTTTCTCCTCCAGTCTGGACGACCGCTTTCTGTTCGCAATCAAAGACTGCAATTGGAGTTCCTTCTTCCGGTGCAACGACTGTTTCCTTCTCTTGAAATCAGACGTAAATATGCGCTCTATGTAAGGTTTCAGCTCCTGTAAAAGCTTGTATTCTCTGGAAGAGGTTCGTTTTCCTGCTTTCTTCTTGAGATCGACCAGATAGTCATCAAACTGGTAGATACCCACGCACAAACATCTCCATTCCACAAGCTTGGGATTGCTGTCTGGAAGTTCATCAACAGTCTCAGCGGCCTCGTCATCCTGTTTGCTTGTTTTGGGGATGACCAACCGTGGATACTCCAGCTTGCGATAGTATAGCCTATCATCTTCCAGGATGAAGTACTCTTCACGGATGGATTTCTTATTATCCTCCAAAATTGCAGTAGCTCTCAACTCCTCCCACGGTTTGGCATATTTGTCAACGGTTTTCCTGAACACCTCGTAGAACGTGGTCAGATTCAGCAGCTCATAGTATATGTCTAGCTGGTCCACCAGATCCAAATCATTGAATTTGAAGCTTTCTAACTCTTCCTCGGTTTTATAATGTTCCTGAAAGTAATTTGGTAACAACAAAAACAATTCGCTGTCGAAGTCGGCAAAATTGTTCTCAATATTGATGATTTTGCGGCCTGTGAGGAGATGGATTATGGCACTTTTGAACCTGTTTATGAAGGTGGTCCCTGTTATTCCCAAAAACTCCTCTTCCAACGCCTCCACATCAAAAGCATCGTTAGTGAGTCTGATCTCGCTCCGTAAAAGCTGGAACCACTGCACGATAAACGCGAATTTGTAGTTGTCTCTTAATGCCGCTAGCCGTTGTTGGTATAGCGGGTCCTCCAACTGCTGCCTTGGTGGGGTCTTCAGAAGTTGCTGTTTGTACTCATCTGGAACGAAAGACGATAAATGCTCTGCTGGATGTTCCTGGACGGGCATATTTTGGTGATTGCTTTGTTACGTTCAAAGGTGGTTCTAAGCTAGTCAACTTATCACAGCTCAAATCCACGCGTCGGCGATCTGGTGGTGCACGCAGATCTGGTTGGGGCACTCGTACATGATCGGCGATTGGAGAGTTTAGGTAACTGATGAAAGGCCCAGAAATTGAACTGGTGAAAAGAAAGAGAACTGAGGCCGCGATGTCGACTCAAACCTCTGTTCCGGTATATAGCTTGAGTTTTCCGAAATTCGTGCTATTTGGCGATTCCATCACCGAGAGGTGTTTCAGCCAATTTCCCTATACAACCTACGTTAATGATGGGTTTGGAGAACCTGAGGTTTCAAAGGCAGATCAAGAGAAGGCCCAATTCGCGTTTGGTGCAGAATTGAGTCATCTCTATAGGCGCAGAATGAGTGTGATTGCTCGCGGCTTCTCTGGATATAACACGGAACAATGTCGCATTATTATCCCCAAGATATTGCAGATTGAGCACGACGCTTCTCCTGAGGGATCCAAGGTCGAACTATGCACCGTGTTTCTCGGCAGCAACGATGCTGCCTCGGCATACCCAGATAAAGTCGAATATACCCGGTATCTTGAAAACATGGAGTTCATCATTGACGAGATCAGAAAGAGAAAAATTCGACCAATCATTGTTGGACCTACCCTTTATGATAGAGAGAGGTATGAGAGACTAGATGCGGTGGAGCTAGCCAAAGGTATCTACAGAACGAGCCAAATGAACAAAAAATATTCGGAAGGCTTAAAAGCCCTATGCGCGCGCATGGGTGTTCCGTTCGTGGATCTTTATTCTGCATTTGAGAAACTCGTGAACGAGGGCTCTGAAACAATGACGACTCTGCTGTTGGATGGTATCCATTTTGCTGGACCAGGCAACAAAGTATTGTACGAGGAGCTGGAAAAAGTGATCAAGAAATACTATCCTGAATGGCATCCAAGCCATGCATCTTTTGGAGAGAGATTGCCCCAATGGGGTGATGTGGAACTGAAAAAGTTAGACGAGATTTTGGTGAGATGAAAGTCATGTTGAATAGAGAGTGGACATTCCTTGGAGTATAGAGTCCAAGAATATTTATTTTTTTCCATTTTTTAGATTTCTGTTATATCCTTTTTCTAATTCGGTTTATTTATTAATTTCTTTATCATTTTCTGAAAACTCGAAAAAGCCACAAATAGCTAATATATGATCTAAAAGCAAAACTCATAACAAGTTTCTAATGAATGCACTTTGAAAACAATTAGCAACTTCTAACGAATGGGAATATCCGAACCCCAAACTCTAACAGCGAAGATCCGACAATGAAGGTCATTCCTTCCCCCAGTAAACAGGGTCAATTTCCCTCTTGCGTGGATTGTATTTATAATTCGGATAACACTTGGAATGCAACTCTTTTTCCAGTACTGCCAGTGCCGAAAACTCCTGTTTGGTGGACTCTGACTCTGTTTGCCATAACATCGCAATAACGTGAACGCACATGTGATGATTCAACTTGGGTAGCGTTAACGTGGCCCTGATTTTCTCCAAAGTTTTGGGATCGCCTTTTTGGACCAGAGTTTCTATCTCACGCAGAAACTCCAGCTCATTGGCAAGATCGTAGCTCAACACGCCATTTTCGATCGTTGTCGCGGAGTCAGCGTTTTGTTTCCAGTCTATTCTAGGAGATTTCCAGCCAAGATTTTCGTTGATGAATCCGGTCAAACAGTTCACGAGACACAGAAGAGTATAGACTCTGGACATGGCTGCTCTATACAACATGAACGAGTTCAGTGGTCTTTTGATATACTTGTGGTCAATTGTTGTGCTCTGAGATACAATTTTGGGCAAAACCGTTTTCGAACCTGGGCTCTTTTTGATGGAACTTCTAGTATTGTAAGGCTTTTGCAAGACAATTTTGGGGGTTCCAAGACGCCCAGCAGTGGGCTTGTTCTTGGGCCTGTCGGTAGTTGTATCCGTTGGTGTTCTAAAGTAGATCGCAATCTCGGTGATATGGACGAAATTCTCCATTATTGAGTTCTCAGACGATGAATTGACACGCTCGTGACCTGCATGGGTCTTTCCTTCGACATACAAATGCGAGCCAATCTCCTTGCAACATAAACCCTTATCTGCAACAAGTGTGCGATTGTACGAGACACCGTTTCCTAGTAGAGCAGGATGTGAAAGAATTCTCAATTTGATGGCTATGTTGCGGAGGAGGAATATCTCAATAATCTTCTCAACCTCGAAACACCGAAGCTTGCGAGTCTTGGCCATTTGCATAATCTCAGAAACTCTGGATTGGCTGATCTGGTCGACTTGGATCCAGACTTTGAGCTTGCGATGCTTCGAGGAGTTGTCTTGAATGAGTTCCTTGATAGTGGGCAAATTTTCAAAGCGTTTGGCATGAACGTGGTCCACAAGAGTTTCATCTTGGGAAAATGATGACAATTGAAGGTCAAATGTAGATTCGGGGTTATCACCTGGAAGATGGTGTGCTTTTGAAGTGATTACAGACTCATCCCCAGAGCTTGCCGCATTGATGGAGGCTTGCGTAGGAAAAATGGTAATTTTCAGATTAGTCTTCTTGAAGCAGGATGCTTTCCAGTCCGACGATGGAGAGTCAGCAAGGGACTCGATATTTCTTTGCTTTGCCTTTCTTTTTGAGTTCTTCCTGGAGTTTGTGGAGAGCAAACCAACTTCTTTTGCGGTGAGCCCAGGCCCATCTCGCGGTGTTGACGAGCTCAATGATTCAATTCCGTCACCAGCGACCTCCAGTTTGAACTGAGATTGCGGAAAAGAGACAGCTTGCAGCTGACGCAATTTTGGCGACATGTTTAAGGGAGATGAGGGCAATTCTGAGTCCAAAGACTCACTGGAATCGTCAATTCTTGAGTACTCTGACATGAAAGTACACTCATCTTGAATAGAACATCGGGCTTTTGAAGCATAATAGCTCATAACAGTCTGAGCAGTGATGGTTTGTGATTCTGAGTCAGAATCTAGGTCACTATCCTCAAGACTGTCACCATCATTACTGTCCAGAAGCACAGATTCAACATCATCATCACTGAAATCAAACTCATCTGGCCCACGCGACAATGGCTCCACCTTCAGCTCCACAGGAAGCGGCGAAAGCACTCTGTGAGGAACGGAAGTCACCAGCGAGTCAAAATCTTGGTTGTACACTTGAGGCTGGATCATGGGTGATGATTCCTGGTCATTGAAAACAGTAATTCCGTCACTATGAGCACCGTCATGATGGAAGGATCGATCCATGATGGGGTTGAGAATTTTGAATAGTTCCATTCACTTCTTCGGTTCAAACAATCAATGGTGGCAAAGGAAATCCAAAGTTGAAGACTCCATAGCGTCTTTAAGAGTTTTAATGCAGCCACTGGGCCGTATCCTTAAATCCAAGAAGTCTTGGTGAATCCCACTTTAGTGTATATCCGACTGATCGGGGAATAACCGAAGAACGGATAACGCGGAGGTAAAAACTTTCCGTTCAACGCAAGAAATCAGAAATTCCTGCGGACTTTGAGCCTCTGATCCGGACTTGAGTGATCTGGAGGATGATGACCGGCACTATGTTACATGATTGGCAGTTTAGTATATAGATAATTTTCGTGATTAGGTGGGCTCTCTTCTGTGTATTGTGACTTTCCATGTAATTTTTCGTGACCACACCCGTGGTGACGGGACTGTGTTGTGTTGTCAACCCCCTTCCGTTGAGAATGCCCTCCTAGTTTCGGAATTCGTATTACGAGCATTTGGATATGAGATGCATCAAAAAGAAACACTTCAAAATTCACTTGCAGTCGCCATGGAGCTTGTCTTGGGCACAAAGTTTGGGTCCCTAGGTGGTTTCAGAGAACTACCCGATCAGCAGCAGCATGAGGGGTGTGAGTGAGAACAAGGTGTAGATATTTCAAAATTCAATAATAACCACATGAACGTCACCATAACCTCATTCTTGTTTGAATCGGGGTAAAGGCGTGACTTTTAACCCTCCGCAGACATCGTTGAAAGCCCGCCCATGTGATCAAACCAGCCGCACAAAATATACGAGGAGGGGCTATTTAGTCCACTTTGAAGAGGGTTATCTATGGGTATCTGAGTGTTGACGGGCTTGGCAGTGGGGATTTTTCTATTGTCGCCAAAGGGGTCGCAATGCATCATGCACCATGGATGAGACATGAAGAGGGCAAGTCCGTACGAAGTATCTTCCTCAGTAGTACGACACTTGAAATTAGTTATAGGAGGATATAGGGGTGTGTTTGGTGAAAGCTTCATGAAGGAACTTGAAATTCCAATGCCTTGAGAATGAAATAATAAAGGAGCGGCACAATTATTATCAACGTCGTTTCCTTTTACCCCGCATATACCGGTTAATAGAGGCGAGTATATACAGAAATAGAAGAGATAGAGCGGCAGAGAGAGAGAGAGAGAGAGAGAGAGAGAGAGAGAGAGAGAGTAGTTAGTT